ACAATCTCCTGGAATTCCCTGTCAATGCTTATAACCCTCTAACCCTGCTGGGTAAACATTTCAGCAGCTTTAATCTCTTATTCTTTAACTAAAGCCCTTTCACACGTGGACTGCATTCCTATACCCGCATATCGGGAGCTGTATGTGAGAACAAGTGTCTCAATGTTTCTAGATACACTTGAAAAGTGTAACTGAGAGGATTTGAAGGCCGAACCAGCCTGTGTTCTGATTCCAGCTGTTGCTTTGCCTAGCTCAACCCCTCACCTCAGCCAGATTGGGTATTTCTAAAAAAAAAAAAAAGAAAGAAAGAAAGAAAACCTGAGAACACAGAAGTCCTCTTGCAGCATTCAAGAAACGTAAGAGAGTGAGAGCAGACGATTGGACCTTTTTATTTTATTATTGTTCAAAGTTTTTGGACAGCAGCCAAACATTTCAAATACTATCAGCGGTCTTAGCTCAACCAGTTTGTCTTTGTCAAGAGTTTAATCTGCTTTTATTCATAATACTTAGAAACATACACCCCTTCTTTTCTTTTGAAGTCTTTAAACGGATTACATAAGTAGAGCTTCTGCTGGAACAACTCCCGCATCTTAGATTGTTCTGTTTATACACACGAGTATATTTAATTTCTTATTTTCTCTTTTATTATTTTTATAGTTTTGTTTATTTTAGGTCTTTCCCTTAAATGGACATTTCTAGCACAGGGTGTTAGCCACCCTCGGAGGAATTCAGCTTATTTTAGTCCTATTACTCAAACTATATCTCCCCCTTTCTCAGATATGAACTCTTTAACTACACCCCAGCCTCTTTCAATGTCAACTCCTCTTTAACACTTCACTGTTGTACAGTGCATACACAGCAACAAAGACTTAAAATATGAATCAATTCCTCTCAAAGCTGAATTTTTTTCTTTGTCAGTGAGTGTACATCCTATGTTTTTTTAAATCTCCAACTTCACATCTGTTGTAAATTAAATTATTTCAAATTAAATCAATAAAATTGGCAAAAATTTTAACTTGACATCTATTTCATGGTACTTTAAAAATATTTCAACCTAAGCAGTGCTCATACACTTTTTAGACTTTAATATCAGTGTGTTTAAAAAGAATGCTCTTCACACTCACACTATTTTACGAATTTTCCTACTGATGGTCATGCTGCTCAGTGCGTGTTGTGTTGCAATAAAGGGCTATTCTGGCATAAATTTAAGCCATGGTCAAACACACCGTAACACCGAGTTAGACACCCTCTCAGGAATGACTTTTGCCAACTGCATGCTTCTCTAGTTATACCAACTTTAGTACAGCCGCAGGATAGCAATACACAGCGCTCTACATCTTCACATGATTCTTACATGATTATTACTTCATGGAAATACAATCAGAGTTTTTGTGTTTCTTGTATGTGCACCGCAGATGCGGTAGTTCTTCTGCACTAGCGTCTCGGTCTGATTGCATTTCCATTAAGTAATAATCATAAATTTTCTGCTGCCCTCAGTGATCGACTCATTAGGGCTCCCACACAAACAAGCAGCTACTGGAGGAGAGTGGGTGAGTTGTGTTTAGTCTCTTTGCTAAAGAAACCAGACAAAGCTAAAAAGATGTTTAATGGCTAGAACTATGGCTGGGACCCTATATGAACTGTTGATGAAGTTAGGTGCTGTTCTGAGCATTATTTGTGGCTATAGAGTGGCTTTTTGGTTGAGGTTTGAGCGTGGAGACTTAGACCACTGTGTATTGCTATCATGCAGTCGTTACTAGAGTTGGTATAACCAGAGAAGCAAGCAGTCTGCAACATTCAGAGGGGGTGTCTAACTCTGTGTTACAATGTGTTTGACCATAACTTAAATTTACGCCGGAATATCCCTTTAAGTAAAAATAATTCGGAAAGTTAGAGTAGTAGATGTAAACTTTCCTGACCTGGAGATAAATGGAAACACACCTTTTCTCTCAATAAACCACCAAAGTTTCAATGAAAGACACACATTTGATATAGACTATGTAGAATGCTCTAAAGGCATATATCAGCAAATTCTGATCAGTAAAAAAAAATGCATTTTTTGACATCCAAAAGGGAAACATGTAAACCTTATAGAACTACCCCTTTAAGACATCACCTGAGGAGCGTGTGAGGGTGTAGGTATGTGTCATTATTGGTTACTTGAGCTTTACAGCTTTGTTCTGTACATTCAGGTCTCTGTTTCATCCTGTAATAATTAATTCAGAGGTTAATACTGGGTTGCTCAGAAACAGCATTACACACAGAAAAAAAACCCAGGACAACTGACAGAATTGAGGAGCTGCAATTTACAACAACACTCACATTAACACACAGAGACACAAACATACATTAAAAAAACAAACGAAAAAACACATATTTCACTGTCAAACTGAGGCCTAGAGGTATGCAAACTATCTTTCATCCAAACGCAAACATGAAACTCAACCTGTGCGTGGAAAAGACTTTTAGCCAAAGGGGAAGTAATCTCTTAGTTGTGATGTGAATACAGTGAGCTGCTTGCACATCAAAATGCAGGGAGACATGCCATTCATACTGAATAAATCCACACTACACTCCAAGTGAAGATTTGTCTCTTTATTTCAGTACTAACAGTCACGAGTAATTATGTGCCAACAGCTACCGCTATGCAGGTGTGTCTTTTCGCTGTAGCCTAAGAGTTGCTGATAAAGAGCCATGCAGGCTGAATGTGGCCATCTGAGAGGTCTGAACTGTCCCAATCAAGTTACATAGTTAGCTACATTTTTATGTTTGAATACAACAAACAGCTAGCTGCATAGAAACACTATGACCAGTCTTGTTCAGGAGTCGAACATGAAAGATTTGATATCACATCAGCCCAAAAAATACATTGTGATATATCCATATGCTGATCCCACATTCTGTGTCACGGTAGCTCAATTTTTTTATATTCTCTTCTATATTCTTATTGCCTATGTAATTCCTCAATGGTGCACTAGAAAGCACAAATACTGCATCGCTTTGACTCATGTCCTGGTGTTCCAGTGATCTAAGGCTTAAAATAGTTTCTGTTAATGTCATGATGTTAAAAGATGCAGCACTGTGGGATTTCTGCATCAAGGCATTTCTACCAGACATGTTTCAGAATTGAATCTAAGAGACTTTAGCGTTCAAACATGGCCTAAATAACAAGTATGCATTTATATTTCAAAATTAGCCTTACATGTTTGCCACACTTACTTTAAACAAGAAACAAGAAAAACTCAAATGTAAAAAGCCAGGACCTCAAAGACATGATTTCAGGGGCCAATTCTTCAATTGGACAAGAAACATAAAACTTGAATAATCACCACCCATTTCAACATCATATTAAATGTGCTTGTATTTTTCGTTGCCGGATGTTTGCTGCCTTTTTGTATATAATATGGTTTTGCCATACTACTGGACAAGGGTGCATCACACTGTGCAGTTTTATAAACAGAAGACTCTACTTGGCTTTTTAATTATTTAAAGAAGAGAGAGATGCATTTTAGAGACACAAGCCACCTGTATTAGAAAAGTTAAACTAACATTGGATTATAACCAATACCAAAGTAGTCCTTCAACACTCCATTTTCTATGTGATCTTATGCTAGGTTGTCACAAGCAGTACGACTGAGTTTGTGGATATAAGTGTACAATGTCTTGTGTTGCTCTGAGGGGAAGCACTCTGAAGTTTGAGATAATCCTGATGATGTCACGAGGGTTATCTAATGTTTGTCTAAAACCCTGCCTTTCAATTTAGAAGTCTAGTAGTAGGAAAAAAAAACATGTGGGCACATGTTGCATTATAGGAAATGTGGGACCCTGTGTTTAAGCAGCTTAATCCATCCCAGGGACTTTAAATCAGGATATCTCCCTCTCTGCTGCTTCTGTCACAACCCCTCTTCTTTAAAGCTGTCTCATGTGAGTCCCCCACTTTAACTGAAGGGAAATACTCTGGATGCTAAAATATACTGGAGTAACCTTTTAAATAAACACATTTTGGCTCTGCCCTGATCTCCCTTAGGCTGTGTCAACAATACTAAATCTTCTTTCTACCCTGCTTCAAACCAGTAGTTACCTAAATGGGAACTCCAGAGCCCTCAAAGCATTTCTATAAAATCCTGAGTTCAAGGATGGCAACTAAAATAGTACTATTATATTTGTGCACAATCAAAATAAGACAGTTATCTTTCCCTTTTCACTTGATCTTAATCAAGCAATCAAAGAGGTAAAATTCACCATCTACTGAGTTTAAAAGCTAACATTTCATCCAAACATGAGAGGGTTTGAGTTAGATTTGGATCATCATGAGAGATTACAAGTCTTTAAAGACAAAGAAACAGTCAGAAACTGTAAATTTACTGAGTGAAGAGAATCAAATGATTTATCATTTGAAAATAACTTCAGGACTGTCACTATCTAAACTGAGCACAACACTCAAATTCAAGAAGTGTGCAGTTTTGTTTTTCCCATCCTGATCAAAACCCTAAAACAGAGTAGTAGAATATTTGTCATTTCAAAAGGGGGCTGATCCCACAGTTTGTCTGTGCGGTGGTTCGATTGGAGAAGCATGCCCCTTCTGGACTTCGGTGTAGATTAAGGCTCATATCACTTAATATGACAGTCAAAGAAATTAACAGAAACATATCCTGGCATAGTGACATCTTTTTATCAACTGTTTTCATGCGCAAGGTTGCTTATGAAAGTCGATACCACATGTGGCTAGTTGTGATTTTCCATAGGCTATTTTTTTATCACTAGGTAGTGCTTGTTACCCTCATCCTTAGGGTCAAAGGTCAATACCTTTAGGCATGCTGCCCCTGCTAGCTTATTGTGCATCTACAGACATAGATTATTGCTATCATATTAGTGTATTTACTGAGGTGCATTTTGGTTAGGGAAGAACAGTACCCAGTTGCTGTTAGCACTAGCTCCCTGCCCCTGAGTTTGTGGTTTTGAATTGCATAAAAGGTCAACACAGTTTGAATGAAAGGAGGCTATACCAGTGACTCGCACACAGGTGGGTTGTCAGAGTCCTGGCTGTGCATGGAGCTCAAGCCTGTGTCTGAGTCCTCATCATTTGTATTGCAGGTTTTGGACAGACCTCTGGCCTGCTCCACCCAGCCACTACTCTTTTCTGCTGATGCTGGATCAATCTCAGTACTCACTGCACCCACCTCCCCCTCGCCATCATCAGTCAGCTTGCTGTTTACTTGCTCTATTTCCATGGTCTCAACTTTGGCCAGAAGGTCCAGCAGTTCACTCTCCTTGGTCTCCCAAAGAGCTAGACTCAGGTCCAAGTCTCCCCTGATGGCATCCAGATCGGTCTTAAGTCGCAAGCCAATGTACAGACTGGTGTCCAGTTGTGTTTTGATCCTCTCCTCTTCCAGAACAAGCTCATTTTCTGACAAACTTTCTACCTCTGGCTCTTTCTCTGGCGGAGCGGAGGAGCCTAGGCACACCTCCTCAGAGGCACTGTCAGTGTCCTTAGCAGCCTCTGCTCCTCTCTCTTCCCGCCTCCTCCTCATCCACCGCCGGTTAAGCTCCTCTTGGATCTCCCCCGTTATACACTCCACGAGCGCCTCGCGCTCTGTCAGCTCCTCCTGAAGCTGCACCACCTCCTCACACTGGCGCGCGTACTCCTCGAACTGTACGAGCGCCTCCACTGTGCACCATGCGTCCTGTCGCTCTGCTTTACGTTTACATTCCGATGAGGCTGACGCCTCCGAAGAGTCCACCATGTATGTGTCCTGCACATAATTCACCCCGTGTCTCTTGATGCGGTCAAAGTGCACCTTGGCCTCGTATCGCTCAATCTCCCGGTCCAGCTCCTTGATTCTCTGGATCTGCTGTCGGATGGTGTGGTCCTGAGAGATAACTAGGTGTACCAGGGTCTCCATCTTCTCAACGGACCCCTTATCTTTAGAAACAGCCTGTTCTTTCTTTTTGTTCATCTTATCCAACTTCCTGAAAGCCTTCCTGACGATGCGTCTCTGTTTCTCCTGGGACATATTAGCGGCGGCTGCCGCGGCTGTCCAGCAGGTCCTGGCCGTGCCCTTGAAAACTCCGCCGGGTCCACCGCCCTCCCTGCTCGGGACAACACGGGCCTCCGCGCTGCGGGGCCCGTTGTTTGGCAAAGAGGCCTCGTTCTTCACCAGGACGAAGCGGACATTCTCTTGCTCGTCCCCCCAGGCGCTCCACAGTCTGAGGATTTTCGTTTTATTGGGTAAAATCCTTTCGAAGCCTCTCCATTTTTCCACTACGCAGTAGGACTGCGGACAGCCGGACAGCATCGCTGCTGAGGCGCTTTGCTGCAGGTTTTGGTCCTCCAGTAGGACTTTGACCACATCAGCGCAGGTAGTTCTTTTAGTTAGCCCAGAAACCAGCTTTTCCTCCCGGCAGACCCACACCGAGATCTTCCCCTCCTCCGGCTCCATCTGCGACTCAAGGGGAAGAAAAAAAAGTTTCCAAAACGCTGCAGTTTAGTGTGTCTCTGTATGTTCGGTAACTCAGAAGGTAAGGAGAAACTAACAAGTCTCTGGATGCCTGACTAGACTACATCCATATTTAACTTCACCAAATTCAGCCTATGAGAAACTGAAGAGAGTTCCGAAAGCAATCACTTTCCATGAGATATTCCCAGAAGTCCGCTCAAAGAAGCTTTTTTTTTTCGCCATCAAATAAAGCTTCAGTAAAATAGCCATCCGGTGAGAGACCTCCCTGTCCGACGCTCAGCAGCCCGGCAAACCGACTGAGGAGGAGAGAGAGGTGAGTCCTTGTATGGGGCACGCTGCTCTGCTGTGTGTGTGCTGTGCGTGGGATAAAACAGGAGGTGCTGTAACGACAGGGACACGCCCCCTCTCCCCCTCCCTTGCCCCACACACAAACAACACAGTCATTTTAGCAACCCAACAGGGAGAGAACATCAAACATCGAGTCTAACAAGAGTCAGTCAGTGTGAAGTACCTTAACTTTATCATGACACTGTTAGCAGAGATTTTGAACACATATGAATCTGACAGTGACAACTGAACTGAAGTGGGGTTTCTTGACAAACCTGTATCAAACTTAAAACTGAATGAGGAGCAATAAAAGATAACAACAACAACAACAATAATAATAATAATAATATGTATCTTTCATGATGGTTCATATCCCAAAAGCAACCAGGTTACAAGCCAAGAAGTAGGCTACTACAGACTTGAATTAAGTGAAAACTCACCCTCTCAGCAGTGATGCTCTGCAGCATGCATTGTTTTACTGTTTTATCTTCATAATCCCTGTACAGCTGAATGCTTTAGTCTTATGAAGCTCAGCTGAATTGAGCACGAAGCAGGAGGAAATCCTTCTATTACACCCTGCAGAGTTGTCTCAGTGTCTGACCCCATAATCTGCTCTTTCAACTCTTTCAGGACAGAATATGGTCTTTGGTTCTTATAAACGGATTTATCTGCATTATGAGTGTTTGGGTGGGCGGGTGTGTGAGAGAGGGAGAGTAATACATTAATGGCAAGTGTTCATCCTCACCATCTACTATTAGTCTGTTTATGGCTCAGTGTGAAGCCTTGAGCGTGGTTAGTTGGTCAAATAAACGACTTGAAACTATATGGGGATTTGAACAGCATCCATGCACATATCCAGAAACAGAGCCATTACTTGTAACAGCATGCACAAACACCAGATGTGGACAAAAAGGGCTGTCGGCACTAAGTGGGGTTGTGAGATAACATGATATGTCTTCTTTAATTTTTTTCATCTTTGAGCTTATGTCCTGTGAGGTCATCACATCGGTTAAACCTGTGGAGTGGTTTCAAGAATTTTGTACTTGCAGTGCTTCCAAGAAAAAAGCTCAAAAAGACCCAAAAATGTTTCGTAAAAAAATCCCTGTTCTGATAACATTTGATGTCTTTAGTAGGTTGAAAAAGAGTGTTGGTGAAAGTGTCTTCAGATGCTAAGAAACCACCAAAATCATCACAGCCCTTAAAGTGACAGAGTATTCATTTCATTCACTGCATGAATGAGGCTTTATAAAGATATAAAATAAAAGTGATTTTTAAGTTTACTTTGGCATGCCATTGAGAGGGGTAGAAATTTGTTGTTGCCTTGTGTTGAATTCTTTGAGTGTAGCTCCCCCTGGTGTTCCCATAGGTAACTACTCGAGTCTCATTTTGCTTCTGTCTGGAAGTAACAAATGCATGATTAGAAAGAAAATGAAATCAAAGGGATTTCGCAATGTTTCTTCATTACTTTGAAAAAAACAATGATCTGAACAATGGCTCTCTCACATGCACTTAATTTTTATCTACAGCAAGAATGTATGCATGTGTGAAATGCATATGCAGCCCAAAACAATAAAAGAAATTTGATTCATCTCACTCAATGATGCATTTAGAGTAGCCTTAGTGGTGTAAATGTAAAACTTTTTTTTCATAATTTCAACCAACAGTTTTTAGAGTAAGTCATCAAATGTAATAAATTTTAATCAACTAGAAAGAGAACCATCACATGTCCTTAGAGTCTCAGGGTACACAGCATAATGCAGCACAATTATTCGACTGTCTTTAGTAAAGTTTGACTCAAGTGACTTGTAACTAAAATAGCATAAGTAGTATGGAGTCAAAATGAGGCTGGGAAGCATTGTAAACGCAGAGGAAGTATTGTAAACAACATCAACAACAAAAAGGATTATTTTTTGCATTACAAAACATTTTAGCTTTTACAACATTTTTCCGCATTTAAAAAAGGTTTTTGCTTTTACAAAACATTTTTGCTTTTACAATATTTTTCTGCATTTACAAAACTTTTTTGGTTTTAAAAACTTTTTGGCCTCTACAAGACATTCTGGCCTCTCTTTGACATGGGGGTTGGGTTAGATGAGTGGCGTGTGCAGAGAAATAAATGTCAAATATAAAATTGCAGTTATTAAAATCACTGTAAATGTGATTCATTGAGTAAAGACAAAACCAAGAGCACAGTTTGGAACAGACCATTTATTTAAACTGAATAGCATATGCATACAAAGTCTCTACAAAGCTAGAAAATATCTAACAATTTTAGCAATGAGGGGGGAAAGTTACCAAATAAAGATCAGACCCTGTGCAGTACCAATAGACACATATTACTAGCTTCTTGATTTAATTAAATGTAGTCTGCTCTTCTGAAAATAGGATAAACATTAGAATATTAAAGATATACACAACATCTGTAATAAATGTTATGGTCAACTTTGTACAAAGCACCTTATACAAAACCCTCGGTGCACTCAAAGGTGTGCTGCATATGCACTGGTGCAGAAAGAGTCAAGGCCATTTTGGAATTGATCACAGACACAGCATCTGCATCACACATGGTTCAGAACAGAAGATTAATAGTCAGCTCTCACTTACAGAACAAGACAACATTAACAACACAGACAACAAGTCCAATCTCAGTGAGTCACATGACTTAGAAACATGTTGAGCCTTTATGGAACAGTATACACTGCTTTATAGTTACGAGCATATTCACTAATTGGTTATGGTGAATAGACATTAAACAACAAAACCCTACAGCTGACTTTCTGTGAAGCTTAACAAGCATTTTGCACATTCTGACACAGGACTTTACCATTATACCAAACCAGATCCGCAATATATATCTGCTAAGGTCAAATTCAACACTCTGTCTTTTGAACTTGGTGTCCAAGATAGTTCTGTCTTAAATTGAATTAGTTTGTGCATTTCAGTGGTTAAAAAGGTCTTCTTTTGTAAAACGGTGCACCATTGTGTTCAACTACAGGTATTTAACTGCTCATAAACCAAATATTTTCCTGCAAAGACCAGATATTTTAAAGTTGCGTACAATGTAAGATCGTTCATTTCAGATCAAGTTTAGAAAAGTTGCTATCAACACAAAGTGTCTTCCGCAGACACCTCAGAGCACTGCTGACAGGCACCTGAGAAATAAAAATGTGTTTGTTGTTTGGGTTGAAAACTGAGTTCAAGATGTGATGGGGTGGGGTGGGGTAGGGTGGGGTTGGGGAGGGGAAATACATTGGATATAAAAAGAGAAAGTTGACCAGACTCCCAGTTTGAGCTCTGTAGCATCAGCTCAGTTAAGCTAATTGTCTCCAGCTTCAAACTAGACACACAGGCACAAGAATGGCATCAGTCATCTCATTTCAATTACAGCAAGATGAAAAACAAGATTTTTCCTTTGTATCAGCATTTCTATGAGGCTCACAAATAAAACATCACCAGTACGTAAGGAACTATATTATAGCCTACTTATAACCTGATTTATTGAACAGATTTTAAAGCAAGAATCTGAGGATCACAAATTAGGATTGTTTTTTCTGTGAAAAGTTAAGTTGCCAAATAAAAGCAACTTGTGAGCTGTTTCTGATCAAATTTACATACCTCACATAAACATGTGCACATGATAAGAAGATTCGGCGGTGACGGACCTCAAGTAAGAAATAACAGCCATTAAATAAAGAATTTGGACAATCAGCCCTCAGAAAAAAACACAGGGACAACATTGGCTTAAAAGCCTTTCTGTACACCACCATCAACACCAAATTAGAAGTTCAGAAATGAAACAGATTAGAAATTTCAACTCTTATTCTCAACCAAAGGCACTTTATGCTCATGAACATAGTACAGGCAAATCACCATTGTATTACCTGCTACAATTTAATTAGGCAATTTTTGGTTATTGATTCATAAATTACTTTAATCGAGGCATTTTAATGTGTAACTCAAAGATGCCAGTCCAGGACTGATCAAAAGGAATTGTATCTTAGACGATGCAAAGTCTTTTCAAGTCAAAACCAAACAGTGGAACAGTTTGACAATATCTGACAGTAGGCCTATGGCTAGATTGAAGCTCAAGTAAGAACTTGTGAAGAACTTGTACTACCCAGAAAAACACATTACATAGTAGATTTCCTATGTTACATTATAATTCTCATCATTTCCTGGACTCATTCCTGGATTGGTGTGTTAGCTTAGCCTGTAACGGTATGCTAACTAACATTAGAATCACAGCTGCATTCAATAACTGTTTCATGGCTTCTCTTGTTGCTGACTTTTGTCAAAAGTATCACACTGATATAAATAGGGTTGGGTTATTTTTTACAAAGCAGTCCAATAAAGCCGAATACATCTGTCCTTAGGGCCAGTGCTTTTAATATGAACCTACTGAGTCTGAGAATTTTACATATATAGGTTTAACTGGCTAATATATTTATAAAATCTTGATAAAAAGTCATTTTAGCACAAAAAGGTACCTGAATAGTTGAATTTCATGATACTATTATATAACGTAAATTTCAGATATTGTTTCTGGAATTAAAATACAGACTATGAACTACTATCCATACACAATTTTGCCAAAAGAAGCTATTCTTTTTTTAAAGGAAAAAATACAAAAAGGTAAAAATTTTCTTTCTTTTCTTTGGATCAAATTATTTTTTGTGCAAGAATGCAGCTCACACAATTTTGCAGATGCTGTCTGTACAAACCGCCCTTATATTGTTCTGTATTATAATGCAGAAGTGATTTCTTTTTTCTCTGGTTATTGACAATACACAGGGTCTGACCTTGAGTGTCCGCCAGTATCTCTGCAGATCACATGCTTTGTCAAAGGAGAGGAAAATGTGGGATTGTCATTTCTCCTGGTTTGAGTTTCTCTACAGCACATGACAGAAATATTGGGTTGGTATCTGACCTCTAGGGAGCAGAACAAGAATTCACCAGGAGAAAATGAAGGAGAAACAAACAAGCAGGATTCATGAAATCTCCTGCTGATATCTCAGTCAGGCTGCTGGGACAGTATCCCACATGGTTCTGATGACCACCTCTGTGCTTTTTCTTTCTTTCTATTTTTTAATTGTGCATCTGATATTTAGGCAGCAGTTATTTTGACTGAATTGAAATGCTTTTATTGAGGACCTGTGATCATTTTTAAGTTCAGTTGTTTGGCAGAAAGACACTACTGTCGAATACAGTTTTTTTTTAAACATTTTACCTCTAATGTTAACATAAATCAGACCGTATGTGTGTGAGTGTGTTATTCTTTGACAAGTCGATAGATGTGGTGCTGTGCTCCATGCTCGTTGTTGGACACCTCGAACACACATGCCATACAGAGCAAGGTCTCCTGAGTATCTCTATTGCTCACAACCTGAACACAAACACAAACATACACAAATAAAAACATTAGGGGTCAGAAGTGTGTTAAAAAATGGCCATTTTACAGCAGCACATAATGTTAATAGTGGTGTGTCCTCACCAACAAAATAGTGAAGTTCTCCAGCACGCTGTTCATCATGTACTTTTCAGGCAGATGTTTAAGCTTGTGGATGAAGTTGATCATATATTCACACATTGGAGAGCGACTGATTCTGTACACAAAGCGCCCATTTTCAAACCTCCCATACTCCGTCTGATAGAGGAAGAAAAATCAGTTACCATCACATCAATGAAATGGTCTTTGTTAAGTCTTTCTGCACACATTCTGACCACTATTTTTTGTAAATCTTACTCTTCAACACTACGATTGAGAAGACAAGAATGACCATGAAAAGATCTAGGAGGAATTCATCCTCACCTCGACTTTTTCCACCACCTGTTTGCCAAAAGAGCAAACCTTAGTGGAGCAGGTAATGGTCATGTTCTCTGAGCTCTCATACTGGCTGGTGACACCATAGAAGGCTGCAGGATCATCCTGCATGTTATGATTCAGGTCCGCCTAACAAAAGAGGAGGACAAACAAAAACAATGTTATTAGGTACATAAACAAGAAGGCCCAATCACACAGGAACCATCTGCTCTGGAATCAAAATAAGTCAGCAGTGCCCTCTTCTGGCAGCTCAGTCACTGAGTCATATCCTGCTTGACCTGCACAGTCTGTAGCATGAGGAAAAGAGAGGATTCACAATTCAGATAATGGACAGAAAGACTTTCTTCATATGGATGTTTCCTCATCTTGAACCTGGCATTTTTGGCACAACTGAAACTGTATCATTTCTATTTTATTCATACCTTTTTGTTTTCAAACCATTTTTTCCATGAATGCATACAAATACTGTTATGCTGTTTTATAGTTTAAAAAAATCTGAAGGGTACTGTAGGATAAAACACAACGTTGTGCTCAAACTTTGTGTTTCTGCAGTTCCTTAATCAGAGCACTGAGATGCTGCACCTGGCAGACAAAACAGGGTTTGTACTGTTTGTAATGAGTTCTCTGTGGAGCAATGCATCTTATTGCTGAGATTGCACACTCAGATACACGTGCTAACACCCACTGCTGTATCACGACACACACACATACACACACTCCGAACTATAATCCATGTTACAGTATTCGGTTATCAGAAATATGCTCCATTGTGATGAACCATAAAGCTGTTTTATGAAATCCAGAGGAAACCTTTTTCAGTGGTACACCCACCCACACCTCTGTTTTGATGCAACAAGCACCTAATATTACTGTTACTATTACTATATACTTTACTTAACAGGCCTGCAGGCTTCTGTCATCCTCTGCATGACTCCATAGTCAACACCTTACAGCTACTGTCAGTTACATGTAGGCCCCAATATCGGTTAAACCCACCTCTAAACAGTGATGTTAGAAAACAGCAAATAAAAGGGGGTAAATGGAAATAATCCATTTGATTATCCCCCACAAACAAGCAGCAGCTGAAGGAGAGTGGGTGAGTTGTGTTTAGTCTCTTTGCTAAAGAAATCAGACAAAGCTAAAAAGATGTTTGATGGCTAGAACTATGGCTGGGACCCTGTGTGAACCGTTGATGAAGTTAGGTGCCATTCTGAGCATTTTTTGTGGCTATAGAGCAGCTTTTTGGTTGAGGTTTGTGTGTGAAGATGTAGACTGCTGTGTACTGCTGTCATGTAGTCGTTACTTAAGTTGGTGTAACTAGAGAAGTAAGCAGTCGGCAACATTCACCTCCTTTAAGGGTGTGTCTAACTCGGTGTGACAATGTGTTTGACCATAACTTAAGTTTATGCTGGAATATCCCTTTAAGGAACAAACTTGTCATCCCTTGTGAGCATCTACTCTTTGAAAAAAAAAAACCTAATGTTACTCATTCCTGTTGCCAGGATTTTTTAGACTTCTTCGGCATATTAAGGCCTTCAGACAGAACGATTTGATGACAAATAGACACACACACACACACACACACACACACACACACACACACACACACACACACACACACACACACACACACACACACACACACACACACACACACAGGTGAAGACAGAGCAACCTGCAAGTCAGGAGGTGAGCAGGTGTTCAAACAAAGTGATGGTGCTTTCATCAAACCACTACCTCCATCCCAGGTGGAAGGACAGAACACAAACACACAAACATGCACACGTAAGCAGTCAAAGGCATGGCACTGGGTGGAAAAATACAGGAAAAATATTGAGGTGGGTGCTTACCCTTGACAGTGATAGCCAAAAGAATTGTAAGAAAAAACAACTGTTCTGGTTGAGAAAGCCTGAAAATGGGAACATTTCAGACTCTCTGACCCCTCAGCTTATTCAGAACAATGTCTGGAGAAATGAAATAAAAATCAAACTCTTGATTGTTCATGTGCTCACCCAGAACTTGATTAGGTAGAACGCGTTTTGAGGTCCCTTGCCAAAAAGCTCCTTAAGGCCACCTTTCTTCTCTGGGAACTTGTCATAGATCTGCCTGATGTCCACACACTCCAGCAGAGGGTCACTATAGCTTGGGTTGCTCTGGCTGATGTGCACAAACAAGTGCTTGTTGTACTGCATGAGGAAAGGAGCAAGCAAAGATGTGATCAGCAAAGGATAAAAAAAAGTAAGAAGCATAAAGCAGCAATTTTGCACTGCACAAACATATGACCTCCAAACTACCCCAAAAATGTCTACCCCCCACCCCCACCCAGCGAGGAGGCAGACAGCATCCATTCTATATACAGTCTTTGGCCTCACCTCAGCACATACAAAGGGAAATATTTCAAGACTATTTGGTTTGAATTTTGATGGCAACAGCTTCCAGCTCACAAAAATCAAAACTCCACAGGAGATTCTTGAATATTAAGATTCTTCTTCGGATATTATAGAATAAAACTTAATTTCTTGCATTTTCATACCTTATTTGACAACAATTTATGACCTGTCTGCTCAGTTTTCTCATATGTACTTCCTTGTTTGAAACCACACTTTTGTAATTCACATGACTATGTTGAATTATTGTAATCTATTTATATCCACTGGACTATTTTACAATCCAGGTGCTAAGCAGGTAACAAAATTGTACATCTATAGCTATATTGCCTCTTTATTTAGGAAGTTATAACTAAAATGCAGCGTCATAGTCTTCTTATTAATGACACATTTTTATTCTTATGAAATTTTATCTGCATGACCATAATTGCAGAAATGCTTAAGTCATGAAGGTAATTTAAGGAGTCTGTTCCACAGCCAACATCAAAAGTTTGAGGTTTTGAGCTGTCCAAACAGAAACCAACAAGATGAATGGCAGCTGTCTGTGAGCCCAAGGTAGAAAAATGATAGTGATTCAATATTGTGGTGGGATGACAGATAGACTGAGTGGATGGAGAGATAGAGCTTCACAAAGGTCAGTCTTACTAGGATACACAGAAAAGGCTTCACAGTTCTCTTCTGTAAGGTTATCTGTCATCTGCGTTTACCGAACAATGAAGCTTGCTGCAGTCTGGGGCTCTGTACATGAGTGTCTGCATGTGTATGAGCTTCTGTAAGCTATACTGACCGACTCCTGGTCCCTCTGCGTCTCCAGAAAAGAGGAAAACTCCACCAGTCGTAGTTTGGTGGTGCCGATAGAGCGACCCTGCCATGCTGGCTCTCTGTGTGTTTGGGCTGCAGCAGAAGGCTCATAGCCTTGACAACAAAGACAAACACAAACACAGTATGTTTAACACCAGTTCAGAGCTTCAAACATGTGCAACAAAACAGCCTTCACAAGAATGTCCTCATCATTCTTTGCTAGAAATGTCTAAAATACAGTATATGCTGTTAGTGGAGTCTCATTTACAAGGCTTGGATAAACCCAGGATGCAGCATTAACAAGCAGGGGACTACAACTGATGTGGAGAGGTCACAATAAGGCCAGCTATCCACCAGAGGACTTTGAGACTTTGGAAGAGACTCCTGGAAAAATGATCAGCTCACACCTGCTCACATCTAAAGACAAGTGTTGAGTTTTTATCACAGCCCAGTCTCAGACTGAGATTTGATGAAGACTGTGAATCTTGCAGGGCCACTATTTACAAGACTACAACGAGACGTGTGAAAAAACATTGCTGGGGTGTGGCGGATTTTATTTACCCAAGACCCAACCCAAGACTAGAAAAGGACTGATACAAAACAGCACAGATTACCACCTTAAACTTAACGATTGGGATAACGTGAGCACGCTGTGACTCCACTGTGACTCCAGTAAAACTCCTAGATTCACTTGACACTTTTAGTCCGGGACTGTGAAAATCGTTTGGTGTAAACCCAGCATAAGGCAGACACTGTAAAAATTCAAAGATAGTTCCTTTTTTTCACAAAACCCTTCCCTATCTTGGTAGTTTTGTGTTGTTGTAACTTACAGCTGTCACTAGTTGCCATGGGCAAAATGAACAACTGACTGAGAGGGTTTCATTAATTGCTCTACAAGCAAAGAAAAGCTCCTGTTGGGAACTTTCTGTGTGTTGATCCTGGCACCCCCTGTAAACAAAGCGGTAAACCTTTTACTGGTGCTGATTCTTATCCAAATGTAAGTTGTTAGTTGACAAAAATCCTCCTTTTGACTTATTGCAGTGCAATTTATCCCTCACTGCAAAAGTTTGCTTTAAGGTAGTTTGGTGTATTAACCCCATCGCAGCAATTAAAAGCATTGAAAATTAAAGCATAAAAATATTCAATCTTGTCACTGATGGGCTTGTTTGTTTTTGTATACTTTAAAAAGGTATCAATTTGAGTTTCAGCCAGTGTCACAAACATAAAAAAACTCCTCACAGGAGCTTTAATAAAAGTAATGGCTATGTCCTGCTGCCTGTTATTTTGTGGATAAACTCCCTAAAGGAGTCATACTTTTTCTCCAGAAAAGTGATTTTTTTTCCATGTTTTGTTGAAACTAATTTTTGCACTGTAAGTGTTCTGGTTAAGAACACTTACAGTGCAATAATATATATATATATATATATATATATATATATTACATGAGCACTGCACTTATTACCCAAGATGAGATAAACATAGAAACTCAAAGAGAGTGATCTTTAAGTGAAACATCAGAGGAACTGAGCAAAAGCTACCATCCTGAGGTATCATACTGAGTTTCTCCTCTGTGCTGGTTTAATACATCAGGTTAAATAGTACTAAATTATGGACTACTTGTATAGCATGACATCTTGTGCACAGTACACAAGTAAGTACACAGTACTTCGGTACAAGTTGTACGCAAAGGAGTAAGTCAATCACATATCACAAATGATGTAAGATAGGTCAGACTCCCTTCTTTTTACCCTTTCACAGACAAAACCCAAAGTGTACAGGAGACATGGGGGCCCAGACAGAGTGATGAACTACCCTGTAGAGAGTCAGTGGCCTAATGGCAAGAGAGAAAACTACCTATTGGCTTTACAAAAAGAAGGTAATTGCACTGTGGTTGAGCTCACCTGAGAGTGTGGTGGTCCCTGCTGTCTGCACAGGGTAAGCTTGCTGAGAGAACGGCTTGATACTGAGAGAAACAGAGACACAAAAACATTGACAGGAGAACATTGAAAAGGCTGAAAGAAAAAGAGACACAGTGGGGCCAGTCACATTGTACTCACATTATACAGAAAAACTCTGTTCAATGTCATGTGTGAAGACTAGCAGGAGTATCAAGGTCAAAAGGGTCTCTGAGTTCAGTAAAAGTTATATCAGCCCCATTGACTTCCATTAAGTCATCATAAAATGGTCATGTAACATCCCCTGACAGTGAACTTGACTTCACCACACATGTGAACAAGAAACAGAGTAAGCTATAGAAACAGCAGGCTGGTAGGTCTTTGAATCCAAGTCTGTATATTTTTAAACTCTTAACTCTCGGGTAATCATAAGCAAAAATTGAGCAATAAATATTGCAAACACTGAGCATCTGAACATATGTGAAATTAATGGTTAATTTACTTGATTTCACCTAATTGATATAGAGTATGTACAACCAAAATAAGTATTAATTCAGAGATATATTACTCATGGGAAATTTCCACTACCTCCAAAAGGTTACGTAAGAAAATTTCCATGTGTGGCTAGAACAAGCTGTCATGCACGCTAACCAACAGCCGTGTACCAGTTTAATTTTGTTCTCAATTACACCTTTTATTAAAGTGTGAAACCTTGTGAGTCTCTGTTACCTTAGGACTGAAATGGTCCTTGTGTCAGATCACCACAAGAGATCATCATATTTGAGTATGATGGTGCCCCGAGCGTCTAATAGAGTGGGGTTGAAAGTGATATTTTTTCACTGAGTAGATGCTCACAAATGGATGTGAGGTTTGTTCCTTAAAGGGATATTCCGGCGTAAAATTAAGTCATGGTCAAACACACCGTAACACTGAGTTAGTTGCTTCTCCAGTTATACCAATTTCAGTAACGACCACATGATAGCAATACTCAGCGGTCTATGTTTCGATGCACAAACCTCAACCAAAAAGCGCCTCCATCTAATTGCATTTCCATGAAGTAATAATCATAAATGTTCTTCATTGAGCTGTGAAACTCCTCTGCACTTGGTGATCAACTTGTCAGGGTTCCCCCCACAAACAAGCGGCTGCTGGAGGAGAGTGGGTGAGTTGTTGAAGGGATGTCTAATTCTGTGTTTCTGTGTGATTGACCCTAACTTCAGTTTTCACAGGAATAGCCCTTTAAGCATGACATAAATGCTTTCTTTACATATTTACTTTGGTATTAAACAAGTTAAAAAAAATACATTACCAACAAGCTCAGTGGTTGGGTGGCACTTTTAATTTCTGACCTGAGATAAACTGACTGACCTTTTTTTTTAAGAAATAGAAGAAATGAGTAGCCAGCCTACCACTGACATAGACATAGACATACCATGTACACCTTAGCTTAACACGGGAGTGTAAAGTAAGTAAGACTTACTCTTCTGTGGTGGAGCTGGACTGTCCTCCGGGTATCATTCCCTGCCAGAGCTGAAAAAATGTACACATGCCAGGACTGAGACTTGAATGTATGAATGAAAATACAATATGTGCCTTTTCTGTTATACGGATAGCATAGGTCCAATATATGTGTACCTTGTTGTTTTTGTTTTTAAATCTATTCTTAAAATAGCACCAAATCTGAGAGCTTCTGCCTATATTTCGTTGTACTTTGTACAATGACAATAAAGATATTCTGACCACCACGGTGTTAGATATCACTTCATTGTTATTCATAAGGGGCACCACTTGAGCATGTAGTAGAAAAGACACCCCATGTGCAGAGGCTACAGTCCCTTTTGTACTGGTCATACGATCCGTTCCAAATCCTAATATGATTTAGTGCATGTCATTCTCTCACTCTCTCTCTATCTCTGTCTCTCTCAAGCTGTTCTATCAAAATAAAGACAAAAGTCCAAATAATAAAATAACACTATTCACATTCACAAACCTGAACCAGATTCTTAGCACATCTGATGAAAAAAACATATTCATATTGTGTGTGTGTGTGTGTGTGTGTGTGTGTGTGTGTGTGTGTGTGTGTGTGTGTGTGTGTGTGTGTGTGTGTGTGTGTGTGTGTGTGTGTGTGTGTGTGTGTGTGTGTGTGCTTGTGCATTACCTGTGCATTGCTGGGGAAGCTGGCCCGGACTATTCCAGGCAGAAGCTTGTTGTGTATGGCTGTTGCTGAAACAATCTGAGCAGAGGACATGGAGGAGATGCTCTGAAATGCCTTCTCCTTAGCACTTTGGTCCTGCACAGCAATAGATAATCACATAACCAACTTCATCGTTATCATAATACACTTGACAAGCTGATCAGATATCATTCAAATCCCAGGTAAGCAAACGTTAGGACATCATACTTTGTTGCACAATGAAGCTCGCATGTCAATATGTTTTATTTTCCACCTGTCAAAGTCTCGTCTCTGTGTGTAAAAGTCCACCAGTGTGTCTGTAGTTTAATGTAAGGCACTAAAATGTAAACCTTGGCTGTGAGAAATTAAGGGTTCACAATTTTGATCGAAAAGTCTGTGTTTGTCCTTGCTGGGGAGATAAATGTACAGACGGATGGGATTACATGAAAAAAAAATCTTTAGTTGAAATGGACAAAAACATAAACGTCGTCACCCTACTAAAATAATGGCTTAAGTCATTGTTTAACGAAAATGAGATTTCGGCCTAAATCATCTCTAAATCATGTCAAGAGGCGATTTAGGCCAAATTGTAGATTTTTTGTAATATATGACTGCATAAGAAAATCTACCTAGATTATTTAGACACCTGAAACCCTGGAACCATTCTATTAAGAATCCATCCAACCCTAGTGTAAGTGAAAAAGCTGGGACAAACACTGAAGTCTGATTGTTATTGGTACATACAAGGCAGTAGTAGTTTCTTTTCTGTAGGTGGCGCCTTTGCTGCCTGTCCATACATGACAGTCATCAGTGTTTAATCATCACTACACAGCTGCGTTTAACCAAACTCCAGTATAAAAACACACAGAATCACCAAAACACATCGTTCACCTTCAAGATTTTATTGTGCGCACATGATTGTTAATGATAATCTCACATCCGACCCCTACCTTACCTTTAGTTTGGATTGAAACTCCCGTGATTTTCTTCTGGCTAAAACTTGAATATGACTGGATACCTGGAAGAAAGGAGAGAAGAGAACAAGAGGAAAGGAGAGAAGGAGAGGAATAGAAGAAAGAAAAGGGGAGGGTGACACCGAGGGGGGTTGGATTGTAGAAAAAAAAGAGTAGAAAGGACCAAACAGTGAGTTGCCATGGTTATGAAAGGACGATTGCCACATTGGGAGGGTACACACACACACACACACACACACACACACACACACACACACACACACACACACACACACACACACACTCAAAAACCCCTGACAACAGTGAATAAACACATCTTTGCACATCTTTTAAAAGACCCACCGGATATCTGGGGGGCAAGAGCTAAACACTAAGATTACATTTCATACAGAGGACATCCTTTTGTGCTCTGTCAAAATAATTTTTAAAAGTTTATGTAAGATGGTAAATTACAGCCCAAAAAATCTGATCTGGATTAAGCTAATGACACAACAGCTACCTTAGAGGCAAGACCTGTACAAAGCCCTTTAATTTCAAAATAAGCTTGTGCTGTTTTACATCCAAATCTAAAGTGATGGAAATCCAGGCTTTAATAACGGTGTAGAAAAGCATTCAACTGTGGGATACTGATGAAAGCTTGTGTTGCATTTTAGCTAAAGTTGTTGCTGCAATATCATAAAAACAACACAGAACAATACACCCTTAGTAAGGCTTTAATCAGAATGATGATAAGACCTGGATTCAAATGTGGGATGTGCTAACATCATTCTTTAAAAAGACAATTTAGTTAAAACCTAAATATCAAGACTACCTTTAAGTGTAAAATTCAAGACTGAACTTATAAACAGAACACTTATGACACTGTAAAACACTGGATGCCTTTTTTTGTGTTGGGGAAATACACTTTTTTTTTTAGCAGATACTGAACATGCCCAGCTTTAATTGCTTTGTATTTTCTTCACATTTAACCACTGGTATTACAGTTTTGCATTGCAAGCATTTTTTGTCGCTGCACCATTTTCCTTATAATTCTGTATTTGTGATATGCTGTGGTTTCTACTGTGGACAGTGTGATTGAATCTAATGTCGACTCCCATCATTACCTGTTTCCTTGTCCGTGTCTTGCCTGTTCGCAGTTTGATGTATCTGGCTATGAGTTCATTTCGACCTGCAGGGAGAAGATGGCATAAATAGCTTTCTTTCAAACACAAATACAGTGCACACATATCTGTTTAACTCAATTTGAACTGTCTGTGTTAACTGTCTTACAGACAACAACGGCGTGCAATCTTATGACCGTAACAAACAACTTAGTGCCTGATTTACCGCTGTTGTCCCAGTGCCCCTGTGCCGTGCAGTTTTACACAGTTGCGCTGTAATCACTGTTAACCCTGTTGAGCCCTCTACACACACACACACACACACACACACACACACACACACACACACACACACACGCTATGGCAGAATGGCTGAATACACATGACCCAACAATACAGGCATTCATGCAGACTGGTCGTCCCCTGATTAAAGGAACCAGCAGGCCAGCTGTACCCATGCTTGTATGTGCTCACAAAGGCACAAGCACATACACACACATGCACACACACACGCACATACACAATGCTGAATAATTCAACCCATTCAATGGAGAGCACAGCAGACTCAGCATGACCTGGCTAGTATAGATTAGCGAAGCAAAAGGAGAGAGAATAAGAGAAAAGAAGTAGAAAACCAAAGAGTGGAGAAAACCTGTAAGGAAGTGTGTCATTTGTTCGTGTTTAAACATTAAGTTTATGCAGCTGTGCACTTGATATTCATAGCCAATGTTGTTGATTTTAAGTTCAGTATTCTTTTAGAGTCAATATGACATAATAAAATATGATATAATAATGATTTGTTTTAGCTCTACACTTGGACTCGTACTTTTCATACATTGTACAGATCAGGGGCATAGTATCTGTGTGTTTCTGAAAGGTTCTTGTGCATCCTAACAATAGCTGTTGCCATATTGAAAGGGTTTACTCAACTTAACTTTGAATTAACCTAGAAAAAGGTAAAACGGTAGAGATGAGACAGGCCTACTGTTAAACAGCTTCACCACATCGCACCCGTTTGTCAACTCAGCAAATTCCCTCATAAATATTACCCTTTAAATTTTCTTGCATGTGCCATAAAAATGCTTCCCCTGTACAGCACACACGATGAATAATAAAACTGCAGAAGCAGATATTTAACTATGGGATCCAAGGAACTGCAAGTTTTGCACTTTGGGCCCTTATGAGCATAGATCTTGACTATTGACTGTATATAGAATGGACAACGTCTGCCTCCCTGCTGCTACTGCAAGAACAGCACCCTCTGGTGGCAGGCTGCAGTATCGGTCATAAATTCCGCCTCCTCCAGCAATCATTATGGAGCTGTGGTCAAACTTTACAAATCAGTTACACAGAATATAATTTTTTCTCCCCCCTGGTTGTGATGTTGACATGTAGTTATTGTAAGACTGGTTTGTGCTCAAGTCCTCTTTTTTCTGTGCAGCTCCATTTTTAAAAGTTATTAGGGGGTTCATGTTTTCTATGATTGACACCTGATACAGCCTATGGGCGTACAAAGTTTACGTAGCTCACCCAGGGGGGAAACGCTGTTTGAGGAGAGTGTCATCCCAGCAACTCTCCCACCAAACCCGTTCAATGCTACTGTGCAAGTGGTGGTTCCAGGAACTGGAGAAAATCCTGTAAATACCGAGAGCAATTTGGCTTCTAATTTGAATAATGAGGCAGAGGCGGAGCCAAGTTGTTCATAGTATATACAGTCTATGACCTTGACGAGTTGGATAATACATTAACGTTGTCACCATACTGCTAAGGGCAATCTGGAAAGACATTCAATCACGTGAATGTGGTAGCACTCCTCCTGACTGCTGTGAATCTACTTAGCTGACCAATTTTGACCTGTCAGTGTTTGCAGAGCATCCCTCCAACAAATAAGCTACAAATAAGTGCGTCTCAAAAGTGTGAATCCTTTTCCCATGTACTCTATTTACTGCTATCCCCAACATGTAAACACTACATTCCTCGGGTCATTAAGTTATGATAATGGCATCCTCTTAGAAGTCTTGTCTACATTTGATTTTGAGTGGCATACCTCAGCTGTCTGTGGAAATCTTGCCATAATGAATTAAGTAATGTTTAGTTGTAAATCGGTTGGTTGTGTATTGTATTAATTAGCTACATGCTGATGTATATTTCATCCTGTATTTTCAAAAAGAAGCAGAAATCCTCTTTGTTTTTTATTCAGTTCAAATGTCCTCAGACAATATTAACCAGAATCAATGTGGACAACTGACTTCAATGATATATTGCATGGTCATATAGAAAATAGCACTCTACTGCATTCATGCTTTTTCCCCTCAATATGAAATGCTATGTTATACAATCAAAAAGACTATATATAGTTTTCTGTCATGGATAATACTGTTTAACTGATAAAAGGAAAGAAACCAGACTTGCTGTCAGTGTCTTACAAATCTGATTTACAGACTTTGTTTTTCGACTCAATGACTCTCATTATGAGACTTTAAATAGAGATAAGACAATACTATATTAATCCCTGGAAGGTACATTAGGTTGGTGCAGTATCACAAGGCAGGGTAAGCAAGTAAGTAAATACAATAAAATATTGATAGACACAAATAATGATTAATTGAAAAATAGGATTTTAAAAACCTGGTAAACAAACCGGAAAATTAAGAAAGAGTACTGTACAGGAAGAGACAGATTCAGTGAAAGTCATTGGACTGAGTGAAATGTTCATATATGATAGAGTCAACAAGTTCACATCAGCTTATAATGCGGCACAATATGATCACAACATGATGGTGATCATATTACACGTGATTGCCATCTGCTGGGCACACTTAAAGTGCACTCCCCATGTTGTTCAGTTTTTTAATAAAAGTGATAATCATCCCTTGCTTTGCCTTAAACATCATAGCTTCACTATCAAAGTCTCTGGTGCGGCTTAGTAACACACACAGTAACACAGCTTTTTGCAGTCGGCATTACAGATTTTCTGGACCATATTACCAGCTGACTGACCTCCTCCTGTGCATACAAAGCTTTTGTTTTAATAGCAGTATTATTACTTAATCTTGCTTAAAGATCCTACTGCAACTGGCATAGATGTCTGCATTAGAACCTTGACAAAAAAAAAAAACCTTGACTAACACGCTTCAACTGACGTTGTAGATTCAGTTGGCCAAAAAAATCTTTCTTTCATTCGTCTCTTCTCTTCATTCTTTCCTTCCTTCCTTCCTTCCTTCCTACACAAAGAATTGCCCTGTATCACACAAGCTGCTTTGAAAGGGAACATGGTCATATTTTCCTAAGATTTTTCTTTGTAAAAAAAAGAACAATAAATTGTATTCCTTGCAAGGTTTTAGGGGCTTGGTAATGTTCTGTGGCTCTGTTTGGTTGGTCCCTTGGCCTGTTTTCTGTCCTGAACAAGTGGAAAGCCAAAGTCAGGCCAGCTGGCCAACTGATGGTCAAGATCAGCACTAAGCCAAACCTCTACACACTACCCAAATGGCTTGCAACAATAGCCCTAACCAACAAGCAGATGGTGTGTGTGCATGTGTTTGTCTGCATTCATGTCAGTGTGTGTGCGTGTGAGCGTATGTGTGTGTGTTCTGACCAGTCCCACTCTCACTGAGATAGGGAGCTTAGACTGATAAAATCTACAGCTCCCCATGCAGGTGTTTTCCTTCTAGCAGTCAAAAGCTGACTGACGATAGCACACACTCAAGCACACACAAAAAGCAAACACACACTTACATGTATGTGCATGCATGAGTGCAAACACACACACACACACACACACACACACACACACACACACACACACACACACACACACACACACACACACACACACACTCAAGCAGAGTGAGTCCTGGCTGTGGAGGCTGACATCTGACTCCAGAGGGGCCAGCTGGTCTTTCTAGGAGGCTTAACGGTGAATTATCATCCTTCACTAACCCTGCGGCACACATCCCTCACTCCTGCTCTCCCTCTCCTTCTCTGAAAAACTCTGTGGCACACACACAAAACTCACAGACTTCCTTCCCCTCCAGCCCCCCTCCCACTCTGTCCATCCTTCCTCTGTTCTGGCTGTTCTCAATTTCCCCGCCTCTTGTAGTGAATGGGCTTCCCTTCTGTTCCCTCCCTCTTCCCCTCTCACTCTCTCTTTCCCTCTCTTCTTGCCCAGTGAAAGACTTCAAGGCCAAAGTCAGATAGCCATTAACCATGACGATAAAAGCCCCCCCACACACACACACACTCACACACACACTCACACACACACAGGCTGAAGCCATTCTGTGAGAGCAAATATATTTAAGGAGACAGTGCTCTTTAAAAACTCAGTATTTCAGAGTCAAGCAGTTTTCTGGTATTATCAACAACCAAAATCAGACTCTATTGACCCTATTGGCAGTGGATAATTGGCCCTGGTGTAAACAAAGTTCATGGGAAATTAACTTGCTCTAATATTATCATCCATGGGTGTGCAGTTCGAAAAGCATGGTGTTGTACGGCACACATGCGATGTTTTATGTTTTAATTTACACTTTATTTTTCAGGCTTTCTGTGGTTTTCTTTTCGAGGAAAGGGCAGTGAATAGAGCAGGACATCCGCAGAAAGAGAGGGGAGTGACATGCAAAAAAAGGAGCCACAGGCTGGGTTTAAACCCAGGGTGTCTGCTTATGGCATTACCTCTGTACACGGGGTGTGCGCATACACTGCCATAACTAAAAGGCTTCTTTTTTTTTTTTTTGAGGGATTGTGGGTCAAAGTCTTTTGTTCTCAGACACAAGACATCTGTCTTTAGTTTTTTTTTAAAGGAACTCAACACAACATGCTTTTGATAGCCTTTTTTTTCACTGCAAACAAACTGCTGTTGCCTTTTCACAGCTGTAGCCTCTTTGTTTCTTAATCCAAATGAAGTCACCCAAAAGATTGTACTGACATCTTTTTTCAAAGCTAACCAACCATCATACAGTATAAAGGTTGTCTACAGTACTAGTCTATAGTATTGATTTTTAAAAGACGGTGAAGACAATGTATGACTTGCTAAACATGCGTTAAATGTAAATTCAAACTATATTCACTATGACTATCTGGTAATAATGTCTACATTATGATTATGTTGTTGTAGGGCTGTGTGATAAATCGATGACATCTGTGAATCCACATTTGTGGTTTTACAAAAGTGAAAATTAATAATTCATTTCCACCTGTCTTTCACACCCCATAGTTCTCCCTTGGCTTACTTTCAGCAAAGACAAACACACACAACAACATGGTATTGTGAGTGGAGAGGCTTAGTCTTTGTCCACCTTGTCGGACCTTGGCAGGTATTTGCTAAAACAAATATATTTTTACACGTTTTGGCCTGCCATCTACATGAAACTGCAGGATTATGTCATTAGAAACGACGCTTTTGGAAAACTCGGCCAAAGTGAAGATTTTGGAAAACGAACATCATATACTATACGTCCTTGTTTATGTCAGGCAGTGGACGGCACAGATATATACAGAATAAATATTTTTGTGAGGAGCAAAGGGGAAGGAGTGCTTTGCAGGGGAAGCTTACTCTGATTGGATAGAATGGGACTAACTTTTTTGCAAATACTACCAACTCCAGCCTGGCATGATTATAACCACAGTCAATAGCACATTTTTGTGGTTTTGTGTGGATGGTATTTTATTTGAAAACGATGATGTGTGTATGTGACTTTATTTAAAACTGAAGGCGTTGGATATTCGTTTATAAAAGTACCCAGCTACGTGTGTACAAGGCCTCAGTCTCATCAATTGAGCTATAATCACAGCTCGACTTAACTGTGCATGTAAATGTAAATGTAGTGAGTGTTTACAGTGATGTCGTTGTTATTTGTAGTTTTATTATTAGGAGGAGAATAAAAGTTGATGAAACTGCTAACTGAGTTTTTCTTATTTATTACAGATTTTAGTTTGAGACCATGGGCTCTATTTTCGTGCTTCGCCAGAGATGTGGCGCAGGCGCGGCGTAAGTCAGGTCCGCCCCGCCGCCAAGGCGTTCCCAAGCACAGTTTGGTATTTTGGTGAGCGGCGCTGTAGGGAGGGAGGAGAGAGGGCGTGGAGTGGGTTTAACACAGCTGAGACCTGTCCTCGCCTTAAAATCCGCCACCAGCGGGGGTATTACTATTTTCGTGAAGTGGTCAAAGAGATCAAGAGATGTCTGAAGACAGTAATGCCACATGATGGTAACAGAAGGCAGCTCCTCAACAAGTGTCGCTGTAAACACTGCAGAGGGCGTCCTCCACACTCTCTCATATGAGCACAGAGGGATTTGGTGTGTGTAATGTTGGACCCACTAGTAAGACAAACACCCTTTCCGCAAATAAAGACACTCACATAAAGTTGCAGATATTCAAACCTCACGTGACAAAAGTGGGTTGTACGCAGAGATCACATCATAAATTCCAATAATGGAATTAAAATCGGAACCATCTGTGCGTAAATGACGCATCGCGCTCCGTGGCGTGGCTCTTTCTTTCATAGATGTTGGCATATAAAATAAATTTGGCTCACAAAACTGAATATTATAATATTCCTTTGTAGGCTTTAAGTAAATAACTCATCTGCTCACAGAAACAAATCATCTGTTCAGCCGCTGCAGCAGGACGGAGAGAGGACACGGAGACGTGTCCAGGTCGAGCTGTGCGAGAAATAAGAGGAAGAGGGAGAAAGAAAGGGAGGGAGACGAATTACATATCTTGTTAACTTCATCATGTGTGTCTATTTACTAGATATTTAATTTAATTTAATGCGGTTTCAGCTGTGTTAATTCGGTCAGGTTGTGTGTCCAAACGCGCTCATCAGATCAGATATAGATCAGAATATATCTAAATAGATCTAGATGTATGTGCTGACTCAGAATATTAGTTGTTGTTGATTCTTTATTGCACTGAAATGTGCCTGACACTGTGGAAACCTGCCAGTGAGGCATCGGTGACGTATGCCGATATGCCGGTCTACCCAAATACCACTAGACCAGCTGCGCTGAATCAGAATCAGCTGCTGCAGTGACATTTCGTGCTCGCCGGTGGCGTATATAGTGCACTAAATGGTCGCAGATTCAAACCTGGTCAGCTTTCAGCGCACTATATACGCCACCGGCGAGCACGAAAACGTCACTGTGGCAGCTGATTCTGTCGACACCTCCCTCTGCCATGCCACCACACCCAGCTTGGCGGACCTTGGTGCGCCTCAGTCCACGAAAATACTAAACTGGCTGTACGCCGGGCTCCACCAGATGAAAATACCACTGCGCGGGGTCTGCCACCCTCCGCCGCCTCACCGGCAGACACGAAAATAGAGCCCCATATCGCCAAGCCCTATGTTGGCCCTGCCTCACAAAAACAAGATAAAAAGGTTGAAAAGCATGGCTATCACGTGTTTGCATAAACAAAATCCTTGTCCAAAACATTTGGACATGTGACAAAGTGCTTCACATGTTAAAAACAGCCCCCCCACTCCACCCCCAGCCCATGTGATGAAGCACTTAGATGAAGCACATCTAAGTTTGTTAGTCTGACAGGGTCTAAACTATTGCCACCAAGACTTGATCACATTTCAGAAATATTTCATATTTCTTTTAAATGGCAGGCTATACAGGTCTGGTTTAAAATCTTCTTTTGCATTTTCAACAGTGAGTCTTTGGACTTTTTACGTGCTGATTGAATTGACGGTAATTGATAATAAGAACCAGCCCTTTCCATATGTCTTGCATCCTGAAGCTTGTCTGTACATTACCTGCAGGAGCTGTGTGTGAAAAGAAAATTTCCCAACCAGTTCAACAAGACACCAAGCAGACTTTACCCTTCCAGCAACCTGGAATAAAGTCTGTGTTATGTCCAACTGAGCTATTTTCTTAACTAAGTAGGTCACAGTAAGAGAACGGTAGGTTGACAAAGATAATGATTTTTCCACAGGGTTTAGCGTCCATGTTTTCCTCATCTGGCTGTTTATCACAACAAACAGTAGAGGAGTCCTGCCAGGATTTACTTTTCATTTAAAGAGGGGTGGATCCAGTCTGACCAAACTAGTCCAACACAGACAATCTACTGTTTCCTGATTGTGTGTGTGTGTGTGTGTGTGTGTGTGTGTGTGTGTGTGTGTGTGTGTGTGTGTGTGTGTGTGTGTGTGTGTGTTTGCACTCATCCTGATTTATCTGTGAACACAACAAGAGGCTGGTTTTAAAGTGTGAAGTTTGTGGTGTTAATCCTCATTCTTTATGTCCACAATATTAAAAAAGTTTAACTTCACATCACAATAATTCCTTTAAAATGAGTCACATTTTGACCACCCAAAGCACTCTCATTATATGTCACATTCACCGATTCACACCACACTCAGAGCCTTGTAGTTTTTTCACTAATTCCATTCACACACCACCAGGGGTGGATGGGGTTAAAGGTGGGGTAGGCAGGATCTGAGGAAGTGCCAGTTTTGGGGAGAAATCTTGTATGTAAACACTACCCCTCCCAACCAGTTTTCCCCTCAGCTCCTCAACTCCTCTCCCTCTCTGCTCCAGCAAGCCCCGCCCACAAACAGATGCTCCTGCTTGCTCGTATCGTTTCAAGTAAATTCAGATATAATGCAGATAAATACTTAAGATAATTACAAATGGGGCCCAGTCAACATGAAGGTAAACAGCATTGGTGCTACTGTAGATGCCAACAGACTACCAGCAACCACAGTGTTTACAGGACTTCAACAACTAAGATAATGTGACATACTCCAGGACCCGAGGTCAACAGTTTACCGGCGCTACAACATGCAGCAGGTCCCAGGTCAGTTTCTACTGTCCGATACTGTAGCACGCTAACTTTGTTTGGGCTCATGCACATTACTCAAGGACGTGGAGCGTGCCTCACAACATGAGGAAGCAGTGTCCGCCTCACAACCAATCAGCAATCAGCAATGAGCAATGAGTGTACCTATCAAAACTTTTAAAATATTGGCTACACAGGCATAAGAGAACACAGCGATATCGTTATATTCCCAAATGTCATCAATAACTAATAGCTATTGACTGATAAGAGCTTTTCTGTATATACACCACAAATAAAGATGCTTCTTTAACAGATCCTGCCTACCCCACCTTTAACTGTCTTGCCAAAGGACACTTTGGCTTATGGACAGCTCTAGGATCAAACTTCCAACCTCCTGATCGGGAAACGACCAACTCTACCACCGAGCCACCCCTGTTGAAGAAAAGCCCTCCCTATGTTTAGATGATCTAATTGTTTTTTAGTAAGAGGGAATATGAATATTTTTCACAATAACAAATAATGACAGAAATATTCATAGTAGACCATCTAGAGGTTGTTTGGAGTCTTTGTCAGTGCTCCAGCCTTCACACCTAGAACTACCTTACATAGACTAACATGGCACTTTACTGAGCTTAAGAGACAGGGATGATTCAACACCAATCTTGTGGTTTTGCTATCCTTCCCGGGGAGCCATATAACATTTCTGTGCCATTATGCTCTGTACCACTGTACCTTTACTTAGGGTAATGGTGCAATAACTCATCTTTTCATTCTCTCCCCATTCTTTGCCCATCCATCTATGGTTTTTTGATAAGCTTCTCTCCCAGTAAGTTCTTCCAAGCACTTCTACATATGTTGCTTATTCTTTTCTTTTTCACTCCATCCTTTGCAGATACTAGGGGGGATTTGGGCTTCTCCTAGTTCCCTTACTATTCAGATATATTATCTTTATTTTGCTGGAATACTCAGCCACCACTCCTTTTATATTCAAGGCTCAAAGAAACCACAAAATCTCTATTAGTGACATCAAGTCTGAATGGAGATTTTTTTTAAATGCCTGATTGAAAAGTAATTACAAGGTTGTGTGGAACTTGTGTGGAAAAAAAAAATTAACCATGGGTAAAAAATTTAAAAAAAAGTGAAACTGTCCTCATTTATCTGCGTCATGAACCTGACATAAAAGTAGACGCAGCTTCTGCTTGCTTTCTTGCTTCACACAGATGCTCTAGTAATGATAACCCCCCCCCCCCCCATTTCTACACCAAATGCTGCTCACCCTGTCCCAAAATGCTCTTACCATTCGCTCTCCCTGCTCTGCTTGAGAATATAGACACTGACATACAGACACTCAATTAGGTCACAGTGATAAACGTGTCAACAACTTAGACACAAAGTCAACGGGGTACACAAATAGTGCTGAACATGCCACAGGGGCAGAAAACAGCATCAGTTTCATTGATTATTCACTGATCAATAACTAAAAGGAGCATTTACAGTGTAGGGTAAGGTTAGGTAAGGTAAGGTAGACTCTATTGATCCTGCATAGGGGAAACTATTTCACCACCAGGAAAAGAAGACTCATACAGACAACAGAGCAGGAAACAGAAAAAAAAAACATTAACTCAACACCAAATACACAACAAACACAGTAAAGGCCTATGAAACATGATTTAAAGATGGTACAAGAAAAGAGAAGGACATGGTTAAATACAACACAAGTCTGATAAAAATGCAATACATCTACAAACTATGTAGCAGTGCCAAGTCAGACCCTAGCACTGTAATACTGTAACCGTCAGTGTGGCTATTGTACATCAGCATTTTAGTCATGGTTCCCACGATACAGCCAAATTATGTGGGCCCCTTTTAAAGTATACTATAGAGCACTTTTAAAGGAGAAGTTTTCAGTGTACCTCCTTTTGTTGAATTAAGCAATATCTCTCTGCTGAATAGAAACTGAATCGCTAAATAGTGATTTGACAACAGTTTTAAGGGGTCTTTTTTTCCAGTACTGAAAAAATAAAATTGTGTGCACAGGCTGCATCCAACAATTTGTGGCTGCTTGAGGGCTCCACAACAGTTGCTGTTAAGATACAATTTACATATAATTCCTTTTTTAAGTTATTTTAGCAAATTTATTAGAAAAAAGTTAGTCCATATAGGAAGCTGTGGGAGCCCTGAGCTGTCCAGACCAAAACTGTCTTTTTGAACCACGCTGTAAACATGTCTATTTGTGCTTGGAAAGTAGGCTTTTTTGGCTTAGTGTGTGCAGGGTTTCTACTGCTTCTGCAGCAAGCCTTAGGCGGGAACTCAGAGCACTACACATCCACATTGGCTTTATTTCTCATGACCAGAGTTTTCTGCTTGGGCAGGACATGCTGAAGTCTATATCAGGACAAGAAATCTCTTGGTGTGGTGGTGTATCTGTGTTTTGGACGCAGATTTGAAAAAAAAAACAAGGGAAGCAAATAACAGTCATTTGTGAGCATGCGTAGGTAAGTTAAATAATAATATACCTACCACATTAATAATTGTATTCATAAATAATGATACATCCAGTAAATTTGTTTTACTATGGTTTTTAAAGTAAGAAAAGCCTTATGATGCCAAAACGTAATTCCTAGTCACATGCTTAAGCATACAGGAGGTGAGGTTGTGAATTTAAAAGTCACTAGTTTACATGTGCTGTAGGGCTGCAACTAATGATTTTTTTAATAGTAAACTAGTCATAGACTTTTGAAACGATTAGTCGACAACTCGGATAATTATGAATTTATTTTCTTAAATTTAACATGAGGTTGCTATCTAGACTAAAGTGCTCCCAAACTTTGGAGGTAATTAAGCGTGTACTTATAGCTGCTGTATGGGATGCCAGCGCCGCCATGTTTGAATACCCTACCACTCAGCTGAGACTAGGCCTGCACAATATATCGTTTGAGCATCGTCATTGCGATGTACGTGTGTGCGATAGTCACATCGCAGAGCCTGCGATGTCAGAGGTGAATGAACTCAGTTAATTTCAAGGGTAGCCGACTGAGATACACTGCATGTGACTCTGCATGTGCTTTGCAGCGATCCACCAATCACCTTCGATCTTTACTCGGTTGCCAATCAGACTACACTGCCAGCTGTCAATCAAAATCAGAGAGGAGGAAACCCACCCCTGCACATGGAGTGAGTTGGTGGCGCTACCGGAGTTGAGCCGAGAAACGCGTGTCCGCTGAGAATTACTTTCAGAACATTACTCATCACTGTTTAGCCCAACAAACAAGAACCGCATGGGTTTTAAATTGTACATTTCCCTGGACCACTCTACCATAAGCAGTGCGTGTTTTGTGAGGTGCAGGCAATTCTCGGAGGACATGTGTTTCTCAGCACAACCCCGGTAACAACAACGATCGCAAACTGAGCAACAAACAGAGAAAACCACAGAAGATGAAAACTTGTTGCCAAAAAAAAAAAAGGAAAGTCAGTTATCTGGAATTATTTCGGTTAAAAGAAGGATGATGTCGACCAAAACACGTGTTCTGTGATCATCTGTTTCCACAATAACGTCCCAGCACAATTAAAGCTAAAAATATCTCTGAGACAGACAGAAGCCTTTCTAAACATTCACAAAAAGAGGTAAGATCAGTGCAGGTTAACTGTCCTCAAGATTTCAGCAGTGCAGCATAACATTAAGTGCTATTCAGGTCATCTGGTGAAAATTCCTGAATTTTTTAATATCGCAATATACTATATCGCAGGGTTGAAAAAAATCGCAATGTTAGTTTTTTCCAATATCGTGCTGCCTTAGCGGAGACACTATTATACATGTGTGAATCTAGGCAGAGATCGTAATTAAGTAAGATGCCTCACTCCACACATTCATTGTCGACTTTTTTTATTATCTATTTTTGTCAACAACGTCGACTAATCTTTGCAGCCCTGATGTGCTGTTAAGAGATCAGATGATTTAACTGGGCTACTGTCCTTGTCCCTGTTTACCCAAAATGAACAAGAATCAAGTTATTGACAGAGGCATGTCTGCTTCTGCTATGGTATGTGGCTGACAGCAGTATGTTACTCAACTTCCATTCAAAGCCTCACACGTGTGAACATTGGAATATGCCCAGAATGCTTAGATTGGATTGAATCAGTATCGTATTAGGCAATTCCAAAGCCCAGGTATTGGTTCGGTATTGGTATTTAAGGCATAAAAAGTTGTATTGGTACATACCAGTCTAAAATATAATGACAAGGATTTCACTTTATACTCAGGGTTCCAAATCTCAAATAGTATCATAAAGAAATCACTAGAGTGCACTCTGCATACAGAGCAAGAGAAAAAAATACAGTGAAAGAGGAGGCAGGCGCAGCTGGTGGCAGCCAGAGGACCATCTGTTCATCACTCTATTAGCAAACACACACACACACACACACACACACACACACACACACACACACACGCACGCTCAAGTTCCTCCTCAGACGCTTACACATATTCTTGATTCACCTCAGCACACATCTTTCTCTCTTTTACAGTTCATCTTTGTTTCCTGTGTCTCTGTGAGACTGCCCTCACTCACAGCTGTCTACCCGTGTTTCTCACAGTCTGACAAAACACAGCAATCTCTGCAACAGCTTGGATGTGTTGATAACACCTTGCAGAGATGTCACCTTATTCTGTTACACCACAACATGTAAAGTACTACTCAAAAATCCAAACTATACAATGTCATTCATAATTTCAAGTAGCATGATGAACATGCTACTCAATACTTTGTAGATCTACAAAATCACTAATTATCATTCATATCATTTCGTTCCCTCATTTCGTTTCCAAACTTGACGATCATGGACATGTCAAATTTCAAGAACAGGACTGTAAAACAGCAAGGTCAGTCATCATGGAAATAGAAACACAACCAACATTGGTTGAGTGATAGCTGGATTTGGATTTAGACATGACAAAAAACATAAAAAAACAAACAAACAATAACATGTCAATGTGATTTTGGCTCCTTCATTCATTTAACCAACAGTTTAGAACAAACTCTTTTCCATATCACTTACCGTACATCTTTCCTTCATCTGAAAGTATTATCTTCCTCCTTCCACATGGAGGGTAGATAGCTAAGGCCTCCTGAAAGCTCTGTTCGATGTCAGGGCTCCAGACTCCTTCGGGGTCTCCATCCATGGTCTTATCCCCTCCTGAGTCACTCAGTCTGTCCATGTCCTCCCCTGCACTCTCACTGCCACTCCAGCTACCGCGATCCATACTGGCAGCTTATGTGTACTCACCACTACTGCTAAAAGCTGATAGCCTGGTAGGCTAACTTGATAAAAAGCTTTTCTTGAACTTCAGCTAAGTCTTTCACCTAAAGTATTAATTAACTTCCAGCAAGGTCAGTGTGCTGTGGCTTCCTATAACATTAAATGCTAATGCTAGCTGTTGCCTTAACAGTAAACATCCCAAATACTAACAAACAGTAACAATAATAAAGGTGGGGTGAAGACTTTGAACAACTCGAAGTGGATATTGGCCAGAAATTCAATGTTAGACAGCAGGGCCCTGAAATGACAAAAAAAGAGAGGAATATTAGATGTGATTAAAACTGGCAAACCAATATTCATGCATTTTATATATATATATATATTTCTCCAACCAACTCATTTTTTGTATTATTTAAAATATCTCTTAACAAATGCAATAACTTTGTGCTGAAACACAATCACGAATACTCCACCTTTAGAGGGTGGTGCTTTAATTTTGCTTCAGAAATGGAACCAAATGGGGCAACAGAAGTTCAAGCAACACCAGGTAATACACATAAGCATGTTTGGGTGTTTAATACATTATATAGCATGTCCTCACTACTGACACTTGGTTTTCTACTTTCTGTGCACAGACTTGTTCACCCAAATGCAGAGTTGGGTTTCAGAAAAAAAGAACAAAATATAATGGTAATGGCCCATTTTTCTGTGAGTCCTGCTCATATAAGCCAGACTTTTTGCCAGATAAGTGTTTTCTAGTGTTGCTCTTAAGTACTGATTGGCAAATTGTAGGCCGGTATCCCAGCTGCGAAAGGAAAATTATTGCTTCTTTTATGGGGAAATTGCCTATTTTGTGAAAGTGTTGTAGTAGGCCAACAACAAATGCACATGGCTAAGTGGAGAAAGTAAATGAGGAACAGACTGACTGAGGCCTGTACTACACACAGCTTTGAAAAGATTGAAAAAGAAAATAGGAAACTGAAGCAGCCTGCCAGCTGCCTACAATCCTCCTAAAACCCCCCATGGTAAACAGCAGTGTTGGCGCAGTACACATCACACTCATACACCAACATATGCACACACACACAATTACAGTGCCAGCTCCTCGGGTGAACACATGTCATTTTGTCTGGTCTTATACTGTTCACACTTCCCATACTCCGTCCCTTGCCACAGCATGCACAAGCCTGCAGTGTGAAGTGTATGTCAGTGTGTGTATACTTTGTTTGTCTGTGTGTGTGTCTGCTGGGCTAATTTTAACACAATTACACTTGACGGTGAGTTTGGATACATCCTTACCCCACCTAGGCACTTGAGCCCAGCTTAACGATTTTGAACACCTGAGGGAAAACACTATGGGGCTGCAAGAAATCATCCGTTGGCTTAGACTTCCAGCCATGTGTAATGAATGGTTTTACAAGACCTTTCGTTTCCTCTTCATACATTTTCTGTAAATCCTCTCCAACTTCTCACACTCCTGTCCTTCCTTAGCAGCTTTCCATCTGTGCTTTTGGTGAGATTTGTTTCACTTACACTAAATGTTTTTGCCACAATGCAGCTTCAGGCTCAGAAGGAAAATTGACTTTTTGGAACTGACTTCAATCATAAAAGAATCCTGTTCTAGAAGGTTTTACCTCTCCCTTTATCTGACACATATGCTGAAATACACTCATGTCCCTCTAGAGTCCCTGATATACAGTCTTTTCTGGGAGTCCCCATGCTCCATCATGTCATAGCTTCCTCTGCTTCAACTCTGTGCATCAGTCTCACCTCTGTCCCCCTTTCTCTTTCTGCATCTCCCTCTATCCCCTCTCTTAACCCAATGTAGCAGCAGCAGGTGACTGTCGAACATGAGTATGGTTAAGTAAGTTCAGTTTAGGTGGTTTAATTACTACTCAAGTTTTGAAATTGATGAATGATCATGTTTTATAAATCTTGATTTCAATATCCGTCTAAATAATTGTGTTTATTATTTTTGCCATAATTGTCTGGTCCTACATGGTGACACAGCACATTCCATTCGCAGGGGTTTGAGCTAGAAGAACTGGTGTAAAGATGATTTTATTCATTTTATTTATACAACTGAAATAAAACAGCTCCTTCTTTCTGACAGTCGGTTGCACTTCTATTGGCATTTTTTTTTTTTAATCAGACTACATTAACATTAAACTTAACCTTTTCTATTCATGGAAGTGTCTAAAGATTAGATTTTTGTGTTAACATTTTTACAGATGCAGAAATTTAACACCAGGACCTGAGCAAGGTTTCCTTCCTCACATCAAATAAGGCTTTTTACTTATCCAGCCCATACTGTGTTGCAGTTTGTCATTGCTTTGTGACTGTTTTCTTCAATTTCACCGTCAATGTCTCTTTCATTCGGCACTTCTTTGTGCGTTTTAATATCTCTTTGTAATATCTTATCTTATTTTCTCTGCTGGTGTCTCATCAGCCATAAAGCAGAAAAATTAACTGCACAAATTAATTGAAAGTGATATTAACTAAATTCAACTTTATTTTCACTCATCTGGATACCATGTATGCAGATGAACAAATGGTATTTTTCAATGGATTTGTCACTTTGTCGAAAGAAATGTGAAATCATAAATACACACTACTTTTTATGGACTGATTTTATTTGTGTTGCGTAACCATTGCAGTTTAAAACTACAGAATTATGGTAACGGTTTTAACCTTACAGAATCAATGGTACAGACTTAAATATATATATAGACTTAAATAAATAAATAAATATACACACACAGTATATATAAATATATATGTTTATTTATATCGTGCCATATGTCCACTATTTCAATGATGTAACAGCTGGTGTAACGGTAACTTCCTGTTGATGTCTTTAAATGTTTTGGTCATGAAAACGGGCATAAATAGGTAATTGTTCACACTCTGACACACTTCACGCGGATATACTGTAAAAACACAGATGTCCCTATGAAAGTCCCTATATTGCAAGTCCAAGTCGAGTCTCAAATCTTTGCTCTCAAGTCCGAGGCAAGTCAAAGTCAACACAGACAAGTCCAAGTCCTGAACTTTTTGTTTCGAGTCTCAACCAAGTCCTTAGCGTTTCTTTCAAGTAAAAAACATGTCATATTAAAGCCATAAACCATTTGTTATATGTAAAGATTTACATAAATCATGAGCATTTTTCACTATTTGCATTTATTATTAAACAAGGGTTCTTGTTTGTGTTAAGTTACATAGTGCAGCTATGTCGATTGAAGTTGGAAGTAGTTTTCATTCCATCGCTGATTTTGGCACTGCATGTCTTGCATTGGGCTTTTCTTTTCTATTTGATGTCATCCACCTCGTAATTCTTAAAACCAAAAGCTATAACTGCTGGAGTAGTCATGTCTCCTGGCTTCCAGTTCAGTTCACCAGTCCAGCAGTAGTGACAGAGTGAAGCCGGCTGTGTTTGTTGTTTACGTGTTGCCTGTTTCCACGTGCAACACTTGGAAACAGGCGGGCAATACTAGCGAATGTTGTTGTTATGAGGGAGGCTAGAGTTCGAGACAGTGTTGCCAAGTTTCGTGAGAGAAATAAGGAAACAGACCTCCAGAAACAAGCCAAAAACAAGCAAATTTTTTTTGCGGGAAATAAGCAGACTTGGCAACACAACACGGTGTTACCAACGGCCGTAATTCCTGACTATTAGTTAATGCAACACTTTTTATACAGTTTGGGCTTGCTGTAAGGTATTAAGTGACTTGAAAAGACTTGACTTGACTTTTCAAGTCACTGGGCTCAAGTCAAGTCTCAAGTCTTGAGCAATCAAGTCCCAAGCGAGTCCAAGTCATTTCTTGATTTCATCAAGCAAGTCTTAAGTCATCAAAAACGGGACTCAAGTCCAAGTCGAGTCTCGAGTCGAGTCGTCAAGCCCCCACCTCTGTAAAAACACCCCCCTCCTCCACCCCAAGCTCTACTTGAGTCTTTCTTTCTTGTACAGTCACTATCATATTTTCATTCATAAAGTGTACTGTTGCTGTCTAATGTATGTCCTATACTTGGGCTTGTGTACACACGCTTCATGGATGCATGAAGAGCAAGACCATCTCATTGATTACTAAATAAAACAGTCACTGCAATCAATGCTAGAGTGATATGCAGCTGCTTCATGATGAGTAGAAGAAAATAAAGTTGCAGGGTAAGTGAAAGAATCAAAGTGAGGCTCAGATGATGTGAGCACGAGAGGGGCCCCACAGCAGATGGACACTGGAGAAAGACATTAGTCACACAACAATCAACCCTGACTGGTCAACTCCTCTATACACTGGGTACCCCTCCCCTCATTGTATCTCTCTGTCACCAGGCAAGCCTGTGCCTTTCCAGCCAGGACAGCAGGCATCATGGTGTCAGTGCCAGCCCCCAGGAGAACACACACAGGGCATCCAGCCACAGTCCTGCAGCTGCCTTGGACTCTCCTACTCTCCCTGTGTTGCCTTTCTTCCTCTTCCACTTTTTTTTTCCAACAGCTCTTACCAGCTTCCACAACATGCCATATACATGTATACATTTGGGAGCATGCGGCATGTATGGCTCTCGTCCTCTATATTCTCAATACAGACCAGTGAGCTTATGAAATGTTAAGCAATTGATGTGTGAGTGTTTGCATTGCCAGGGGGGCCGAGATCTGTGTGTGGAGTTTTGTGTGTGTGTCAGCAGGGGGTCCTGTTCGTATAGAAGTTGAATGTATCATGACAGACGAGTCCATCCCTTTCACTACTTTTTTTGGACCGCTCAGCAGCATCTGTTTTAACTGCTTCCAACTGTGCATGAACACACACAAACACACCTGCACACACACACACGCACGCTCACAGTGGTTTTATACAAGAGGATTTTCTCGTAATCCTCAAAGCAAACATTGTTCCACTTTATGTTTTTTGTCACGTTTTAATGGAGCCTTACAGCACAAACAAAATAATTTAGCACCTGAGGTAGTCATTCACATTTTCTGCTTATATAAACATACATTTATTTATTTTTTGTTTTATTTTATGTCTTTTTTTTGGTATAGGACCTTGGAGCACATGACTCATTTTTAACTTGTGAGTGACTCACACTGTCTTGAGCTGAACAGATTCAGGGGTGCTTTATTTATCTTGCCACTTTCACAGCCTGCAAAGTGGACACATCATTTATGACGAAAGATCTTTCAAGTACACTGCACATTATTCCAAAAGTCTGAAATGTATTTAAATGAAGGATTTAAGCTGTAGCTGATGTACTGTCTGGCCCTGAGCTCTTGACTTGTCACTACTGCAGCTCATATAGCATTGTAAAGCAAGGATAAAGCCAGTTGAATCAGCCTTAAGATGCCAGTAGACTTAAAACTAAGGTCGAAGCGCTGACACCTCAGTGTTGCGTTAGGCTATGTATCAGTGACAGTTTTAATTATCATGTTGTCTATTGAGCTTGACTGCATTAAATAATGACATGGGTAAGACAATTACAAAGCTGTGCTGGTAATAGCTAGAAAAATGATGATCTGTTCAAGACATTATGAATTATTCATGTTTACAGCTATGCCAAAAAATAAAGTTCAAGTCAAATGATTACAAATTATATTTCTTTGAAGTGCAGTCTTAACTATGTTACTAGGAACCTTTTTTTGTCAGTCCTGAGCCTAAACATTTTCTATTAACCCTGATAAATACCATAAAAATTAATGTCAAATGGAGATGAAGAATACTTAAACTAGAGACAATAGCAAAAATAAAAGTCTCACTCCTGTCTGATGGAAAGGGTGCCTTAGATTTTTGTTTTATTTTGTTTTGTCTTTGGCCCTGGTAAGATTCATGTAATGTCTAATTAACATCGATAAGACTTAATATTAACTGTAGGTGTTTAGACATAAACTAGACACTGCAAAAAGAACTTCATTTTCAGTATTTACTGAAATTCCTATGACTCCTGATGTCCCAAACAAAACGGCCTGCAACAAAATTATCACTGCTAAAACTCCAGTTCAACCATTTTAAGTGTTTTTGATACAGACATTAGAGCAAAATCAAAATTTAATTTTTAAATACAGTGAACAATAACTGAATCCTGAATGACTAACTGAATGCATCAATCTACACAGAGAAGATCGTTCTAGATAGGATGTCAAGCACGAAAATCGCATGTCGTTCAGTAAATTTAAAAATTAAAAAAAAAAAAACAGTAAAATCACTTTGCTTTTTCAAATATAGTAGAGGCTCAATGGTCATCACTGACTTATATCCAAATGATCAGGAAATAGACTGCAGAAAGGCAAAACAACCTGTTGTGAGCATGTTGTTTCCTCTATACTGAGCCCAGATGACTGAGGCTGCACTACGCTGCAGCCACGCTCCAAATGCGCATCCTGTGTGCGATAGACAGCTATGTTCAACGTGACGCCGAACAACTTAACATGGATCCTGTGGGCTTTAGGCTTAAGGCTCTGGGTTAGTGGTAAATGTACTATTCATAAATGGTGTGACTCTCACAACATTGTCTTTGTGAGGTCTTAAAAATACATGAAAACAGATTGTGAACAAATTTAGAAGTAACTATTTGGTCACATTTTTTTCCAGATGTGTGCAGACAACATGAAACTATTTTATCTAATGCAGATGACCATCTCTGTAAATCTTTTCAGGGAGGACACTATTTTGAACCTCAGCAGAAGCTGACTCACTGTATATCAAAAGCATTTGTGATTATCACCAGATTACTTTTAAATTCTTTATGTAGTTAATACCAATCACTGTTTTCAATTTGTCTGCTTTGTTTTTGTTTTATGTTAATTTATACATTTTCTTTTTTTTTTGTGAGAAAATCAACGGTATCCAATCATATTTTTAAGACTGGTTGTGCCTTACACACACACTGCAATTGATGAGGCCATCTGTCACTGGGGTCAGAAAGGGTGAACCACACACTGCAGGTCATTTGAGGTCAAGTCCTTTACTGGCTCTGTTTGTGGCATGAATTATCCATCACAAGTAAAACTGCTCAAATTAAGTGACCATTATCTATTACTCCAGTTCTAGTCGTCCAACCGTATGAGCTGACTTTAAACTACAAAGTGCAGTGAAGTGTAAGGAAATAGAACTTTTAGTTTTAAGCCTGTATGTGATGTCTGAGCACGAGTAAAGAACTTGGAAAGTTATCAGATTTTTTTCATGGACAATCTAGTTGTTCAGTGCGTAGAAACAAACCTCCCATGAAGAACTGATCCCTTCCCTATCATTTGTGATTTCACTTAGACACCGACACACTTCAGCATCCACTCTTTCTTGCCAGATGCAGTTTGAAATGATCCATTACCTATAAGATCATTTTGAACAATGCTATGAAAGAAATTATCACCTTTATAAAAGGCTCAAGTCGGATTGATTAGTTCTAACCCAATTTAATGTTTGAAAAACAAAGAAATATTCATTAGGCTAAATGAAAAAGCAGCATCAATGAGACAAAATCTGCAAAGCTTCTTTTGTGCTTCCCCTGCACTAATACACACTTGAGAAAAACAGAGAAAGTGAGAGAGACTAGCTTTATGAGGAGTGAAGAGGCTGTGATTCAGAACATGCACTCCTCATTATTTCACCATCCCTTCTTACAGATGCATTACCACTTATGCACACACAGTAATTGGCCACAGATTGCACACTGATGCTTGTTTCCTTTTAGAAATGTGGCAGACAAAGGTTTAGCTAGTGAGTCCCTTATCTGTTCTTCATCCCACTCCACTATTTTTCATCTTCCAACAATTTTTGCTGAGTCAAACTGAGCCATTATCTTCCTCTAGCTTCTTCCTGAGGAGGGGTCTGTTGCTATCACACAAAGACTGATGGACACTCTGTCCAACTCTCTCTGTCTCTCTCTCTCACTCACTCACTCACTCACTCTGTCTCTCTCTCTCTCTCTGTCTCTCTCTCTCTCTCTCACACACACACACACACACACACACACACACACACACACACACACACACACACACACACACACACACACACACACACACTTGCTCACTCAGAGGGACAATATCCTCCACCAGTAGAAAAAAAAGGCTTGGGGAGGTTGCAGTAATACCAACACCATTTAATAAGTGTGAGCCTGTGAGCATTGTGCTGGGAAAGAGGCTGAATGTGTGTTTGTGAGTGTGCGGGCATGTATGAGTCTCACCCCACACCCAATGACAGACATCTGTAGCTGTGTAAATGTGAAAGAGTATAGCCAACTCCTTCTATCTATATCTCTGCTACAATTACATCCTCTACAGCCAACTGATGCTCTGCTCTCATATCGACATTAGTGAGGAGGCAGAGCATCACTGTGCAGCCTGTAACTATCATGACTTGTTTCATGTTCCCTAAGGACATGACTGGTTCTTTACACAGTCTGAGTAGTACCTTGATTTTCTTTCTGCCTACAAAAACGTGCTCCTGGTTAAGCTTTATCAAAGCACAGAATTGAAGAGACCCATGCTGCATGAAGATCCTTACATGTTCAAGGTCTGAAAGCAATAAGATAGATGGCTGAGTATTGAATTATATTGAACAAAGAATTCAAAGTTTTGGACTTGAACCAAGAGCTGTTCTCTGAATAGAGAATTTGATTAAAGCTGGCATGTAATGAAATTGACAGAGATGTGCTCCTTTTTAGTTTTTTAACACTTAATACCAACAACAGACTCCAGCAGTCTCATGACAAGAATTTTAACTTAAATGTCTTGTGAAAATAGAAAAATTTAGTTTTAGCTATCTGATTGATAGCATTGTATTTTATTAATGCCACACTTCACTGTCTCCTGTTCTGTTTTACACAACACACTTTAAAAAACTCTGAGAAAAATTCCAGATCTGACCCCCAGAATTTACCCAGCTCATCTGTTAAAACATGTACCCTCACAAAATAAAACCCTCCCTGTTGGACGAGGGAAAAGGAGAATGTCAGAAGGCGGATCCCAGGGCTGCACAATTAATCGGTTTTAAATCATAATCAGATTATTTGATTATGACGGTGTTAAAAAAATTACAATCATCAAACCGATTTTCCTCTCTATCATGTCTGGCGTCTCCAGGCCACCGTACACTCCCCCTTCCTGCAGGAGCGCTCCCCAGTTCCCGCACACATTAGTGTAAACAAACATGGCGTTTGTAAAAGAAGGTGATAATTTCATGGCTAAATAGGACAGGGCAAGTCAGTCATGTGGAATTGGTACAGCTTCACAGTTTTGGATGAAGAGCAAACCACTGCCCTCCGCAAAGTCTGTCCGAAGGCGGAATCAACCTGTCCACACATAAACAAATTCAGGAGTAAACACTAAAGTTTTTTGTTGTTGACGTTCCATCCACACAGAAATGGCATTTTGGGTGACTGTAAACAGTACTTTTTGAAAACAGGTATGAGAGTGCATACGCTTGAGCTACACTGACATTTTTCAATCAAGTAGCTAAACTATACAGAACACTGGCTGCATGATACAAATGTCCACACACTGGCTCACCAACACGGAAAGCTCTGTCACATTTACTACAATGTTCTCACACATGCTCACTGACTTCACCCTAAAATGATAAAAAGGGGGGAAAAGGAAATGTTCTGAGGAAAGTTGGGGTGAAAAATGTGGCTGTTTGTGTCTACACAAGCTGATCAGCCTGGAAGTCTCAGACAGCTTTCAGGAAATCTGTGCACATCTAAAAAGGGCTTATACATATTTCTTATATTCTTCTTATATTTATATATGTATTGCTCTCACTTTTCTGCTGCAGCTTGTGCTTAATAAAGGAACCGTAGATCAACCTTTTTTTTTTTTTGCAAAGTTATGGTACTATTCAATAAATTTGATGCTCTCAGGGTGTTTAACCCCTTACAAAAACCTAACGTCCAACTACAAACCCCAATGTCATTGGTTTGCTGAATTCAAGGATTTGCGAATCATTTCTGACCTATGTTTAATTAAATAACTCTGCAAAGACAAGATATCTAATGTTTAAACTGATAAACTAAAGCAGACCTGTACCATATACATACAGTATAATATGGCTGTAGATCATAAAATCTTAAATTCAGTGAGGGTTGATTGTCACGTTTGGAAAAATTCAACTCAAAATATGTTTAAAAAAAAAAGAAAGAAAAAAACCTTTCTGTAACCGAGGTGTGAAACTGTAAGTATTATAAGTGTCGACTGCAACCAAAGCACAATACCAGTCAGTGTCAGCAAAGTCATTATCAAACTATAAAAGCTGTGAGGAAAAATCTTTTACTCAGTTATAACTTAATTTGTTCTAACTTTGCCATTGTTTAGTCATTTCTGAAAATTGCATTGGTCAGTGTGTGTATTGTGTATATACTGTGTATTAAAGTGTTTTCAGAGAATAACAGGTACTTCTCATGGGCCTTCTAGAGGCTTAAACTAATGTTGTGAGCAAACATCTCCACTTTTGTATACTCTGCACAGTTTATCATGCCAACTCCACCAACTGGGAAAGCAAGCAAGAAGTAGTTGAAATCTAGACTGCCTGATTGGGAGAGGAAACCTGAGGATTCAGATTTTCCATGAAGGTGTGGTTACCTCCTTTTTTATCTGCTCTGTACCAAAACTGAAAACATATGTGAAACAAAAAGCAAAATATTTGAAGGTTTTTTTGGGGGGGGTTTGTTTGTTTTGTTCTTTTGTTGGTAGATTTGTTTCTAAAGGATGTGTGTTGCACATTGAAATGCATAAACTCAAGACACATAAACCACTTCTTCCACTTCTTTTCAGCCCTTTGTTGCTTAGTGAATGAAATGGTTCATGGCCACTACTGTAGGAACTGTGGGCAAATGGAATAGCTGACAGCTGAGTTACTTCATTGTCTTTTGAAGGAAAAGCTTTGCTTTCTTTGTTTGTTTGTTTTAAGTTCCCCGAATAAAGTGGACACTGAATCATGTATTTTTTTTTAGCTATTTGAAAACAAACAGAAAATCAAACATTTTTTAACATTTTTTTAACATTCCACGGCACATTAAGAAAGCCTACTTTGTGTAAATTATTCGTCCTTTTTCTATCATTGCTGCAGAGATTTCGTCCCAGCTATCCAGCTTTAATTTTCTGTTCTTTTCAAGGTCAAGCTTTACGTGTTCAAAGCGCTCTGGGACACAGCGTTGCACCTCATGTTTATAAAAACAACCTTGTGTCACTGAGAAACGTGCATTAGAAGAAATAAGAGCAAGAAAAGATAAAAACATCTAGCTAGATGTTGCAAGAAAACCTGTGTGGTTATGCCATCTTTGTCAAACACACACACACACACACGCGCACACACACACACACACACACACACAGAAAAAAACAACAACAACAACAACAAGGAGCTACCTGGGTTGAAGGACTTTCAGCACAGTCAAAAACGGAAAAGAGAAATTGTGAGATGGATTTGCATTGCTGCGGACATGAGAGGGACACAGACATATGAGGAGAGAAAAAAAGGGGAGTCCAGGCAGTCAGACAAGCCAGTACAGGCACCATGGCCTCCTGCAGCCAGAAACCAGCTTCCCCTACCCCACCCCACCCAGGAGGATGCCTATTGTTCCCCAGTCCTCTAAACAAAGCCTGCCTGCCCCCCATCCCACCACACCCCCCAAACCAACCCTCCCTCTCTCCACCTTATACCCCTTTGCCCCAGCCCCCTTCCAACTCTCTTACTCACCCCCCACACTCAAATGAACCAGCTCTGCTGCCCAAATTTCATTACATGTCAGTTCGAGCTCCCCTCATCTACACTCCAGTTTTTCTCCTGTTATTTGTCTGCACTTTTCTGGACAACATGAATAAAATGATCAGAACTGTTGCTAAAAATGTTTTCAAATAAGGAAGGTCTCATTAAAATATATGAAAGAGATGTTGCTTAAAGTATTAGCATTTCATCACAAATTGAAATTGTACATTTATTATCTTAATAAAGGAGGTATATCTCTGATGATAACTCCATCAACCGCCGCTGTTTTCACAGCTGGACGAGCTGAGCCACCTGTTGATTCATCTAAACAAAACAAAAAAATAAATAAAATTGTATATAAATCTGATAGAATTAAAATATTACAACAAATATGTAGGAGTAAGACTTCATATGGACACCACAAGACGACACTCAATGCCAAAACGATTACTCCTGCTGATACTGACTCCATAAAAATCTGTGCGCCGGATTTCATCGTCCTGTTTAGAAATGAGACAACAGATGAAACAGCAAGGAGAAAGAAAGGCAGCCAACAGCCAGCCACTCAAAACTCCACCATATTGTTACAGCATTGGTGAAGTGCAAAAACACACACACACACAGACATGTGTGCACGCAGCAGTTGTGACTAAAGCACACAGAGGCCATATGGTGCGTCCTCATCCACCGACGCCTGTTGCTGCTGCAACAATAGGCCTGCCTGGCCTGGACAGCAAGAGGCAAACATGTACACACAAATGAAGGCAAATGCAGACACACACACACACACACATACACACAGACACACACTAAATGGTCGTTAGTCAGTCTGAGTTGCTCGGCTCAGAACAAACGCCTGGATTTGCATTGTGCACCTCCCTTAAATCCCCCACCCAAACACACACACACACACACACACACACACACACGCACACTCACACACACACACACGCACACACACACACACGCACACACACACACACACACACACACACACACACACTTCCCTAGTCTCTACAGGTGCATGAAGCACTAAAACAGATGTCAACGGACTGGAGAGGGAGAGGCATGGGGGGTGAAGGGGGGAAAGTGGAGGGATGACGGGAGGCTGTTTGCCTAGGGTGACTGGGCTTTGTACACTCACAGGCCTAGACAATGATACACACATACATACACACATATACACTTCCCCTGTTACACTTTCCAAAGTGCCTGTTTTCACAGTTTTCATCCAGAACCAAAATGAAAAATATCAAAGATTTAAAACTGCTGATTATGCTGCTGGTTTTACACGGTTACTTCAATCATTTATCAATATTTCACATGTTGCTACTTATAGAGCAAAACTTTATTAAAGACACAATCATTTTTAATATTAATCTTTTTTTTAAAATCATATAAATATTTTTAGGTTCACTTTCGCTCAATTCCAGCAGGTCAATTATTTTCTGTGATCTTATTTTGATAATTGCAGTGTTGTTGTTTCTTTATTCCTGCCTACAATAATCTGAGTAAGTGCTTCAAAGCTTACTAACATTTAATAAAACACATTAAGGGTTGGGATCAGAAAATAATAGGTAAAAGTATGATGGCTCGATGGGTGTTTGAAGGCCTAATTACTTCAATCTCCTCATTACATTGGCACTTCTCATAACATTTGGCCTTGTTTGACAGTTTTATTTCGCCACATCAACTCAGGACAAGACCCTTTTATGTGCCCCCCACCACACACACACACACCTGTTACAGTAATGCAGCTACTGTGTAATCTTCTACAATAATCACATTGTGGTTTGGCCTGTGTTACTGTGTTATATCTCGCTATAAAGGATAAGAGCAGTCCTTCAATCAATATTAAAAAGGAAATACACAACACAACTATAAGCTTATGACGGGATATTACAGGCTGCTGATACTTAAGTGGATTCAGTGACTATGAGGTCTCTAACAATATCACCACCAACACTTAAGGCAAAGGCTGTTTGTAAAATGAAACTGTTTTTGACCAGGCTGCAACCACTGGCAAGAAAACTATTTCATTAAATCTTATTACAAGCATTCATAAACCTCACTTCTCGCAGCTTGGCAGTTCAGCCCTCAGACTGTGGAAGAGGTAAATCGTTAATTCACAATGTTCGCCTGAAAAAAGGTGGAAACTCTTCGGCTTATTCCAGGATCCTTAGTATTTGTCTTTTTTTTCTCCTCATAGATGAAGAGGATGAATAAACACGTTCATAGACGCGCCAGCAGCCTGTTTGATCGTGTTTCCATTGAGCTTTTACAGTAATGCGCTCAGTCCGCTGGGTAAACACAGGCTGTGAGCATGTTATCAACCGATGGCCTGTTCCTGTGACTCAGGCCTGCCAGTGGAGGAAAAGAGAAAACCCCGCCGATGCAACAAGTCCCCCATTCACTCCCAGCTTTGTTAAGCTGCCTCAGCGCAGCGGCGAAAATGTTTTCATTTTTTCCGCGTTACACGAGGATCAATTCATGACTCCAACTCCGATTTGATAACACGGCAGTGCCTGTTTTCAAAGCTTGGAGACAGGTTTGACAAAAAAAGAGATTTGTTTGGTGTCGGAAGAAAAGAGGGCAAAACTGTAGAGAAAGCCACATCCCTCGCTTTAAAGCTTACAATGCACAGCGTTAGTGAGCTTGTTAGACTTTTGGACATCTATGAGGGTTTCAGGTGTATCAATCTTGAATACGAATTCGCCGAAATTGTGGTAATTTCACTCTAAGTGACCACTTCAAGGTTTAACAAACAAGCGAAACGTCCGGGGGCTTTCACACGCTCAGGCTACAAGCTGATCGGGGGGGGGGGGACTCCTCCTTGGGAACTTACCTCAATTCAAACGCTTCTTTCTGGATTAATTCCCACACTTTTCCATGGATCGGAGTCGCTACAACATCAGGAAGCGCTCCGTTAACTCCAGAGTCTCCTCTCGGTTTCGGTTTAACGAAGGATCGGGTGCGCTGAGTGCGTAAACTGCGCAGCGTCTCTCCAAGGATGCGAAATATGCGCGGAATGGGAGCAGGAATGAAATGAACGCAGTGGACTGAGTTGAACGGGGCGGGGTAAGAGGCACTGGCGTCACCCTGGATGGATGAAGTGTAGAGTGAGTGAGAGATGGGAGGATGGGTGAAAAAAGGGAGCGCGAGGGGGAAGGGGCCGGACTGTAGCTATAGGCTGCGTTCATCAACAAAAGGAAAAGAGTGGTGCGCCTAAACTCTCGTATTCAGTGGTCAAGAAGAATGGGATGAGATTTAAACACGAGCTGTTCAGCAGCTGACAACACAGTGACAACTTCACTGTAGGAGCTCATGGGAAAACTTCTCCTGTATTTTTATAGCCTACACCTTAAGACAAATGTTTTCCCCAACAAGTTTGATAGGAAAATATTGAACGTCTCATTTTATCTATGGACAGATGGGCTTTCTATGAACGAAAATACATATATATATGAACATATAAATGAACAATTTAGCAATAAAGCACATAATCATCCAATTTAACAACCTAAGGCCTGCTTGATGAGGTAAGTGGCTAATGTTAGCTTAGTGTTAGCAAACTTAAAGATAACTGTTGATACACACACATATGTATTTATGTATGTATGTATGATGTATATATATATATATATATATATATATATATATATATATATATATATATACATATATATATATATACACACACACTTACTAATTTCTGGTTAATTAAGACTAGCATTAGGAGGTGACAGTGCAGGGAGAGCAGCTGGCATGGAAATGAGGACAGTCAGTCTTAAGGTATAAATCAACATTGAAAAAGGCCTATTTTTTTCGCTGCCGAACATAGGTCAGCAACCAAACACATCATAATGCTCAAAACTCACTCTTGTCATTTTCTGACATTTGGCAGCCCTGTACACACACACACACACACACACACACACACACACACACACACACACACACACACACACACACACACACACACACATATATATATATATATATACATATATATATATATATATATATATATATATATATATAATTATATATGTTTGTGTGTGTGCAGCAGTTGATACGTCTACCAACAACGTAAGCTAAGAGTTAGCTATATTGCAAGGCTTCACTCCTGTTTTCGGTGCAGTCAATTGGCTTTATCTCATACATCAACAGGTTTATAGAAAGTATGTTGTCTGAAATGATTGAGTCGGTTGGTGTGTGGAAAAATATCTCAAAGATATAGCCTTGATGTTAGATTAGTTGGATATCTATCTATCTATCTATCTGTCTGTCTGTCTGTCTGTCTGTCTGTCTGTCTGTCTGTATTTTCTTACATGAACAAACTGTAGCTATATCACTGTATTCATGTTTTGACTATCTCAGGGTTAACTCAGGACCTTACCGTTAACTCATAGTGAATTTAACTTACTCCTTCCATTCACCTTCTTTACCATCCCAAAGGACCTCTGGGGCGTCTTGGCAGCACTTTAGGTAAACAATGCCCCAGCCACCCCCAAAATCTTTGCTTCTGTCTCTCTCTCTGAACTTTGAATGCAGCAGCCAGCCGCCTCTCCCTCATAAAAGAGTTGTTGTTTACTACCAAGCTCTGCCTATCTCAGGTTTCATCCCCTCAGGCACTGCTGGACTGTCATCTCTCCAGAGGGAGGGGCTGCGACATAAAACAAACACAGATATGCCAGGGTCACAGCCTGGAACACCTACTGCAACCTAACACCACAGCAAGCCAGACCAGCCAGCCTGCAGACTTGCATTCCAATGGCAGCATGTCTGTGTTTGTGGATATGACAAAAATTGTTACAGATGCATACAAACAAACCAATACATAGCTAGTGCAAGTGAAAAAAAAAAAACATGTCATGTTTCTGTTATATTTTTTTGTGAAAGCATGTCCCTTATATCATTCTTAGAGCAGTGCAAACACAGAACAGCATGGAAACCTTAAGGGTTAACAGTCTGACCTTAAATCCAACTCAGCTCCCCACCCCTCAACCCCTGATCTTAGGACATTTTTATCAATAGAGAGCTCAGTTCACAGCATTTACTTGTTGGATGCTGTCTGTTGGATGAAGTGCTGAAAACTCTTGAAGGTGTAAACCCCCCAAAATGTGGTTTTATCTGTAACTTTTCAAATAACTGATCATACTATTCAGTACATTTATTTAAAGCCATTACTGCTGTGAGTGGCGAGTAACAGCTACGAGATGTCACTTAGCTTAAACTTTCAACAATGTCAGAAGGTGTTCGACCAGCTGGGTTTTCTAATGTAGATATGCTAAAAAAGACTTATGAAATTAGTTTTCTAAATAAAAGTCAAGTACATCAAAATAAATAAATAAAAAACCTCAACTGTCTTCTTTTTTCAATTCTCAAGTCTTCCTGCTTCTCCTTCCTCTTGGGCAAATGTGGACATTCTTGTTTTAGACAGAATCCAATGAGCAGTAAAGCTTTCTGGTATTTCTAAAGTCATGGTATTCAGATCAGCATCACTGCAGAAAAAGCACAGCCATGAAAGTTACACAGATCTGTCACTCCCTTGAAAGTCTTTGAGGTGCTAAAAATAATTTTGACGAGCAACAAATTTGACCAGCAGTCTCTAATCACAGCAGCCAGTTTAAACTCGAAGCTTCTAATCTGTGCTTCTATCCACCTTTTGATATAATTCAACATTTTGGTTTTTTTTCAGTGTTTGAAGTGATAGAGGGATGGTGGGACATAGTATAGCATGGAAATGTTGGTCAACAATTCCCCTTTTATTGGTCTTTGTAGAGCAGTCTGAACAACAAGGGTGTGGAGTTCCCTCTTAAGTTTAATCAGATTCATATGAACTGAGTTTAATCATATATTAAGAAATCCACAGTTCATGAAACTTTTCAAGCAGTATCATATTTCATAGATCACTCACTGATAGAAACTTTTTAAATGCACAGAAACCTTTGTAGACAAGCATTCAATGTAAACCAGAAAGACGTGTTTGACTGGCAGATCACTCATGGTAATTCACAGTGTTGGTTTCATGTTACAAGATGCAAAGTACAGAAAAAGAGAATCAAGAAAATAAGCTATTTGGTGATTGTATTGTATATAGAACATAAAAACTTAGTGTGAACCCAAAAAGAACAGCCTGTATGGCTGCTCTTTAAAGTGAATCTACTGAGGTATAAAGTATCACCAGCATGGTGCACTGATTTTAAGGGTGAAATGTTGGTTTTTTTTGTTTGCCTGTTGTACTACACATGTATATGTTTGATTCAGAAATAGACAGTGTCTTATTATTAGACTGCACTGTACCATGCTATAAAAAAATACACATTTATGAAAAGAAGCAGGGTCTACAAGAATGTTTAAGTTTGGACAGATTTCAACTTGCACAACCTGGTCAAATATGACCTTGTAAGATCTTAAAGGTTTGACCTTATCTTTTATAAAATAATAAGTGGTAGTTTTGGTATCACTACCTGACATCTTGAGGGCACCACAACCCAAAAACTCTTTTAAAAAGGACTTAAAACATTCATTTTTAGCAGAACTTTTGGTCCCCCTATTTTATGTTTTAAAATAAGCTTCTTCCAGATGAAAATCCTTGCAGTGATACATGTGGACTTGTTAGAGGAGAGATTGAGGCATCCTGTCATAGCTCAGTCATTGTTCAGTTTTAAACTAACTTTAAGTTAGAGCTAGAATTAGCAAACAAGGTAGTTTGGGGCAACATGTCTCAGTCATTTTGGGGTTAGTTGTCACATGTTTAAAAGGGATTAAAATTGGCACAGAGAGTCTGCTTATCAGCAGTTGTCACAGTGAAATTTTGACATTATTTTTACAGAGAACAAAGTGGTTTAAAGCAGAGGAGAAAGTGAGAAGACATGGTCAGGAGTTACAAAAGAAAAACAGACAGGACATGGCAGTGCAGTGTCTGATGTGATGCTGAGGGCAGTCAGGCAGGTGACCCTAGCCAATAAATCAATCTGGAGTACAATAAAGGACTTTAATGTCAACTACCATACCTTAGCACTGTACTGCAAAAACATTAATCCCAGCCGAAATACAGAGTCAGACAGATCTTCAATCTCCAGAGCATGTTGCATAATATTTTATGTCAATGTTTTTTCAATGACTTTTTCTAGCTCAATGATGAACATTTTCTGTGCCTGACTTTTATGTTCACTTTCACATAAAAATGAGAACAACAATAATTTTGTCCTTGTTTTATTAGCTGCAAAATCCACTGTGACATCTTAACCCATGTAGTGAGACAACTTGCGCGATGGTGGGGCAACATGTCACATGTTCACAATCTCTATTTGAGTGCTTATAACTCTGCACTGACTCAAAATATAAAAATGATATGAATACGAGATATATACCTGAGACCTTGGGGCTCTATTTTCGTGTCTGCCGGTGAGGCGGTGGAGGGTGGCGGACCCCTCGCAGTGGTATTTTCATCTGGCGGAGCCCAGCGTACAGCTGGTTTGGTATTTTCGTGGACTGAGGCGCACCGAGATCTGCCAAGCTGGGCGTGGTGGCGTGGCAGGGGGAGGTGTCGACAGAATCAGCCGGCGCAGTGACATTTTCGTGCTCGCTGGTGGCGTATAAAGTGCGCTGAAAGCTCGCCAATTCAAACCTGGTCAGCTTTCAGCGCAGGCGGAGCGCAGCTAGTCTAGTGGTATTTTGGTAGACCACCGGCGTATCAGCATACGTCACCGATGCCTCACCAGCAGGTTTCCACAGTGTCAGGCACATTTCAGTGCAATAAATAATCATCAACAACTAATAATCTGAGTCAGCACATACATTTAGATCTATATAGATATATTCTGATCTATATCTGATCTGATGAGCGCGTTTGGCACGCGTTTGGACACACAACCTGACCGAATTAAAACAGCTGAAACCGCATTAAATTAAATTAAATATCTAGTAAATAAACACACATGATGAAGTGAACAAGATATGTAATTCGTCTTCCTCCTTTTCTTTCTTCCTCTTCCTCTTCTTTCTCACGCAGCTCGACCTGGACATGTCTCCGTGTCCTCTCCCCGTCCTGCTGCAGCTGCTGCAGCTGAACAGATGATTTGTTTTAGTGCTCAGATGAGTTATTTACTTTAAGCCTACAAACGAATATTATAATATTCAGTTTTGTGAGCCAAATTTATTTTAAATGCCAACATCTATGAAAGAAAGAGCCAGGCCACAGAGAGCGATGCGTCATTTACACACAGATGGTTCCGATTTGAATGCCATTATTGGAATTTATGATGTGATCTGTGCACTCAACCCACCTTTGTCACGTGAGGTTTGAATATGTGCAACTTTATGTGAGTGTCTTTATTTATGGAAAAAGGGTGTTTGTCTTACCAGTGGGTCCAACATTACACACACCAAATCCATCTGTGCTCATATGAGAGAGTGTGGAGGACGCCCAATGCAGCGTTTACAGCGACACTTGTTGAGGAGCTGCCTTCTGTTGCCATCGTGTGGCATTACTGTCTTTAGACATCTCTTGATCTCTTTGACTACTTCATGAAAATAGTAATACGCCTCGGCAGTGGCAGATTTAAAGGCGAGGAGAGGAGCTGATGTGATTGGTGAAAACAGGTCTCGGCTGTGTTAAACTCACTCCACACCCTCTCTCCTCCCTCCCTACAACTTACGCCGCTGGGAGGAGCTGAGTTAGGGAGGGGGGATACTTACGCTGGGCTGCGCCGCTCACCAAAATACCAAATTGTGCTTGGGAACGCCTTGTTGGCGCGGCGGACCTGATTTACGCCACGTCTTCGGTGAAGCACGAAAATAGAGCTCTTTGTCTTTAATCTGGTACACTTTTTGTTTGTATGTGATGTATTGATTCTAAGAAATATATGAGTGTAAAAAGTGTGACAACAAGCCCCAGTCTCCCTAACAATGATAATTCTGAGCAAAAATGGCCTAAAATACATTGATATGGGCTATTTTTGACCCAGGGATTAAAGAGGGTATGGTCTAAGAGTTTTAAGGAAATCAAATGAACACATCATTTGACATCATGCATTTTATTCAAGCCTGCATATGTTGCTCAAAAAAATGTCAATTCCTTCAGATCAGACTGTGATGTGTTTTTATGTCTTTCACAGTGCTGAGTTTGATATCCATGAAACTTTTTGTGTGTGAGGGATGTAAACCAAAAGAAAGATAAATTTAAAGTGTTTTAAACAACTTAACTCTTGCCTTATTGGGCAGTTGGTTGATGCAGCTATGTGATGTCACTGATAGATAATTGTGGGTTCATTTCTGTGTAGAAAATGGTCTCTCATCACATTAGCCACTTGTGTGTTTTATGTTTTAAGTGAACCAATGGTAAGAGAGGAGTAAATATTTTGGGAACAAAAGTGTGTTACTCATACTCGTACAAACAACGTATAGAATTTTGTCCTTGAATCTCAATTTGCATTTCACCAAAGCAATCAAATGGATGTAAGATTGAAAGCGCAATTTTTTTTTTTGTCAGTTTACATAAACTTTCATTCTAGTGGAAGTAAGTGGGAGAGTTTGGGGAAGCCAATTGAGCCATAAACAGGATATTTTTATTTAACCTTTATTTACACTTCCTGTAAGGAACTTTTAACTAGATTTGACAAAAATTTCTCTGGTTTCTGCTGATGTCTCCCTGTCACCTGCAACAGCGAATGAGCCCATCTGTGTGAAGATAAGCTGTTTCTAAATAGTCAAAACGGGAGCCAGTGGTCGGGTCAGGACCACGATTGAAATGAATTACGGCACTCGGACCAGAGAGGACGTGTGTGTTTTTTCTCTTTATTTTGCACTAAAACGCGTAAATTACTGTCACTACACAAATGGTGACGTCTTGCAGCAGGAGACTCCTGCAGACACCAGCCATGGAGTGAGACGCTCCTCCACAACGGAGACAGACAGGCAGAGCAGCTCTGTGTCACTAACCTCAGTAGTCTTTACGTCTGTCTCACACTCCACGACAGGCTGACCCAGACTAGCTTCCCATTCTAAATATATTTACAAAGTAAGTTGCCTCAGACTGCTGAAAAAAGTTAGTTTCTGGAGCCCTGATATGGGAGCCAGATAAGTGTCTTTATGACAATACCCACTAAAACACTACCACTTTTATTAATAGTGGCAGCCAAAATCAACAGAAAATAAAAGAAACCCACCGGAGGCGAAGATAAGATATTTCTAAAAAGTGTAACTTCTGCTTTCAAAATTCATTCGTTGGGTCTGCCCACTGACAAAATGATTTTGAGAAGTTACGAGGAACAGGGACACAAGAGGAGCAGTAAGTTGTTGCTAAGCTAGCTAGTGAAAACAGAGCAAAAACAACATATGTTTTTCATATATGGGTTTGTATATTTCCAAAGGTATATTTTAAAGTATTTTCTAAGTCTATACAGTACAAGTTTGCATGTCATTTCAATTGTAATCATGCAAGCTTCTTTATTCTCAAATGTTTAAGGTATGATCCTGGTTTTCTGTATTGTTCTGTTGATATATGAATTTTACATTCACTGACATCCAGTAATTTTTACATGCAAACTAGGAATATCGTGTTATTATTGTAGTGAAGAACGTGAAGGGAACAAAGAAGATGTGGCAGCACGAGGCAGTTTAATCATCATCAGATAATTAATTGAGCCTGTCCTCAGAGCTTTGTTTAAACAGTTTCCTCTCACTCACGTTTGTTACTGCTGAACCCTCTGGAGTCAGTCTGGCTGACTCGATCACATCACATTTACTAAGCAACCTCAAAAGTATAGTGCAGTAAAAAATTAATGCCTGTAGTGTGCTGTCTAACCAAGGCTCCAGGTACACCCCGCCTCCTCCCTATTGTGCTTTGAAATGTTCTTTCATAGAAAAGGGACCAGGCAAGCCTCCTTTTGATTTTTTGACATTTATTTGATGGTTGGATAGTGAGAGCTGTGCAGACATGAAAGATAGCAAGTCCAGGCTGATGTCAATTTCCATGATCACCATTGATCTCACTGCTCTGAGAGGGAATGAGATTGAATGAACTAGTCAAAAGAGGTCACCAGTGCCCTCACTCCACTGTTGCCTGGCACAAGGAGAGAGCTGATCAGAATCACTTTGTCCTTTTGTGTCATTCTGTGCATCATAAGTGATCAGGAAGACCTTTGAAACAGGGACCACACTGAGCTGTCCTGCTGCGTATGTGAGATCGTATGTTTTCTGTGTCAAGTACCGGTAGGCCATGAAATACTTTAAAGGTCCCATATTATGCAAAATTCCCTTTAGAATGGTTTTGTACAATAATCTGCACCCCCAGCCTGTCTACAACCCCCCCAAAATGAGAAAATTCTGTCCTCTCCCTCTCTTGCTTGTTCCATCTTTCAGAAAATCTCTGCTCAAATAGGCGGATTGAAACTATCACCTCCTATGACGTCATGGACGGCGATAACTCCTCCCCTCCACGTTGGCGACCCTGCCCAAGATGTTTGTTCTGCCCACCGAAAATTTCCACTCAGACACTTTTTTCTCCCTCACAAATGCTGGCTCGAAATGGCGAAGGTACGAGCAAGGCACGACAGTTTCTCTGTTGTTTGCTGCACGAAGCAGCACAGAAGTTTGTTTCCAAAGACTGCAAGAACATCGTCACCAGAGATAACTAGACTTACAATATTACGCATTCACCAAAAGAGCTCCAAGTAACGAGAAGACAGGAGCAGGAGCTAATGTTACCTAGCTACATGTAAGTCACAGACAAAGTGAAAAGAAAAATATCGAGACACATAATATTTGTAACTTACTATTCAGAAACAGAGTTGTAATTTCTTCAGGAGCCTCTCCTTCTAGGTCCTTCTAAACATTAGAGCATGGTACCATAGTGCAAGCCACGCCCCCCTCTTCCAGGGAGACAGGGAGGGGCGTGGCTTGCACTGAAGGAGGCGTGGAAAGGCCTAGCACACAGAAACAGCGTGTTCTTTGTACAGCTCACTAGAGAGAGTTTTCAGGCTGGCTGAAGTCCAGGAAAAAAAACTGGGTTTTTAGACTACAAACTTCAAATTGACTTTTCTGGGACCTCTGAGACCTATGTGGACCTGCTATAGAGGAGTATAATATGGGACCTTTGAATACAACCCATGGTGCATATGGTATACCATTTATAAATACAAAGTATCTTGAGTTTCTATTCCACTAATTTGAGCATTTTAAGTTTCTTTACAGTTTAACAGACAGTTTTAAATGAAGGTAGTACATGCTAAGAAATCATGGCAACAGTTGTGGAGGTGCAGTGTTTAGAAGAGCACCAATCTCCAGGGGGTCAGTGATGACTGGCCGACTGTGCCCTATGAACAATGGGGATTAAAAGACCTGTGAGTATTCATCAAACAGATTCTGGTCTAAAAGACTAAAGATCGGACAAATCCATTAAGGATAAGCTTTTCTATTTTTTGTTAAAACTGAAAAGGAGAGCAGGCTCATGAATGTTTGCAAGAGCCAATGAGACAGGGGCCATTAAAGGCAAGGTTGTGACTCTTAACTTAAGTTGAATATCTGGCTTTTTGGCATTTCCAATAAATGTTCTGTAGTTAAACAAATGAAACATCAGTTTATGTTGTCTGGTCTCTGTTTGTTGTCTGGTTGTGTGCACTTTTAAAAAAAAAGTTATTTTTTATTTACATGCTTGCTGTATATTAATGTGTGCCACCAGCCTGACGAGAACAACAGATAGCTACAATCTGGCACATGTACATACCCGTGTTAATTTCTGTGCACTGCCCTTTATCATGAACGAATGAATGAATGAATGAAAGAAAGCGCGATTTGTAAGAAAGTCCAGCTGTTTAGGAAAAAAATACACAAAAAACAGACTGCACTTTGGCCTTACAAATTTAGATATTGTTCAGAATAATGCATTTATATTCCAATTATGTGAACATGTACCATGAAAGTACAGTATTATCAATGAACTGGGATGCTGGTATCAGTGTACTCATTTTTACAGTTTGGCAGTCTGTTCGTGTGCTTTATATTACATTAGCCATTGAGTGTGACCCCACCACATGAGATCACCACTGATACATATTTCCTCATGTACAGTAAAGAGCTTTTGTATCTACATACTCTCATCATTAAAGGGAGCGCTCACAATGAGAATCCTTCACCATAATAATAAGTGGGGCACATTTACACTTGAGCACACAATGGGGTATACTGCATTAGTCCTATTTGATAATACCAGAACATAACATATAGGCCCATATCAATACATACAACTGATGAGGCAATCCTGTTCTACTTTATATCATTACCTAAATGGAGTTCCAACAAAAGAGTACTGGGCTAAATGGTCCAGCCTTTTCTCTCATGCCAGATAATATGATAATGTGATATTTTCTTGATCACAGTCTTTTCCACAACCTCAAGAGGTCAGAGGTCATTCCAAGTCATGACAGGTCTCAGGACCTGCTGCAGCTTCCACACTATGCAAAAGGTAAATGCCAGATGTGCTTCTTTTCTTCCTATTGAGGGAATTATAAAGGCCTGATCCAGGCTCAGATGAGGTGAAGGAATCCATTTTTAAAGGCTTGAGTTGAGATTGTGTTTTGATTACCTTCTAAGGAGGTGAAGATGATTAAAAAATTGAGTTTTTGGAAAACTTAAATAGGTATCTTGGCTGGAAGATTGAGAAAGATATAGCATTTTTACATTGAGGATATAATATATCATTGACAGAATATTGGTATCAGCAGTTTAAAGCTTTAAGGTTAATTGTAGTTATCAGCAGGTACAAAAACTTCATGACTGGTGAGGTGATTCCCTGAGAAAGAAACCGCTGCTGGCTGTAGTATTTTGAAGTGTTGGAAACACTGCAAAAAAGCTATTTGCAATGCTTGTAAAGCAAAGATGATGGGGAAAGAAGCGAAACAAATCCCTTTAACTGCCAGTTTAATTGTGCATCTGAAACAGCCGTCATCCTGCAGCATCAGGAGTGTCTGAAGTAAGAAAAATGAGGCGCAGGAGCAAACAAAAACCTGTAAGCAGCCTCTCATTCAGTCAGTCAGTGCAGTGAAGACATGAAAGTACTGACTATCCAATAAACAGTAAAGTCTTAAAAGAAAAACACTGAAATCCTTGCTCTTGACAACAAGCCATTCAGTGCTTTAGCTGACTCGTGATCTACTTGTATCAGTATCAGCCAAATTAAATTTGAAATGATCTGCATCAAACACCAGAACAAATTCAATATTGTAAATCCCTCTTTTTCTGCTCTGCTTTACAGCTACTGTTAGGACTTTTTAATATTTATAAAATAGACTGAAATTTATACTGATGCCTTGAATGATATTAAAAAGCAAACAAGACTATCAGTGACAAGATTGGTTATTTTTTATGTTGTAATTTCAAACACCTGAAATCAGGACAAAGGGGTCGGTGTTAGTGGAGTCACTAGAGGAAACAGCCCTCCTTTTAATTTTTAACATTTCACTGTGAACAGACAGCAGCATGAGAGAAACCACTCAAACATGTGGAGGACAAAATAAGCAAAGACTACTTTGTCCACAAGGAGCCCCAAAATTTACACAAACCCCAAGTTCCTCACAGTACCTTCAAGAAGTAGGGGAGTAAGTAGTTCTGGTGCTATCCAGATACTTAAATCACAGGTTAAACTGAAGACCACACAACTGTGTAAAAATGGTGACAACACAAGCAAGGAATAATGTTAAAACAATAGACTGTATATAGAATGGACACCATTTGCCTTCTCGCTGGGTGACGCCACCACGAGAACAGCACCCCCTAGTGACAGGCTGCAGTATAGATCATAAATCCCACCTCCTTCAGCAATCCTATGGAGCTGTGGACAAACTTTAAAAATTTATTACACAGAACATAATTTTTTCTCCCCCCTGGTTGCAATGTTGACATGTAGTTACTGTAAGACTGGTTTGTGCTCAAGTCCTCTTTTTTCTGTATAGCTCCATTTTTAAAAGTTAATGGGAGGTTCATGTTTCCTATGATTGACAGTTGATACAGGCTATGCATGTACGAAGATTGCATAGCTCACTCAGGGGATACGCTGTTTGAGCTGAGTGTCATCACAGCGACTCTCCCTCCGAATGTGTACAATGCCACAGCGCAAGTGGTGGTTCCAGGAAGTGGAGAAAATCCCAGAAATACTGAGATCAATTTGGCTTCAATTTCATATAATGACGGAAGGCGGAGCCAAGTTGTCAATAGTATATACAGTCTGTGGTTAAAACAAACATTATTATTGCAAGGCCTGGCTTGAAAATATAATGGATAAAAATGTCTTTATATGCCAATAAAACCTTTTAGTTCATCTAGGGCATGGTGCTCCATTTTTCCATGTCTGTGCTGTCTTTAATCAGAGGAATGTGGCCCAATGTGACCCACACACACAGCGACAATGTAACATAATTCAATAACATTAATGTAACAAGGTAATAACTAGAGCAACTGAATTGTTCCCAAGAGCTGGTTCGAGGGAGCAGAGAGGAAATGATCATAACATGATACAGTGTTTCAGATCCCTCAGGATCTGTCACAACTGACATGAGAGCATCTGCGAGGGCAATCATCGCAGGCTACTGTTACACGTAGACAATGTTACATTGCACTTCAGGCATTCAGATGACACACACGCCAGTTGTGAGTGTATAGAGTAGACCTTTCCTTCACTCAGATGCTTATTTTGTTTTAAGGCTTCTTGAAGAACTATACAAAAAAGCATTTAGGCCCTGAATATATATATATATACAGCCTGCACAATAACCTGAGTCTGAGGTGGCTCCATAATGTGCACTGACATGGGCCTACATACAGCATCAACAGGCTGTTTTCCCTCTTGTTTTCAATTAACATTGTTGGAGTTGGGAAAAAAAAAAAAAACATTTTCATCCATTAGTTAGGAAAGTAAAGTATGTTGACTTAAAAAGCAAACAAAAAAAAAAGTTCACTGTCATCAGGAACAATCTGACCCCTTTATTTGGGCTACTGAAAAATCACTGCTCTTTGCTGCCTTTTATGAAGTAAAACCAAAGCCTTATTTATATTTACATGAAAGAAAAGAGATCCATGACACAGACGGGCTATCAGATCAAAACATCCAAATCTATAGGATCTGTTCCTTGAACCGCTGAAAAAGCCTCAGACAGACACATAGCTGAGAGTGAAATCTTCTGTGTTTATTAAAGATACAACATTTATTATGTTTAGCAGAGAATATATGTCATGAGGAGAGTGGACCATCATTAGAAAAATATCATGCACGTTTACGTAGAAATGAAAAGAAAGCATCTCGTATTTATACAGTGTGAATACAAAAAGGTATGATGAAAACTGGAGCATTAAGACAACAGGGGAGCAAATACATCATCTTTTTAAATAAAGGCACTTTGTACTGACATAAACAAGAGCAAGGAAGAAGAAATTTAAACAGATGGAAAGTAAAAAGAAGACTGGAGTATCACTATGGGCTTCAATAAATACAACTCATACATTTTTTCATTTTTGGAATTATAAGATCTACGTGTTGTTGACCTACAGTCAAATTCCCTCAACTCCTTTTAGTGTAGGCTGACTAAAGTCCTCCCAGACTATGGACTGTGATGTTCTGTCAAATTGACAGTTACAAAGAAAAACACATTTTGTGAAACACAAACTTCATTTTTCCTCAGAAACTAAAAGGAATAAAGTTTTGTTTTTGTGGCACACTTCTCAAAAAGGACAATAGGTGGTGCATCATGGGGAAAAAAAAATTAACAAAAAGATAAAAAAAAGTTCTAGTAAGACATTAAGATATCTTCGCTCTTTCCATGTGTGGTCTTCAGTCTACGTTTCTGTACCTGGTGAAGAGGTTGTAGAGGACACGAAGAGTGGATTTAAGGTCACAGTTCACAATATCTAAAAAAGGAAGAGAGATCAGAGTTAAATATACTGATATCCTCACTGAGCAATAAAGTCCTCTTAAAATAAATCATTGCACATTTTACTACAGTATGTTGCCACATCTCCAGCATTGCAGCAGTGGCCAGTGTTTAGAGGTCAATGTGACTATGCTTTAGTTGTATTTAGTTGTCAAAATACAAATACTGGAAAACAATTTGAGATGCGAGAACATTAATACTTTGAGACCTCACCCACCTTACCCTTTATAAACAGTGTGACCTTTTCAATATTAAAAAGACTTAGTTGTTCACAGGTTAAAATCATAGACTGCATATAAGATGGACAGAGTCTGCCTCCTCGCTGGGTGAAGCCACTCTTTGAACAGCACCCTCTGATGGTGGGCTGCAGTACAGGTCATAAATCCCGCCTCCGCCAGCAAAGCTTATGGGACTGTGGACAAACTTTAGAAATTTATTACACAGAACACAATTTTTTCTCCCCCCTGGTTGTGATGTTGACATGTAGTTATTGTAAGACTGGTTTGTGCCCAACTCCTTTTTTTTCTGTACAGCTCCGTTTTTAAAAGTTATTAGGGGGTTCATGTTTTCTATGATTGACACCTGGTACAGCCTATGGGCATTCAGGGATTCCGTAGCTCTTCCGGGGAAATACGCTGTTTGACCCGAGCGTCATCACAGGGACTCTCGGCGACTGCGCGGCCGAATACGCACAACGCTACTGCACAGCGCTGGTTTCAAGGAAGCGGAGAAAAACCCGGAATTACCGAGGGCTTTTTGGCTTCAAATCCGTATACAGGCGGAAGGCGGAACCACGGTGTCCATTTTATATACAGTCTATGGTTAAAATACAGACACTAAGAAAAGGACTGATGAGCCATACCCTCTGGTCGGGGCTTTGGTCTCTCCAGACCTCCATCCTGCATGAGTTCAAAAGAGAGGGACACGTTGTGGACCTGCAGAGAGAAGGACGAGGCTGTTAGGGGGACATGATTACCACTATTAGGACAACCACACAGACGCACATAGATAAACACACACCTCTTAAGCTTAACACATATAGGCAGAGGCGTGTAAGCACAAGTCGTGCAGCTCCACCGACAGCCCCTCGCTGATAAGGGAACTCAGGCACTGGTTGCTAAATCCCACAATACACTCTGGATCAATTCAATCATGCTACCACAGCTTCCTGTGTCGGCAAACACAACATGGCTCTGTTCTGTAAGACCATAAGCCTTCAGCAGCTGCACAAACACTCTGCTCCCTCATGAATCAACAGATATTTGTCAGCAGAGTCACTCCAAAACCCTCCTAACTCCAAGAAAGTGATACTATCACTGAAGCGAGATACTCATATTATAACATCATGCTCTCCATTAAAACTGAGTGTGGACAAAAGACTGACAAAAAAAGACAACTTCATAATTATTGCATCATTAAACATGTGTGCTAACATGCAGGAAGAGGAGAGATAGATTGGGGTGTCGCATTACCTCAGTGATTGAATTGCATGTCCCCTGTACAGAGGCTACAACCCTCAGTTCAATTCTCACCATCAGCCATTTGCTGCATGGCAACAACCCCCACTCTCTCTTTCCCATCACCAACTCTACCCACTGTCCAGCCCTCTCAGTGAAGGCACAAAAAAACCCAAAACAAAAAACATACCAGCAAAGATGCCTTTCAATTTTCCTTTGTTTCAGGAAACTAACCATGGAGATGATCCCCTAAATGTAGGCCTGACAATAATTCAAAACATGGAGCACAAATCTTGTTAAAGTGGACCAATAAGGACTGAACGACTTTGATTTCCAGTCCTTCTGCGTGTGGAATGACAGAGAGAGACAATGTTCTGTGTAAAAAAAACAGCAAAGATGTCTCAACCCAGCTGACAGGTAAGCATCTCGAGAAACTACAAGACAAGAGAAAACAAAGCAGAGGAGTGAAAGATGTTTTCCACTCTCTGACCATTGTATCTGTGTGAGCGGCTCCTGCTGTGATGCGCTAAAAGCTTTGCCTACAAGAGCGTATTGTGTGAAAAGCGTGACCGTAGCAATCTAATACAGTCAAAGAAAATGGAGGAGAAGAAGAGTTAAGTAGAGATCTGCCGGGAGATAGCGAGAGAGCCTTCTCGATGCCTCGTGCTACTTGTGGTGTAACACTGATAGGCCTCTAGGCTCACACACACACACACACACACACACACACACACACACACACACACACACACACACACACACACACACACACACACACACACACACACACACACACAAGAGCTGAGCCCCAAAGCCACTCCAGACGTTCCCAGTGCAGTAGGAGATTACAGATGCTATGGGGCTGGTGCCTGTCTTTCCAGGCCAGGAGAGCCTGTGTGTGTGTACATTGTAGCACTGATGCCCATTCTGCTCGGCAGTCTGGCAGGGGCGACTGGCCAAGACCCAGACAAAAGGCTACTGTGGTGTCTCCACAGATTGCCTGTTCAGAATACCATAGTACTACAGAGGCCACTAGAGAGCAAAGATGGCTCTGCCCTGAAAGGGCTCAAGAGTAAGGGATGGCATTTAACAAGCTATTGAGAAGAGAGGCCTGGTTCTGGGTGCATGATGCTCCTCTTAAATGAAGTGTTGATGGAAGTGTGTTCCCTGAACTTCAGGTTCAGAGAGGGCCAAAGCCCCCTTTCCTTGGATCTGGAGAAGGGATTTTATACAACATGACGAGGCCTACAACTTTAAGACTGTTCCTGAGTGTCCAAACAAGCCAACCAAGGCCACAGCGTAAGAGTCACAGTAGTAATCAATGTTACTGATTCAATCAGCTATGAAGACAAAGAAATGAAGAAATGAGACACAGGACATTGGCCTATATACACTAGTTTTTGCTCTGGCTCTACCATACAGAAATGAAAACAATGGCCAAAAATATGAAGGCACATTGTGGATTGAAGGTGGTCATCTCTTTGTACATAATAAGGGCTGTTTCCAACATCATTACATTAACTATAAAGGACTATTGACCTATAAATCAGTGAATTGTTGTATTTTTCAAAAAAGCCTGACGGTATGTGATGGTAACCCTCAATCCAAAACTGAACACCAGGGAACAGCAGTACCTGCAGTCTCCAGCAGTTTTTAGTCCCATTTAAATTTGCCTTTTGCTACATAAAAAAAAATCCATCCACAGTTAATTTGGAATTAAAATATAGCAGAAAACACAGCCGTTATGATTAACTTTCATGTTAGTCATTCCTGACTACAGTAATGTTCAAACAGTCTTATGTAAAGCCTCTATGGGCATTTAAAAACAAAATCAAATGACACCACATGGTTAGTAAACAATCCATCATAGAGTGCAGCTTTTCCACCCTCTATGAGGACACAAGCCACAAAGAAAGGGTAAAAGTCGGTTATTTCTCTATTAGTTTAGCTCATTGATAGAAGAAAAAAACATCACACTTTACCTTTTGGTCAAAATTCTCAGGTGTAAGAAAAAAGTTGTAGAGCGGCACAAAGTATCCCTCCAACAGCCCCATCAGCAACACCAGGTAAACGCCATCTGCAAACTGAGACAGCAGGTTAACTGGCTGACCTGAAAGTCCTTTGTCGGGGTGTCTAAACCTCATCCCAACTTTTTTACTGATAGAGATTGCCAAGTTGAGCCAGTTGTCTCAATCCAATCATTTCCTTCAGTTGCTGTAAACTGTGCACAATTTCCAGCAGACCTCGACCCCAATGTGCCAGTAACTTTGCATTAGCAACCTTGTGGCTAGAATGACAGTAGTGAGGAAATGTTTGAAATTAGGAAGTAAACAGTCTGGGAGCTACTTTGGCCGAAATGCAAAAAGATGGTGATGATCTACAAGCTAAACATGCAACAGAAGACAGAACTTTTACTGCAGAAACTCTGGACTTGGAAAGGTATGCTACATGTCACTGAAGAAAAAAGGCTGAAAAGATTACAGGAAAGGGGGTTGAATTCATCAGTTTTTGCAAAGGATCAACCAATATGTTTTTTTTAGGGTAGATACTGATACTGATAGGAAACTGAAATATTTAGAACCGATATTCATTTGCAGTAAAAAAAAAAAAATGTATATTTTGGCCTTATTTTGAAACATGTGCTTTTATTTTGAAATGAGAAAAGAACCGGAAGTAGAGCATGCTGGCTCCATTTGCTTCCTAGAAACCAAGGAGCATTTCTAGCCGTGGTGCTACCTGCTAGTTTTTTTCTTTTGTTTTATCTCTCCATGCTTCATGGTGTTTGTTATAACTGTGGGTATGTGGTTTTATGAGAAGCGTAAGTTGAAGAATCTTAGTTTTGACTGTAAAGATTGACTCTGGGAAATGACCATTTGTTGAGAAGCAGGTTTGAAGGAGAGATCAATGTTGCCGACTGCTTGCTTCTCTAGTTATACCAACTTTCTAGTTATACCAACTTTAGTAACAACCACAGATAGCAATACACAGTAGTTTCCTTAAAGTAATAATCATCATATTAATCAATTTGCACCGCAGGCGCGGTAGTTCTTCTGCCTTAGTGATTGTATTTCCATGTAGAAATGATCATAAATGTTCTTCCTTGAGCTGCGTCCCCCTGCTGCAGTTGATAGACAAGCGGCTGCTGGAAGAGAGTGGGTGAGTTGCGTTTGGTCTCTTTTCTAAAGAAATCAGGCAAAGCTAAAAAGATGTTTGATGACTAGTACTATGGCTGGGACCCTAAATGTGCTGTTGATGAAGTTAGGTGGGTCATTCCATGAAACCTGTGCCTTTTCAGCTTAGAAAATTTAAAATTTAAACTATATTTAACCGTTAACTTTTAAGTACCCAGGAATCATAGAATGTTTAAAATGGCAGGAAATTATACTGTGCCATCTCAGGCTGTGTTATTTCATATTTCATAACAGTTTTTCTTCTGGCTGTTTTTATAATCTTGTCAACCCTGTTACCAACATGAACTTAACAAAATACAATATTTCTAATTAGAAATATGCAATATATGGTACATATATTACTAGTACTTTAGTCTCTCTTTCCATTGAGATTATTTTATTTTGTGGATTTTTTTCTCCAATTAGATATTTGTCATTCAGATGATCAACTATACCCTAATTTTGCATGGTGATCACGTCTCAACATACATCAGATATTTTTTAGAAGAGAAATGTTGAAAAATGGCCCAATCTAAAATATAATGTAATTAAATCATAATGGTAAGTGTTGAAAGCCCATTTGAGTTGTCATTTTTACATTTTTATCAAATTAATGACATCAACAGGATTGGCGTTATGGTAACAGGGCTGACAAGAGTAAAAGTAACTGGACACAAAGTAACTGGCTCTCCACTGGCGTATCAATCAATCAATCAATCAATCAATCAAAAAATAATTATTAGCTCAATAATGTTCACTTGATGACCTAAAAATGTTTTAATTTTAAAAGGTTAACCTTTAAAAAGATTACAACGAGGGTATACACTACTCTGTGTCATCTCTGTTACTCACATGTCAAATCCTGTTACTGTGGAAAGGTAACAGGGTTGACAGTAACAGGGTTGACAATTTTAAGATAATCTGCCTGTGGCTAGCTTAAATAAGTACTAGCTAAAGTGCAAGCTAGGTACTTTGAAAGTTAATTTCTTGTAGATATTGATTATATGTTGAGAAATAGAAAATTGTTTTGGCTCATATGTTAAAAAGTGGTAATAGGTTTGTTGGTGTATGCTTGTCCCCCCTGGTTAAACCTTGAAAAAACATCAAAAATAGCACATCAGAGATGCCAGAAACTTAATTGTCACTGACAATCATGTTAATCATGTCAAATCTGGAATGTACTATTATTTTTTTTAGGGTTTTTTAGTTAGGGTAACAGGGTTAACATGAAATCAGGGGACGCTGTTAAATTGGTAAATATTAATTATGACTAATATATAGTATAACCAAAAACACTGTGTAACAATAAGATCATACTTAAAACAATATGTAAATGTGCATATTTTAACATTTTACAAATTTAAAGTCCTGTATATGTACAGCAATAGTAGTGAGTTACAGGCCAAAATTTAATTTAATTTGATATTATATTAAGGAGAGAAGACATGGTTATGTTGTATTTTTAAATTACATATTAATTTCTTGTTATCATATTTTTATGAATGATTACTTCTTGGGGTAGCAAAAGGCACTGATTTCATGGAATGACCCAGGTGCTGTTCTGAGCATTATTTGTGGATATAGAGTGGCTTTTTGGTTGAGGTTTCCCTGAAAGTGATCTGTATTACTTCGTGTATTCTTTATCTTTATTAGTGACAGTGCAAAATTATTTATGTAATAATTACAATAGCTGGTGTCGGCTTTTATTTTGTTTACTTGAACTTTTACTTCTACAGTGTTAAAAAACACAGGTGAAAGGAACAGGAGTCTCACATCCAATTAGCGGCGGCAGACCGCTGCTTCATGGAGCACTCTCTCCTCTCTCTCTCTTCCTTACTCCCAAAGCTGCACCTAGAGTGTTTATTAACTGCCTGTGTAGCCAATCAGTGGGGACTGTGGGTGTAACATTGTGGCACAATCAAGAGTGGTGACTTTCGGCAGAGAGAGGCGTATGAGTGTGTTTTAAAACAAATTTATTTTATCAGCGATCGGTGGAAAAATGGCTGATGCCGATTATTGTAAAAATGCTTTATATCAGCCGTGCCAATTATCGATCGATCCTTAGTTCTTACCACCAGCTTAATAGTGCCAGTTATTGCTATTATTAACAGAGATTGGATTTTTCTGCAGTCTCTACATGACATTTGAAACACTACCTGTATGGGGCTGCATAGAAAAGTTTGTGACAACATACAAGGTGATTTAAAACAAGATGTGACTGCTCTTATTTCTGCAACCGACACTTGGAGCTCTGATGCTCCAAAGCTGAAGACAGCTTTAAGTAAATCTGTTAAGGTATGATGGAGGGAAAGAGAGCAAGAAGCAAAACAAGAAATAAACGTGCAGCTCTATTATTCAGACAAATACAAGTGTCAGAATGGGACTTAGTATCAGCGGATACTCAATATTTCAAAAGCTAGGTCAGGACCCAGGGCCAAAATGTTGACTGGGACATCCCTAATCCTTTGTTATTGAGTGAATGATAACAAGCTGAGCCTACTGGTGAGCAGATGATTTTATCTGTACTGGTTTAGTAGTCAAACCTGGTCAGGAAAGATTTTAGTCAGGAGATGAACATCTCTACAGAACAGAAATAATCATGTGAACATTTTCAGTGAATCATAGGAAAATGTTACTGAATAAAAAAAAAACATAACACAGTAAAACACTTCTCTACAAAACAAGTTTCTGTCGGTACAAAGCAATACATCTGAAAGAATATATTAGTGCATTACACACATATGAGGGTTGTGTGATGTACCTGTGTGTCCAACTCTGAAACCTCAAGGTTGAGCTTGTTCAGGTGTTTGTTCACAAAAGTGATCAGTGTCTGAAAAAAAAAAAACACACACACACAAAACACTCAGTAAGAAATAGTAAGACAGGGAAGTCTTACACATAAATCCAGACTGGTGCGTTTATTAAAAACGGACTGTGCAGGTGAAAACAACATAATGTGCTGCGTTTCATTCAATTACAAAGAAAAAAAGGTAACACTATTGGTAACATGTTTAAGGACACTTAAAGTAGGGCTGACAGGGACCTGATTAAACTTGGTTGGTCAAACAGGCAAACAAAGACTGTATATCCTCTGATCCTTGTCCAATCTCACTCTCTCTTTTCCACAGAGTTCCTGTATTTTCCTGCTACAAAAGCTCAAACTTCTCAAAGAGGCAAAAATGTTTTTATATATTTTTTTTCTTTTGCTCTAAAGTTTTCATATTAGTGCCTAAAATAGGTACGCTGGGTGACAAGATAAAAAGCTGAATATTCAATAGTAAAAAACTAAATTCTTCTCAGCCTAAAGCCACAGAAGTTCATTCCCTGACAACTATTACACCACGCTGTAGAATTCAATACACAAAGACGACTTTTCTTCTGTAAATAGAGGTTTCTGCCAAAGCTTTGAAGCATTTCTACCTTTTTGACTACATTCAGTTTGTCAGGGGCATGGTCGAACAGGGTGTCAAACGCATCACGCTCTGTGGGGAATAAATAAGACACATTTTATTCCAAAATACATGGACGGTTTGATGTGAACACTCCTGAGAAAACACTGTAAAAATGGCATATATCATGGTCTTCTGAATGACTACATACCGTGCCTGCCAGAGAAAGCCCTGGAAGAGAAACAGAACGAAACAATGAGAGAGGAAATGTGTGGAATCCTGTACTAATCAGAATCAATCCTGCTTCAATATTCATAAAAAAAGAAACAAGAGAGAATAAAAGACGGGTGTTTCCAGTTCGACCACAGAGGAATGTAAAGAATGGCGGGATTATGTCAGCGAAATGAAAATACTATGATGTCGCTGAGGTATCATAATTTGATTAACAATAACACAGGCACACCTGGGGTATTCAAATAACATGGGTATCACCACAGGGACATTTACAATGACCGCTTACTAAAACAATGCAACAATCTCAACAGCAGAGCAAAACTATTGGGTATTGATACAATGAATGAAGATGTGCCTGTCTGTACATGTGGATTTCTATGGGAATGGAGGGCCTCTCTAGTCTATTATGACAATGTAAGCAGTTTGGAGGATGTTTTTGTTGGAAAGGGTCAGGTGGTTTTGGAGGACAGGGAACACTGCAGTCTGAGAGTCCCCTGAGGGAGACATATCGCAATGGGCAGGCCAGCAAGAAGTGGCACACACACACACACACACACACACACACACACACACACACACACACACACACACACACACACACACACACAGAGGACTCTCACACATGTTCACGGTGTAATCTGTGATGGCAAAGGAAGGCAAGTCTGGGCAATGTTCCTGGTTGTGGGGTAATGACCGTATTTCCACTGTGATCATGCAAGTGTGTGCAACCAAGAGAGAGAATGTGTGTGTGTGTGTGTGTGTGTGTGTGTGTGTGTGTGTGTGTGTGTGTGTGTGTGTGTGTGCGTTATTAAAAGTGTATCCATCTACCATGTCTAAATGTTGTACTGCTGCCTGTTGGCCTGCTGTTATCTCCCTCACTGCTGCTGTTAGGCTGCAGGACAGCCTCTCAGGTAGAAACGTGTCTTTGTCTTTCACATAGTCTAATTCTTCTGCTCAGGGTGCCATCACATATGTCTTTGAAAAACAAAGCTTGTCTTTTCACTTACTGCAATATATTTATCCTACGAGTCAGTAAAGCAGAGAGTGCTACAGATTTGTAATAGTGGTAAAGATGATATTCAAGATTTTTCATTTCAAGTCCCACCACGATAGGAGAATCCACTGACATAATGAATTTGAATCATTGCTTTTGTGGTACAGATTTGACGTTGGTGAAATCCTGTTTGAAAATGTGGCATTCTTTCGAAAGAGATGAGGACTTGGTGTCAATTTCTTTTTGTGGTCGTTTAGTGGCATTACGTGTTTGGAATATTTAGTCAGTAATGCACTGAAAGGAGCTCTGCTTTAATGTAAAAACTTCAACAGCATAACCACTACACTGGTTGACATGTCAGTTCACCTGATTGAATGAAATTGTCAGAGCACAGTAGTTAGGTAGGTTTCATCATTTTATAAAAGCTGGTCTCTGAAGTCTGAGCACAGCTTTGTATCTACTTTTAAGATGTTCTCATTTAAAGTTATAAATGAACACCAACTGTAAAACCGAGGAAATTTATTATCCATATCATTATGATTATCTTTTTGTTTTTAGCATTACAGTGCCTCCTTTTACAATAAGTGAATGACAGGAGGGTTTACAGATGAGATTCACCATGGAAACCTTAAAGGTGCGTTCACAACTGCAGACTGTGTTGATGTTTTCCAAATTTGATGATGTATCGAAACACTGTTCCTTTTTTTTCTTCAATTTTCTTTTGTCATGTGGATCATGGCACACACCATTTCCAGACTATCCTTGCATCACAACTTTCTTTTCCAACAAAGACTGTGCATATTGGTCTCATTTTTCTGCAGTTTCACATTGTGGGACGCTTCAAAATGGCGACAAACAACTGATCAAAAAAGTGTCTTTGAGCAGCAGGATCTTCAGAACTAAACCAGTTATTGAACCAGTAGAATTTGCTGAGTCTTGAGATTTTGTTACTCCCTGATGTGGAATGAATCAACAGGGTTAGTAACAAGCATTTATTTTTCTGGTTGCTTGCTTTGCCATCGCAAACAAACCACTACAGGGTTCAATGAGATACGACTTCAGGTCACTTGTTCTGTTTGACACAAAAGAGCGTCTACTGTGTTATGACATACCAATGCCAAGTAGAGAAATGCCTGTTTTGGAACAAGAAATGACAAGTACTTTGAATATTTTTTTTTTTTTCGCTCTTTTTTCCAGACAATTTTTTTTATTCTTTGTGTTTCTGACAATTTTTTCCTTTTTTTTCAATTATTTTTTCCCCCTCTTTCTGTTTTTTAGATAAAATTTTATTCTGTTTTTCGTAACATTTTTTTCCATCTTTCTTTTTGTCCGACTATTTGTTTTCATGACTAAACAAGATACTTCAAAATCCTGCAAGAATCTCATGCAATCAGATAACGTTAACCACCGCAGCTGCTCCAAATCAGCGGATTCTCCAGCTCCTAGATAACTTCGACAATGGGGTCAATGAGAGTAAAGCATGTTGTTTGTTAAACATACGGTATGTAAATCCTGAGGTGCCTGCGCAAAGTAGAAAAACTTATGATGATTCCATCTTTCTGACTTAAAGAAAGGAGTATCTCCCAGTTTTAAAAGCCAAAAAGGAAGTAAAACTTGATTTAACTATACAAGTGGACAATGTTTGCTTCCGATAAATCGAGCAGAGGGGGATGAAAATTAATCTGTCCAAAAAATAGAACAAAAAAATTACTCTAAAAAAATAGAGCTTTTTTGTTGGTCAATGCAATATGCTTCCTTAATAATAATAAGTTCAATTTTTTTAAAATAAATAAAAATTCTTATAATAATATTGCATCAGATTTAGTATAGTGTTTTATCAGAGACCCTCAAAGCGCTTTATATCGGATACATCATTTATTCGCTCACAGGCACACCTTGGTGGTGGTAAACTACCTTAGTAGTCACAGCTGCCCAGACTGACGGAAATGTGGCTGCCAGTTTGCGCCTACGGCCTCTCTGACCACCACCACACAACACTCACAATCATACACCAGCGAAGGACACAAACTGGGAGCAAGGTGGGTAAAGTGTCTTGCCCAAAGACACAATGGACAGACTCAGGATAGGGGGGAATTGAAACACCAACCTTCCAGTTATTGGACGACTGCTCTACCTCCTGAGCTACTGCCACCCCAAAGTAGATTAAAGTAGATTTCTCAGTACTTCAGTTTTATCAAGGATTTTTTCCCCTTCATAAACAGTTACAATTTTAGAGCTTCTTGTCAAATAGTGCCATTACTTTGCAGGACTAACATCAGATTTATTGCAGTTATATCTGCATGGCTAGTGTTAAAGAGGCTGCAGATTCTCCCACTGGCACTGCTTACAACCAAATTGAAGAAAAGCTGAGCTTCTTATTGAGTTAACTTTTACTTTGTAAAAAAACAATATGCAGAGGTTTTCTTTGGCCTTCCTAGTAACGTTAGTCAAACATGTCCCACGTGTGTAGTTACAGATAAAAAAACAAAAGGTTAAACAACTGAGAATACATACTCTGTGTTCCCAGTGATTTCCTCTTGAATTTGTCTTGACTGTAGGATGCCCTCTCTTTTCTGAAAGAAATGAAAAGAGAACACTTCGTGAACTTTGTATCTTACCAAATCTGACTGTAAAAACATGACAAAAAAAGGAAAATAAAAGACAAATCTACAGATGGTAGCAGCACGTGTTTAATGTTATACAGTCACACTTGAAATCCATGAAAACAACTCACCTGGACAACTACAACTTGAATGGACACGTGGTCTGGCAATCTGATTGGTGCTCTGAAGTGCTGGGACAGCGCCACCAGCAGGTGCAGGATGGCAACTATACTCTTAGCATGAACAGCTAACAGAGAAAAGGAAATAAATCAGCAACAGAAAATGACATGCTTGAACTGAGCATTTCAACAGTACAGCAAAGTGTTCAAGCCTTGTGCTTAAATTTAATGTCACAAAAGACTGGTACAGCATACAAATTCTTGTGAACATTTTTAGTGTTACTCATGCTTATTTCACACTCTTGTGGTAAATGATGATGTCAGTCTCTACGTGTAAATATTTACATAAAAGCCTCGTGCTGCATTTCTTCTTTTTTTAATTTGAACTAATACCTAAAATTTAGAGTTGCAATATTGCACGACATGGAGTCAACAACAATACAGACGGATGCAGAGTGATATGACTTAAATCATCGTCGTGTTGAGGCACAAACAATCTGAATCATCGAAGTGTCCATAGAAGCCTTTGATATAAGCCATGGGAATGGCAAATCACAGGCAGCAAGCTAAAGGCCTTCATAAAACCTATCAGATCCTCACTGCCTAAGAGCACCCAAATAGGTTTTCAAAGGCTTCAGACTGAAAGGTGAAAGTAGAGACAAACAAAAGTGAATTGATTAAAAAAATTCAAAGAAAAGGACTGAGAAATCAATTACATTCCACGCCATCCACAGAGCTCTTTCTCATTTATAAAGATACACACATGAGCTTTCAAGGACAAATTCTACCTAGAGTTGCGTTGAAGAATGTTACATTATTTGGTTGGAAATGGATTTATCTGATAGGATCCTTATTTTCTGGGTTACCATTAAGAAGTAAATTCTGGTCCTTATTCTAAAGGATTTCTCATTCGTCTGTTTAAGTTAATCTGTTTTCCTATTGTGCTTTTCCGCCTCATGCAACACAATGCCATCTGTTTATCTCAACCTTCACTCTTCCTCCTCCTTGTGTCTAGAATATTTATATCTATGTTAAAGCTAGTAGCATATATGAAAGGCAGCGTGCAGGGAGGCAGAAAATTACTATCCTGAGTGTGTCACATAAAAGAGTTTCATCAAAGGTGTTGTGGGGAGCTTTATTGACATGCATGTCTTTACGCTTTCATTTCTGAAAGCTTGCGACTCAATAAAGAGCATATTTCTACAATGGCAGGGCTGGTACATTCATAGAAAAAAAAACCTTGAAGTGGTCACACAAAACAACTTTGCATGTAGCTCCTACTTTCCAATAAATGTGATGCTAAGATTTTTTGTCTTGACCTGATATTCTGACTTCTCGCATCACCTTGGTAGCTAACACCAAACCCTTACCAGCGATCCCGTCACTTTTAACAACTTGTAAGATATTGTTAATGTTATTAATCTGTGAAGACATGTCAAAAATCAAGCTTGACTGTGTACTTTTATGAGCACCAAGACCAAGTGTAAAAAGACTGGTTGAGGAGGAGTCTGGATTGTAGGGTGTAGTAGTGAACAATAGCTCACACACGAGCACATTATATGGTCTCATTACTTTAAAGTAGGTGAGGTGATGACAGTAATTCAGTAGCATAGTAGCCCAACAAATGGAAAGCTTCTCTGGGAAATCTCAACACTGCACACGAAGTGGCACTCATGAAGAGATGGTCGACAAAATGAAGCTACCCTCATTAGATTTTCTTTTCTGATGCTGATTTGAACAAAGATGTCAGTTGGATGTTTAAATGGTTTGCTTTTTTTTAATACTGTTTAATGATTACTGTAGATGTATATCAACCATTTCTTTGCTTTCACTGAGAACATCAACAAACTGGCCATTGTGTTTACAAAATCAAAGTCCATTCATTAAACAGGGATTTGTTGTTGGTTAGGACACAAAGGTGCAGTTGCAGTCCATGCATCAGTGGAGAGAGTTGTTTCTACACTAGTCTGCACTTTATTTTGTCTTAATCAGATGTTCAGTTGGTATACATATTGACTGACCGTTCTTGACTTCATCATTTTACTAAAAGGTATTTAAAGTTGTCTGTGGGTGCAAGAGGGTCAAGGACTCTCTTTAGAGTCTTTCAAAATCCTGTCTCCATGCATGTTTTAATGGCTTTCCAATCCATTTAGACAGTCCTGTTTCTTTTCCACCAATCACAGGGCCCAGCTGTGCTGTGCCTCTTCACTTCGACCATAGAGAACACTAAACGATTTTTAAATTGTCTCTTTAAAATGTCTCTGTGTCTGACAATGAGATTGTCACTGTGTTTACAATGAATTTTGGGTTTGGCATTCAACGCTCATTTGAGAGTGGCTTTATTTAGAATTTAGCAGGTGAAGTTTGGCATTAAGATGTAAACTGGCAAGCAGGGGGGTCTCTCAGTCTCTGGGTTATTTTAATTTTACATGATGTTTTTTTTACACATGGCTGCTGCTGGAGCAGGACTTTCATTTGTCTGTTAAAGCAATGACTTAGATGGAAATCCCTACTAAAAGGACTGAATGGAAAATGAGCAAGATTTCATGTTCACAACTGGCATGTGAATGCTCAAAAAACATGTGCATGCATCATCAAACTGGTACATCTGTCAGCCATTGTTAAGAACTAACAGTTAATAATTTTAATGTAGCTGCAAATCAATATGTGATCTTGTAACTTTGTGTCATTTGCTGCTGCTTATCTAGGCCAGGAAACTTAAAATAAAAAAAGATTTTTAATGTCGATGAGTTATTTTTCTCCAGATCATTACATCCTGCAAAATGTTGTTTTGAAAAAAAAATGTAATTGAAAGGTCTGTATTCCATTCATTTGCCAAAAACAGTAAATGCATGTCTGGCAAGTGCCACATCTTTACAACAGTGGGTGCTTGTTGGTACAAGGGAAATACAGCCTTGATTATATTTCTGCCCTGATCTTGTCCAAAGGGATCACCAGAATCAAGAACATGGCAGATCCTGCCTCTGATTATCTACTAAGCCTTGTAATGATTGCACTAAAGTCTGTATTCTTTAAAGTTTCTTCTCTTGTCTGTTTAAAGGCCTGAGATGCTCTGCATAATAACAGCCGTGATCCATAGTATTACCAGACTTACAGCCCTGTAACAATGTTGTTTGTATTTGTTCTTAAGGGCTGCACAATTTTGGCCAAATTAAAATCCTGACTTTTTTTCTCTGAAGACTCGATTTTCTATTTTTTATTCAGTGACAACTTCACCAAACTTCACTTTAATAATAATACGTTTTTCTATCATCTCTCAAAATGAAACCACTGAGACAATGTAGTGCATATGCCAAGCCAGTGAGTGGCGCAATAACTCTGTCCAGGAAATGCACAAAAGACAGAAGAAGAGTACAGAGCACGTGTATAAAGGTTGTTTTGGCCAAATACGCACAGCCGCCGTAAAAGAGTTACAATGAGTGTCACATAATCGTTTAGAGAGATGCAGACAGGCATCCACACAGAGATGAAATGGTAGTCGTTTGTGGATTTATGCACTCTCTGAGCCATTTTCAAAAAAGCCCCGTTTACAGTCACACGAAACACTGTTTCTGTGTCAATGAAACACTGATACAACAAAAAACTTTTACGTTTACTCCTGAATCTGTTTCCATGTGGACGGGTTGATACTGCCTTCAGACAGACTTTGCAGCGGGGAGTGGTTTACTCTTCGTCCCAAACTGCAAAGCCCTATCAATTCCACACGACTGAATTGCTCTTGCCCTATTTAGCCACGAAATGATTGCCTTCTTTTGCAAATGCCATGTTTGTTTACAATGTTGTGTGATTGGAACTGGGGAGTGCTCCCGCAGGAAGGGGGGCCTACGGTGGCCTGGAGGCACGAGACATGATAGAGGGGAAAATAATCGGATTATGATTTAAAATCAATGAATCCTGCAGCCCTAACTTAAGTCTGTATTTCTTGAGTGCTTCTTCTCTTGTCTTCCCTGAGATTGCTCTGCATACTAACAGCCGTAGTCCATAGTATTTCCAGACTGAGCACCCTATTAATATATTTTGTGTGTATTCGTTCTTCACATTACCTTTCATGAGATGAAATACAGTTATACATTTTCAACCAGCTGTGCAACTCCAGCACTTTAAGGTCTCCTACACCCAAATAAGAGGGCACAATGAGATTGACTGAAAAGACCAAATGTGCTCATCACTCCTGACTGTGCTGCTGTTTGATCTTTGGATCTCACTGTCAGAGCCACAGACATGCAGCTAAAAAACACCTCCCTGACAAAGTCAATGCTGCTTTGACATAATCAGTTGAATTTCCCTTTGGGGATCAATCAAGTTCTTTATCTTTCTTACCTTATTAAAGGGGCACAAGTTCTGAGTAAAACAGCAAAATCAAATATTCCTCAGCTGCGCCTTTTAAGATATTTTCTATCTTATCAGCAGAAAAACAAGGGATGACAACGATGACAAAGCTACCTGTATTTAGTCTGGGCAGGGGCTCGCATACATTTCTACTAATGGATTTCCTTCAAGGTTGTGTCTTTAAGAATTTACATGCACTGAGCACATCTTCTCCGAGGAACAGGTGAAGTGAACAGCCCTGAAGTGGACTGAAAGGTGGTAAATCAATCTTTGAGGATGTCCTTACAGTCAACGTTCCATCGAATGTTCCTGGTGGAGAGTTTGAGAGAGTCATTGATGCGCTCCAACACCGTCTGCAGCTTCTGTTTCTGGGCAATCTCTGACTGTGTCACCTCTGCCACGTTCAGCTTCTCCCCTTCCAGCTTTTCTGAAGTACAAGAAAAAGACAAAGAAACACTGAATTTCATAGCCAGTACCAAAAATCTGCAGTTCAACATTATTACAGCTAAAGAATATAATCACACAAATGGCCAAATTCAATTCAGTGTCAATGGCAGTGGTATTTATTCTTTAGGTACAGGCCAACTCCTCACCAAATAGTTTCTGCAGCACCTGTCCATCATACAGATCTTCAGCTAGATCTTTCACAATGATCCTCTCGCCCACCAGAACATCATTTATCCAATCGATCAACACCTATATATGAAGGAGAAAGGGTGTTATCACTTCTAATGACCACCTGCACCATGATTTTCAAAGGAGTTCATTGTCAGTTGTCAAAGTACTAAACTTCTGATTCTTCAGGAACTCAACACGGTGTATTTAACCCTGATCACTGCTGTCAAATTAAGGTTGAGCCACCTCACTAACTCCTTTAACTTTGTTTGCCACATGAATTCTTTTTAGGTTTCATTTGAGCCTGTATTCAGAGATACGGCTGTAGATAGGGAGGAGACTGGAAGAGAAAGTGATGACTAGAGAAGAACCATTGTTAGAATCACACCTAGGCCACCTGTTTTGGGCTCTGTGCACAAGGTACCCAGTTACCTTAAAGAACCTTAAAGGGATATTCCGGCATAAATTTAAGTGATGGTAAAACACACCGAAACACTAGACACGCCCTTGGGAGATGAATGTTGCCGACTTCTTGCTTCTTTACTTATATCAACTTCAGCAACAACTGCACAATAGCAATACTCAGCGGTCTATGTCTCCACGTGCAAACCTGAACCAAAAAGCCACTCTATAGCCACAAATAATGCTCAGAACAGCACCTAACTTCATCAACAGTACATATAGGGTCCCAGTCATCGCACTAGCCATCAAACATATTTTTAGCTTTGCCTGATTTCTTTAGCAGAGACCAAACACAACTCACCCACTCTCCTCCAGCAGCCGCTTGTTTGTGGGGGAAGCCCTGACGAGTCGATCACCAAGTGCAGCAGAGTTTTGCGGCTCAAAGAAGAACATTTATGATCACTACTTCATGGAAATGTAATCAGAGTTCTTGTGTATCTTGTATGTGCACTGCAGACGCAGAATTTCTCCTCCCTTAGCGTTTCAGTCTGATTACATTTCCATGAAGTAATAATCAGAAATTTTTTGCTGCACTCAGTGATCGCCTCGTCAGGGTTACGGTGTATTCGACCATAGCTCAAATTTACCCCAGAATAACCCTTTAAGTGATGCGTGTAGCCTTTTTTAATTTTTTTCACTTTTATTTTCTTCCTCCTTAAAAGTTATTTAAATATTCAGCTCAAGAAAGTGTGTAAGATGAAGTTATGATTTGACAGTTTTAGTCCTACCTTCATGAGTTCCTGCAGTTTGCGGTCATTCTTGGAATTAGGATCCACCATGGTACGCACTTCATTTTCCTCTAGAGAAAAAAAGCAGAAACACACACATAAAAAAAAAAGAATATTTTTTGTGAGCATTTTCACGCCCCACTGCACTATGTGATGGCTCCACATTATTTCCACATGTACATGATGATCTAAATGGAGAGAGACACTTCTTACCTTTTATTATATTGTTGATTCTTGTGATAACAATTTCAAAGTGTACAGCTTACCTCCTCGAGCAAGCTAGCAGGAGTATCTTGCTTGTATACAAATGAGAAACCCTATAATATGTAACGGCACAGCCTGAATGTGTACTGGTCAAGCCGTAGAAAGCCCCAGGCTGATATGACTAGATTTTTTATTTTCATAGAAATATTAGATTTTATAAACTTGGATTTACAGATTTTTCATTTTTTGTTGCCTTGATGGTTGAATAGTTAGAGCAGAACAAATCGTACACATACCCCGGCACTTTTTTAACCCTAACCCTCTTTGACCTATATTCAACAGAGACAAATATTGAATATTCAAACTTTTTTTTGCAAATATTTATTCATTTTGAATCCTAAATTAAATATATTTTAAACTTTTACTAACAAAAAAAGGTCAATAAAAATTTCCCGGGTTATATTCCATTAAATTCCATCCATGTGCTTTGAGCAAACTCTTTCAAGCATATCTGAATTTGTGTTAACAGGAACTGTGGCTATTTACCTAGCATGGTGTCTTCAGGGTCCAGCTCATAGTGTGAAGGGCTAAGAGGAAGGTTAATGGCATTGATCCCTTCTTCCTGAAGCTCAGACACTGTGAGAAAGAGGAACAAACAATACATCAGATTGTTTTTGATCTAACAAAGTACTGTAGGTGTCAAGCATGTCGTGGCACCTCCAACATTTCTGTCTCTATCTTATGTCAATGCAAATTGAATATCTATAAAACAAAATAGACAAAATTCTAGTTTTCTCTCATTGTCAAAATTTACCATGGAAAGATCAAAAGGCACAATGTGGGATTTCATTTATCATAATTTTCCTCTCACAGTCAGATCCTGAGAGCAACAACCATTGAAGAGTTTGGGTTTTATTCTCTTAAAGTACTTGTAAAATGAATTAAACAAGCTTGTTATAGTAGGTCATACAAAATCAAACCACACTGTTGAAACATTACTTCACTCCAGATACTCCTCCAGTCTATTTGGTGATCTGTTTAGTGTTTTCTGCAGCCAGACAGCGCACACTGCACTAAACTGACATGAAATAATACAGGTCCTGTTTTAGGTTTACAAATTATAAATACTTTCATTGTTCATCAATCCCTGATTATCTAGGAATGTGTCGCAATCATGGACTATAAAAGCTTGTGTTAATCTCCATAACCTCCAAAACATGAAATAAAACCGCAGTATAAATTCAAAGGACATTGACATTAAACATATAAACACAGCAGGGGAAAAAAACAAAACAAACACCACCTATAGTTAATCGAACATCCAGTGAACAATTTAGAACAGAGAATAAAAACAAGCGTGTAACCTCCTGAGAGTGAGGAAGAATAACCAGATCAAACAGCCTCTGTTGTTTAACATAACTACAATTGTGTAAATTGACTTCCTTCTGGTTTTGTTCCACACTGTAGCTGCATAACAACATTCCCAATCAAAACCACCCAGCAGAAAAGGAATGGTTGTGATTGGCCTGACCTGACTTAGTTTGGGTTAAAACCTGTCTAACTGAGAAGAGGGACCAGAGGGGAAAAACAGATGTTTGCAGATGAGTCTTAGTCTCAGGCTAGCCTGCACATGGAATGGATCAAAGAGGCAAGATCAGCTGTGATAAAGACTGAACTACACCCAAAATAATAACTAATATTCTCAGCCAGTAGATTGGACAGCTGCTTAGGTGTAACTCTAATTTCACAAATTAGCAAGCTCTCTATTCGAGGGCATTTGACGTCAGCAGACACAGACTGGTGTTGCTTCCTGCTTCTCAGCAGGCTTTAGAGAAGCCCAGCATGGCATTCTTCTCGCTGTGTCAGATACCTGAGAAGACTTGATCACTGTTTATCTGTGCATGTGTGCCTCACTGTTTACGTGCTGAGAGCACAGAGTGAACATCCTGTGCATTTCTCTGCCTCCATTGGAAACACATCCTCTTAATTAACACCATCCACTAGTGCTTTAGTGCACAGTATGTCTAAGCACACACATACATACACGCACATACACACACACACACACACACACACACACACACACACACACACACACAGGTATATATATGTTCATATCATATCACATCTAAAAAAAAATAAAAAAAAAGGGGGGGGGGGTGTAATTCATCAGCTGTGTGATTGCAGACAACTTGCTCTTCTCCTGCGCTCGCCCCGCTATGCAGCGCCCATGTGCGGCGTGTATAGCTACTAAAACATACTGAGTCTGAGTTAGCGCCACGAAAAAAAAACTACTTTTTCTAAGGTGTGGTGGCGTTTATTTAGCCGTGGCAGTAAGCCACGATCAATTAGATGTAGGGGAACTTGCTACTGAACCCTGTAATACTGGGGTTCCAGTAAATGATTTCACATCTCATTACAGGCTTGAGGAAAACAGCAGAGGCACAGCTTTAGGGAAAAAACAAACAAAAAAAACAGCAGGAGTCCCACATACACACATTGATGAACTTTAGTCAAGCTACTGTTATGACCATACACTGTATATAGAATGGACATCATCCTCCTCCTCGCTGGGTGAAGCTACTGTGAGAGCAGCACCCTCTGGTGACAGGCTGCAGTATAGGTCATAAATCCTGCATCCTCCAGCAATCCCTATGGAGCTGTGGACGAACTTTAAAAATTAATTACACAGCATATACATTTTTCTCCCCCCTGCTTGTGATGTTGACATGTAATTACTGAAAGACTGGTTTGTGCTCAAGTCCTCTTTTTTCCGTGCAACTCCATTTTAAAATGTTATTAGGGGGTTCATGTTTTTTATGATTGACACTTGATACAGCCTATGGGTGTAGCAAGATTACATAGCTCATCCGGGGGACATGCTGTTTGAGCTGACCGTCATCACAGCAACTCTCCCATTTAATGCGTACAATGTCAGGAAGTGGAGAAAATCACAGAAATACCAAGATCACTTTGGCTTCAAATTCATATCAAGACGGAAGGCAGAGTCATACAGTCTATGGTGGCTTTCCAGCAATGCCTACTTTATTCAGGTATGTTAGTCTGACCATGAGAAGTTGGGTTTGGTGTCATTTCAGTCCGACTCATGTATATACATGTTTTTTAAACATCTTGTTTCTGCCAGACTAAGGAATTAAATCACCTTTTTTTATTACCTGCAAGTTAACATACTGAGTCAGACATAGACACACGCATCACTCTTCAACCCTGCTGGCTCAAATGTTACATACTGAAAGGGGTCAGAGGTGAAACAACTTCCTGCACTATTCCACAGCTGTACATTACAGATTACAGACATAATATTTCCCATCCTGAAAAGGCAGTAAATAATAGCCCAGTGCATTTCCGCACATGCTACTAAATTATTTTCACCAAATCATGAAACATCAACGAGAAACTGGAATCCAGTGAACAAAATGTAGGTACTTTACAACAGCCTGTGCTTTGTCATAAAAAAGCATGTATTGGACATGCTCTCTTAACTAACAGCTGAGCCTCTGCTGCCCAAGTCAAAACTGCAATGGCAAGTAAAACAAAAAAAATCTCAAAACAAGCTAGTGGCCATCAAGCATCAGTTCTTTACTGTTTCCTGATTAAAGTTAATTCCCCTTCAGGAATAAATAAAGTTCTTCTTATTCTTTTATGTGACAACTGAACTTGAACCATTTTGATGTCTTATGGAGCCACATCAATATTTCAGCCCAGGATGAGAACAGCGAAGGACAGATTTTCCTTCTAACAACAGACTACAGTTAGGGCTGGCCGATACAACGATATACATTAACAATTAATTTCCCTCAATATCAATATAAAACACAGTCAATGTGCTTTTTGATAGTCGCCACTCTGCCATGTTTTGGTACACTATAGGAATAGCCAATGAAAAGGGGAGTTGCTCTGGGTCCGCTTTGTGCTAAAACAATAATGTGCTGAATTAGAACCAAGTAGCAAACAACTGCATAGTAGCAGGCAGCTTGTTAAAGGGTACTATGACAATCGAAGGTGTAGGGGAGACCGGGGCTTGTTGTCACACGGGTAAGTTGTCACATTGCAATTATCTTTGCCACCAGAGGGCACAACTAAAAAGTGGAATACTAGTTTTATTCTTTTACATGGTCAGGGATGGTGTCCTGTCTGAGAAGAGAAGAGCACATTGTGAGCTGAGATGAGCGCCAATTAACCATTTAGCCCAACCCAAAGTAAAAAATAATTAACTTTATATATTTAAAATAAGCTGAAATCATACACTGAAATCCCAGTATTACAGGGTTCAGCTATACGCAACCATAGCACTTTAAAACGTGAAGCCAACAGCACTGTCAGTGAGAAAAAAAGAAAATGAAACAAAAGGTGATGACATTGTCGACAACACTTTTCATGAAAACTGCAAATTATTTTGAGTACATGTTCTCACAAAGTTGGGGAATACCTCAAATCTTTTTTTCACCACCTGAAGCAGTGCTATGCGGCAGAGCACGCGCAATGCAAAGGGTTACAAACCCCGAACCCCAAACAACCGACCAAATTGCCCATGGCACCTGTGCAGCCAAAACAGCCGACCATTCAGTCCACTTTCTCGAGCGCAACACCTTATGACAAAACGTCAGAGAGAAACAAAGATCTCACAGATGCAGTAGCTTATTGTATTGCAAAAGACATGCTACCAGTAAGCACTGTTAAATTTAATGTTTCATATCATGATATATATCAATAGACTGATATGAGAAAATATATCAGGATAAACTTTTTCCCATATCGCCCACCCTTATCTACAGTTAAATAGGAGACATTTGTTACATAGATCAGCTAAGGCAGCCAGCATGGCATGAGTCACGTGTTTACAACGTACTCTGAGCATCTATAGGGATGTGGGGATCTCGTGTATGCTCAAATAATATCTGGGGAATCTGGAGGCCAACTCATCACTGGTATGTTCCCTGGACCACTTTCCTTCACTGTTATGCAGTTCTGTTATGCACTACAAACATTTTCAGTGGTGGACAAGTACGGTGGCCGACAGGAGTCAATGATCTGCATCAGTTTAAACAGGCTTTATTAGGAGACAGACACGCCCTGCAAATGCAGAAGTGATACAACCTCAAAAGCACATTCAAAAGTCCAGAACAAACAAAAAGGTTGAAATGTGTTGCAAATAAAAAATGTGCAGGAAAAAGCCAAAACAACTGCATGGACAGCAGAAGTGCTGTAAATACACAAATGACACAAAGCAAAAACTCACAAACAAAAAACGATAAAACTTAAGTGCTCCAGGCCTGTGGGGGGCGCTGGGTGACACAACTTTGTTACTGAGATGGAGAAGAACATTAATCACCATCACCACCCCTGCAAGCTTAGCTGTCTCAGCTGACTCTACCTGGTATCAGACTCAGAAAACACAGGCATGTTGGCTGCTAGCTGTTAGCACTGGCTCCAGACATCCTGAAGCGACCACACAGAACCTCCACTCGGGTCTTCTTGGGGTCAAGAGAGCATTAGGACTGATCTCAGAAATGAGGACTGTGGACACTTTCAAAAAGGGGTTGAAAACCCATTTGTTTGCACTTTTTTTGCACCTTTGTTTAACCAGGACTTTGGCTACTCATGTACTTTTTGTTGATTTTTATGTCTTGTTGTCTTACCCTTTTTTTAATTTGATGACTGTGAAGTACTTTGTGACAACTGTTCTAGAAAGGTGCTATACAAATTAAGTTTATTATTATTATTATTACTGCTGACATTTTTACCTCCTCTTCACCATTACCAGTGTCAGAATCTAGATCTCAATCTCATGACTGCTGTGATAAGTGTCTAACACCTTTCAATCAGAACCAGTGTTAAACTTTCAGGCAGCTGGGAAACCACTATGGGTAAGTACTGACCCCTTCTGATCATGGGAACTGCAGTTTTGGAGATGCTCTGACCCACTCATCTAGTCATCGCAGTTGGACCTTGTTACATCTTCACACATTCCTGTTTTTCAGCTCTTATCTTGACACGATTGTTATTCACTGAATACAAACCACAGGCATCCTTTGTGTACCCACTGCATATCCCCCTCGTGACAGTATCACAAAATAAAAATGCAAATCTACCACACAGTTAAATAATAACAACAAAACTGAAGCAATGTGAATGGGTGCAACAGTCAGGTGCATGCTTTCTACGTGACGCTGTCATGTAAGTAGAGAATACATGCAGATGTTTTGTCCTACCTGGAGGGCAGAGCGCTCCGCAGCCCATGTCTGTCTGTCTCTATCCCCCAGGTTCAAGTATCCTCTCTTGGCTAACAGGACCTGCTCTCCCCACTACAGCTCATATTTATCAGGCTGAGCTCTTATCTCTCTCAGTCCCACAAAAATGAAAATTCTATATGAACTCTTTCAGATAAACCGATGTGTTACCTCAATTGCTTTAAGTGCTGAATTTTCATTTAACACAAAGACATGGTTGGTACTCTTGTGGATGCATCGAACAGATCCTATGCTGTAAAACCTTGTGTGCATGTGATCTCTTCTCAGGATAAAACATTCAGTCCCTTCAGCCCTGTCTCTTTTATCCGATATTACTCCTGTTCAATCCGGCACCCGCTCTTTACTCAGCAACATGCAGCAATTGCCATAAACGTTGGGATGACTTAAATTTAATCAATGACCAAGACAAGAGCAACCAACCTACGTTTTCCATTTAATCATGGGACACACTTCACTCAGTGCATGTGTATGTGCGTGTGTGTGCAACATAAGACCACACAGTTTCAGGTGAATGCATGCAAGTCCTGTGGACAAAGACATCAAATAGGGCACAGCTGTGCTGCAGCATCTTGAATGACAAAATAATCATCCAATTGAAAGCAACCTTTTTCATTTGCTGATAAAACCTGGCCTTTGACAATGAATGCCATACTCTCTGAAGCCTTGTGTATTTCAAAAGGTTCCCTGGATGGCTGTAAACTGAACACTGTGTCTAAAAAGACGACTGTAGGAGTACCCTTATTTACAGCATCTCCTTGGTAGTTATTGCAGTCAGCTTGTTAAAGGGTACTATGACAATTGAAGGTGTAGGGGAGACCGGGGCTTGTTGTCACACGGGTAAGTTGTCACATTGCAATTATCTTTGCCACCAGAGGGCACAACTAAAAAGTGGAATACTAGTTTTATTCCTTTACATGGTCAGGGATGGTGTCCTGTCTGAGAAGAGAAGAGCAAATTGTGAACTGAGATGAGCGCCAATTAACCATTTAGCCCAACCCAGGTAAAAAAAAAATAACTTTATATATTTTAAAATAAGCTTCTTCCAGATAAAAATCCTAGCAGTTGCACATGTAAACTTGTTAGAGGAGTGATTAAGGCATCCTGTCATAGCTCAGTCATTGTTCTGTTTTAAACTAACTTTAAGTTAGAGCTCTAATTAGCAAACATGGTTGTTTGGGGCAACATGTCTCAGTCATTTTGGGGTTAGTTGTCAAATGTTTAGAGGGAATTAAAATGAACACTGAGAGTCTGCTTATCAGCACTTGTCTTATTGATATTTTGACTATTTTTACAGAGAAAAGAGGAGAAAGCGAGAAGACATGGTCAGGAATTACTAAAGAAACATCTGACGTGATGCTGAGGACAGTCAGGCAGGTGACCCTAGCTAATAAATCAATCTGGAGTACAATAAAGGACTTTAATGTCAACTACCATACCTTGGCTCGGTACTGCAAAAACATTAATCCCAGCTGAAATACAGAGTCAGACAGATCTTCAAACTCCAGAGCATGTTGCATAATATTTTATGTTAATGTTTGTTCAATGACTTTTTCTAGCTCAATGATAAACATTTTCTGTGCCTGACTTTGACGCTCACTTTCATGTAAAAAATGAGAACATTAATTTTGTCCTCGTTTTATTAGCTGCAAAATCCACTGTGACATCTTACCCCATATAATGAGACAACTTACCCAATGGTGGGGCAATATGTCACATGTTCACACTCTCTGATTGATTGCTTATAACTCTGCACTGACACAAGATATGAAAATGACAGGAATACAAAATATATACCTGAGACTTTGGTCTTTCACCTGGTACACATTTTGTTTATATATGATGTATGGATTCCAAGAAATATTTAAGAGTGAAAAAAGTGTGACAACAAGCCCCGGTCTCCCCTACATGAGTAGACCGTGCAGTTCCCAAGAAGTCCAGGGCTAACATGACCCTGAGCCTGACAGCCTTTCCTAGGACGATCAGCATCAACGCTTGAGTTCCCATAGTCTTTGTGAAAGTGGAGGGAGTGTAGCTTGGCCCTCCTTCCTCCCTCAGTGTGTGACGGGCCTGTGTTTACTCATGCCTCATTCCTCACTTATTACACCAGGAGCGGATTCAATGCCTTACATGGCTACAGACAGCCCGCGGCCATGAAAACACACACAAGAAAACACACGTTTTAGCCGAGAGTTTCTCTGCGAGTCTGAAACTGAACCTTCATTTCTTCAATGTTGATGGCTTCTGAATTTTTACTTTGCAAAGACTACGCTAAATTTGTCGTATTGAAAGCGAGGCTACAGCGGAGGTTATAAAGATAGTTTTCGAACTCCAATTACTTTATCTTCAGATTGGAGACGAAATAAACAAATTGTGTGAGAATCAAAAATAACCAGAACTCTTTTCGTTAACGTTGATTTATATGCCCTAGCTGCATACCTTCCTTAGCTTTTTTCCTCCTTGCCAAAGTTCCACCAAGTTTCCCAAGGAAAGAGTCATCCTTCTTTCTGGACGACGGGGATTTGGGTGTTGGAGATTTCGGTGAGGACGGAGACTTCTGCGGTGAGGACGCCATAATCGTCAAAACTGTTAATCCCAGGGAAAAAAAGACAAACCTGTCCCAGTTGACGTGGGACACAAAGTTATTTGGTAACTCAGATGGGGGAAAAAAATCTCCGTCCACTCCCTAAAGCGGAAACGGAATTCCAGACATTTTCTACCGAAGTTGGTCCAACTGATTGGCCCCTCCTCTTCTGCGCGGAGGAGGGCAGAGCTCGGCTGACCGCGGGAACAGGGAGCTCCTCTGCAGCCGTGTCACAGCAGCTGTTCAGGCCGGAGGATGCAAAAACACTGCCGACAGGAAATTGACCCGAGGATGTGCACCACCAGAGGCCGTGTTCGACTTCAAGCTGCAAAACAAGGCAGGAAAGTACACGAAAGCTGCCCGGTCGATATTTTGTTGCTCCAAGATCAACTTGGTCCTCAAATTTTTGCAACTTGTTGCACATTTTGTTTTTATTTAACAGGAGTACCCCTACAAAATGCAGTGTTAAATTCTGCCACCATCGTCCTAAATTGAACGTAATGAAACTTTTCTTTCCTTTTAATTGTTCAAAATTAAGAGTTATAAAGTTTGGAAGATATAGGTCCAAGTTGTAAATGACATTCACAGGACAAATGTACGGTGGCCGAGAACTGCCACTGCTGCAAATAAAAAAAGAATGCAAAAAAAAGAACTCATAATGGAAATTACTGATGCACAAAAAGAAGCCGAAGCCTGCTGCAAATAAAAAAAAAGAAATGGTGCAGATTAAAAAGCTACAATGGGAGTTAACGACCAAAAAAAAAAAAAAGTGGCATTGGAAAAAAAAGTTCCTTACTGCAAAAATAAAATAAAATTGGATTCTTTTTCATTTGCAGCAGTGGCGGTTCTCGAACACCATACAAATGGATTGCTTGAATAGTGGAAAAAAGTTGTAACTGCAGGCAATTATGTTTATTTTATTTTATTCTTTTTATTTTTTTTATTAACCTTTAGAACATAAAAGTTGAAGCAGCATAAAACCAAAATACTCACATTTCAGACCATAGTCTTTTCAGGACAACATAACTTACAGGGGATTAAGTGTTCATTTATACATCCATTCACAGCAAACTTAACATTTAAAGCCCACAAACCCAATGAGCATTGTTGTGTCTCATCATGGGTAAAAACTAATGTAAATATTAATTGTCTCTTGTGGAGGGTGAGGCTGCTTCACAGCTCACACATAAGAATAAAACAAGCAAAATGATCACAGTTTAACTGACAACTGTTGGTCACAGGTTAACAGCTCTGAAGTTAGAGAAGAAAACTACACCTCATGCCTGACCAGTGATGTCAAGGCAGATGGCTTGTCTTGACAGCTAAGGAGGACAAAGGCTGTAAGATTGTGTTGCAATCCCTGGTCTAACATGCGGTACAGCTTCAACCTGGGCAAATGCGGTTTTCTGAAGTTTTCTGAAGCTTTCTGAGTCAGCTGCACTATATGGACACCAGTGTCAAAGAAAATTGAAGTGGAAATTCCACTACAGCAGCAGATATCCACCACGTGGCAGTTACACTCTTATCCTGTGTTTAATTGTCATGGAGTAAATATGTATTTAAACTTTATTTGACAGTGTTGAGGCACACAGTGAAAAAAATAAAGGAAGGAATAAAGGAATGTAACAAATAGCATTGCTACAAAGTGACTACCGGTGAATGAAAAAAAAAAAAATTAATCTATTCATAACATTTTAAAACTATTTACTACTTGAAGGGTAAGTGTTGAGTGACTCTATTCCGTGTTCTAGTCAGTGTGAAGTTCAGTGCAACAATAACTCATCACAACAACTCTCGAGGCATGCAACCAAACAGCTGAGGTGTGCCAGTACATTTACAAGGCACTCACATTATTCCAATGAATTGAACAGACTGTATTGTATTCTGTTTTAGTTAGATCTGTGTTTGGACATGACAGATTCAACTTAACAGCACACAGGTCAAATTCTCCTCATGACAGACATGTTATTGCCAGCTCTATTGCCATTCACTGTGATGTTGTCTCTGAGCTCAGCAAACAGCAGAAGGAGACAAAATAGGCCCAGCTTCATTTCTTAGGGCAAAAATGCACCTGGAGGTCCATGGTCCTAAAAGTTTTTTCTGCATGTTTTAGCTTCATCAGAATAAGAGGATAAAAGTTTCCGGCTTTTTTAAAAATGGAAATAGTGTTGTGAAGGGCCTCCTTATGCCCTTTACATTCTGCTCTGTTCTTCAGTGCTGAAGTTCTCAACACTCATCCTTTAGCTCATCTGTTTGAACCCAGTTAAACTCGTAGCCCTTGAACAATATAAGGCTTTCCAGGTCTCTGTCCTCGGCCCTCTCCTTCAGCCTCTGCTCCTCCAGGATAGACACCAGCATGTCTCGTTTTTCTACTGTCCTCATGATCTCTGCAAGGATCTCCTGCTCCTCCTGCAGCTCAGAGGCACTTTTCTTTGTATCTGAGTAGGGCAGAAAACAAGCCGAAAATAAGGGGTGTGTTTTATAAATGTATTTTATTTATTTAACAATCAGACCGTGTGTGTCTGTGCTTGATCTACCCTTACCTTCTGTTGCCATTCTCTGCCGCAGTTCCTGCTGCAGTCTGCTCTGTGTGTCCTCCAGCTCAAGCTCCTGAGCACTGCAAGAGAAAGAGAAAACATAATTAATATTTCCCAGTTAAAGTTTTTAAACCTACTATGTTTTATCACACACAGTCACTTACAAGATCATGAGCTCAGACTCATAGCGTGCCAATCTGTTCTTCTCCAGGACAAGTTTAAACCATGACTGATAAAGCTGGGCCTCTTCACTGTCATCCGTGGGAGATGGTTCTGAGATGGTAAACATGGAGAAGCAAGACAAGAAGAATAACGAAATGTGGGTATGAGTGGGGTTTTCAAAGAAGGAAAGAAGAGAGGGATGGATGCGGAAAGATGTTGTATGGTTGACAGGGAATGGTGGGGTGCAGTATAATAAAGAAATAAAAAATATTTTGGATTTTACTTCAATTCTGTGAAGCCATTATTAAAAAAATACATACTTGAATCACACACACACACACACACATTCAAATACAAAGGTTATCTGCTTTGCTTTAACTTGACAAGACGACACTATTCACTGGAACACAAACAAAGGCTTTTTCTGTGAAAAGATGAAGCAACGATGAAGTCCCACTGTGTATTGTGAGAACAGCCATTAACTGTACTGTGTGTAGAGGCTTTTACCCAGAACAGCAATACAAAGCAATGCTTTTTTGTAAATGGTTTGAGAAGTATTGGCAAATCAATAAATAGAGCAGATGAGTGAAGTTTTCACAGTGAAATTCCACTGGGCATTACATTTATCCAAAGTGTTACGATTCATACTTCCGTCAATGAAAGTAGCTTTGAATATCTTCTTCAGACTCAAGGACTTTTGTAAATCACTGGTCTGTGGGTGTGTATATTGTCCAGTACCTGTTTCTCCTCTTATAGTTTTTTCTATAGCCACCCCTCTCTCCTCAAGATCTCTCTGTTTCTCTGCAACCTCCTCCAGTTGTCTCTGGATGGCCTGGGGGGCGCAGAAATGAGACATAGGACACACATGGTTCAAGTATGAGATCTCAAATGCTGGTTTACACAATACTGTAGCTTGAGATGCTTTCAAAGTATTTTGATCTGTTTCAAGTATTTTTCTGCAGGAGATGTAGTTTTTATTCAAGGAAATCCAGACAAATCACTGCAAATATTTTTACCTTTCTGGCCTTTATAGACGAAACATTTTATAAAAGAAAAAAAAAACTCTACAATCAAGAACTACTTGCAGGTAGTTGTCCAAATAATGCTTTGTTTTTGGTTTTGAAAGGAGTTTTCTTTCTCTTTCTTATTAGATGTAATCAAACAATATTGCATTTACTCTCTTGATACCAGGGTCACAAGAGACATATCAGACACAAGGTCTTAGTATCTGGAAAATGCAGAACACTGTGTGCAAGGCTTGATTTTACAGCTTTTAAAGCAATAATTGAACCTAATGGACAGGTCAATACAAAATGTGTGCTTGTACATTCATTATTAAGCTGAAGACAGCATCCTCTTAGCTTAGTGTACTGTACAACCGAAGCTAAGCTAACCTTAATCCATTGCTACATTGATGTCAACTATTTCTCTATACAGAGCAGTGGAATCAAACAGTGGAGAATAATGACAGTGATCCTTCAGCCGCGTAAGGACAAATTTCAATGCAATTAGAAGTAACATTCATTTAGTACTGTACTTTGTCTCACACAGGAGATGTTTTCAGCTGCTGAAGAAGTGAAATTTTGTGCTTACAGAAGACCAGAGAGGCTTTATGCCATAACACTATACATTAAAAAAAAAAAAAAATGCACTATAGGATTTTTAAGCCCAAAGACATCACAGTAGCGCCTCTAAAAGAAGGATTAGAACCTGTGCTCGGTGAAGCCTCTTCAGCTGCTCTCTTTTAGCCTGTTGGGCCATTATCTTCTCTTGATTCTTCCTCTTCCTCTCTTCAGACAGCTGGGATAAAAAGAACATTACAGTGAGCATGCAGTCCACATGCATGCACGTGACTGTTTGCCTTCCCTGCAGTGCCCTGTGTCTGAGTAAAAATAATGATCTGTACTAACCTTCTGATTGGATGTGACATTTTCATGTTCATCATCGCTTGAGGACAGATCTTCCATACTCTGTTCACTTGAAACTACATGAAAAAAGAAAAGCAGATAATGATGAGGATGACAAAAAAGTGACTTTATGAATAAAACATTTGAACATCTGTTTTATAGGTGTAAAGCCATCTATGAAATTGGATGGTGAAAGCTCTTAAGCACCATATGCAAGCATGCAAGTCTTGCCTTCCTCTTGATTTTAAAACAAAGAGTTAGGTAAATGTTGTATAGCGATTGACATATTGACCTTTGTCACTGCTAACTTCAGCCCACTGAAAGGGATATTTCAGTGTAAGTTTAAACCATGGTCAAACAACACGGTAACACCAAGTTAGACATCCCCTCTAGAGATGGATGTTGCCGACTGCTTGCTTCTCTGGTTATACCATCTTCATCAACGACCGCACAATAGCAATACACAGCGGTCTACATCTCCACCTGCAAACCTCAACCAAAAGGCCACTCTATAGCCACAAATAATGCTTAGAACAACACCTAACCTCATCAACAGTACATATAAGGTCCTGGCCATAGTACTAGCCACCAACATCTTTTTAGCTTTGCCTGAATTCTTTACCATAGAGACCAAACACAACTCATCCACTCTCCTCCAGCAGTCGCTTGTTTGTGGGGAGAGCCCTGATGAGTCGATCACAGAGTGCAGTGGAGTTCCACAGCTCAAGGAAGAACATTTATGGGTATTACTTCATGGAAATGCAATCAGAGGTCTTGTGTATCTTGTATGTGCACTGCAGACGCTGAAGTTCTTCTGCCTTAGCATCTCGGTTTGATTAGATTTCTATGAAGTAATGATCATAAAAATGTTTGATGCTAGTACTATGGCTTGGACCCTATATGTACTGTTGATGAAGTTAGGTGCTGTTCTGAGCATTATTTGTGGCTATAGAGTGGCTTTTTGGTTGAGGTTTGAGCATGGAGACTTAGACCACTGTGTAGTGCTATTGTGTTGTTGTTACTAAAGTTGGTATAACTAAAAAAGCAAGCAGTCGGCAACATTCATCTCTCCAGGGAGTGTCTAGTGTGGTGTTATGGTGTGTTTGACCATGGTTTAAACTTAGGCCAGAATATCCCTTTAACCTTAAATGTCTAGTCTGAGTCTTAAGACACCCTAAGCGGCATACATCAGTTATCCAGTATTTTGCCTCTCAGAAAAAAGTAAATTAAGTAAACATGAATCTTGATCACATATAAACACAACAAAAAGATGACTGTGCTATCAACTGTTTATCAGTAGAATCTGCATGGACCTGCAGACATGTTTGTCTTTGAAAAGCATATTTAAATGTTCTCATTAGTAGGAGTCCTTTTACAAGTGTTTTAATATTAACTAGTTGGGAGTATTCACCTTTATTACTAAGGTTTGTGAGAATTGTCATTATTTCCTTTTGTACTTCCTGGTCCTGCCCCTCATTTTCTGATGCTTCACTCTTTTTCAGCCTCAGGGATGAAAACAAGTTGATCTTCTTTCGTGGCAAAGAGCCCTTTTCATTAATGAACACCCCACCAGGGTCTTTGCTACCCCTAATGGACACACTCTGCAACAGCGTGGGAAGGTCCTGTCCAGCCTCCCATGGATTGCCCCCAACTGAGGTCCATGCAGCATCATGCTTGCCAATCTTATTATCATCTCTGGATGGTTCTGGACCCATGCTGCTGAAGAGGGAGGTAAGGCCAACAGCTCCTAGTGACATAGGTCTCTGTTTGCGGTTGCCCTCACGTTTGGGTCTTCTGTTGGGTGGCAAGAACATTGATATTGAGAAAAGTGTATTCACTTGTATGTTTCTACCAAGTTGTGCAGTGAGTATGATCAAATACATAGTTTTGGCAGGATGTTAATCAAAGAATCCAGTCTATAACAGTTTGAATGGGTTTTTAAAACCAGCTATAAGCAAATCGTTTAATACAAACATTGGGACTGCAATGTTGGAGCTGTTTGGGGGATTGGTCACACTAAACGTCCTCCTGAAGGCATCGGCTATAAGCTGGAAGGTTGAGGTTGATGAGGCAGAGGTTTGGCTCTGGGATATTTCCCCATCCAGGCCATAGTCTGTCTGAAGCTTATCTGCCTCTGTCTCTGCTTGAACCTGATAAAACATCAGAGGAGAGGAAAAATGCAGTCAACATAATGTGGAGCAGAAAACCAAGCATGCTTAGGTCTATTTCCCTTTGAAAAAAACAAGAAAGCCACCTTAATAAATGACTCACTTGGAGTTGATGTACGTTTTTGTTGTTTGTAAAACTTGTGGTCTCTTCTGGTGTGACCACCTCATCCCAGCTCAGAAGCCTCTCTTTCTCGGAGAGAGATAACATCAAGCGTTTCTTGGGACAGGATGAGTTGCTGACTAGGGCTGAGCGCTCCTTACTCTTCTCGCTTCCCTCTGAGGAATTCTGGGTATCTGTTGATGTCTGTGAACCACTGTTGATGTACTGAAAAAACAGAGATCTTGCTAGTGCACAAAAGCTATTTGTACACAGCTGTGTACCAGGTTGTATATCAGATTTGAGCGAACTCACCATTTGTGTTTCTGCAGAGGTGAGCTCCTCAAAGTCAGAGTCAGCTTCAGGAAGAGTTTCCGGTTCTTTTGTGTCCTGGGACCAATCTCTCTGGAAGTGCTTGATAAAGATCAGAGGGAGGGCTGTATAAAAGCAGAAAGTAAACTTGTTTATATGAGAGACTGAGGTATATGAGAAACTTCTTAACTCTCATTTTTATGAGACTGTGATTTAACCAAAGACCAAAAAGTCACAATGACTACTTTCTAGAAAAGACTTTAAATTTTCTGTGAGTTACAGAGAGACACAGTTGAAATGAGTGAACACATCAAAGCAAACTATCTAAATGGGCTAAAAGAGAAAGATACTGACCCCTTGTGGGCTATGTAGCATATTGCAAAATGGTGATCTTTGTACAATATTTACATGCAGCAATGAACATCATAGAGGAGAAAGCTGAGCGTGAATAGACTGCAGAAAGCCCAGCTTGGTCAGTGATAGGAGGAGCCATGCAAAGAAAAAAACATCTACAAATGAGGTACCCACTCGCTCTGATCTTCCGTTTCCACCTATTAGTCTGTTTGATGTTACAATGATCTCCTGAGATAAGAGACAAAGACCAAAACACACTGAGAAAAAGCAGACTGAGTTCAAGAGGATGAGACTCATGAACTATTAAAGTAGCATAAAGAGGAACTTTTCTACAGTGTGTTTTTGGGATTAAGGTCTGACTCTGCTTCTCCACTTGAGCAAACTGCAGGGGACATGTGAAGTGATTTTAGGTTATAAGAAAAGAATCAGTAATCCAGGGGGCCTGAATTTATGCTGGATGCTGATGTACAGTGCAAAAATATGGGAAGTTAAGCCCCAGTTAAAAACCACAGATGTAGGCTTTGTTGCTGTGCCAGGGGTAAAGTCAGAATGAAAAAAAATATACATATATTAGGATTTATTCTCTGTACATAAGGAACACAAAGTCTCATCTTCATCCAAGTCCTCCTGTTCCTTTGTTTGATGTACAACAGACTAAAAGGGACATACTGTAACAATAGTTTGCTCTTTTTATTCAAGACGATACTGATCATAGGAACTTCAAAATAATAAGATCACACTGTTACTACTGTGCATGTGAAGCAACATGATGTTTCCTTAAATGTGTTACTAAGAGGGAAATAAAGCAAATAAAAAGCATTTACATCATTACTGTGCTTTTTTTACTGCAGCCTTAGTGAGCAAATTTTGATCAATTATCTAAGATCTTGATGTTATTAGGTAATCATAAAAATCTTGTTTGTTTTTTACTTCCAAGTTATTTCAAAATTAAGAGATCCTAGTCTCATTACTTCAAGGTTTCCTCTTATAAACGAGATCTTTTGTTGTGGTTACAAGACAATCACTCAAAGTTAAGAGATCAATAATTAATGCTGCTTTTCTTATCTGAATACCATGTGATTTGATGGAACATATGTGGACTGGCCTGTCCATTGAAAACATCTTGTACAGGCTTGCACAGCTGGCACTGACCTTTGGTACTCTCTTGGCCCCTGGCTCCTGTTGTATCTTTTGCAGTGGGTTTGACCTCACAGGAATCATCCAGAGCTTCCACAGCCATCTCTGTGTCTTCACAAACCCTTTTCTGATGCTTTTCAAGTGGCTCTGAATGCAAATAAAAACAGTGTGTAGGAAATTATTTTTTCCACTATCTATGAACAAATGCTAACTGTAAAATAGTTTCAAAAGTAGACAAATGAAAATAAAAAAGGGCAACAAAAAACAAACAAACAAAAGCTGGACTCTGGTTCGTTTCATGCATTCTCTCTCTAACTAGTACTACAGAGGAAGGTAACAGTAACTGCACTCCTTTCAACCATAACAAACAGTCTTTAAACAATCAGTAAATTGCTGCCTGTTACGCAGAAAACATATCCTTGTATACATTCCATATAGTAAAAACATTTAGTGAAAATAACAAACTGTTTGCTTCTGAGAATGACACATGCAGTCCACAGTAGGGCTGGGCGATAAACCGAAAATGTACAGATAGTAAAATTTACAACAATAACTGATGTCATTTTGCCCATATCTGTATATTAAGTGTCAAAAAAATAAATAATAGTTGGTTTTGGATGTGTGTAGGTAGGCTATGGTCTCATATCCCTTTAAGACTCCACCCATTCAGTTTGTAACAAAGGGGGAAAGACAGGTGAGGAGATGGAGGATGGTTCAAAAGTTGTAGCCACTGGAGCGGCAGCTGAGGTAGACAAAGTTAATGAGGGAGGGGGTGAGCAGCTTGTTGAGAAGTTATCGTCCATTTATCATTATCGAGGTGAACTGCTCAATATATCGTGATATTGGTTTGAGGTCACATCGCCCAGCCCTAGTCCACAGGGTTTGCACTTCCAGTAAAATATCATATCGTAAAAATCATTTGCAGCAAAAGTGCTGCTAAAACACAGGACATGTTCATGACAGTACTCACAGAGTAATGAGGTCAACATTGTACAGAGGAGAGTCCACTTGGTCAGAGAAAAGGCATGAAAATGTGTTGATGAAACCTTTGTACACAGTATGGCAGCTATTAGACATCCAGGGCTTAAATTAACTTTCTAGACTTTTTTTTTTTTAAATGGTATACATTGATGTTCTCACACAGCTTGACTAAGTGTTATAAGAACAGACCCAAGACAACCACAAGAGGATGAAACTTTACCAGCTGATAAACAGACAGCAAACTCAGAGGAAAGGATAGAGCAGACCCACCAGCAAAACCCACAAAGGGACAGGAGGTAGTGATGAGTGAGGATTTCAACTCCGATCAAGTTGACTCACAAAAGATCAGATTTAATTTGTATTTTAGGCATTTTTGGTCTGATGATTTTCTGTTTTTCATTCGCATCATTGTAAAAACGGTTTCCTATTTTTTAATTTACAGACAAAGCTTTTTAACCCACCTGATCAAACTGATCAGGTGGGTGAACTTTTGTAAACTTGATGTAACCTGATGTAAACTTTTACTTTCACTTTTAAATGTCTCCCTTTAAATGTGCTGCAAACTTCAAGGCTGTCATCTTTTCATTAGATGTTACAAAGCACATGTTATTGTTGTGTTAACAAAAGCTGTGATAGTACAAATGATTTGTGTGGGTGATGTTACATCAACTTAGCACAGGGATGAAGAAAGGATGACTTCAATGGAGGCCAAAGGTTTTGATTTTGTAGGTAAAACATATTCAAATACTTGGAAATGTGTTTTTTAATCAGGATATAAATGAGAGAATTTGATGATGCAATTTCACTATTGGGTAACAAAACACCAAGAAAATTAGTATTCATAATCAATTTGATTTATTTTGGAAGAATTTAACAGATTATTAATACCATAAATTACGCAATTTTACAGTAATTTTCATTGTGAAAAACAAATAACAAGGCTTGTAGGCTGTTTCAGTATCAATTGAAAGCAAAACTATGAAACATTTAGAGTACAGCCAACAATAAAAATATATATATATATATATAATTATATATGGCAGTGTGCAAATAGCTGCTATGTTGCTGCAGATCTCGAAAGCAAAGACTAGGAGGTGCATGAGAGAGATCTGGAGAGGGGCTCTGAGGGGGGAAGGCCTCCTTCTGAAACAGAGGGAACCACAGACAGACCACAGACATGTAGACACAGCTGTTACAGTCAGGTGGGTCTAAGAAGAGGAGAGCTGCTTCTCATAATGCATCAGAGCGTGCAGCAAAAATAAAAGCCGCATTCAAAGGACTTTTGTCTGATGTGAGGTTATGAGGAGATAAATACAGCACAAAATTAGTGTTAATAGAGTTAGTGTAGCTGCTGTTAAGACGACTACAAACCAACTGAAGGTGCTACATGTGCATCATCAGCATAGTGCAAGCACAAGTTTCCAAAAATCTTTGCTTCAACTTTGCAGTGAGTGACCAGGTTAGCTCATGGCAGGTTAAAATGATCACATTGATGTAGCTGAAGCTGGTGAACACTGAAACACTAAAAGCTTCAATGCCTCAAAGATCAAACTCTGAAAAAAGCCACAGTATATATGATCTGCCTCCTTATTGGAAACCAGTCACATTCACAACCATTCCTGACTGGCTTAGATTTCTCAAAGAGACTTTAAATATGAATGAATTTTTATTTGATTTCATTCTTTTTTTTTTTTTCTTTGGATTTAATTTTAACAGCCTTAGGTGGAGGTAAACCATTGTCGTGAAGATGGGTCTCCAGGGAGATCTCATGACCTAAGCAGGCCAATCATCACCATGCTAGCAGAAGTAAGCCAATCAGAGCATTGGAAACTTGAAACAGGGAGAATAGAAACTATGGAACGAATGAGAATGAAGTAGGAAAATGGAGAATGAAAACAAAACAGGGTGCTAAGGAATGCAAGGAAATGTATACCTAGCAAGGGAGTGATTTAAAAAAAATAATAATAATAATTAAAAAAAAACACACAAAATAACCTGCATTTAAATGAGACAACTGTCCAATAACAGGTCATTGCCTTAACAGTGAATTTGAAAAATTAGTTCTGCAAAATGAAACCAATAACCAGAAGTAAACACAGTTAACAATGTCAAATAAAGCCACTGATATACAAAATGATATGCAAAAGAAACTTTGTACTATTCAAAAATACAGTGAAAATCTTCACTGAGTCAGATTTATTATATGAAAATGTTTTGTGGTTCCTTTTTTAAGACAAAGAGAAAAAAAACAGTTAAGAAGGACTTAAAATAATACTGATGAAGTTTGGCTTTCTCACAAAATCTTGGATTGACCAAAAATCAAATCCTTTTAAACTTTCTTTTACATTTTCAATATAGATACTGGATGTTATGAGCAGAGCTCAGTGAGATAAAATTAAGAAATCATAAATCAGAGATATACTGAATGTAATTAGATAACTTTTTTACAAGTACAAAATAATAGAAATACTGACAATGGTGTAAAAAGTCTAGTTAAATGTGAATATTGTTCATATTAAATCATATTAAAAAAACACAACCTTATTTTGGCATTTCCAATGCACATCTCTGTGGTGCAGTATTCAAGTGCAGTGAGTAGAATGCAGAGTCAGTGTAACCTGGTAACAGACTTTTTCACATAATCACATCTGCAGAGCAGACAGTGAGGTTTAACATATGCCACAGTTTACATGTGAGAGAAAAATGAACTTCATCCAAAACCAAAACCATTTTTGTTTTCATATTAAATTATTATTAGCTGTATCATTAGTACCTCAGGCCCAATTTGTAAGCAGCCTCAAAAAAGCTGATCTGAGAGTCAACTAAAAAGCTACAGCTTTTCACTTATGTGTCAATCCTGGAAAACTGTCAGCATGAAACATTTATTCACAACTGAATCAGAGGACCAGTAAGATAAATTCCACACCAGGCAATGAATACAACAGGTGTGAGCTAATCAAGTAAAGCATTTTCTGTACCCTCAAAGAACTGGCCTCATAAAACACCTCTGGTCACCATGAATTGGCTACAACAAGCCCTGAGGGACTTCCTTTTTTATGTGAGCTGGTGGCTGAAAGGCTGTTACTGGGCCAGCTGGGGCTCTTGGTAGATTTGTCCCAGCACCTCGTGCATCATGCAAAGAAGAGGACAGCCCAGGCTCAGCAGCTCATACAGAAACACATAGTCATGTGAGTAGCTCCTGAAGTGGGATCCCACAGCTGTGAAAGACTCACACACACTTCCAAACAGCTGTTGAGGCAACACACACACAGCCCGGCTAGCACGCCTAGGCCAGCTCAGGCCTCGCCTAAGCAAGGAAACCAGGGTACCTGGGGGCTGGATCTGGACACTGCTTATTGCTGAGAAGCTCCCACTGGCCAAAGATGAGGGTTTGGAGCGGCTTTGGTCTTCCTATGTTTATAAAGAGTCACAGTGGAAAAATATTAACAAAATATCCTTCTGAGATGAAATGAGATGTCCAAAGAAAAATAAATACAATTAGATTTTTATTTTTTTAAATGTAAAGATTTTTTTTTCTCCTATTTTCCTAATTTCATTTTTTTCAAATTTTTCAAATTCATTTTTTATTGGTGAGCAGCTTTTTTGTTCTTGTTGTTGCAGCTTTTACACAAACAATGCCAGGACAACGAGATTGTGACACCTGTAAAATCTAAAATCTACAGTTTCAGAAATTCATTAGAAAATTTGTTTAGACATTAACGGCAAGAAAATTTAAAAACTATTTGAAAATGTGGACACCTTTTAGAGCTAACACCTAACAATTGCTGGTGGACATAAATTATTTTGCCCTGGTTAGATTAAAAGGTGCAAGCACAATACAACAAACATAAGGCAGAACTATGCAAAGTTTTTTCCAATGGCTGATTCAAAAATCCTAACTGGTCATAATAAAATCCATGTTTATCAATCAACAATCAACCGGCAACATTCTGTCTAATGCAATGTTACAGTGTGTTTGACCATAACATAATTTTACGCCAGAATATCCCTTTAACAAACATGTTCACACATTTAAACAATTCCACACAAACTTCACAGACCAAAGACATTTCCTGAGAAATAAGTTGATAAGCATGAATATATGTTGCCTCTGAATCTATGGTCACAAATGAAACATGAAGCAGATCAGCTACAGCGTCTTCTGAACTGCTCTTAACAACACATTTTGGTCTTTAGGGCAGTAACTTCTAAACTTCAAAAGGAAGACGCTAGTCCAAAAAGTTTAATTTGGTCTTACAGTATATTTGTAGGTATATTAGTAAAGTTTTTCTTTTAGCCCCTACATGTTTTGACTCCAAACATCCTGCCACTTCAGACAGGATGGCCAAACCTTTAAAAATCAGCTGATAATGTCAGAGGAAGACTGCATCAACTTTGTATTTGAATTCTCCTCAAATAGACAGAACTTAAAAAAAAAAATCATCCAGTAGTCACATCCAACCTTTTTTCCCCAGAGTAAAGCAGGAAAATACTTTTCTTTCACTCTGTTTTAGAAAAATGGCAATGACTGCAAAATGACAATTTTACAGTTGGGTATAGTCTTATAGGAGCAGAGCAGAAAGAAGTAAATAAGGTAAAGACAGCCCTCCTTGAAAACTGAACAGGTGGTTTAAATATACTTTGTGCTCTTTCAAGCAACACATATCAATTTTTCATCTCAAAATTTATTTCCCAACTTTTTTTTTTGAACATGTACATTTTTGTTTTAGTTACCACACCAACCACCCTTACCATTCTCCTCCTGAACCTCCCCATGTGAGTGTTGGACTGGCGCTGGGCGTAATGCATCTTGCAGTAGAACTTGCCTGTAGAGGAAGTACAAAATGCCCTAAATCCACAGATAAGAGTCCTGGACAACATAAATTTTACATTCACAAAATTAAAAAAATTAAACCTCTGAAGTTAGATTTAAAATATTTATTGAAAAAGTTATCTAAAAAGTTAGATATTATCCACATAAGATCACTGACTGTCATCAGATAGACCAAATTTCTGAATTTTTTTTTTTACAATTTAATTTTTTTACAAACTGATCAAACTACATTCAAAATATTTGTCCCTACTTGTGTGTTCAAACAACCTACCCTCCTGTGAATCAAAGGCGTGCCCACCAAGACGGAGTGTGCAGTTGCAAACGTCACAACGGAAACACTCCCGGTGAAAGAAGTAACCCTCAGCACTCAGTCTCTCCATCACATACACCCTCTTGGTACAGAAATAACAGATGTCACTGCCACCGAGCCCAGGAGGGAAGTCCTTCCGCACCACACACTGACAGAGAGAAAACCAGGAGAAAGTTAGAGGACATATAAACAGCTGTTTTGTGTGTTTTTTTTAGAGATACTTATAATTCCTGTGTCCCTGCAGGAGAGTACTGAGAAAATCAATAACACAATAAAGCATTGAGATTCAGCCGTTAAGCTCTTTGTAACGACCCAAACTTAGCTTCAGGGATGAACAGGATAGTTTTGAAAATTGTTTCTCCATGATGATGCAATCTTCAATCTACCAATTTCAATAAAAGCTGGTACACCAGTGTGAAATGTAAAGAGAAACATAATTTGATGTTTTGCAAAACACTGTTACTTCAAAAATGACACAAAGACGATATACCAAACATGACTACAGAGACTCAAAGTGCTTTTGGAAAACAATCTGATGATTTTGAATTTTTCCTGCAGCAACATGTGTCAGAAAGTTTGGACACGAGTAACAAAATAATGTAAAAGTTGTTGTGAAATGTTGTCTTTCTGAAGTACAGATGGAGATAATATTTCACGCTGTGAGAGATTGTCTTGATAAAAAATCCACAAAGCATATGTTTAAAAAAAATTGAGAATCTGAAAAAGTTCTGTACACAAAAGACAAGACCAAAAAAAAACTATATTGAATGGCGTGATCTTCTGGCCCTAAGCCTGCGCTGCTTTCAAACAGACATGATTCTGCGGCAAACAACTCTGCACAGACTCAAAAATCACTGTCTGAGAACACAATTCATCACTCTGTTTAGAAATGCAAGTTCAAACTCTAATGCACCAGGAAGAAAGCAAATACGAAAAAAAAAAATCATTCCAAAGATGCCTCCACTTTCTCTGGGCTTCATTTAAAATGGACTGAGATGAGGTAGAAATCTACTCTGTGCTCTTAGAAGTCGAAATTTAAATTTCTTGTTTACAGTGTCCTCCAGGCTAAAGAAGAGGGCCCATCTGTCTTATTATCAGCCAAGTCTGAAAACCTGGATCTGTGGTGGTGCTAAGACAAATTAGACTAGCCAACAAAAACCACTGAAGGAATTGATGGAGCATTTGAAAACATAAAAATAAAAAAAAGAAGCTGTGAGGAAGCTGATATCCTGCATAAAAAGAATTATTACAGCTACTTAGTTCTGAATAATAAATACCTCATAGTAACAATCTGCTATTTCTTGATAGCACACCTTTGCTATGGATACAGCTCTAATCACAATCTGTATATATCAGCTTGGTTAATTAAATGTTTTTTATTATGATGGAAAAAAGAAAAGTTGAAAACAGTGAGGGACAGACAGAAGAGGGACACTGATACTGCAGGCTGTGACAAAAAAAATCTACAAAGTTAAGGATGGTGCATGAAGTAAATAATTAATCCCCATATTGGATGTGGTGTGTTGAAGGATTAACAAGAAGAAAGAAAATATCAGAATCTTACAGAAATGAGGCAGAAAAATTGCATCAAGAGTGGCGCTGATTCATGCTTGTTTGTTACCTTCACCATTGCAGGAGATATTCAGTTTAAAGTGAGATATAAAAGCTAGGTTAGGTTATTGACAGTTTTGAAAGAAACAGAACCTTTTTAAGTCAATAAAATCTTTCCCAAAATAAATATGAACATGGTGTAAAATCATTAATTCAATGGGTTCAATTGGCTGTGAAATAAAGAGGCCAATGAACAAGTGAGTGGGTTGATATGACTGATAACCTTCTGGAAGAGAACCTACTTCAACAACCCGCAGCAGAGAGGTTGACATCTACCCATTGCTTGCTTCAAATTCAACACACACATTATTTTCCCAAAGCAATTCTATTTTTATATTCAACATTTAATGCTTTGTCTTTAAGCTATTGTAATTTTACATGGGGTTTCGCTGTTTTGCAAATCATCACAATCTCTTTTGGAGATAAAGGTGCTTAAAAAGTGATGGCACCAACAAGCTTGCATCTGTACTACAAGGCAATGCTACTTCTACAAGCGTTAGTGTCAGTACTGAGTGCCCCTGAAAGTTTTCCCACAGAGTCTGCAGCAGTAATGTTTTTATTGTTATGTATATGGCCAGTGAAACAGTCAAGGGTCGAGATCCTGAGGTCTCATGGTCCTTGTACACACATAGCCGGGTATTTTTATGAACAAATATCCAACTCCCCTCCGTTTAAAAAAAAAAAAAAAAAGTCACGTACACACATCATCGTTTTAAAATAAAATCCCAGCCACACAAAACCGCATAAATGGACAATGGACCGTGGCCATAAGCATGCCTGACCTGGAGTTGGTAGTATTTGCCAAAAAGTTCTATCCAATCAGATCAAGCTCCCTTTCCTCATCGTCACTCCCCCAAAAATGAAACATAGCACCATGTAGTTTGTTCATATGGACCGACAAAGAGGTGGAATAGCTTTTAAGCATTGCTTTGGAGTATCAAATCAACAAGACACAAGAAAGGTGGAGGAAGGGTTATTTGGTGTAGAATAACCAACTGCAAAGCACTCCTGCTGCTCCTCCTCCTTTTGCTCCTCACTAAAATATATATTCTGTATATATCTGTGCCATCCACTGCTTGACATAAACAAGGGAGCATTAGTTGTTGCAGACTATGACATTTGGCAATCTAAAACTCTGGTTATCTATGTCCACACCATAGATTGTATATATGATGGACAACGTATGCCTCCTCACTGGGTGAAGCCACCGCGAGAACAGCACCCTCTGGTGACGGGCTGCAGTACATGTCATAAATTCCTCCCCCTCCAGCAAACTTTAGAAATTACACAGAATATGAATGTAGTTATCGTAAGACTGGTTTGTGCTGAAGTCCTCTTTTTTCAGTGCAGCTCCATTTTTAGAAGTTATTAGGGGGTTCATGTTTTCTGTGATTGACACTTGATACAGCCTCTGGGTGTACAAAGATTGTGTAGCTCACCGGGGGATACGCTGTTTAAGCCGAGCGTCATCACAGCAACTCTCCCACTGAATGCGTAAAATGCCACTGTGCAAGTGGTGGTTGCAGGAAGTTGCGGAAATCTCAGAAATACCGAGAGCAATTTGGCTTCAAATTCATATAATGAGGAAAGGTGGAGCCAAGTTGTCCATTGTATATACAGTCTATGGTCGACACGCTAACTCAAAACCAGAGTTTTCCAAAATCTTCACTTTCGCCTGAGTTTTCCAAAAGCACCGTTTTTAATGACATAATCCTGCAAATTCATGTGGATGGCAGGCCAAAACGTATAAAAATATGGTTCTGTTATAAACCAGGTTTAGTACCTTTATGTATTATTTCATGAATAATAAGTCTTTCACCTTAAGCTAACTGAAAAGACAGCCACTGATCAGGACATTTCAACAACCAATGTCACTCAAACCCATTCCCTTTATCAATCCTATCCATCCGTGTATCAAAATAAACAAGAAGCATTGTAACAAGCAGTAGTTAAGCAGAGGTTAAGGTGATTTTAGTAAGCTTATAAAGCCATCAACTAACTGACTTGTAGTCTTAACCACATTCAGGCAAGCACAACCTATTTACCGCCTTAGGACCTCTCCGTGACCAGGGAACAAGAGGCTGAAAAGGCAGATTTGCTTTTGTTAAAGAGGGGAGAAGCACAAGAGGACAGGGATATTCTTTCGTTTCCTTTACTCCTTTTTAGTCCATTTCCAAAAAGAAAAAAGGAAAAACAGACAAAAAATGTTATTTTGATTTTAATTTGTCTTTGGCAAACCACATGCATCTTACCGGTGCAGCATTGGGCCTATGGTCTGTCTCATAGAGGACGGCCAGTAACTGAGCTTTAGCACCTATGGCTGATGATACCCTTCCAACAGTACGCTAAAGATAATGCCAGGGACACACAAAGGAGCAGAGGGTTTGAGGTCAAAACAGAAGGAAGTGAGAACCACAGAGAAGAATTAGAGAGGACTCCTGAATAATTTTGAGATTATGACACAGTTTTGATCAGTGGTATCACTCTGTACCTCTTTCAGGTAGCCAGGAGCTCCAGACGGACAACTCTCAGAGCGAACAAGTGACTTATGAGCTGTTTTTCCAGGGCTCTCAAAAGTGCAGTTCCCATTGGGCTGAATAAACACCAGAATGCAAATCACACATGATGATAAGGAGTTCATATGAGTACATTTTCTATCATATTGTCCATCTTTAAGTTTTATGAATTTGGAATTCTTTATAGCTCATACATGATATATAAATATTTCAAAACTGGGTCAGAGGTGCTCAGGTCCACAATCTGGAGAACTTTGAATCTGGTTTATTCTACATAAATTGAAGGGATGTTTCAGCGAAAGAATGTTGCAGACTGCTTGCTTCTCTAGTTATAACAACTTTAGCAACAACCGCACAATAGCAATAAACAGCAGTCTACGTCTCCACGGGCAAACCTCAACCAAAAAGCCACACGTAGCCCTGATGAGTCGATCACTGAGTGCAGCGGAGTTCCGCAGCTTAAGGAAGAACATTTATGATTATTACTTCATGGAAATGCAATCAGACTGAGATGCTAAGGCCGAAAACTACCACATCTGCAGTGCAAAATTATTATTGTGATGATCATTACTTTATGGAAATGATCTGCTGCACTCGGTGATCGACTCGTCGGGGCTCCCCCACTAACAAGTTGCTGCTAGAGGAGAGTGGGTGAGTTGTGTTAAGTTCAGGCAAAGCTATAAAGGTGTTTGATGGCTAGTACTATGGCTGGGACCCTATATATACTGTTGATGAAGTTAGGTGCTGTTCTGAGCATTATTAGTGTCTATAGGGTGGCTTTGGTTAAGTTTTGTGAGTGGAGACATAGACCGCTGTGTATTGCTATCGTGCAGTCGTTGCTGAAGTTAGTATAACTACAAAGGTAAGCAGTCGGCAACATTCATCTCTTGAGGGGGTGTCTAACTCAGTGTTACGGTGTGTTTGACCATAATTTAAATTTACGCCGGAATATCCTTTTAAGACTGCACAGCCTTCCTAACTTAAGGATAATAGATGGGTTTTCAGTTTCTTAGTAATTATTAACGTCTATGTAATGTGGACAAATAAAAACAGTTTTTAAGACAAAATCTGAGGCTGCTCCAGAGCAAAATCATATCTAGACAAATCTAGAGGCTACAAACAAATTTTCTAAGTAAATTCAATGAAAAGAATAAAACTAAAGAAAAGTACATCAAGTAATAATAATCCATATCATTTATGGGCACCTTTCAAAAAACTCAAGGTACTGTAGCCAGGCTGGAAGGCTGTGGCCTCTAAATGCTGCTCAGTACTTCTCCCGAATTATAATTCCAAAACAGTTTTGTAAGTTAAACAATATTACTGATGATTTTTAACTGATACAGAGCATACGATAAATTGTTTTTATGGTCTGCTATAAGGTGAAGCTTGTCAGCAGGTGTCACTGGAGTAGTTAATTTGATATCAGAAACTGAACTAACTCCTCATGAGAAACTTGTAATACAGAATAGACTTTCAATCAATTTCATTAAATCTTGTGAATAATCTGGAAATAAAGTCGGCCTGTTGCGAGGCAAAAGAAAGTCAAGGGTAAGTATTTTCTGAAAGTCAACTGATGAGGGTTTAACCCAGTTCATTGTGTGCTGAATGCAGCTTTATTACTTTAAGTGTTATTCCGCTCTTAACTAGTTTAATCTGTATAAAACGCATTTGCATTACCCAAAAAGTGGTCCAAAAAAGCTATTAGATGGCTCTAAGATTGTAAACTGAAAGAAGGACGCTTTAACAAGAGATGTGAGGGATAGTATTACTGGACTAGAAATCTGTAAATAAGCATGACAAAAACTGTTACCTTCAAGTGAATATCTTCCACCAATTTCCTATCATCAAATCCCTCCTGGGCAGATTTGTTGACCCTTTCCTGCTCTTTATCATTTTTTGGGAGGGAAATAGCAGTTGTCCTCTCAAAGTTTTCCTTTTGCGCAGCAGTTCTACAGTTTTTATCAGAGAGGGGCGAGGAAATCTCATTGGGGCACGAGGAGATAGGGGTAGCAGATGTCTTGTTGTTGTCTGCTGAGGAATCAGCGTGAAGTACGGAAATTTGATGTGTCCTTTCAGAAACAGAGAGGGATGAGAAAGTAGATGAGTCTTTTTGTTTTTTGTCCTTCTGTCCAGCAGTGTGCAGAGGGACAGAGGAGAAACCGGCCTGTACGGTTGGGTCAGGGACAGGGTGGACTACAGGGTAGACTGCGGTGCTCTTAGATAGGGAGGCAGAAGAAGGAGTTGGTGGGGAATAGGATGTAGAAGAGACAGAAGGTTCCACCTACAGAAGAAAATTTAAAGAGAAATAAGGGAACAAATAAAACAGAGGGATAAAAGTTCACAGAAAGTAAGAGTTTCTATCAGAATAAAAGTTTTTTTAATTAGTAAAACAGAGGCATGTTAGTAAAGCGTTATCCACTCTGACCAATGGTTTATACACAACGGCAAGGCTCATGGAAAAAGTGAAATCAAGCAATACCATGCGCCAAAGAAGAGGTGATTTAAAGTTAAAAGAAAAAGGTGAGAAAAAATGTACAAAAATAAAGAATCAGGTGCTCTTTGGGGAAAGGGGACAAGACCAGCATAAAAGACAAAAAAGATGACCATCTTGATTATTAACAAAGAAAGTTCACATTTCAAACTAACTCTGATGCAGTATCAAAATGCGTTAATGAGCACCGACATGTCTACGCTTTTTAACTCATCTGAGACTTCGTCAGGTCCTGTGGGAAGATTTCTATACTGCATCACAGTGCCTTAGATTTCAGTTTGTACAGCTATTTTTCCAATGATTATAGATCGACAAGACAGTCATCTCTTGTTTTTCAATAAGCAAATTTGTTTGAAACAAAGTGTGTGCCAGTTGTGGGGTAAACTGCAAATGTTGCCTTATTTTAAATGGGAACCAAACACTAACTAGAAATATCTATGTCACCTACTTTTGTAATAAATGTCATCAAATCTGCAAGTTTCTTGCAATTTTTTTTAATACCACGGCTGAAGATATCATGTCATGAAACCCAGAGTTTCAAAAGGCATTAAAGACACAGTCCACCATACCTTTTGGAGTCTACAAAACATTGATCCTTTCGGATGATTTCACAGAATAAGGACTTGGCATATTTAGAAGGTCCCTCGATTGATTAATCATATAACTAACGATAAATCATCAATTTAATTGAAAATAGGCAAAAAAGGTGTTTTGAAATAACAAGCAGTACATCATTGGGGTCTTAGTTGTGTTGTACTTGTACACTGAATCGCAGTATTTGCAGGAAACCTCATCATTTTCTGCTGGTAATGGTCCCACACAACACTTTGTCTTGCTTTCTTCCTGATTTTTTTTTTTTTTTTTAATTTATACAGAAGCCCGCTGACGCTGTATCTCCCCCATTGTAATATGTCAAAATCCCTCAGCATGGTGATAGTCACTGCATTGCTTCAACACACAAACAGTGACTGAACAAAGAGGGTATCCCATCTGATCAGCAGAGGTTGATTTTTGCTGGAAAGCAGCTAGAGGATGGACGCACGCTGTCAGCCTTTTTTAATACCCTTAGATCAATCAAAATGTTGCGTGATCGACGTAATTCTTATTGATCAATTAATCGATCAATGATTATATTCCTAATCAGAATACCCAAGATTTCTATTTGGCACTGCTATTGGTGATAATAGGTCAAAGGTCAAATTTGAAAAGCAGGGATTGACCAGCATCAGATTGGTTGAAATTGAAGGAAAATTCTACTTTACAGCAACACTTGACCCCTTCATTCCATAAATCCAGGTTTAAAGACAATTGGTCAGTAAAACACCATTCAGTATAAGAATGCAGGATAACCATGACCAGGCCTGATTTAACATGTCTCACTGTACTAACTGTATTTTCAACATTGTGCTGTACCTGTGGAACCAATTGCACTGTATTAGTCCTTTTTAATAAGCACACTATTGTTATGAGCATGCAGGCATCCCAGCCCTGATGTAAGATAAACACTAAGACGGGATTGGTGCAAATCACCACCTGTGATTCAGATAAAGGAGACAAACTGGCAGAGGGAGATTTTTTGGACCCAGGGAACATGGAGGAGAGGAGGACGGCCCTCTCCTTTATACTTCTTCCAGAAAATTCCCTGGCAGACAATCTCTTGGCTTTGCTCTGCAAACACAATAGATTGTGTTTGGTGAAGAAGAGAACAAAAGTTAGTTCGAGAGAAAATTTTGTTGAAGTTGGGTTAACTAATTACAGGCAGACCTGATATTTCATTCACCTGCTGCGTTGACTCCTCTGACCTGTCAGAAGAACAATCATTATCCACGGCAGACAGAGAAGAAGCAGAGAGCTGACTGGCTCCTGGGATGTAATGCTTGGTCACATTAGGGCTTGGAGAGCGAGAGGGACTGACTGGACTTGGAGAGCGTGAGTGTGAAGGAGAGAGACTGTAGTCACACTGCGAGGAAGAACATTTTGGGGTATAGAAGAAACTGGTCTGCTGAGCCACAGCGCTAGGGTTCTCCAGTAAGCGGAGGTAGATGGAGGGCTGGGAACAGCAGGGTGAGGAGAAAATATGGATTTTTACTAAAAAGATACATTTCATAAAGTGCTTATATTGCAAAAAGGAATTCATATCTCCCTTTACAAACACTGCAAAACAGGACACATTTGATTCATCTCAAAGTCTTAATAAACACGAGAGCTGAAACTGGCTGCAAATATATTAGAAACACCATTCAGTCACAGTTACAACAGAAGGCAATGTGTTCAGAAAGTGGCATACCTGCCACTTAGGGCGAGGAGGTGGCAGAGGAGGAGGAGGGGGGACTTGCTTTGGCTTGGCAAACCGGGGGTTTTCTCTCTCCTCTTCCCCCTCCTCCTCCTCCTCATCATCATCATCATCATCATCATCATCATCATCATCATCATCATCATCATCATCATCATCATCATCATCATCAGAAAAAGGAAATGGGGTAGTGGAAGGAGACAGAGGTGGAGAAAAAGAGGGACTGGTTGGGTCCTCATCAGGCTGATGGAAGGAGGAGAGGAGAGAAAAGGAGAGGGCGGGGAAAGAAAAGGCGAGATAGTGAGGAAAAGGAAAGGGAAAAACCGCAGACAAGGAAAGTAGAAAATCTCTCCATATATACAGTACATATCTCTCCATGTATATATACAGCGCATCCGGAGAGTATTCCTACCACTTCACTTTTTCTACATTTTGTTATGTTACAGCCTTATTCCAAAAATGGATTAAATTCCTTTTTTCCCATAAAAATTCTACACAAAATACCCCATAATGACAAAGTGAAAAACTTTTTTAGACCATTTTGCAAATTGATTAAAAATAATTCACTCAAACGTTGCAGTAGTCAAGACAGGTAGTGATAAAAGCATGGATTAATTTTTCCAGGTCAGATCTTGATAAAATGGGCGTCACCTTCGCTGTTTGACGTAGCCGGTAAAAACTTTTTTGTACCACCCCGCTGATCTGCTTCTCAAATTTAAAATCAGGGTCAAACTTAACTCCCAGATTAGTGACGACATCCTTCAGATAGGATGAGAGGGAATTTTAGGTTCCTCAAAGTAACCACCCTTTGCTTTTTTGATAGCGCTGCAAACTTTTGCTGTTCTCTCAGTGAGCTTCATGAGGTAGTCACCTGAAATGGTTTTAACTTCACAGGTGTGCCTTGTCAGGGTTACTTCGTGACTGACTCAGTCACAAAGTACTTCTGTCATCTAGAGCAAATGGTGGCTATTTTAAAGAAACTAGAATATAAAATTTTTTTTCAGTTATTTCACACTTTTTTTAAGAGTACAAAATTCCACACATGTTCATTCATAGTTTTGATGCCTTCAGTGATAATCTACAATGTAAATAGTCATATAAAAAAAAAAAAGAAAAGACATTATATATATATATATATATATATATATAGACTGCATTAAAACAGAGGGGGAGAGAGATGCATGGTACCAAGAATCTTCAAGAGACAAAAGGTAAGTGTTTGGAGTTAACTGTGAGTTTAATTATCATCAACTATTAATAGAACAAACTTTGACTCTTGTCTTTAATGTACTCATACATTAACAGCCAGGGTGTTGTAGAGTGGAGGTGAATGAGACTGCATGAGTGCTGTTTCTTTTTCTTTAACAATGTGTCCCTGTTAGCTGAATTGAAATAAAGGTCAGAAGACGGAATAGCTATTGAACTTGTGATATGCAAGGATCAGAAATCACATCTCTAAAGAATCCACCAGGTGTCCTATCATATTATAGCCTGTAGGTCACATGATACAAGAAGAAGAAGACTCAGAGGCCAAGAAAGTCTTAAAAAAAACATCACCCACTGATGTCCCCTGCAGATCTAATGAAGGGACACGAAGAATTATTTTATTTTGAAATCTGAAAAAAGTCTAAGTCCTTTTTGTCAAATCCAAGTTGACTCTCCTGTGGGACTGACGACTAAACGGTCTTCCAAGTGAGACACTTTTCAAACTGTGCTTCTCTTACCTTGCCACTAGTTTTTGCTGTTGAAGAGTTCTCCTCAAACTTAGCCAGCAGCTGGGTTGCCATGGAACGGACTTTGTTTTCCCGTTGCTCTCCATCCTCACCAGCAGGGGGGGCACTGTGACAAGACAGCTGAGGCCATTCCAGGAACATGAGGAGTGTTAGACAGCAGGAGAGAGGAATTCAAAGAATTAAATCTAAGTTATTAATCTGAGTGGGAGCAAAAAAACAATAAAAAAGAACCCCACAACATTCACCTCTGAGAGGTAGTTGTTGCCTTTCCGTCGCCTTTTGTGAACAGAGTCTTCATCCAGTTTCTTGTCGACCTGTGGCAGTAGACATCACAATAAAGATGCATTTATCAAAAATATTGATATGTTGAGCTTCTAGCAGGGATTTATAGAAGTGAAGAATGAGTAAATCTTTAAAGCTCTGGAGATCCTTAATTAAAAGCATCAAATCACAGGTTTCCACAGAATGAGTCAAACAGGAAGTTGAGAATTAAGATAATTTGTGTTACCCTGGGTATCCTCTTCCTGGGCTGAGGCAGCTTGTTGTTTGTTTTGGCTGGATATTCCTCAGAATTCTCGTCTGGTTCTGGCATAAAAACAGGTAATAAAACTCTTTTCAACAACAATTCAATCTCACATTTAGATACAGAACCCTCTGAAAATTGCTCAGTATGACAAACACAGAAACGGGGGGCAGACAGTAGCAAATATGTTCATTATAATGATCTTTTAGTGGCTGGATCCAGATAAATGTGAAAATACATTGTTTCTTGATTGTCAAGGCAGGTCAAGAAAATCTTGGTCCTTATTTGCTCACTTCAAATTCAAATTCAGGCATGAAATCAAAGCTAACAATTGTGTAAAGTTAAGAGTTATGATTAATGTTATGAGTTACTTTAGATATAATTATTCAAATGGACTTTTGTGGATAATGTGCTGTGTGCCAGAATTAATTTTGAAGATTCCTTTGTCCTTGCCTACAGTTTTTGTCTGAATCCTCTTCCGCCTTTCGTCTGCTCTTCTTGTTCCTTTTGTGTTTTTTTTTACCGACAAACTGTCACCAAATGAACCTGACTTCTTCCTACGCAAAAATATGAATACAGTTGGTTTTCCAGAGTCTGTTATTAGAGTAGCATTCCTTTTTCATCCAGGTCCTAGTATCAGTTAATCCCCTTTGCTGTCTTTGCACTGTTTTCCTCTCCTGTTTATTCGTCCCAGTGCATCTTAAACTGGCTTGAACCCAGAGAGGTTGTGAGCTTTCCGGGTCATGTTTCCATATGATTTACTCTTTAATGATTAAGTTTAACCTGCAATATCACCTTTATTCTAAAATTGTTTAACTATTTGCTCACGAATTTTCTGCCTCTCTGGGGAACCTTTTTAAACCCAGAGATGTCAATGAATTGTTGCAGATCCTCCGAATTCATTTCTACATTCAGCATGTTGTCTTTACATTACTGTCAATTAATGAGAGAGTTCAAATGATTTGACTGATTTTTTTGTCAACCTTTTGTACAGCCCTCAACTGTTCAGGAGCTTGAGTTGTAAATGAAAAGCAACATCAAAAATATTCTAGATATTGTTTTCCAAACTTAATTCTAATAGAAAATAATGTTTCTACTACAGTGAGAACAGGCAGGGGTTAAATGTGGTGGCCTTTTTCTCCCGGATTACTTCCTCATGTGTTATCCAACAGTCCCTGGAAATGTTTTTTTTTTCCTTCTTTGTACTCTAAAAATTGTAAAATAATCTTCAAAAACTGACCAGAAACCAGAAGTGCAACTTTTCACAGCTAATAAGGTTTTTTGAGGAACCATAACTACAATGGAAAACAATGTTAATTTCACACTTTTATAGATATATCAAGGTCATATGAACAGGCTTGTGAAATATTAGTCAGTAAATTCCCATCAAATGAACTTAAACCAATTGATTTTTTTCTGTCTTTGCTTCATGGTGGCAACAGTTGATAGGACACTGACATCTAAGCAAAGGAAGGGAAATTTAGCCAAAGCAAGAGCTTACAGTGGCAGTGTGACCAGAGTTGCACAGAGAGACTGGATATGGCTTCCACAGACATAGCACACATACCAGTCATGTCTCTGGCAGGGACTAACCTGACCACGGTTGTGTAACATGCAACTCTAGCTCAATGGATAAAATAGACCCTGAGCTTCACTCAAGTCCCAGACTTCACCAGAATACAGAGTTTAGATTAGTTCTGTTTCTAGGGAAGCTTTTATTTTTCAAAGAACTGTCAGTAACACCATTACCTGCTTCAAACTTTCTTACTGGGATTTCTGGGGAATACGTGGAGTAAGACTACAACGCTGACAGGAAGGGCAAAAGTTCTGCTTTGCTTCTCTACTAGGGAAAAAAGCCAATAGATCCTGTTTTCACAGCTTTTTTGGTTTGGTATAGTGTTACACATTATTTCAGTGGCTAAGGATGAAAAATCTGAATTTAGCCACACAACTATCTGGTCTGTGGGCTTTTCCATCTGTGTGTTCTGCAGAGCTGGATCACCTTTCATAACCTGGAGTGAATGTGTAAACTGATCATTTCCCTTTGGAGAAACTCAAGGACTCTGACACAGAATTTTCTGGAAAACTGCTTCAAAATCTGCTTGAGTTTGTAATTTAAGCAGTGACTGAGGTCTGTTTCAGCTCTGGACAATTAGGGGATCAAAAGCTAGTCTGTTAAACCAGAAAGATTGTCCACTTACTGAACTTGATTTTCAGCATCAGAAGTATTAAACAAACTCACAATGTCACAGAATTTTATGAAGTCCTTTTCCGTTTTCATCCGATAATGCCATTTCATCTAGGGTTTCACTCCAAGTTTCACAACCGCCAATCATAAGACAGACCACATGCAGAATCTCACCGTTGTTGTTTCCTGGGGTGTTTCTGAAAATCTCGTAGAACTTGGAGAGGTACAGAACCATAAGCAGCTTGTCTGGTTCGGCCTTTGCAGCCATTTCCTTTCCCCTTATCACTGGCTGGATGCCAAACTCTCCCTCTGCCAAATCAAATGCCAACTGGTTGTTTCCCGCCATGTCCTCTTCATTCAGGGAGTCAAAGTCACTAAGGAGGAAGCGCAGTGAGGAGAGTTTAGCATGAACTTCGGATTTTTCTTGATACATCATCTATATTTCCAGCACTGGCAGAGGATGGAGATAGCTGGTGAGGTACAATGAGGTGAGAAGAAGCAGATGCTCCTTACACTGATGTACATTTCATTTTCTTCCCCTGCAAACCAGCAAGTGTCCAGTCTAGTGCACAATTTGAAATGAACTCAGGGCACTTTTATTTGTATGTAAAGATTGGTAGACCGTAAGGAAACCTTTCCCATCATGCCCTCATAGCAGCGTCCTCTACTGATAAATTATGGAGACTACCATGTGGCTCCTTATCTCCTTCACACCTTAAGATCTGTGGAAAATTCCCTTTACTGGTATGAAAACTGAGGAATGAATATGAGAGAAAGTAAAGTTGAACCTAACTCTGGTAGCCCACCTGTGGGATATTTGTCTGACTGAATAAAACACATTTTCTATTGACATCTGGAAATGATATTGCAACTGGCATAGGAACCTGGCAACAAACCTCAATGAAGCATCTGCAATATGCCGCTACTTCAGCTCTATTAAGCTCTCAAGTCTGTCATGGCACATCTTTAGTATCTGGCACATAACTTCAGTGCAGCTGAGTCTCAGAAGGGTCAATCACTAATTGAAGGTCTTCAGTGTGATCTGCGGCTGCTCTTTCCACCAATCCTAAGTGTCTTTGGGGAAGATTCAGGACCCTAAACTGCTCTCAAATGATGTATTTGCCAGTGAATTAATAAGTTTTTAAGATTGGAACCTGCAAAAAGTCACCTCCAGAGAACAGAATAAATGTTTAACCCATAGACTATGGACAACTTGGCTCCACCCGCCATCATTACACGAATTTGAAGCGGAATTGCTCTCTGTATTTACAGGATTTTCTCCACTTCCTGGAAACTCCACTTGCGCAGTAGCGTATCAAGTGTCAATCTGGAAAAAAAAACATGAACCCCCTAATAACTTTAACCCAGCTGCACAGAAAAAAGAGGACTTGGACATAAAACAGTCTTACAATAACTACATGTCAACATCGCAACCAGGGGTAAAAAATTTTTTTACATTCTGTGCAATTAATTTTAAGTTTGTCCACAGCTCCATAGGGATTGCTGGAGTAGGCGGGATTTATGACCTATACTGCAGCCTGTCACCAGAGGGTGCTGTTCTCGTGTCTGTTTCATTTCACTTCAAACTTCTTTACCGGTGGCATCAAGGTCCTCCCTCCTTGGACACCACTCCACATTACTCTTGAGATCCGATTGTGATATTTTGTGAACACTGGTAGTCGTATTGGCTCTCGAGAACACGGACTGTCGCTGAATTCTGGCTCAGTCCCACTCACCAGTACCGGCACCGGCGGCACAATGACATACCAGAAAATTGTTTCTTTGATTGTCTGCTGACGATGCGACCGGGATCTCCACTGGATACAAAGACGGTAGCACCGTGCCAACTGGAGCCGATGTGCCGAAACCGTTAGCCTGGCTAATGACCTCGGCATTTTCTTACTCTCCTCATAGAGGAAAAACACTCCACAACTAAGCTAATTGGCTAATTGGCACACTTGATGGCACACTTCTCTCTGGGGAGTACTTGTTTTGTTATTGTGGCATGTTTATGACGTATTTGTCAGCTTTTCTGCATTCAGAACGACCCCAAACCTAGTCGCATGTTGGGGAGGAGCACCCTCTGGTGGAAAACTGCAAAATCGTCAAAATCCGTCAATGGCACTCGGGGCAAATAAAAAAATCTGCCAAAGTCTGTCATGGCACTGAATTAGTTCATTTTTTATCACAACAGGAACTTTTTTTTATTGTTTTATTGTTACGGAGGAGGGCGTGGAATAAGTGTTTCACAGTGACAGTTTGCTTTATGGAGGGCGTTGTAATATTTGGCTGTCAAGATGCAGATGTTTGACCCACCAAAGGTAATACAGAACATGTATGAACTCCCACCGAACTTATTTATCCTTACAGAACTTCATAGAGACAGAACGACTGCTGAGCCCTGACAACGTGTGTAAATGAGTATGTATGCTAGTTGATTTTAGAGAATGAATGGCCTTCATATAAAGGTGTGTTTGTGTGTCATTTGTTCCCGCCCTGGTCTTTCTTGTGTAAAGATTTAATATTTCTTAGCAAGGGAGGGACTCTTTAAACACAACTTTAAGTGACTAATACACTTAATTCTGCATGCTCGTAGTATCAACATGCTTTGTTCAAACAGAGCCAGTCTGGACACGACTTTTCAGAAGTCACCATAGAACTGCCAAAACCTGAATAACTGTCACTCATCCATGTACTGTACTTACAGCAAAGATTGTGTGCTTGTGTGTGTTTTCTCACATAAGATCAGGCCTCTGGCGGTGTATAAGAGCACAGAGGGCCAAGCCATTCCTCCAGGATGATGTAAGGTTGGTAACGTTGACCCCCCTGTAGCCTTGAGTCTGCCTCTGACACCAGGTCAGCAGCCGGCCAGGACGTACTTCAGAGTCTGCACAAACAAAACACATCCATGGTGAGGTGTCAAAAAGGTCCAACTGGATTGCTGTCTTTTGACTCCTCGACACGATAAAACATTTTGGTGAGGCAACATAAGTCTTGTTTATTGAAAAACTTGAATCTCTTCACAAGCCTGAAGCAAAGTAACCCACGACAGTGAAATTCAGACACAGCAGACACCCAGCTTTGCCCTTTAACCACAAGCAACAAAAGCTTTAACGCTCTTTAAAACTGACAGGCTACTGTAGCTTGGTTTGCATGAAGGACAAGAATAAGGAATTAACTTTAAAAAGGATTCCAGTAGGTGAAAATCACAACTGTCTTGTAATGAAACACTGGAAATAAGATGTGCTTTAACAATTTGGGTGCTTTTGTTTGCTTTTTTACTTGTCTGTCTCTCTTTTTTAAAAAATCAAAATCTAAAAACTGCAAGTTGTATTTGGAATAAAAGTTGTAAGACAGCTGTATCACTCTGTTCATCTGCTGCAGAGTAGAGCAGGCCAGCACACGTCGGTGAGCGGCGTCATGTCTGACCCTCATGAGGGTGAAATGCTATCCAGCTCTATTGTCTGTGGAGAGGTGTGTCAGCCTGCGACCCAGAGATTGCTCAAGTTTCCTCTAAGCAAAGCCTTGGTGCTCATTTATGATGATGTCAAGCCTATCTCGACCTAAAGACCTTTTTAAAACACTTAAAAACACTAAACCTATCTTCAAGGTCACGCCACATTAAGTCAGTTGAGTCAAATTCATTATCAGTTCCAAGTGTCTTAATTTAACTCTTGAAAAGCATCAGGGAAAACTTCCATGCAGTGCTAATGGGGTTGTGGATGCCTCTTATCTCAGATGTGGCTCATCAGCTGATCAGATTACCATTTCAACATAACGGAAGGCTTTGAAACTAGAACACAGTCCCATCTGGATAGTTGGCAACAATCCTAGTTAAACTTGCTTACAGACATGAGATGAATTAAGAGTTGGTTTTATGACAGAAAAAAACACAGATTTGTTTAATTCAAGGAAAGGGGGTTAAGTGCAATATTAACATTCAACAAATTTTTGAAAACCTTCAACTTCTCATGAGTTTTTGTGTTTGTTTTTAACTTCGACGGCATCAGACCTCTGCAAAGGTTTCAGATTTTCTTTCTTTCTTACTTTTCTTTCTTTCTTCTTTCTTTCCTTCCTTATTTCCTTCAGGAAGGAAGGAAAGATCTGTCAATTTCCTCCCTTCCTTCCCTCCTTATTTCCTACCTTCCTTTCTCTCTCTTTATTTCTTTTTCTTTTGTTCTTTCTTCCTTTCATTCCTTCTTTCTTTCTTTCTCTTTCTTTCTTTCTTTCTTTCTTCCTTCGATATCATACTACAATAAACATTACTTTTGCTACTGCAAATACAGTGTCTTCACCACTGTGATTGTCATTCCCCTACATGAGGACATAAACTGTAAGCTTACCTCTCCTTGTTAAGTTCACAGATCTACCTCGAGGTCCTCCTGTCTCCAGATTATTTGATTCCTTTTGACCATCAATGAACAGATGGCGCACCTGACAGACAGTAAAGGAGAATAAATTACATGAGAAAAGACAAAAAAGCAGCTCAATAACAGACTTTCTGTTGATGACTAGATATCTGTTTATGACCGTATCCTCCTTTTTCTTTTTCTTGGAGAGAACTTAGCAACTTCATGTCAAAGTCAGTAAAAAGAAATAGTTATTTCTAATAATGCGAGTGTGGGACTGACCTGATTTGGACGTACACAGCTGGAGTTGAGGTTGGGGTAGCGGGTGACAGGATCAATGGAGTACTGTTCAAAGTTTTTACTGATGTTCTCTGTGGTGGTCTGAGGCAGCAGCCGATAGAGACTCTCCCTAAAGAACAGACAAGAAGACAGGATCGTGAGATTCTCGTCTCTGTGTTATCTTCAAAGATCTGAGAACTATACAGCAAGACTTAACCCAAAGACAGAAAACACTACAGGAACTGCAAGACCAAAAATCTCCAACAGAATATTTTTTTTTTATAACAATAAAGACAAAATAAATAACAGAGCGTAGGACATTCATGATCCAAATTCCACAAACCTTTCAGCTAGTGTCTCCAGAGGGCTCCTGCCATGTGCCCAGCCCTTCACCATCCAAGCAGTATCAAACGCTGCTAGAAAACCCCGGGCACAACCAGTACCCATTGGCCAGAAAGGCTGCAAGCAAACACATGATGTCAGCACAACACAAACAAACTGGTCCTCAGAGACAGGCGAGGATATCATATCAATCTGAAGAACACGACAGCCCCCGCCGCTACCACTAAAAGTACCTCGAGCAGACTGTCTCCCACCAGTGCGACTAGTAGCTGATGTCCATGTTTCTCCCTGATTAAGGCGGCGTTCTCTGAGGCGTACATGCTGGTAAAGTCAAACATGGCTACATCAGGCAGTCCATAGTGGTTGATGGCATAGTCTAGGGATGGCAGCTGGTAGTTTGTGCCAAAGTCAGCTGCCTCACGGGCGTAAGAGAGCAGAGCTTCCTGGTTGACATTGTCAGGGCTCAGCAGTCGTTCTGTCTCCATGTAGTCCTGTGGAGCGAAATGAAAAGGTTTGGACTGTTTACACATGTTTTGTGTCCAATAACGTGTTACCGTTTTAATTTGTTTTAATTTGATTATGTTGTGCTTTTGAGTAAAAACCTGGATTTTAGAAATGCATAGATACTGATGGACTTCCAGATCAATTTAAGAGTTAAAATGTCTTCATGATAAAGAGGAAATTATATTATATATATTATATTATTTTCTTGATACTATTTTCATAGCATAGTTTTTTCCTGCCACTTCAGTGGCTTTCTGATAATGTGTAACATTGGCATTCATAGTATTTCATTTTTGATATTTCTTACATTCATTTCTCTTCTCCCTTCCTCTCAGTTACTTTTTCACTAAAGTTCAAATTGTAAAAAGATGTTCTACTTTTTGTGGCTTTATGTTTCTCATTCCGATATCCTTTTTAAAGAACACAAGTAAAATTTTATAATGCATCAGATTTCATGTAGCGCTTTATCAGAGACCCTCAAAGTGCTTTACATTGGATACATCATTCATTCACTCACACTGTCACACCCTGGTGGTGGTAAACTACCTTAGAAGTCACAGCTGCCCTGGGACAGACTGATGGAAACGTGGCTGCCATTTTGCGCCTACGGTCTCTCTGACCACCACCACACAACACTCACAATCATACACCAGTGGAGGACACACTGGGAGCAAGGTGGGTTAAGTGTCTTCCCCAAGGACACAACGAACAGAACCAGTCTAAACATCCCCAAACAACCATTTCCCTTTGAGTCACAGAGGAAATAACTTTATCATTGTTTACTCAGGAAGTGTGAGTCATTATCAACACGTGTCTCTATCATCATAAAATGTCCTCAGAATCAGCACAGTAATAAAGAAACACATTTGGGACTAATTCAGAAGGTTGAAATCGTTACAACAAAAGGCCCGTTTTGTTTTTTAATTCACAAGTTATTGTGAGTGGTGAGGAGGCCGCTGAGGCATGGTTCCTCTGAGCATGCTCACACACAGCTGACACAGTGTTGCAATCACTCTGCACTGTAAGGCAATGTAAGATGAGCTGGAGACCACAGAGGGCACAGCAAGGCAGGGTTTCAGCACCTGTGTGTGTGTTTGTGTGTGTGTTTTAGAGAGGGCGAGACAGAACAAGAGAGAAAGAGAGAGAGAGACACACACACACACACACACACGCACACACACACACACACACACACACTCACAAAAAAAAGCAAAAAACTATTCTTTGATTGGTTCTTTGCTTTTCTTTCGTTAGTGATGAATGATATAATGCTTAAAATGGTGACTCACACCTTGTTTAATAAGTGAAGTCCAGCAGACCGAAATGTTGCTGCTCTGTTGATTTAACCCCTAAAGTCAAATGGTATATATTTAAGGATAGATCTGTTTAGTAGCAGTTAAAGTAGAGGTGATTATTGAAAATAATGCCCGAGGTTTAAGTTAATCGCCTAATGTGCACCACACCTGGCCACTACAGTCAAAAAAGTCTGGCTCAACTTCTATATAATACAGAGGAGGGATAGACAGACTGCTGGAGTATTGATAGCCTTTTGTACAGTAGAGCCATATCTAAAAAAATCAGTTGTTTGTTTTTCTAATTTTCTTTTCGTTTTTTTAATCCATGTTTGAGGTTTTATTTCACTGATCTAATATCTTGTGCTCCACAGACCTGAGCGATGTCCTCAGCTGTATACTCTTCATACAGTGTGATTACTTAAACTATACCAGGCCTAGTCTTTTTTTAATGCCAAACTTGTTACATGTGTCTCCGTGTGTGTGTGTGTGTGCATGTGTGTGCATGTGTGTGTGTGTGTGTGTGTGTGTGTGTGTGTGTGTGTGTGTGCATGTGTGTGCGTGTGTGTGCGTGTGTGTGTGTGTGCATGTGTGTGTGTGTGTGTGAACTCACATTAATGATGACCTTTTTCTCCAGCAGACTCTGCTTCTTTGCCGTCATGACAAAGTAGTGTGTGTTATCTTTGTAGTAAACGATGTTTTCCAAGTCGATTCCTGAAATAATGAGCAAACCACTTTAACAAGGTGTAATTATCGTGCTGCCAGAAGAAGAAGCATTTAAGTAGGACAAGTAAACAAGACAGCCTTGCACTGTGTACATCTCAAACAGAAAAAAAGAGGTCATGCACTCTTTTTGTTGGCGGACCTGTCTCCTCCTTCAGCTCCAGAAAGAACTTCTGGTTAAAGATGAAGGCCACACCACTGATTTCCTCCACTTTGGCTTCTGCTGTGGTGTTCCTGTTGACAAAGTTAGCCGTGATGGCGATGGCCAACTTCCCTCGAAACTCTTTGCGACTAAAACCTATGAAGCAAAAAAAAAAGTTAAAAAATTACTCAAACAAAGGAACGACTGAAGAAAGTTGCAAACTTTAATTTTAATTCAACCATCTAAACAGAAAACATAGTTATGTTTGCACAGATTTACTCTGAACTAGCTCACACAGTTCTCAAATAGCTTATGAACCAGCACACACACACGCACGCACGCAGGCACGCACACACACACACACACACACACACACACACGACACTCGCAGCTGACCCCAGACACACTATTAAGCCTCAACTTAAAACTATGTCAACAGGAAATGCTTCAGCCGTGGACTCAAAGCAGCTTCACTACACTTCACCTCCTTTCCAGAAAAAAGAAATTTGACAACAGCGAACGTTTATTGTACAAATATGCAAACCTTCTTCTTTTATAAGCCACATTTCACCATGCAGTACAACTCCCAGCATTGAGATCTGTTTGTTTTTCTTGACTTCTTACCATCTAACGTGCCTTTCCGCCCGTCAGCTCCAATTACAACATCAAAATCAAAGTCTGAAACAGGATGGCTGCAGGGATGGACCTCTGCTCTCCAACCAGGACCTTAAAAGGAACATATCAAAATAGGTTAAGACACTTTAAATGGATTATCTTGTACCATAGCAACCATGAGATTTAAAGACAGAGAGAAGGCAAGACAGATGACCAGAGGACATGATAATAGATGCCCACACATCACAAAATTTCACTCACACATTATTCTGAGGTACTGGTTTAAGTGTGATGTTTATTTTGTTTCTCAACTGTCAAACACTTGCTTACAGTAGGATTATATGTCCTCAAAGTCCACTTATTACTGTGTCATGTTCCCTGGATTTCAAAAGTGGCTAAGTCTCCACATTGCATATCTAGGACATTTGGCATATTTTGGGAAATAAATTGAAAGTACAACAAATATGCAACTATCAGCAGTCTCTATGAATAGACATGCTATTACAACCCAGTGCTCAAACATGTCCTCTCATGGACACAGAGTGATCACTTAAACACATGTCTATATTTGAGTAGAGATCTTTCAATTCGGGGCAAGGAAGTGCAAAGTTGCCGCTGTGTGTCACTGCCACTCGCAGCACATGTGCAGACCTACTTTTGTCCGTCTGTTCTGCTGGTGGTTCAACAAGTTGAACAAACTCCACATTGACGTGAATCTCCACTCCCAGAATCAGACTCACTTTCAGCAGCATCAGCTGGAGCTGGCGGATGCCTGATGTGGACACACAAACAAACAAACAAACACACACACACACACACACACACACACACACACACACACACACACACACACACACACACACACACACACAGATATTGTCATTATATTCAAACATTTAAGTGTAGATAGGCACATATTGGTTTGAAAGTAGGGCTGACTTAAGCTGTCTTAAATAGGCATATTTTAACTCAAAGGCAGTTATATATGACCTTACTTGTGGTTATATTCAGTGCTCCGTAGTTACTTCCAGCAACGAACTGTACCACAGATAACCTAGTGGGATCTTATCAGCCATAAAGCTATAAATACAGGCGGTTGTCACTTCAAAATGAGGTCAAGGTTAATTTTAACGACAGAGAGGATGTGTAATAAACTGTGCATATTTAGTTAGACAGGAAATCAAACTTTGAGGCACATGCTGCTCTGAGTACTCCTGTGTTTATTGTTAGATTAATTCACCATCCTGGTGGAAGAACAGGGCATTAGAGAAATTAACCTTTGTTTAGTTATACTTCAGGACATCATGATTTCGATTTTAGCTTCTCATGATCTTAAAAACATTGTAATCAAAGAGAAATGAATAATGCGCCGCACGGCGCGGAGTGGATGTACTGTGCTGGAAAAACACTTTAAATGCACCCCTGTTACGTGCAGCTGCAGCAAGCGTGTGATGTGTGTGGATCACCAATGTGAGGAGAGAGCAATTGAAAACATGGCACTAGGGCAGCCTTTGGTTGAGAAGAAAGGTAGAACAACTTCAGAAACATTTTGGCTTCAATTTGACAGATGTCCATTAAAAGGAAATTGTTCGCAAAGTCTGTCACGCTGTCGTGTCTGCTCCCCTAGGCAACACAACCAACTTCAGGGTTCCCCTATATGCAATTGATCGTCACCGCTACTGAAAAACAAAAGCCGCCGCACCTTAAAAATTAGGGCTTTTTTAATTTTTTAATTTAAGTGACTCTAACTCAGGCTCATATGTATCAGTATATGTGTGCGCACATGGGTGCTGCACCACAGAGCACGCATGCCGAGTATTAGCATTTGCAAGTTATCGCCGGAGATCACGGAGCTTATTAATTATTTTTTTTTACTTGTTTAGTAATTACAAGTTTATTTCTGGCTGTTCTTTTAAGTTATATTTAAAGTTAAGCTTTGGTGGTTCAATAAATACTCAAGTTTTTAAATCAATGAATAATCATGTTTATCAATCGTGATTTCAATATCAGTCAAAATAATCATGATTATTATTTTTGCCATAATCATCCAGCCCTATTATGTGGCCAACACAGTACAGTCCAAAACAAACAAACCCAAAACACATTATCAGGTCAGTGAAGAGCGGCAAAACACTGTGAGAGTTTGCAAGACTGGCAGCCATCCACTGTTTTTGCTTTTACATGTTCCTAAAACTCCTTTTGTTCATGGTATCTTTTAAAGTTGTGTAAATTTACTGAAACCCTGCGCTATACCGTTCATACAAACTTTAACAAATGTTATTCAGTTTTGTGAGGAACTAACTACAGTTCAAATCAGTAAGTTTTAAAACTACACTGTAGCAACTGTACTTTTTTTTTTTTTAAACAATTTTCAAATTTTCAACAACACAGATTTTCACTCACTGATGTGGTCGATGGAGCCGGCGCAGAACTTTCCATAGAACTTTTTGGCTCCGAGGCCCCTGAGGTCGTGGATAGTGAAGGGCCATAGATGAAGCACATTGTTCCTGGAGAAGCTATCTCTCTTCTCAATTACAACCACTTTACAACCCAACAGGGCCAGCTCGATGGCTGTCCTTAGACCACATGGACCCCCGCCGATGATCAGACACTGAGGAAAAGGTAGGAAAAAAGCAGAATGAGGTGGAATCACAGACTGTATATAATATGGACAACTTGGCTCCACCTTCTGTCATTATACGAATTTGAAGCCGAATTGCTCTCAGTATTTCCGGGATTTTCTTCACCTCCTGGAACCTCCACTTGCGCAGTAATGTTGTACGCATTCCACAGGACAGTCACCAAAAGTCACTCTGATGACACTCGGCTCAGACAGCATATCCCCTGGGTGAGCTACTCAATCTTTGTACGCCCATAGGCTGTATCAAGTGTCTATCATAGAAAACATTAGAGCCTAATAACTTTTAAAAAATGGAGCTGCACATAAAAAAGAGGACTTGAGCACAAACTAGTCTTACAATAACTACATGTCAACATCGCAAGCAGGGGGGAGAAAAATGTATAATTTGTGTAATTAATTTCTAAAGTTTGTCCACAGCTCCATAGGGATTGCTGGAGGAGGCGAATTTATGACCAATACTGCAGCCCGTCACCAGAGGGTGCTGTACTCATGATGGCTTCACCCAGCTTCCATTCTATATACAGTCTATGGGTGGAATACACTGCTATGAACTGTTGCTAACAATGTTGCCTTATTCTAATGACCAATAAGATTTAAAAAAAAAAAAATACTACTTGAGATAATTGTAATTTATGTATAAACTAACATTGTTTCCCCATGTATCTTGTATATTTTAATTTTTGATATCAAAGGCTTTTAAAGGGATTTATACTTTTGTTGTTCAACAGTATTATAATTTTGGTTGCTGGCAATTCATTTCAATTTTGAGAGACATCACATCGGAGTTATAATCAAGTGAATGCTGCTGATGGTATCATTGTTTCTGGACTCAGAGCATCAATTAGCAAAGCCTGTGAGTTTGCTTCATCAATGTTAGGAGAATGATTTCGTGCACTGTCCAACAAAGCATGAAAACTCAAAGACTGAAACTGTGGATACAGAGCTCCAGATAACAGAGCTAACACTTAGCTCCAGTGCCAGACTTTTTTTTCTCCATACAGCAGTTTTCTTCCTAAAAAATGTGGGAGCTGATACTTTAGTTATTATTTCTGGCCGGCCCTCAGCCCAGCCCATCTTTGTTAATCTTCCCCCTGCAAGTCCTGGGCCTCTTTCCCCTCTGGACATCTTATCATTTCCTTCCAACTTGAGAGTATTTCGACACTCGGCTAGGCTCATTATACTAAGACATACGTGCATGGTCAGAGGGCGTCTGTTTGAGTCACACTGGGTACTCTGACAATCCTACAGCTGCTGTTTTTGTCCTTTCTCTATGAGATCCACTCTGGAAAAGGTGCTTATTTAGTGTATAACAAAGACAGTCCTTTAGCTTTGGTCTAAAATCCTTTTTAAAACATTCACATATTAATCTCTACAGATACCAGCAAAAGAGACTGTCGACTGAAAAGAAATATCAAATACCATAATGCATACTGGAGTGAATAAATAGCATTTTACACAACCTTCACCTCAAACATCACCCAAAGCTTTTAGCTCTGATCAGCTCATTTTTCTCTCATTCCAAACACAGTAAGCGGTGCTTCATAAGACTGTTTTCCATGTGAACAATTTCATCCTCTTTAGACACACTGAAGCTGCATCGAGATAGTAATCTTTCTGCCCAGCTCTCAGAACATGTGAAGCATGTGACTGAATCCATGTGGCTTTGGGCTCAGTTTTGCTCCTGTTTTCCACTTCATGTTTTTAGATATAGTCCTTATCAAGCGTGTACAGAAAGCTTCACTACAAGTCTGCATAAGGTTCATGCCAATCTTGCTTTGTTTAGTAAAGAACCTACAAGAAGCTTCACTTTGCGGCCATGAAACGTATTGTCTTGGAAAGTCTTTTTTTTTAAATCTTAGGATAAAGAGTAGAAAGAGAAACAATAAAAGAGACAGCACCAGCAGTTAAATCAACTGAGTCATCTTGGGGCAAATTCATTCCCAGGATGGAAACCCTGCAACAAGTGCACTCACTTGTGAGGGATGTAGTAAATCCAAACCGATTAATGAGGTAAATTCAACACCCTGAACTTTGAAATGCAAATTTGCATCATCAACCATCTGGCTTGAAATCTACTGGATGATGGAAAATGCAAAGCTGAAAATTAGAGGTAAATAAGAACCCTTGTTAGCTCTAATGAACGCTGTTCAGTAACGTAGCCAAAGCAAACAAACAAACTACATGACGTCCATCAGTGCAGTATTCCTACACCACTTCGTATTTTCAGGGTATGCTGATATATTTCAATATACACTGGAATGTAACTAGACTGAAAGAGCATGTGATCTGGTATTTGCATGAACTCCCTGTACACACAGCCAACAGATGGTCTTTCTTACCCTGGTGTCTTTGCATGCTTTATTTTGGTTGTAGACCTTGTGCTGAGCCCTCTTGTCCAGTTTGGTCCACAAGGCTTTGACCTTCCAGCTGCTGACTGCAGCTTTCAGTGAGCTGTAGAAGTTACTGTAGTCCAGAGGATCCAGTTCCAGCTGCCTGCAGAGGATGCTAAAGGCCTGCAGAGTCCCTTTACAGGTGGACGCCTGGACAAAGTTTTCAAAGAGCCCACTGGCCTGTGCTGTGCGCTCATCCTCCGTCTCACCCATGTCCTTTGATGGTAAACAGTGTCCAGTCTCTTGTAACACTCCCTCTTTTTTTCCCCCTCCTGCTTCCTTTTCCTGTTCACTTTGTCCACGCTGTCAAGACTGGGCTTCTAATTTGAGGTGGGGGCTGCCATGTTTACTTTGCCCTGTAAGAAACAAACACAAATGATTGTGAGACAGAGGTACAACAATCCTGTCGATTATTGGGCTGACAGAGAAAATTGCAACATATTGTACGCCATTTATTCCCATCCCATTTACAAATTTACAGTAAACTATGTATCCTGAGGGGACTATTGTAAACAAAGGAGTTGAAACTTAGATGAAATGGTTCAAAGTTGGATCATCTTTCACATTCGCTATGGTTTCCACTGTAGAAAGTTCTTAAACATGACTTAGTCTGAATGTAAATGCACACTATGGTGAGCATCAAATCTCTCAACCGCCTTAACACCAATAAAAATGTTCGACACAAGATTACATCTGACAGAACTGTATTAATCCTGGAAGTTGTTTCTGTACATAAACTGAAGAGACCATGGTGCTGCCTCATATAGCCAGAGTGTCAGAGTACATTATTCTGAATGAGGCACACACAAAAAAACACACACACACTGCCTTTCAGATTTAACTCACTGTCAAGAAATAGAACAACAACAAGCCTGCAAGGTTCAAATAGTCACCAATTAAGCTGCATTTTTTCTCCACAACAAAGGTATTTTCCTCCTCGAGCTCTGCTGAATGCCTGATAGGATTATGACTGAGTGCACACTTTGAGAAGTTCTGCTGAGCAGCCATGGGAGAATCTTGCACAGCCAATTCACATGCAAGCAGCAACCTGGTGAAAGAGATGCCACAAAAAGGAGGTAATCTTCTCATGGGTAATATGAAGAACCTGTTGCTGCACAGCTGAAACACCTTTGTTAAAGCAGACATTTTACATTTGCAGATGATGATCAGTTAGGGCTTCACGATTTTGAACAAAAATAAAATCCCAATTTTTTTCTCTAAAAACTCCACAGAAAACCACTGAAAATTATGTAGCACTTATGCCAAGCCAGCAAGTGGCACTGTAACGCTGCCGCAGAAATGCACAAAAGACAGAAGAAGAGTACAGAGCATGCGTATAAAGATTGTTTTGGATGGACACGTACAGGCGCCATAAAAGAGTTACGCTGTGTGTCACATAATTGTTTCCAGAGATACAGATAGGCATCCACACAGAGATGAAATGGGTCGTTGTTTACAGATTTATGCACTCTCTGACCCATTTTCAATAAGTACCGTTTGCAGTCACCCGAAATGCCATTTCCGTGTGGATGAAATGCCGATACGACAAAAAACTTTTTGTTACTCCTGAATTTGTTTCCGTGTGGATGGGTTGATACTGCTTTCAGACAGACTTTGCAGCAGGGAGTGGTTTGCTCTTCATCCAAAACTGCAAAGCCGTATCAGTTCCACACAACTGATTTGCTCTTGTCCTATTAAGCTACAAAATTATCGCCTTCCTTTGCAAACGTCATGTTTGTTTACACTGGTGTGTGTGGGAACTGGGGAGCGCTCTCACAGGAAGGGGGAGTCTACAGTGGCCTGTAGGCGCGAGACATGATAGAGAGGAAAATCGATTTGACGATTTTAGTTTTTATAACGTTGTCATAATTGAATAATCCGATTACGATTTAAAATCGATTAATCGTGCAGCCCTATGATCAGTTTATATATGTTGAGCTTTTGGGAAAATATTGCCCCTTAATCCTCCAGTATTGCCTCAACTTATCCTGTCTACAGTTCTGGGTCAACTCTGACTCTGTAATAAAAGAAAGTGGTTCGCTAATACTAGTCACAGATCAGAATCAATTCCATGTTGTTGTTGTTTTTTTTTTGTTTTTTTTTTGGTAAATATTCACTAATTTAATTTTGATGCCTGCAACACTTTTCAAAAAGGTTAGGACAAGTGGAACTAAAGACTGGGACAATGGAGGAACGCTCCAGAAACAGTGTGCCTTGAAACTGTGTTGATTTGTTAATGTGGAAGTAGGAAAACTTTGTCCACTGCCAAACCCAAACAACCAGCCAAGCTGTTTAGTTGTAGCCCAGTGCTGCAAACACCTGTGACCCAGGTCCAGCTTAAAGTAGCTCAGCAGGCCAAGGAGGAGCCACCTTTCAAACAGCAAAGACTTCATTTTGGATCACCGCCACCTCCACAATCTGTAAGCCTATAGAAACTCAACACACTGACAGTTGATGCGGATTTCAAAGAAGTAACTGGCAACACGTGAGCAAGATGGGAGGCAGGGTACATTAGTAAGAGTTTTAAAGTTAAGGAAGAAACTTTAACACTCTTAACATCTACACAACAGACACCCCAGCAAACACAGGATTTAACACATTTTTTAAATCAGTGTATTCACATCAATCTCAAAGCTTTTTAAAGTTTCGGACAAATGACAGGACCTCTGAACTAATGGGACTGCAGAGCATTTACATACAGCATTAATGCCTGCTGCAGTGGATGTATATTGTAGTGATGTCAAAATCATCCAGAAGAAGCAGCAGCAAAACTGTACAACAGCCAGAGCACACCTCCTAAGGAACTTATAGTCTGAATGAACACTAAACAGGTCATTTATTTTTCTCATGAAAATTATAAAACGCCAACTATTCATTTATTCATTCATTCTGTCATCATTAAAATATTTTATACACCAAACTTTTCTTGACACTGTGTTATCTCCACTGTGGAGCTCTCTCTTTCAGTTTCACTGGAAGCCTTCAGGCATTGTCTTAAGTAGAGTTCTGAAGGAGCTGGGGCAAGGATACCATTTCCTTAGAGGTCTATGCAAGCACCATGTGTCAGATAAGAACACACACAGTCAAATCAAACCTGGATGTACTCTGTATGTTTGCAAACTATATGTGTGTCAGGGCATGGACATTGTGGTTCTTAAGGACAACACCTGGCTCTTTAGATTGTTCCAGAACACCTCTCTTATTGCATCCGCACACACTCTGGTCACCATAACACACACACACACACACACACACACACACACACACACACACACACACACACACACACACACACACACACACACACACACACACACACACACACACACTTTCCTTTGAGACTCTGAGTGGCCCGAAGGGGGTCTCAGATCACTGCAACTCAACAGTTTGGCAGCCGACAGAAGCTTCTCAATTACTTTTAACCCCTCTGTACATACTCAAAAATTCTCTCTCGCACTTGCACACATAAACATATAACCCTTAGACCTTTCATGCCGTTTCATTGTTTGGCCAGATTAAAATGACTTGAAGCTAAAGTCTTTGTTTCCTGGAATGGTGCGGCCTTTGAACGGGCATATTTGAAGAATGTTGGGATTGGAGTTTTGATGGGATTAATCACTGATGGAGTGCACCCCGTAACTTTAGACTGCCACGGCCAAATAAACGCTAATTCCCCCTCATCTATGTTTCCTTCGCACAGGAAAACCATGGGACAGAATAAGCTGGACACAAGGACATTTGAGGAGTTTGTTTGAAAATAACCTCAAATATCTGGTCAGAGAGCAATTGTCCTACTTCTGTGTGGCTCAGATGGTCAGATATGACATACTTAAGAAAGAAAAATACACTGATGTAAACAAAGCTCCAGATGGGAAAGATCCCAACATGATGCTGGACTATATATAATCAAATCTGGCAGGGTGCCTTCAGGGAGTCTTGGTACAGGAAGTGGTTAACTTTGTGTCCTTTCTTTTTAACTTGTGGGTGGGTGTGGGGGTTTTCCAGTATCAGCAGATCATTGTGGATGTTTACAATCAAGATCTGCAAAAAATGTGCAGAAACCAGTATTGATTCATGTATTTCCATAGTACCACTAAATACATATGCAGTATTCATGTACACCTCAACATAGTCTTTACAGCTAGTCGTGGTTTTAGTGTTTCCTACCTTACTTGAACCCTGAAAAAGCTGTTTCACTCTCAGTGTACCCCTCACCCAGCCCTCCTCTCCTCTTTGACACCAATCACTAAATGTCTGCAATTTATCACATACAGTTATATCAAGTATCATATATCTGTTTTACATGATCACTCTCAGAGGGAGGGTCACAGCCAACATTGAGCTGCGTCAGTGTTGAACAGCTGCACATGCAACAAGCCGCAGCTATAGTACAACCATTCCTGCTCCTCACCAGTCTGTGTCAGCATGGGCAGCATTAATATCTCTCTGGCACGAGCAATACTAACTTAACTTTGGGTCCACATGGGTTACAGACTGACCAAGGAGTCTTGACTAGATGACTATCCAGTGATGATGTCATACCTCTGTGTAAAACTTTGTCTGGATACAGGCTGTCACTACATATCATATTTCCACTGTGGTCTGTTGTGCTGGTTACAATTTTCAACAGACCACAGTCTAAAATTGCATGATGTTTTACTAATATTCATGTGGTAAGGAAGAATTAGGCACAGTAAAATTTATCCAAAGCATAACACTGTAATTAATTAATCAATCATTAACTTATCATTAATTTGTTCAAACTACAAACAAGTTAGCATTAGAGGGATATAGTCAAGCGTAAAATTAAGTTAGGGTCAAAGAGATCATAACAACCAGTTAGACAACCCCGCGAGAGATTAATCTTGCCGACTGCTTGCTTCTCTAGTTATACTATACTTCTGTGTATTGCTATACCGCACAATAGCAATACACAGCGGTCTACATCTCCACACGCAAACCTCAACCAAAAAGTCACTCCATAGCCACAAATAATGCTCAGAACAGCACCTGACTTCATCAACAGTACATAGAGGGTCCCAGCCATAGTACTAGCTATCACACTTTTTTTTGCTTTGCCCAGTTTCTTCAGCAAAGAGACCAAATACAACTCAACCACTCTTCTCCAGCAGCTGCTTGTTTGTGAGGGAGCCCTGACGAGTCGATCACAGAGTGTAGTGGAGTTAGCAGCTGAAAGGTCCTTTCACTCCGTGAGCGTTTTTTTTTGTGTGATTATTTCGGATGTCAATATTTTTTTTTAAAACCCGTATCCTGTCAATACAAGTGTTTGTATAGTTTGTGTGCTTTAACAGTTTGCTAAACGTCTTTGTTTTAACTTTCATCTGTGCTAAGTAACTTTAGCTCCTAAGCTAACCTGTTCAGATGCAACATACCATATGTATTTTCACTGTCTCAAACTCAATTGCGTTACTGTCACAGCACCATTAGGTCTCCGTTGTTACCTTACGTTTATGGATTATAATTTAATGTGCTTATCTGGTACTGGCCCCGACTCAGTACATGCTATCATGACAGACAGCCATCTCAAAACTAGTGTCTAATCAGAACTGAAAAATAGTCAGTCTGCTGTTGTGTCAGTCTTCTTGCTTCCACCAGGGATGTGCCTTTTTTCCCTCCAGAAAGTCGCAAAATCACATCGCGCTTTATGTGTATAGTCAGGCACGTCAAAATTCGCCTCCGAATATTTCGTAATTTTGCGTTGTATATTTGCGTCGTTCCCGGTGTGTAAGGACCATAGACTGTAAAAAGAATGGACAGGGTCTGCCTCCTCTCTGGGTGAAGCCACTCCGAGAACAGCACCCTCTGTTGATGGGCTGCAGTTAGTGCTGGGCGATATGGAAAAAAATGTATATCACGATATGGATCATTTTATATCACGATAACGATATTTATCACGATATAGCTATGGTATGCTTTCAGTTCTATGAAAAATTAAAGTGTATACAGCTGCCCTAGTACAGTACCAGTACAAGACCAGCACTTAAAACTAGAAAAATGAATAAATAAATACGTGGCTGAAGTGCGTTCATGTCTGTGCTCACCTAAAGTTATGCAACACTCACAGAAAACGCCGATAGTGTGAGCCAAAGCACTCCATAATAATAATAATAATACTAATAATAAATTTAATTTGTAATGCACTTTACATTTACAAAAAATCTCAAAGTGCTACAGTACACAGTAAAAAAAGAGCAGCAACAATAAAAAAGCAATAGAATGACAGTCACAGATTGGCATAAAAAAGAATTTAAAAAAATAAAGAATATAGAGTTGCAATGTAAGAGGCAAGGTAGTAAAAGCATAAAGCATAGAGGAAAACTAACCAAAAGCTTTATTAAAAAGGTAGGTCTTTAGGGCTCTTTTGAAGAGGTTGTTCACACTGCTGGATGTTTCTCCTCCAAAGCTGCTCTCTGCCTCCATCATTGGTTGCTTTACTCTTGAAGCACGTAGCAGGACCCGAGCATGAATCCGAGCGCTTTATTCGCCTATCAGGGGCAGACGGGTAAGGTGATTTGATTCGCCACGACTCCAGAAATGATTGAAAAACTACAGAATGTCACAAAATTACGTTTCCTCGCTCCTGGTTCGAAGGGTAGAAATGCGCAGCCGCGCTCCCAGCTGACAGGAAGTCAAACCACTGTTGTAGTTCTTTTGTGTTGCTAGCGCGGTCAAGAGTGTTGGCTCTCACTGAGAGATGACTACAAAAATGGACGCACCTGTTCATCTGGTCGTTTAACACGGCTGAAAATGATCACCTATTAATGTTGTTCCCGCTCCTGCCCACTCCCGTTGCTTTTTTCCCCGTCCCGTCCCGATCAAGGAATTAATTAAAAAATGACTCCCATCCCGTGGGATTCCCGCGGGAATCACGTGACCCACGGGAATTCCCGAAAAACGTCATCCTCTACAGGGAAGGTCCCGGAGCAGATGAAACAGGTGCCGGGGCGGCTGAAATAGGTCCCGGATCCGATCAAAAGAGGTCCCGGAGCGCGCTCCGACTTGCTCTGGCACAAATTAAGCACTGCTTACAATGATCCCCTCACGTGTGTAACCCAGGTAACCCGCAACGGCGGGAGACGCTGGACACGAAGAGGGCATGTAAAGCGGCGTCATGTCGCAAAATCGAAAGAGAAATGTGAGCCTACATGTCAACGCATCCTTTTCTTTGTAAGAAAATATTGTTTTCTTTCCCGTTTGACACCAAATACACTTACTGAATGTGCAATTATTGTTGTTGTTACTATGAATCATCTGATGGCACAAGCCCTATGGATAAAATACAGCCCATCGCCCGAAACGATAAAAATAGAAATGGCACGATAGACATTTTCTATCGTGCCCACGATATCTATCGTCCTATCGCCCAGCACTAGCTGCAGTATAGGTCATAAATCCCGCAAAGCTTATGGAGCTGTGGACAAACTTCAGGAATTTCTCACACAGAACATAAATCCGTTTTATGCAGGTTTCATCCTGTACAATGTTGGATGAAGGTCTGCGTGGCTGAGCTGATGTGCTGCATGCTGCATGTTCACATGATAAGCATGTGTTTTGATAATGTATTTGCTACTCATTCACAAGTAGACCCACACAGCAGAGGAAAGCAAGCGTTTACTGGCAAACAATACAGCATTTGGATACAGAAATCAGTTTGGTGTCATGGGTGAGTGATGCCACACCTAAAAACAGATATGATTAGGAAAGAAAAAGGTAAAAACTCTGACTGGTTAAACATACATTGCATTGCTGCAAAAGTTTAGTAGTTAGGCAGGTAGGTAGGTATGTAGGCATTAGGGATGGGAGATATGGGCTAAAAAAATTTATCATGACAAGATTTGCCGTTTTGGCGATAACGATAAAAGTCCGGATAAAAACTGTTACAATTCCAATCTATATTTTTGACTCATTTTGTCTTGAGAACACTAGTTGGAGTAGTCAAAGAAATACTTAACCACAACTTTAAGTGGTAGGTTATGGAGAAAACTAACGACATCAAACAAGTCTCATTTGTTGAAAACTCTTATTGCACAGAGTGAACAGCAGCAGCAGATCCACTGTCCAATGTCAGGCATACCTGATTGCGCCATCTAAACCTCAATCTTGAAGGAAACCCCTTGTTCAGTAACGAGCTGCTCAGAAACGTCTTCTTCATTACCTTCAGCCATGTTTGTTTGTTATTCTGCTCTGTGTGGGCTATGGCTGTTAGTTCGTCGCTCGCACTTACATCATCAACTTCCATTTATCATACTTATCATGAGATGGCAAATATTTATCATGGAGGATTTTTCTGATTATATATCGTGACAATTATTTATCACCCATCCCTAGAAGACGTATTACAACAGGGGGAAAAAAACATTTAATTTATCTGTAAAGGTAATTATACTCCAAAAAAATATTGGCATCTTTGGTGAAAAAAAAAACAAAAAAAAACTATATCCTTGGAAAAATGTTGGAGGCTGTTCTGCTTGCAAAATATGAAACAATGCACCTACAAGAGCAGTGCTGAGAGATGTTGAATGCCAGAAAATAAATAAATAAATAAAATAGATCTCCAAATGACAGTTGTAACACTGAGACGTGTGCTTTGAAAAAGAGAGACAGACACGTACACACACTAATGACAAAAGACCTTGACGGACTTGAGTTGCAGAAATCTCAGTTGTGTTTGAATAAAGGGCAGCAAAAGTTCTGATGTCCAAGAACTCAATCTCAATCATGTTTTTAGGGAGCCAAGGACTCAAGAAGTCCCCCAAGTCATGGTGTAAAGTTGGTTCATAACATCACACAGAATGGATTGAGTTACTGCCTACTAGAGATAAATTGTCATTTTCACATGAGTCTTTGCCAAAGAGCTCTAAGAAAAACACAGATCCTCATGAAATATTTTTCCTTAACATCAAATTCCTCTCTTTAAGTACTTTACCTCTAACCTGCAACATTTTTAATTTTTTTGGACCTTATCCTTAGATAACTCCAAATTAATTTAGTCTTAAACTCTGCAAATTATATTGGTTGGTCTCAGAGGCAAAATGTTGTATTAAGATTTGTTTATTTGTCATATGCAGGTTAAACAAGGTCAACAATGCAATGAAATGCCCTAGATGAGAGGAACTCTCGACTCAAAAGAATACAGATAAAACACACAATAAGTACTGAGAGGAATACAATCAAACATGGATACAAGAATATATTAGAAGTATGAAAGTATAAGAGAAGTATTTACAAAGTGCACAAGTGATGCAGTAGGTGCTGAGTGCGAATTATGCAATGGAGGATAAGTCAGTGGAATGAAATGAGGTATAAATTGCCATTGAAGTATTGAATTGATATGAAATTTCTGCTATATTAAGACTTCTGCAAGAGAAATAACCTTTTTTGTGAATATTAGATAAAGGTAACTGTCAAAGAAAATCACTGCATTTGGCTCAGACAAAGCCAAATGTCAATCATTTACGCAGTATCTCAGTAGTAAAAGCAAATAACTCAATCACATGTATATGGACTATAGTCATCAGCTGCTGGATATCTTGATGTGATGTTTACCCAGACAAAGCCACTGACAGAAAGCTGTTGGGTTTCTTCAGTGGGCTGTCTGATTTAAGAAACCATCAGAAACAGAGATGTTTGATGTATTTCCAACATTGTTTTCATACTTACACACACCAGAGTGCAGACCCTCTGATAGATGTCACAGGGTTTGGAAAAATCTGCTTATTACTAACAATAACAGAGATTTAGTTGTGTGAAGTTAATGGTCTGTGCATGAGCATGTGTGCTCGACTGTGTGTGTGTGTGTGTGTGTGTGTGTGTGTGTGTGTGTGTGTGTGTGTGTGTGTGTGTGTGTGTGTGTGTGTGTGTGTGTGTGTGTGTGTGTGTGTGTGTGTGTGAATGTCTGAAAGTGGGATCAAAGCTGAGTCAACAAGTTCCTGCCCAGACAGACGAGACACCAACAGAGAGAGGATAAAGTTTGTGGTCAGGGCTGTATGGGCTCTAAAAGAGACAGAGTGTTCGAGGTGCACAGAATACTGTAGCAAATTCTTTAGTAGAGAAATGTATGGAATTTAAATCTGACCGCAGACAGTGCAGCTTTGGCCAGGAGATGAGGTGCTTCTGATGAGAGGGTGAACCAGCTACAGTAATTCTGTCTGAAAACAGAAATACAAACAGCTAGACTGTTTACGTGTGTGGACATGTTGTTTTCTTTCCCAAAACACAATAAAACAACATCAGAAAATAAGAGACTGTTCCCAAAGTGAACCAACAAAAAACCCTGAGAAATTTGAACGAATGACTAACCAACAACATCTGCTTTCCTACAGTGACACATCAGATGTGAGTAACACAGGTTTAGTTTGTCTTTTTACCTTGATGTTTGTGTGGGAAAAAAAACCAACTGTTTTCTGAACACGAGGGTTTAAGATGTTAAAACAGAAACACAGACCTCAGGTCCGAGTTCTGTACTTCCAAATTCCCCCTAAAAAGCCACTGGTATATCTCCTTCCATAGCTCACTCAGTCTTTAAATTCTGAAACCCAACAAAATACTGACCCAGAGTAACAAAGAGCTGATTTAATTCATTCATTTTAGATCTTACACAAAAACTGCAACTATTGCTGTTAATGAAGTACAACCCCCAGTTTACACTGCATATACTATACATTCAAATAACATTGTCATTCTTTAACACATCAGGTTGGTTCAACTGCTTTGGTTTCCTCTTCATTAAAATGACTTTGTCTTTTACCATAGACCGTTTGACTTTATGAAACGTGGACAATGCCTCCTCAATGACCTCACCCTAACCCTAACCCTAACCCTAACCCTAACCCACTGGTGTCTGAGGAGGGGTTTTGAAGCCAGTCAAAGGCAAGAGGTGGAGCTGAGCCAGGTTCAAAACAGATGAGTAAAAAACAAACTAAAACACCCCCTCTACAGTGTGCACAACCAGGAATTTAGCATTTTAATTCTTTATGCCAGACAGCAGGCTGTGAATGTGTTCAATTTTGCTATACAAACTGATATTTGGATGTTGGTGTTAATGAAGACTGGACATTTTAGGAGCTTAAGTTTTTATGCATTACCACACTGCTGTCATTCATTCATTCATTCATTCTGGAGATTGACATTTAAACTCATACAAAAAAAAAAAAAAAACCTTTGACCCATTATGAAATTTTAACCCCATTTTAACACCTACAACAACTTGGATCATTTACATATTCAAACAATATGAAATATTTCACAAAACCAATAATCTACTTCATGTACTCCTACATTTTCTTCTAAAATTAATTACTTTGGAGTTATTAAATGTTCTGAGATTGTTGATACTACCCCTTTCATCATAATGTGAGTGATTTAAAAGACTTTTAACCTATTTTAAAACTATTTTTTGAATAAAACCAGACCACTGAACAATCTGCTGTCACTGCTGACAGAATTTCCTGGGAGGAAACTTCTGAGTGAGTATCTGTCAGCATTATCAGACTTGGCTATAGCTTTGAGTGACACACCCATACATTTCTTACAGATTAGGAGCTCCATGAGGGTGGACACGATTCACCAGCTTCATGTTTGTTTTTACTTTGGTGGCAGGAAAGACATTAAAGTCAAAATACAGAAAATATGAACATGTGGCCAGTTTTAAAGTAGATTTCACATAAATGCAGAAATGAAAAATTACATTTAAGAAACTTTTGAGGTTTCTTTTCAAACTAAATTTTTCTTGACAGTTATCTCATGTTTTTTTCTCTTCTCCCAAAAATCTGCACAGACTTGAACAGTGTATTCTTCAGGTCTAACACACATGTAGTCGCTTTATTCTCTTTTTCATCAGCATTAAATCAGCAAAAACAGCTTGCAGGAAGTAAAAACCCTTGCAACTGTGCTCGGCGCTTGTATTCAAGTAACACAAATTTGTAATAGTGTTGCTCCATGGATGAGTTACTATATTTCCTGTTAAAATTTTGTTGTGAAACGTCTGTTTTTATGGAAATGGGAATATTCAGTTATGACCAGCAGTTGAACCCCAACACACGCATGCTCACCCCTCCAGTCAGTGAAGGGATGTTTGCCCTAGTTGTGCCTGTAATACACAATAAGCATGATTTGTCAAGTTTCACCATCAAAACATATATCACACACTAAATACTTCAATGTGTACATTACTAATTTGATTGCTCTGTGCAGCATGGTAGTGACAGATTTTGGCCTTCCAAGGAGCAGACCCCTTTCTATAAATAAATAACCTCTCATATTCTGGTGATTACAAACAACTCCAAGCATACTTACTAGTATCATACTCTATTTCTACCAAGTCTGTTCTGTTAAATGCAGCTGATTCTATATGCTTTACTTTTCAAACCACCAGCCCATTTGATGAAAACTTTGTTTCATATTTATGATTTATTGCGGTTTATCTTGACAGGACCAGAGGGAAAAGTATCATAAAGAAATGACCTGGGACATCTCACTGGTTTGTGTTTTAGGACATTTGATCTTTCCAGGCCATTACAGTCAGAGTTAACACCTGAGAACAGCTCGCCATGTCTAAGTTCTTTGGCTGGAATAGACGACCACGTCAGAAGTCTTATCACGCCTGCCCTGCAGCCTTCCAGAGGGAGATGACAATTTGCTGACTGACTCACACCCAAACCAAAATAGGAAGCTTGTCACTGTTTGCTGTCTCTTAGTTTTAGTCATATGGGCTCTACAAGGGAATCTTGCTAGAGGCAACGTGCCTATAGTTAAAATGTTAGATGTTGTATATACAGGACTTGGTGGATATCTTGTGCACTTACTTAGCTCCAGAAAAGGCAAATCAGTCTGTATGAAAATTTAGAAAAAAGTAAAAATAAAGATTTTAAGCACAATAAAACTCATGACTTCCAGGAATTTCCTTCACAATTACTAAAGAAGAATTAAAACGCTGCAGTTATCCCTTTTAAAAACATTATCAAATACTGAGGCAGATTATAGCAAAGCCTTCAAGGAGCAGCTGAGTTTTATGACAAAACCTCCAAGAGGGTAAAGTACAACCATATTCCATTCCTTGTTACATCGCATGCTTGACCTGGGGTTGGCAGCACAGTTTACTACTTGTTCTCTTCTTGCATTCGTGAGGTTTACAAAGTACTCGAGAAAATCAGCTGTGACTTCAATATACTGAGTGAGCTTGTGTTCCAAGTCTGATCTCTACCAGCCTGGCTGTAAGAGCCATTATGAAACCTAAGAAACTTTGGCAATTTGCCTAAAAATACCAATATTATGTCATCATGTTTTAACTAAAAGTCAAATTTGAAAAATGATATGATGATATGATAAAGGATCTAATTACTATATTTTAACAAATTTAGCATGAGAACAGTATTCATTACAGTCCTGCACAGAAAGATAGATGACATATACGTAAGACGACAGTCAACCATGCTGACATAATTTGCAGCCTCCATTCAGACTTCTGTCTCTGTGATATATCTGTGTTCTGACAATGATTAATAAGCAGTTGATTTCAACAGGTACAACAAATGACTAAGACCTTTATCAAGACTTTTGGATCTTCAAATCAAGACTCAATGTGACATCTTCTTGGTGTAGTCAGGGCCCCCAGTTTGCCAATCTGCCATCACATAATCTAGAAGGGCTGAATTTAATCGCTGACAGTCATTTTTTTATGTCAACAAGAAAAGGAAGAAGAAACAAAAATTTGCATCTCTTCAATGATTCATGAAATGTAAATATTGGACGGTGGTGTAACCCTTCCCTTTCAACCAGAATTCAAATGCAGGAAAATCACTTCTGGTTTGAACACACAGAAAGGGAAAAGTCACTGTCGTCTAAACAGCAATAATAGCACACCTTGCTCTCAAAATCAATGTAGAACTGACAGGACTAAACTAACCTAAGCACCGGTGAATGAATCAAAGTCCATGCTTGATGAAAAGCTTTGCATTAAAATTAATTGAGAATTGGGGTTACATGGGAGGATTGATTGTCTGGGCATCATTGAAAAGAATCTATTAGAAACCTATCAGATTGGAACCCACCAGACAGATGACTACCGAGATGTCCTTGTCATAGCAAATCAGACATTTTTACTGATAATGTATACATGGAGTCTATACCGTAGACATCAATGTCTATAATCTGTCATAGCTTACGCTTCAAAGGAATAAACAAGATATACTGACAACTCTGGATAAGAAATCAAGTAATACATTTCACCAGAAGTCACTCCGTAGGGCATTTTTAACAGTTTCTGGTTAAGGTCAGCTAAAATGCCATTTCCATTATCATGAGAAAACAAACTTTGTCATACCAAGATAAGATAATAAGTCATTATCACGAGATAACAGTGTGTAACAAAAACGAAAAATCCATGGCCATTTTCCTCTTCCGTAAAATTATTCTAAAAAAGTAGATAACATTTTTTTTTTTTAAAGGCAAAAATAACAAAAATACACTGAAGTACACTAACTATGCATATGACTTTCAGGAAGCTAGTTCCCCTTTTTATCTACCATAATTAAAGACATTGTTTAACTAAGACAAACCAGCTGTTTTCTAAACTAGAAACGCAGTAACCCTTCCATCAGAAATGCTTTAACACAATTAAGTATCAGGAAGCTTATCACCTTATCATGCAAATGGGTCCACTGAATATTGAAGTCATTGTAAAGGCAACATAAATCTAGATAAACCTGCTATAAAAGACCCAGAGCATTATTTTCCTTAGGCAGTACAGTTTTTTCATAAAAACTGGATTTTAGACCCGAAACCAGCTCTGTAAGAAGTGAGGACTTACTTCACCTGTCTTACACAGACTTCAGTAGCTTGGCTTGAATGGTACACCATATGTTTGCTTTAATTGGTGCATGCAAGCCCTGAAATCAAACCCTTAATCCTCACAGTCTTAGCGGCACACACTGTGTAGGTTTGGAGCAGGATTAAGCATGCAACTGCGAAGAGTTGTGACATTATATCCCACACACTATGTCCACACTGTGCTGCAACCTGAAAGCAGAGTTACAGAGAGGGAAGGGTGTCTCGAGTTAAGCAGCACAAACAACTTGTTTGTGAGTGCCTGATGTCAGCCGGGTAGATACAACAGCTCAGCGACAAAACCTAACTGAAAGGATTGGATCTTGTCGATACTGCATTCATCATTCAAACAAAACCAAAAAATAAATGTCTACATGGTCCATTCCCTCATGGGAGGTTGTTCCAAGGCCGTGCCATGTAAAGACTGTCAGGACTTCATGTTGGTTCAAATCAGTTTAACCCCAACAAAAGGAGCACAAAAACACAAGTTTAATGTACTATTGACAAAAACAAAGATGACTGGACATCCATTGCAATGAGTGGGCAAGTGATGCACTATAGAAAATACCCCAAAATACTTGTTGGTATCTACTCTTTCAGTGTGATAGTAACTTCAAACAGTATTTGTTCCAACCTCAACAGCAGTTGGTTTAAAATGGAAGGTAGCAACAACACTAAGGTTTGTGCCTGTTGCAGGATAAAATCATTGGCCTCAGTTAGGTTTCTACAAACTCTTGAGGAAAACATGGCACTGGGGCTGCTAAATGTCAGCTAGTCACTGTTGCATGTTATATAACTTCTTCTACTAGCCACACCTACATTCATCTCAAATATGGTATAGAACTCTAAGAACTGGAAAATGCACATCTATTTCTTTAAGACCAAATTGAGGGGACAGTTTCCTTCAGATGTCCATTTTGCCCATACTCTATTTCGGTTTTTGGTTGAAAAATCCTCTGATTTACTGCAGCTCAACTTGGCCTTTCTTTTCTGATGGCAGCCCATCTGGTCCACCAGTGACAGTGACACTCAGCTCCCTGGTGTATTTTTGTCTTGCTGTTACTCCCCCCTGCGCTGATATAGGCAGTGGCACCCCTTATAAGTCTACCAGGCATTCCAGGAAGCAACAGCTTGTGCAACGGCTTTTTTTGCTCCATGAACATCATGCTAGATAAGTGGGAAATGCCAACATGAATCAGCCTGAGATTAACATCTTCAGGGTTAGCTTTGTAGCAGGAGAAAGTAGTGATAATGCATACAAAGAAAACACTGCAGTTCAGATCTGACCAACCAAAGTTAAAGCTGCCGGGCATACAGACAGTACAGGTATTTTCACATGAAGAAGCAAACAGGCATTCATTGGCAGCTGAAGGTTCCTTTGAGCCTCATCTCTTTCCACAACAAGAAACATACTTTCATGGTCTGGACTGAGAGGAACTAATAATTGCTACCTTTTTTTTTTTAAACAGTCAAATTAATAGGTTACTTCAGATAAGTAATTGGATCAATCACGCTGTTTTCAACCATTAACAGGACTGTAGAGCAATGGTTGTGTTGCTAAAATGCATGACAGCACAGCAGCGCGATACACAACCTGTCATGGGTTTTGCATTTTTTTCACTGATCAACCAGCAGCAGTAATGAACTGACCAAAGCAACCGAGTGCAAGGCTGTCAACAAACATACATGTCATATGTAGATTCACTTCTCATTTACTACCATTTTGCACATTTTACAGTCCACCGTTGTATTTCGGTGTCTACAATCTGTATAAAAAATGCATGCCACAATATACTGCCCTAATGTAATGGAAACTCTTGCATCCTGAGGTTAACACAACTTTCCACTGTCAATGCAACAATGCAATGCTCAGCATTTTGTGGAAGAGTACTTGTGACTATGTCTACATCAAATTAAAAGAACATACGACAATTAGTTTGTGTATTTAACATAGTTTTTCTGTTTTCATTTGACTAAACTATTTCGTGTCTCAAAAGTAGCAGTAATGTGTAAACAAGGAAGAAATGAAGACAAAGCTATAGGTGTAAGCAGTGCAAAATAGAGGATGTCTTAAATCTGGCCTGAAAATTAAAATATAAAAAGATGTAAATTAGCTAGGTAAAGTTTAAACCTTAAAACTTCACAGAACCTCAAGGGTGTTTCACAATATTCAAACAAAAATGGGTTTGTCTTGCCTTTGAGGGAGCGTTGTATTTTATTGTGCAGACTGCTGACCTTAGACTGTGAATACAACCTTTGAATACAACAGCCCCAACTTGCTGGAAAACAGGTGGAAATTAAACATTTACACGTTTTCTTAAGTTTAGTGTTCAGAACTCAATGTTACAGATATTTTTTTCTATCTGGCTTAAAAGTACTACATGAATCCTTAGTATCTTACACCAAAACATGCCTCTGTAGATCGCAGCAGTTTGAAGGGTTTAAAAGCTCTCATGGTTTAGTCAGCAGTAATGATGTAGCAATCACAGCAACAAGGTAACAACAACCCCTGTTTAAACCACCATTTAGCAGGGATTTGCTCAAGTCCTGGACCTCTGAACTGTTAGCCCCTTATGCTGACCAAGCTTCTCCTGACCAACACTCACACTCTGCAGTTTTAAGCTGCTTGCAACAATTGCTCTTCGAAATGTTCCCTTGACAAAAATCCATGATCCATGTGCACAAAGGGAGACATAACAACACTTTCCGAGGGTGTATGAATATTGAATGCCCAGCTCTCTGTCCTCAAGACCACAGCAGTCAGCAGCATGATATTTAGAGGCCCTCATTAAGTTTGAATGATCATCCAGTTCTAATTAACACTAATCCATTATAGGACCCAAGTGCAAATTGAGTGAAAGTTTATCCTGCTGCTGAAACATCATTCCACAACAACTGAGGGTTCGATGAGGAGATGTAGTGGTCTCACTGGACTGGATTTCAGGTCTTTGAGGACATGAAGCCACCTGTTGCACATAAGAATTGAGTGGAGGGCACACTTACAATGAAGAATACAACTACAAGAGCACACTCATCTCAATGAACCAAGGGAATCATGAGTAATTCATGATTTTAGTCTTATGGAAAACTGAGCCTTTTCACTGCCTTGAGCTACAAGCGCATCTCACGTGTCTGTTCAAGTTATTCAAAAGGTGTGTTTACCTGTGCAGAAATTATTCTCTAGCCTACAAACTTCTAGTTTCAAAGTTTATTGCCTTATCTGTAGATCAGAATGAGTTGGACTAGCCTAGTATTTGACACCTGAGCAAATATATGGCTCAAGGGCTGTCTGAAAATATCAGTCTTTTTTCTTTTGAAGAAAGAAAGAATCAGCAAGTACCTTACAAAAGCTGATTTCTGATCTACCAACTTTTCTCAGATTCAAACTGTAATTATAAACCGGTAAACCTTTTCTTGAGGTCATATCACCTGTTGCATCTCCACCATAAATGCAGACAAAGAAAAGCATGAATAATTAAGGATAGAAATGTGACAAAACAAGCATTACACAGAGTTAAAATAACAATACAGTTTAAATATCTGTATGAGCTGAATGTCAAATACGAACTTTTCAAAATAGCATTCCTGATAAGCGCTCAGTCGTGCTCTGGTGCTTAGTGGGAAAAGTGCGGCTGTCAGCTACTTACACCGGAGAGCACATGAAAGACAGACTGCAGTCCCTCTGGAGTCTTCGGCGTTTTATCCAAACAACGACCAACTTAAAAATAAAGCTCACGACCGTCCACTCAAGCCGTTAACGGGTAAATGTCGACGTTTTAGCTTTCTTTAGGTGGCAACCTGCTCCTCATTTGGAAGCCGTCCTGCGTCTGCCGACCCCCGTCTTGGAGACTAGCGTCAAGCCCAGCTCGGGTACATAGAGTCAACTTCCGGTGAAGATTTAGCAGATTTCTTAATTCTTTATCTCCAACAACTAGCAATACATTAGGAAGAACTGTACAACATATGAATAGATTTTTTTATTTTGAATCACTGGTAAAAATAAAATCAAGATGGAAGTTTAACTGAGCTAAATACTGACACAGCATGCCAAATTGTTCACACACAGACTTGGTTATTTGAAGCTGCAGCGAGCCACAGTGTTTTAAAAGTAGCCTACAGCTAAAGTTAGCTCCTACAGATTGTACAGTATGGACTACAAACTTTTAACAGCGCAAACATATTTGAGGCCTACTCTGTTTTAACGATTTACTCTTATTTTGAAAATATTTTCCGGTTTTGCTTTGTCTGTTTACGTTTAGTTTGACGAAAACGAGCAAAATTGATAAACTGAGCCACAGCACCTGTAAGACATCCAATCAGAACCCGAGCCCTCAACTTTGGTCTGTTCATATTTCGACTGTCAGGTGGCATTTTTCTCTGTCAGCAGTTACAGGTCGGATGATACCACAGACTATGCTGGCACATAAGTTCTCATTATCGTATTTCAGAATATCTGTAGGCTATTGAAAACTCAGCAGTAAGAGGCTTTGCAAAGAGGCACCCACAGAATGTCATTCCTTATTGGAAAAAATAAAGGCAACTGTGCAGACTTTGATGAACTTTCTTACAGCTTCTATTGTTTATGCAATATTTCTGAAAATACTGTGTCCCCGAACAAGAACATAATTACAGAACTTTTGAAAATCAAGTTAGAAAGCACATCCTATTGTAAAACCTGGATTAAAACAACTAGAAGTTTAAAGATAATCAGATCATCTAATAAAGACAAAATATATGTAGGCCTAAGTGGATATGATTGTGCTTGTTTATCTTACCTTCAATGAGCACTGTTAGTAAAGATCACTTTCTTAAGATTGAGGTGCACCACTAGTAAGAGCTTCATCCTTAGGCACACAGGTTACCACAGGCACCAAAAGCCCAGCAGTCCACCTTAGGTTTCAGACGGGAGTGAGAAATAATCAGTGCAGTCTTGCTGTGCACTCTGCCTCAGGGTATGAAGTGAGGCAGCACTCTTGAGCCAGAATTCACTAGTGCAACTCAATGTTCAACAATAGAGTGTTTCAAAGATGAAAAGTCTGATCTTAATTTGAAGTACCTTTTAAGGAGCAAGTGTGGTATGACCAAATATGACAGCATGTTCACTTCATTCTGAACTCGTGACATGGGAATATCTTGGTGCAGTGAGCTTGTCCTTCACTTGAAAAGCTTGAAGTGTCAACCTTTTATTCTTGGCTGATCTCTGACCTTTCTGGTTAGAGAGACAAAGGGGTTGTGGAAAAAGATACCTAGAGCATTAACTTTTCTGCATTAAACATTATAAAGCACAACTCTGGGCTTGAACATGCAACACACAACAACTGATACTTTCTGAGATGTCCTTGCACTTTAAAATACCCTCCTTCTCACACACACACACACACACACACACACACACACACACACACACACACACACACACACACACACACACACACACACACACACACACACACACACACACACACCTCTTACCACACCAGCTGCAGGGTGAAGGAACTTTTTATTGCTCTGTGGCAGCTGTCTTCTGAATACAAGAGTAAAGTGCACTCATACTCTGTATTTCACCAATAAAAAGGTAAAGTGTTTACCATTAGTTGAATGTCATAGAGCTTGCTTTGTATTAAACATGTACAGAAACCAACTGTAAGAGACAAACGTGGTTGATCCTGTTTGACTGCATCTTGAATAACATATATGCCTGTCGTTATGTTTAGTCTCCTAAAAGTATTTTGTAATGTAGTTTTGCTTGGAATTGTTTGGTGAACTCTTTTTCTTGTCTTAAACAACATGTATAACAAACACTGAAATTGACATCCCCTTTGACATATTTTAAGTATTTTAAGTACAAGAAATGACTTCCCATCATATGAAAAGATGAAACAGTGAAAAAAATAGAATAAATCAATTTATTGAGCACGATACATGTATATTTGACATGGTTCGGCTGGAAGGATAAATGCTTTGTCTCTATTGACTATAACACTCAAGTTGTTGTTGTTTTTTTTTTTCGGGAAAAGGTCCCATTGGGGTATTTACCATTCACAAGCGCACAGTATCTACAATGAATTTATTCACACAGAAAAAAGTCTGTTTTGGTTTTATCCGTATTTTTGCTTCAACGATATCGTCCCGAACATTTGAATTCATTCTGCTTTCCTTCAACTAAATTGTCTTGCTCTGCCCTCTAGTGGTGAAACACCGCTACTGCTACTGCCACGTTATAAAAGGGCAGAGGGATCCCTGTGCCTAAAAGAAAGACATTTAAATCCATTTAAATCCAGACACAGCGACGTCTCAATGTGCAGAGCAGTAAGTGGATGTGTGGAAGTTTCCTTCAGTCAAAGATAGTGACAACCATCTTTCAGTTTGCATATGCATTAAAAATTTACACACCTTGGTTTGGTGTTCGGAGCTCAGATTCAAAACCTGGATTGGCAACTGGTAAGAGTGGATATCAGTTTGCCTATATGGTTGATTGTATTTGTTCATTTTTGTCACAAATTATTCTGTAAATTTGCGTGAGGTTACAGAGTTAAAAAAAAAAAAGCACACTCATTAAGTGTTCTGATTCAGTCTTGAATATCGACTCTTCTCCTTTCATGTACTGCGTACCATTTGAATAATTCCTCACACCTCCATCCCACTTAAGATCAGTGTAACATAATGAACGCCTTTTCTGTATCACTTGTTGTTTCTAGTCATGAATGAGACTGATGCCTTTTCTGCTGAAGCAAACAAGACTACTGATAGAATGTAAAACATTTCAGAATGTTATCAATAAATGAATACCGAACAATGAATATCAGTTTTTTATAATGTTTAACCTATCTTATCCTAGCCAGACTGAGCATTAATAAAACAGTTATCATCAATATTCTTTAAAAGGAGGAGGTGGACTTGCAAACATTTGCAAAAAGAGTCACTGCAAACCTTCGCAGAGGTGTTTGTGGCAAATTACGGTATCTGAGGAACAAGACTTAACTTTTCAGCATTGCCTGTTGCATAAATGTGCAAGTTTGAAAGTCCAATCTTTTTCTTTTTTTTTTTTACATTGGTAAAGATAACAGAGGCAAAGCACTACAAGTCAATCTTTGAAAACCAAACCCATCAAAGGGGTTATCAAACAGAAACATCATGGGCAGTAAAGAAATAAGCTTGCAAAAGAAGATGTCAAACTACTGTTTTAGTGCCCTGTGTATGCCAGAGAGAGATAGAAAAACATATTTGTTGTTGGGCAATCAAAGGATACTCTCTTCATATTGCCTTATTTGAAAATTGTGCCAGTGAATGGCAAGAAAATAAAAAATTGGGTCTTGCTTAATCTCTACAGCCTGTCATGTTACTCAGAGGTCAGGGGTCGACAGTTTCTCTGCTAGTCCTGCTGAAGCACACTGGAAAATATTGTTTGTACAAGGAGATTTAAGCTGGCTCATGTTGTGATGTAACAACAGGAGTGATCTGCATAAGCATGCACGCCAAACCACTCCTACTTCTCGAGATTCTGTCTCCTACACTATTGTGGGTTTGCTTCAGTGTTGCAGGGTCAAGAGGTCAGAGCAAGACACATCAACTGCTCTGCTGTTGGTTTCAACAGAAATGGAATAATTTTATTTTAAGAACAGAAATGCTTTTTATTTTCAACAACACCATAACAGCTACAGCTGGTGCTTATTTGTGTGCTGAGCCATAGGCTGTATATACTATGGACATCTTGGTTCCGCCTTCCACCAGTATACAGATAATAAGCCAAAAAGCTCTCGGTATTTCAGAGTTTTTTCTCCACTTCCTTAAACCAACATTGGGCAGTAGCGTGGTACGCATTAAGCGGAAGTGTCATCACAGAGTCGCCGTGATGACACTCTGCTCAAACAGCGTATCCCCTGGGTGAGCTACGCAATCTTGGTACGCCCATAGCCTGTATCAAGTGTCAATCATAGAAAACATGAACCCCCTAATATCTTTTAAAAATGGAGCTGCACAGAAAAAAGAGGACTTGAGCACAAACCAGTCTTACAGTAACTACATGTCAACATCAAAGCAGGGGGGAGAAAAAATTATATTAAGTGTAATGAATTTCTCAAGTTTGTTCACAGTTTCATAGGGATTGCTGGAGGAGGTGGGATTTATGACCTATACTGCAGCTGGTCACCAGAGGGTGCTATTCTTGCAGAGGCTTCACCAAGAGAGGAGGCAGATGGCGTCCATTCTATATACAGTCTATGGTTTGAGCCAACTAACTCACCTAAGACTGCAACAACAATAGCTGACTACTTAAAGTTGCAAAATTACTAAACCAGTCAAGAAAGTATGATAAAAACTCAAAAACTTTTGTAACCACGGCTGCAGTGGCCTTCTCCTGTTTAATGGCATAATCTAAACCCCACATGTACTGATGCAGATTCTCCTGGAGCACCCCTCATGTCTGTTTTGGTGTTTTTTCACCTTGACATTTATCTGCACCAGTCTACTCCCATCCCATTCATCAGGCAGCACAGTGCATCATTATCGTAGCATCCCCGCCCACTCAGACCACAACACAGATAATGAGGTTAGAAACTGAGAAGCTGCAGATCCTCTACAGCAGAACATAGTACCGGTCTTAAAATCTGATACACAAGCCCTTCTGACTTGAATGAACCTCTGTGATTTTACCTTTAAAAGCACCAACCTAACTTTTACATTACAAAGAGGAATCATACACTTGGTAAAGTCTTAAAATAATTACACAGGTAAACCGAGAAAGCCATCAAGATGATTTACAACAGTGGATAGCTTTCAAATCTACCCTAGGTTGATTAATCAAGTTTTTCAGTTCTGCACAACAACACTGACTGAGACTTCAGGTTTTAATTTGATGAGCCAGTCCAAGGACAGAAGGACAAATGTTACTTAGAATTGGCCTATAATGTTTCATTAAATACAGAAAAGAAATCCATCTGTCTGTAGTTGGCCTCCTCTATAATCCCCTCAGTGTATTATAAACCACAGACTTGCTGTGTCTCTTCCTGCCAAGTCTATTGGTGTTTATGATGTCTCAGTTCAGTATGCTGTTGGCAGATCACATCTGGCGACCCCCTACCAGCCTTGATCTTTTTTTTTTTTACCATTTGCATTTGCTTTATAGTGAGGAAGTCTTTTCTTAAACATAATCATAACAAGCCATCTCATTTTGACATTTATTCCACGAAATGCAATTTGAACCTTTTCCACACCATTAAACCTGATTCGTTGTGGTTTATGACCCAACTAGCACCACTCCTCACTCAGACTTTCCAAATAAAACGGATCCAGCTGTGTGCCGCTGTGCGCCCTCCGTACGTCACTGCGCTCTGCTTCTCAGTCGATAGGGCAGACAGCGGTGACCAGGAGAAGGAAGACAGAGGGAGAAAAAGATGTCTGGTGTCATGTTTCTAACGGCATCTTTAAGTTTGTGCTTGTTTTGGTTGAGTGGAGGGTCAGCGCGGAGCGGGACGCTGATCCTGCGGGACGCTCTGGAGCGGAGTCCGGTCAGTCTGAACGACATGTTCCGAGAGGTGGAGGAGCTGATGGAGGACACTCAGCACATACTGGAGGAGGCTGTGGACCAGGTCTGCGTCATCTTTTATTCATTCAGACCAGGGTTGAGTTTACAGCTGTGGCAGTGAAAAGAGTGACAAAATGATCGTAGTAGTGATTATAACAGTGGACTGGAGACAATCGAAGTGACATTACATTTTAGTAAATTGAGATTCTACCAGTAGTCTGCTGTAGCTATTAGAGGCAAGATTACACGAAGTTTCCATGTCTGCCTAATGTCTGAGACACGTCATGTCTAAATATGTGTCCTCACTGTTAAAACTTAGCTGTTAAAAGAAATACTTACCAAACAGTTTCAGGACTGACAAACTGTTTGCAGAAAACCACACTATACCAAGTTATTTCTGACAGCCAGTATACTCCTAGAAAGCATCGGGGATACTCACGTTATGTTTCCCTAGACTATACTAATGTTCCAGCTGTCTGTGTCTGTTTTTATCACTCGTGATCTACTGTGATGTTTTCCATGTCATCCAAGAAATAAGGGTGGTTATAATCAGGTTTCAGGCTACAACCCAGATCCAAAAAAGTTGAGACACTTGTACAATGTCAATAAAATATACTTTAATGTTGGTAAATTATGTACAGCGTTTTTTTCCCTAATTGTAAAAAGTGCAAAGCCAAAATTTCAAATATTGAAAGTGAAAACAAAATTATGTTGTGAAAAATACATGCTGTTTGAAACAGAGGCAAGTTTATTTGCGTGTTACTTTGATTCCTCTTACATGACATGAAATGTTGTCCCTCTCTTGGCTGATACGATTCCAGATGTTCAGCAGTTCAGGGTCTCCATTGTTGTGCTTTTTTCATTCATGATGCACCAAATTTATTCAGCAAGTGACAAGTCAGGAGGACTTTAGGCAGGCCAGATTCGCACATGGATAACAGAGCCATGCTATTGTTATAACTGCAGAATGTGGTTTAGCATTGTCTTGCTGAAATGTGAAAGGTTGTCCCTGAAGAACATCTTGTCTGGGTGGCAGCACAATTTGCCCTCAAAACCTGCTTTTATCAGCATTAGTTGTCTTTCCTGATGTGCAAGGTCTCCATGACATCTGGGTGCTTTTGCATCCCCATACCATCACAGAGGCTGTTTTTTCCAACTGTGCCTTGATAACGAGCCATGTGGTCCTTCTCCTTTTCAGGACGCTGCAATGTCCAAGGTTTTCAACAATAATGTCAGACCACAGGACGGTTTTTAACTGTGCCTTAATCTATTTTAAATGCTCCATACTCAGAGAAGTTGCTGGCGTTTCTAGTTAATGTTAATATATTGGTTCCTACTTTGCAAGGTGTGGCTTTAACCTGCACTTGTGGGGACAGAGACCAACTGTGTTCACAGACAGTATTTTGAGGGGGTTATTGTGATTTTTACTACAAAGTCATGTCTGCCTCTCTGGAACACCATTTTCATAAACCAGTCATGATTTTTTTTTTTTAAATCCTGCAGCTTTTTCAGGGATTTTGTTTTTCTAGTTCCAACCTTATAAAACAGTATCAGTTTCAATATTTGATATGTTGCCTTTACACTGTTTTCAGCTGAATATGAAAATGACCTGCCTGGGAATCTTTTTTATCAACATTCAAACAGTGTTACAATGAGCTGTATATCAAAAAAACGTCCATAACTATGCCCATGTTAAGAATTGTCCCTTAAGAAATCTGTTGTTTGGATGTAATGCAAATTCACATTCATCCTGACATTCAATCCAACAGATAACTACCGAGAGTGCAAAATCATCTTTATCATCGCTGGATCTGCTTCCCAACTACCATAACCAGACGAGCAAGGTGATAAAAGACGGAGACAGAGTGGTTCAGGTTCTGGAAAGAGTTGACAAGGTGGGCCAATGTTTGAAGCCTTTTTAAGAGATGAAGGTTTTGTCTCTCATGGACAAAAGTTGCAAAAAAGGAAAAGGTCTTTCTATGGTTGCTTCTCTGACTGAGTTCTGATTATTTGAATTTTCTTTCTTTTTCATTTAAAGGAAACAAATAATGAAACAGGAGAGAGCCATCTTTCACACACTCGCATGGAAATGTCTGGCCTATGGAACACTGTGAATCATGTGAGTCCTTTACTTTTCCCTGTTTGGTCTTTATGAATAAGCAGAGGAGCATGGGCCTAAAGCACTCTACCATGTGTTTCCTGTTAATTGGTTTCCCTCCATCCTGATGCTGACATATGTAGAAGTACACAAAATAACTTATCAAGATGTGGTTCTCATTAGGTTGAGCCTTGGAGCGAGTCAATGGTAGCGTACAGTTTTTGTTTTTGTGTGTGTGTGTGTGTGTGTGTGTGTGTGTGTGTGTGTGTGTGTGTGTGTGTGTGTGTGTGTGCTTGTCCAGCTGATAGCCTGTTGACTCATGTGTCAGGAAATGTGTGTTGGGTTTTCAGGCAGAAAACAAAATCCAACCACACGGTTTCGGATAACATGTTTTTTCTTTTGATGTGTTGGCGCAAACTTTAAAGGGAACCCTTGAAAAATACAAATACAGAATCTTTTTGTCTTTGTTTCTCCCATTGCACTGAGCATCCACCTGCTTTTAATTCAAAATTTCAAATTATTCAGGGTATAAATGAAAAGTTTCTGTAACTTTGTTGGCTTTGCAAACATTTACAGTTTCTGTGAGAAGAGACAAAATGGTGATCTGCTCACTATAAGTGTGGCTGTGCTGTCTCAGCTTGTTTTATAAGGGATGAGATCATCCAGCAAACAGACCTACCAGATACTTTACTACTTTTCATAGTTCTAGCCTACAGGAGCCGGTTTGGATGAAGGTTATAGCTGCCTGCTGCCTTTTTTTTTGCTGTTTTACCTCACAATGCTGGTTTTGATGTTTTTTTTTCTTTCCTGGCAGCTGTACAGTAAGTGGTTATGTTAATGGAGCCTGCTTCTGGAAAAAATACCAGGGAAGCAAGCAAGCTGGCAAGCCAGGCTGACCTCTGTGCTCCTTGAAAATGATTTACTGTAAAGACAGTTTACCCTCCCAAAGTCACACTTGAATTTTTAGAGACTGAGAGTAAGATAGAACAAAACTGATTGACTCATAATTTCATATCCTTTTTACTGTCATTTAAAGATGGAAGGGATCAGACTAGCAGAGTAAGCAGGGTATATACTGTATTTGGTTGAAATATCAATACTCCTCAGGTGGATGTAGTTATCACAATAAGATTTCAGACATGAAGGGGATAAAGCTATCAACAGATTTGTCCTCATTGATATTACAGTCTAAAGCTAATAAAGATTTATGCCTTCACCTATCTTTTCTTCACAGCTTGTGCAATGAACTCAACATTTGTATTAATTTTGTCACTCTCCTGTTGACAAACCATCCTTGCTTATCTTGTTCTTTAAATGCTTGGGTTGTGTCGTCTGGCAGAAATATCATCCTGCTGACTTTTTACATTCAGATGTCTTATTTATTGTGAATATTATACATTTAAAATTGTAATAAAAATAGGCTATTGCTTTAACAGCTTGGCTAACACCTACCCCTTGTTGCAGGTGGTCTTGTTGCTTTTATGCATACAGTAGTAAGACAAAAATATAAATTTTGGTTACATCAAAAAACTTCTCACTTGAGCTTTAAACAGCAGCTTTCAGATAAACATGCAATGCAAAATTCTTCATACAGGAGAATTCAAGGACAAATAAAAAATTAATTTAGCAATGAAAAATGATAAACACAAATTTGCGAGACTGAAAATAGCTCAAAATACAACATAAGATATTATGTCACGTAACAACTCACAAACTTCAAGATTGAAACTGAAATAAAGTCTTTTATATCTATTCAATTAATAAATAAATAAAGATCATCCATTTTCCTTTTAGCAAATGGAGCCTCATAATCACCCCATAGACACCCAGCTGATTACAGTGGCCCTGAAAGTCGATAGCACAAATATTTTAGGAGGGCAATATGAAAAATAAAATGCAAAAAATATTCTATATGAACACAAATATATTTCAAAAAACACAAAAAATTTAAACAAAAAATATTGACAAAAATCATTTTTAGACACAAAAATGTTTTAAAAATAAAGATTTTTTTAATACACATAAATTTTGTGATGTCAAATTGTATCTGTGTTCTAAAAGATGTTATGTTTTTAAAATTAATTTGTGTTTCCAAAATATTTTCATGATAACAAAATTGATAACATGATAACACATTTTCAAAATACTTCCTTAAAACCATTTATTTATTTTCTAAAATATATTTTTTGTTCATGTCAAATATATTGGTGTTCTATGGGATTTTTCTTTTTATGTAATGAATTTATTATTATTATTTTTTTTCAACCTAATTCTTTTTTAGCCCTCCTGAATTATTTAAACCACTGACCGTCAGGGCCACTGTACTGCTTAGTACATCAATAAACAGTGAAACAGTTTTGTATTAGACCTTTCTTTCAAAGAAAGATGAAGCAATTAAAGGAAAACGATCAGACACGACATTCTTCTCTTTTAACAGATTTTAGTATCTGTGACAGATGAGTTACTAACTACAATCTGGAAAAAAAAAAGCGGAATGTGTTGTTGCCATATGAAAGGAGCAGGATATCACCAAAATGACTGTATTAAAGAATTGCATGTCAGTCCCATGTCTGGTTTGTTGTGCAAGTTAGCTTCCAGATAAAACATAATCTATGTCAAAAGGCATTTTTTAGTCATTTTTAATTCAGCACCTAATAATAACAAGATCACTACTGCCCATCCTTCTTAATTTTTTTGAAACTGTTTGGGCATGAGAAAGGTCATTTACATTCCTTATATAGAACATTTCCTTATATTTGGAGTTGAAATGTTGTGTAGCCTGGAAGTATGGATGCATGTATAAATGGATGTATGGATAAATGCATGTGTGAAGAAAGAAAGAAAGAAAGAAAGAAAGAAAGAAAGAAAGAAAGAAAGAAAGAATTTTTGTTTTTTTCCCATCACAATAAATCAGCAGTTAAAGGTTTTCTCTGATCCTTAGATCTTTTCCTACCGTAGCACTGTTACATCAGTACTAAAGCAATTCATGCAAATAAAACTAAGAGGTAACCTCCACAACCTATTCATTTGTGTTGAAAGCAATATTCATCTGTATGTATTCTCTGATCTTGGCTGATATCCCTCTGTGTTTGACACTGTGAATTTTACTGGCAGTGATTAAATAATGTAATTATTTGTTTTAGTAAATATGCCCTCTGTACTCTGGTTTAGTCTGGTAAAATATGACACACACTTCCTTCTGATGTTCTGTCAGTCCACCAATATTTTTATAACAAGAACAATGAAACCTTGTTGTTGCTCATCTACTATTTTTACTGCACACTTATAAACAAAACAAAGCTGTTAAAATTTGGAGAAAACTCAGATGTCTTTGGGGCTTGGTTCTCAAACAGGCTTAATTCAGCAACTTTTCAGTAATTATTTGTGGCTGTAGTGAAAACAGCTGCATGCGTGTTGCAATCTAAAACATGATAATAAAATTACTGAAGTGTAGTTTGTTGATTTAACAGCTGGTGAAAGGTTGGCCTGGCCAGCTGCAATTCAAGCAGAAATCACACAGACATGGAGGTTCAAACAGTCTATTGTTCAGTGAGTGGATTATGGCACAGTTTTTTCCCCCCTCTTTAATAAAGGACTGATTCATGGAAAATAGTTGTGTAGAGTTATAGGTCGCTACTGGTCTTATAAAACTAATAACAGCTGTGTTCATCTGGAATATATTTGGAAAATTATAGGGTATTATGAGTAGTATGGTCCATATTTGTAGTTTCCAACATCTCTGTCTTTCCAAAAACATATTCCATCTCATGAAAAATACTACAAAAAAGGAAGCACTGTGTTTCTTTTTCTGCAAATGTGAATATTGGCACAAATATGAGGGGAAAATAGACCATTTTTTGCACATAGTTTCATTGAGAAGACTGAATAGCTCAGGTTGAGTACAAAGTGTTGACAGGTTCATGGATTCTCCTGATGCAGGGTGTTAGTTTAGAAGGAAATGAGAATGCGCAAGTTAAGATCTGTGAATGGCAGCTATTATGAGACACCTCGATTGTGCAGGTTGTTTGAAGCACTCTGTGGTGTCATGTCCAGAGGGAGCGTCTACAAAGATAGAGGCCCAATAAAGTCAAAGATCAGAAATGGAGAGTTCACAGCAGGCTTGTGTTGCTTTTGGCAGACACTGCTTCCTTGGGGGAGGAGACCAAATAAATCTTAAATATCTGATTAGCATTCCAAAGTTTAACAAGTAAGGCTCAGCGAGTCAAATTTATGTAAAAGAAAAACACTCCAGCTCAAATCCTTCAAAAGTGGTCCTGTTGTGTGCTCAGACATGAAGTTATTTCAAGATAGAGACCCTTCTGTTTGCTGAGATGTCGCAGATGTCTGTCAGACAGTTTCCATGGAGATGGGCTTTAGCTGCCAAAAACCCATCTTCTAAAACTATCGACCTCAGAAAAAGGGGTGAGGGAGCTGTGGATAATTGCTGCAGTAAAAAAAGAAGTAAACTACATGATGACAAGATTTAGTAGTTTATCTCAGACCTAGTTGAACTCTACAAGTCAAATGGTCATTCCTTTGTCTTTGAAAGCAAGACAGAGAAGGTTGAAAAATTATTTTAAAAATTATTATTAAGTGGAAATACTGATTAAGCATTTCCACTTATTGTTCTTCCCGTCGGCCATATTCTTTCTCTTTTTTCTACCCCTTATACTTTTTGTTTTTTTTTTTACTTTTTGTGCCAAAATTTTAACATTGAAGTCAATGGGGAAATCTTCCAATTCTTCCTGTTATTCTTCCACCTTCTGAGCCTTATAACTTCTGCATACTTTCACCTAGAGACCTCATTTTTGCTTTAAAATGTTCATTCACTTGTCGACTATTACAGTTGTACTCAGTTTTTTGATATCTTTTACAGTTTTTCCACAATTTAGCTTTAAGCAACTTGTGGTTCTCAGCAAATTTCAGGCTTTATAATGGGTGTGTATTGGAGAGGCTAGAGTGATGATTTAAAAGCTAGAGTGCAGACCTCGTCTCTGATCGACAGAACCTTGCTCGAATATATCGCTCCCACGCCCACAAATCTCACTCCACAGCCATACAAAATACATCAAAATGGAGGTATATGTGTCCTGCTTCTCACAAAAGAGGTTTCAAATCATTAAATCCTACCCCTTCGCCAGCAGGTGACCAACTGTCCAAATAGGCGGAAATCTCTCCCATTAGCCCTAATGTATTTTTTCTCCAAGAAAATCCTGATCGTCACTCAGGCTCAGACTTTTTTAACTCACTGTTGTGGCCACATTTTTCGGAGTACAGACATGAAAAACACATCATTGTATTCATGAAGGACGGAGGATTCGTACAATGTTCTTATTATCATTCTGGGATTTAAAGAAATCATGCTATGTGAAGAAGTTCAGAGGCCCTAAATTCACTGCAGTTCAGCAGCTTCTCCATTCAAACAGTAGGTCAGTTAATGCCTTTGATCTCACAGCTGTTTAGGATAAAATCATTAACGAGACACACACACACACAGTCTGACAATGTGCGTGTGTGCGTCACTGCCTATGGCAACCAATTAGCGCACCTGGAGACACACAGCTGACTGAAAAGCTGCTTCTAATGGCCATATGAGATACATGAAGCCAGGCCAAGCCAAGCACAAACTTTGAGCTACAGAAACCATTCTGGGCTTCAAAAATTCAGCTCATTGAGGACATTATGGGGTGTATTTAGGATTTTGTTAATTAATTGTATCAATATGTTCAGCAGAGTCGTGGGGTTCTCACAAGCTCCTTATCATGAATATATACAGAGGTTGACCATCAGGGCCTAGCTGGAGAGCCATTTCCTCAGCTTCAAGCCTCCTTACTCCTGTTGCAGTGTTACATCTTCCTTCGCCATGGCAACCAATTAGTGCACCTGGAGACACACAGCTGACTGGAAAGCTGCTTCTAAGGGCCATATGAGACACATGAAACCAGGCTTAGTACACAGAGCACTGAGTGTTACATTTAAAAACCTTCACGAGAGCGCTTGCCATCTTCAGCCCCTATCTTCTCCCACAAACTTTGAGCTACAGAAACCATTTAGGGCTCCAAAAATTCAGCTCATTGAGGACATCATAGGCTGTATTTAAGATTTTGTTAATAAATTGTATCAATGTGTTCAGTAGAGTCTTGTGGTTCTCATAACCTCCTTATCATTAATATAGCTGTTACAGAGGATGAGCATAGTCTGGGATTTTGTTTCTCAGCTTAGAAGCTCCTTTCTCCTGCATCTACGGTCCCCATAGCAACCAATTAGTGCACCTGGAGACACACAGCTGACTGGAAAGCTGCTTCTAACGGCCATATGAGACACATGAAGCCAGACTCAGTACACAGAGCACTGAGTGTTACATTTAAAACCCTTCACGAGAGCACCTGAAAATATTCAGCCCCTATCTGCTACCATAAACTTTGACCTACAGAAATCATTCAGGGCTCCAAAAATTCGGCTCATTGAGGACATTATGGGGTGTACTCAGGATTTTTATTCATTTACTTTTTCCCACTTTAAAATTATTCATGCATTATTAATGCTTTATTAAATTCTTCAAACAAATCCAAACTCATTCAAACTGATTCAAACCTTTCTGATACTTCAAACTTGTTTAACACTTTAGGACTTCTAATTATTCAAAAATTTTCCCACTTCAAAATCATTCTCATTATTTATGTATGTTTTAATTCGTAAAACAAAATCCCAGTTCTACCACTACAATTACTACTGATATCACTTTAACTTGTATCTTCACTTCTACCTCCACTGCTCTTGCTTCTCTTAATATTTTTTTTACTTCTACTCTTACTTCCACCATGAGCTCTACTGCTTTGACTTCTACTTCTTCTATTCTAAAACTACTTCTACTGCTTACATGACTACTAATGTCACTACTACAACTACCTATTATCATACTACTTCTAGTTCTTCAACTTAAACTTATGCCACTTCTCACTTTTCTGTGTTTTAAGGTAATTTTCTTCCTTATCCAATTTTTTTTTGCAATTTCAGACAGTTTTTCTAGCCTTATTCAGCATGAATGCAATTTTAATTTATGAAGCACATTCATACTATTTGTACTTCAGCAATTTTCACTTTCATCCAACTTCTACTTTTCTTTCTCCAGCTCTTTAACCAATTTTACATTTAATCCTTCCTCAATTTTTTTTTTTAGCAGTTTTGCATTGCTTTTTCAGCTTTCAGCACTCAGCATTTACACGCATTTTCTGCAAGGAAATGCAATTTTTCTAGTATTATAATATATATTATATTATAATTAATAATCCCCCGCCCCTAAGTTTAGCAAGTGGATCACCAAAGACCTTGGAATTTACTGTTGCATTTGAACTGCTTTCACCCAAGAGGGTCATGATCCAACAGCTTTTTGCGTAAATCCACTGTTAGAAAAACAAAGAGAGAGAAAAAAGACAGACAAAAATGCGCTTTTTTACTGTTATTACATTTAACATAATACTGTGCCACCCAGATTGGAAAGACATTGCAGCTTGTGAGGCTTATGTGCTATGAGGAGTTCAAAGTTCTCTAGTTAATATATATAAAACACATAAGTAGCAGCTGCAAATGAGTTGATCATTAAAATATTTTTTTAATTGGTTCTTGTACAGGTACAAATACAATGAAACTATTTTGCACTGCCATGCCAGAACTGAGGCATAAATAAAGTTAAGTACAAAAAGGTATGTACATGCATACTCTTATACATAAACACACAAGTTCACACATCTTCAAATGGGCCCCCTACCCACATGGATAATTTAATCCTTAAACAACATCTGTTCTAACTGTTAACACTTGATTGAACTCCAAACAACTCCATTGGTTAGAAAAAGTATTGTTACTGAAGTTATTCTGAATCAACACCATTTCTGGGTTTCATTTAAAAGCAGACTGATACATGATAAAAAATGATTTGCACTGGCTCCCTGTCCACCTCCACATCGAATTCAAAATCCTCCTCCATACCCACCACTGTCTTCACAGTGCAGTCCCCACCTACCTCACCGGACACCTCACCCCACACACCTCAATAAAACCACCGACTCTGATGATGCAAGGAGAAACTCCAAACCCTTTCTTTTTGAAAATCTGTATTTCAGCGCCACCTTGTGGATGTTTGTTTTTGTGAAAGGACGTACAACAAGGCATGAATATACTGTATATATACATACGCTAGATGTCTTACGCACACTGTTGGCCAATGGAGACCGACATCCTGGCATGGCGGCCATTTTGCTACAGGACACTCCCCCACTCCTAACATTCCAGTCTACTGTGCATGTAGCATTTAAATAACCATAGATTGATTCATTTTAAACCGATTAAACGGTTTGGTTTGTAACAAACCTCAGAGTTTTAGTTATGTCCCTGCATACTCAAGAATAATTTTAACCATGGATTTCCATAAATAAACATTAAACAGATAGGTAGAGTAATAGCTATAGACCTACACACACAAGGCAGTTATATTAAATCATTTATATAGAAAACATTTAATCATTCCATATTTGTAATATTTCTGTTATAGAGATAACTATAATAATATATAGCAATAACATTTAAAAATATTTATTTTCAACATAAATTTCTACTTCATGTTGTCATTTTAGATTTTTTAACAAACCAAACAGCAGAAATCATGTGCAACTTCAGTTATGTTGAATCTAAAGAGCATTTCTGATAGAGAGACAGATAGATAGATAGATTAGATAGATTAGATAGATAGATAGATAGATAGATAGATAGATAGATAGATAGATAGATAGATAGATAGATAGATAGATAGATCCCAAACTGTGAAATTCATATAGATAGCTGATAGATAGCTGAGAAACACAAGAACATCCACAATGACTGGCACTTAGACTAAAAATATAGACTGTCACACTCATATCTCTTAAAGAACTTTAGCCCTGACCATTAAAGCTGAATATTTATTCCAATAATTTGGGAATTAAACATTTCTTATGCTTTTAACCAGATAAATTTTAAAACTCACAGATGCCCCACAAAAAATTAGACCAAACTTAGTAAGAGTAAATAGTTTAAACTACAGGAACTCAAGCTAGAGTGTTTTAGATTGGATTGTTGAAATAGAAAGAGAATTCATCTGCTGACTTTGGAGCTAAAACAGCGAAGAATGTGAAAATTCACAGATGTGTAGTGAAGGGAAGAGTATGATGCTTGTCTCTCGAATTTAGGAGTAAAAGTCAAACATTTATCTCGAAAATAATCCTTGTGTTTGGCACTGATGCTCAGAAATATCTGCTAGGAATAAAATTAATGCAAAGTCATGTGTCCAGTGAGAAATATGTCATGGTATATCTCAAAACCAACTCACATTTTCTTCCTTTGTTCTTCCTGGTGTGTTTTGGAGGGAAAAGTCACAAGCCTGGGGGCAGGGCTTTATAATCTTGGGGGCGTGGCTTATCCTGCACTGGCGACAGGAGAATTTCCACCTAGCTAGGTTTCTGATATTTTTTACCACTCTGTCTATCTGGTAGTCGTGTTTTGGTCTTATTTTGGTTAATTTAAAGATGTATGATACGTCCAAAATAATGCAGGTGTTTAAGACCTTATCCCAGGCCAGAGCTGGTTCATTAAGTTGCCTGTCTTTCAGGAAACTCATGAATACAACACCAACACATCACCACCCCTTTGAGTTATTAATTTAGGAAGCCTCAATGAGCAGGAGTAAGTTTGTGATTGAACCCTGATATCATAATGAACAGGAGAGCTCTGATAAACCTTCTCACCACACTGCTCAGCACCATAAATGGCCCACAGACACAGTCTGACCCAGACACAGTTAGCATCTGGCTTGTTAAGAAAGCAGAGTCTTGCTGGATGTCTCCCTGGAGAGACATTTGGATGTTGTTTAAGAACAACATAGCAGAAAGGAGATAAACGTTGGACTTACTTGCCTGCAGCACAGTTCTTCAGAGATACTCCTACTGCTGTGCAAACACATTTCCTTTCAGTCTATATTAAGTGTTAATCAGGGCCTATGAGAGTCCCTGGTCCTGGATTTGGGAGAATTAGTGATCTGATCCCCTTTTTACAAGCTCTTTATCTTGAGATACCTGGGAAAGCTGCTGAATTTCTCCCTGATGTTTAAATAAAGAGAAAAATACGTCATTATGAGCAGTTTGTCTGTTTTCATGAAAATGTCGGTCGAGTTTTTCTTTAGTCAGTAAATTTTCACTGCTTTTGGGTATCATGGAAAGTAATAAGTACAAATTTCAGTCAATTTTAAGCTTTAATACACCGAAATACTGATATTTAAATACTAATATTTTATATACTGTCTGTTTTAACGTTTAGGTCATGAGGATCTACCAAAGTCTTCCCCAGGGAATGAATTCAGCACCCATCCGCTTCATTACTTATCAATCTGTCAACAGAGTCATGGACTTTAGAGCGATTCTTATCTGTGATGGATGGACTGCTTATATCGGAGTGCTGATTTTGGAGATTTTTAATGCAGGCCAATATAATCAGATATTTGTTTTTTTGCTGATATTGGACCGATATCAATATCAGATCAGGACACCCCTAATATTGACAAGACAGTCTAGCTGCAGACCTCCACCTCCACTGAGCGAATCATAAGTTATTTGAAGCTTTTCAAAATAAAAGCAAATATACCGGGAGTATGTTTCTTTTTTTTTTACATCCAAAGTTTACTCAAAGCCTTTTAAATTAAAAGCGATTAGACCGGGAAGTACATATTTTTTGTCTTGTATGAATATCTTTTTTTTTTCTTGGGGCTTTATTGTATGTTTATAATATAACTACGATTTTTTTGTTTATTCATGTTTTCGACAAAGACAAAATACAAAATGGGATGACCACTTCAAACAAACTGGAGCACGTGAGAAATAACGCTACCTCGGGGCCTCTCAGTGGAGGTCTGCAGCCAGACCCCTCTCAATATTGACAGGCCTACAGTAGTTCAGAGTATTAAGTGAGAGAGAAACAGACAATGAGTCAGAGCGCTTTTAAGGAGCTTTTAATTAAAAGCCTTGTACAAGAAACACACAGAAAGCAACAACAGTAACAGTTAACATGACACTGGATACATAATCTGTACAATAGGGGTTCGCAAAACATGCTTCAGAAGTTCAGATACATTACAACGTCATCATTATCCTCCTCCTTATTACCATCAATACAATGTACATAATTCATATTAGCATGAAAGCAGACCTAACTGCAGTCTTAACACATTAAAATCAGTTTGCTTTTTAATCAAACCCATTATGGACTTTTGAAAAATGGCGCTCAAATGACAGCATCATATCAACATCATTATGCGTAAAGAATAGAATATTCCTTGATTGATCCCCCATGGGGAAAATTTTTTAAAGCAAGGCTCGTCAGGGATTTGAACCCAGGACCTCTCGCACCCTTAGCAAGAATCATACCCCTAGACCAACGAGCCATATTTCAAAACAAGTATTAAAGTACAGTACAAAGGCTTTGATTTTTGAGATGAAGAGTGACAGCAAGTTTTGCCATCACTGTACCAAATATTATCAGTGTAGACTGAAGTGAGTTGCCACAATCCTTTTGTAAAGACAAAGTTTTGAGGATCAATTTTCAGCCCCTCTCACTCTAGCGGTGAGGTCACGCACTCTAGCTGCCAACATTCCGTGCAATACACGCTAATGTTAAAACCTGAAGAGGTCAGAAAATCTTATGACTGTTTGAAGTGTCACCGTGAGAAAAGTATGAATGCCATGAAGTTGGTGAATGATTGAGTGAATGTCTGAAGGTGTGTGAATATTTTGAAGTTTGAATGAAGTTTCTAGGTGGAAGTATGAATGAATGAGAAGAGGTTGAAGTTGACTACATCTGAAGCCCTTTTCCAATTGACTCCCATTAAAATAAAGTTTTAAACAAATCTTAATAGTTTGAAAAGTACAAATGGGATGAGAAATGTTGAAGATGCGGAATAATGCTGACGAATCTGTGAATATTTTGATTTTTGAATGAAGTTTCTACCTGGAAGTATAGAGGAGTTGAAGGCTTTTGAAGTTGTGTGAAGAAATGTGAGAAAAGGGGCCGTTTTGAACATTCCGTAATGCATTTCTAATGTGAGAAACCGGTCGGAAAACCTGGAATATCTTGGAAAGTATGAATGTTAGGAAAATTTTGAATACAACCCAGAATGTCCTTAATGAGAGGAACATTTTGAAGTTTGAATGGTTTGAATACGTTGAAGTATGTGGAAGTAGTTGAGGTCCAAAAAACGGTGTGTTGAATAATAATAATAAAGATATGGATAACATACAGTGGGAATGCTTCGCAATCCCACTCAATAATAATAAAGATATGAATAACATATAGTGGGAATGCTTCGCAATCCCACTCAACATTTATAACATTATAACATTTATTAACATTTATAACATTTATGCCTTTCTCCATGTTTTATTAGCAGTTTAGCATTGCTTTTTCAGCTTTCAGCACTCAGCATTTCCACGCATTTTCTGCAAGGAAATGCAATTTTTCTAGTTATTATTAATAATTCTGGTCTACAGCTTAAAGTAGACCCAACTTGTCAAAGCATATTTTAATAGGCACACTTATTTATGGAGCCTACTACTATGCATGCTTTACTCCACAGGTCTTTCATAAATGGTTTTATCTCTCAACCCAGGAATGCATGGTGGATGAGGACTGTGGTGATCTGAAATACTGCCTGTACGAGATTGAGAACTCCAAGTGCCTCCCCTGCATACCAACAGATATGGTGAGGACTGAGTCAGTGTTATCCTTTGTGGTGTGTTGTTAAAGCTGCACGGATGAAAGGTTTCATTTCAACATTGATCAAGTTTATTTACAATATGTGCCTGGAGCAAATCCCAACAGACCTATCGTCTTGCACTTAGCCCTGTGTACCTGAGAATCTCTACACTCCTTGCTTGGTTTTGTGCTACTGTCATGATACATTCTTGTTAATTAATTTTTTTCCTGGTTTTGTGATGTTTTTTTTTGTTTTTTTTTTTTCTGTGTATTTTTCCCAGTATTTCTGTCCTCTGTGATCCTGTTTTGTAAGGTTCCAATTTGTCTTTGGCCCTTGTTTCCCTTGTGTTCTCAGTGTTTCATTCTTTAGATCAGTTTTCAGTGTTTTCTGTTTTGTTGTGAAGTTCCCTCCTCTTGTGTGTCTGGTTTAGTTTGACTTCCTGTTTTATTTTGTAGTAGTCGATGCTTGTGTTTCTAGTCTAGTTTTAGTTCCTCAGTTTTCCCTCCTCTGTTAATCACTCATGAGTTTTACCTGTGTCTCGTCTGTCTCACCTGTTGCTCGTTTCCCGTGTGTATAGTCTCTGTCTTCCCCTCTTTCTTTGTTGGTTCATGTATGTCAGTGTTCGTGAGTCTGTTGATGTCAGTGAATGTGTGTTCTATTTCATATCAGGTGAACACCCAACCGTATGCATCACTCTCTCTGACGGTGAGCTGTTTCAGGACGGAGAGGGTTTTTGCTCTCCATCCCTTGCCCTGGCCAGGCCCATCAGCAGGCTGAGCTGGAGCCGCAGGTGGTGTGTGATCTGCCACTCGAGAAAGGGAGACAGCGCACATGAAACAGGAAGTGCCCCGCGGAGCTTGAGCAGCTACAGCGGCACGTGCAGTCTATGCAGGATACCCTTCAGGAGCTGGTGCATGCACAGCGTCCTTAAGGGCTGCATACGATGACCAGGCCAGATCCTGGAAACCTGGATAGGGATCCAGAAGTGCTCTCTATTGCAGCCTCTGACAGTTTGGAAGATCTGCACGACCCCCAGTCCGAGGAGGAGGATAATCAGTGGCTCTCTGACTTGGGGGATGCTTCTGTGCCTGAGCAATTGGACCTTCTGATAGAGCTGTGATTGCGAGGGCGGCAGCACCCGCACAGCCGTCCTGCCAAGCTCAGCTTCCAGCTACTTCAATGTTCGACAGGGGCTTACGGCGGTGCAGGTCAGATGGGCTCCCTGTCCTTCTTGACTTTATGTCCGAGGTGCATGCATCATGGAGCACTCCTAGCTCTACAGTTCTTCCGAGGTTCCAGCTGGCCAACCTTACTGGAGCGGATGCTCATGGGGTGGCCACAGCCCCGGCCCTTGGTCAATCGATGGCATCCATGGTCCAGGCAAGGCGCCAAGTCTGGTTGTCGCAGTCTAATCTGTCGGACCAGGACTGCATTGCTGTGCTGGCAGTGGTGTCTGTAGAGGTCATTGGTCCGCCCTGTGAGGCTTCCTTTGAACAGTCCCACAGGGCGAGGGAGCTGTTGCACTCTGTGAGGGATGTACCACCCTCAGGCTTGCGCTGGGGTCGCGGGTTCTTTTCGGCCAGCTCTACGGCCTCCAGGGCGCCGCAACTTGCCACCCAGGAGTTCCCATCGAGGGGCAATCTCGCTTGCCAACGTTCCTTTCGTGATGACTGCGGTGGAACCGCTCGCCTTGAGGGCGCAGTCAGACCTCATTCAGCTGGTGGTCGGGACGTCACTGACAGTTGTCAGCCTCTGGCCTCAAACTTCACTCTTCAGCAACTTGCTCACTGGCGCCAGTATACTCAGTGCCCTTGGGTGCTAAATACACCGGAGTCAGGGTACAGACTCCAGTTCAGAACCAGACCACCTCCGTTTTTGGGAATTGTTCATACTTTTACGACTTTGCACGACAGGGCAGGTTGTCAGTCCCACATGACAGAGGTCACGGCCCTTCTACAGAAAGGGGCAATAACACCCGTCCCCAGCTGCGAGGCGCACAAAGGGTTTTATTCAACCTATTTCCTGGTTCCAAAGAAGGACAGCGGCCTGCGTCTGCGTCTTATCTTGAACCTGAAGGGATTCGATCACTTCCTGAAACGCCTGCCCTTCCATATGCTTCGTCTGTCACGCCTTCTGTCATCTGTAAGGCGCAGGAACTGGTTCACTACAGTGGACCTGCGCGATACATACTTCCAAATTCCCCTACACAGAAGACACAGGAAGTACCTCCATTTTTTTTTTCAAGGCAATGCTTACAACGAGTACAATGTCCTCCCATTCGGTCTGTCCTTGTCTCCTTGCTCCTTCACAAAGTGCATGGAGGCAGCGTTAGCCCCTTTGCGTCGCCAGGGGATTAATATCTTGAATTACCTGGACGACTGGCTTTCCCAGTGTCCTCGACTTGTCTTCTGGCAGTGGCATGGTGGACCACTGCCCTGGGCCTCAGGGAAGGTGTTCTGTTGGGCCCGGTGTGTTCAAGGGTGACCAAAACTATGGACGCCTCAAAGGCAGGCTGGAGGGCCCTATGGGGGAACCACCCAGCCTGCGGCTGTTGGGGTCCCCTTTGGAGGGGTACTCACATCAACCTGCTCTAACTGAAGGCACTGTATCAGGCCTTGGTGCATTTCTTTCTGGTAATTCGAGGGAAGCATGTGTTAGTCCGCACCGACAATTCTACCGTGGTCGCTTACACCAACCACTAAGGGGGCCTGTGGTCAAGGTCCCTGCACGACTTGACACACAAAATCCTCCTCTGGGCTCATGCTCAGGGTGTGTCCCTGAAAGCCATCTACTTGCCAGGAGTGGTGAATGTGGCAGCAGATCTCCTGTCCAGGGGAGGCCCCCAGCCAGGGGAAAGTGGCGACTTCACCCACAGATTGTGAATGCCATTTGGGCTCGATTTGGGGAGGCGCAGGTAGACCTCTTAGCCTCACAGGAGACCACTCATTGCTCGCTTTGGTACTCCATCAGTGGCCCCAGGGCCGATTGTATGCTTTACTCCCCTTTCCACTCATACCACTGATATTGGCCAGGGTACACATGATGGAGGCCAGGGTTCTGCTTGTGGCCCCGAACTGGCCACAGCAGCAATGGATGGCAACCTTACAGAGGCTGTTGGCAGGGACCCCTTGATGCCTCCCAATCAGGCCAGACATGCTGTCACAAGCTCAGGAAGAGCTCTGGCACTGGAATCTGGGAGTTTACAGGTTACATGCCTGGCCCTTGGACGGGAGCCATCCTGTGCCTTGAGTCCTGCCATTATGGCTACCCTACAGGTAGCTAGGGCTCCCTCTACCAGAGCACTTTATGCTGGCCAATGGGAGCGGTTTTGCCATTGGTGTGCGGAGACAGGCCAGAGCCCGGTCTCTTGTGGGGCACAGGGGGTCCTCTTATTTTGCAGTCCTTGTTAAAGAGAGGGCTGACTGAGTCCACTTTAAGGAGCTATGTGGCCACCATATCTGTTAGTCACATCTCTATTGAGGGTAGGATGTTGGGCACGCAACCCCGTATTGGCCAGTTTTTGAAGGGGGCTAAGTGTATCAGGCCATCACAGTCTCCCATGGTCCCGTCATGGGATTTGCAGCTGGTGTTGTGAGCTCTGTCGGAGTCTCCTTTCTAGCCTTTGTCCAGTTTGGGGCTGGAGTTCCTTTCCCTCAAGACGGCTTTTCTTCTTGCCATGTCTTCAGCGAAGCAGGTCTCTGAACTGCATGCCCTGTTGGTGCATTCATCCTGTTTGAGGTTGGAAGAGGAGGGCTCTGCCATCTCTCACCTGCCTAACCCAGCCTTCTTACCTAAGGTACTCCCTCAGTCTTTCACAGTGCGGCCCTTGGTTCTGGAGCCCTTTCACCCTCCACCACATGACTCTGTGGAGGTGGCTTGGTTACATTTGCTCTGTCCAGTGCGGTCCCTAAGGGTGTACATCATCTGTACAGCCCCAATTAGACAGGCTGATCAGCTTTTCGCTGGCTATGGGGGCACCAAGCTGGGCCATGCGCTTCCAAGCAGCGGTTAGCCAGCTGGGTGGTCCAGGCCATAGCTCGGGCCTATGATGGTGCTGCAGTCCCTCCGCCCTTGGAGGATGTCTGTGCGGCGGCCAGTTGGGCCTCTTCTAGGACCTTTGATAGGTTTTACAGACTAAATGTTGGTTCATCAGTAGCCTCTGCTGTCCTGCAAGCAGGCGAGTGAGGCGTGTGGTCCCTACCATGCTGAGACATGGCTTCAGGGTTGGTGTTCACCCAGTGGCTTTGTTATTGTGGACCTTCTTCTGTCCGCAGGTGGCCAGTATTTTCTTTTGCCCCAGGTGAACTTGTCGGTCTTTGGCTGTTGTGTCCCATGGCTTTATTTGTTTCTTATTTATTATGATCAGTGAACGGCTGTCCTGAATGTCTTTCAGCCTTACTGCAGCTCCTGCCTGACCTTATTTGCTATACTATTGACCCATACGGTGGGGTGTTGACCTGATATGAAATGGAACAGATGGTTACAGAAGGTAGCCAAGGTTCTATGAATAAAGGTCAACACGCCAGCTTGGTTTGTCAGTCAGTAGGCTGGTTTGGCCTCAGTCAGAGAAAAGAGACTGGGCAGGTGATCGCGCAGCTGTATTTGTAGGCTCTGATTGTGCCCATAGAACAGAGGTGTTCATTTTCTAATTGTCTCCTGAAACAGCTCACCCTCGGAGAGAGTAACCCATACAGTGGCGTGTTGACCTTTATTCATAGAACCTTGGTTACCTTCTGTTACCATCCGTTTCCCCCCTTCCTGATGCCCTTGTGTTTTTTTCTCAGTGTCTTTTTGTTTAATGGGATTTTGCTCCTAGTGTTTTTGGATTTAGATTTGTTGGACATTTTCTTTTTGAGTATGTGTTTTTTGTTCCAAGTTTTATCTTTTATTAAAAAACTCTTGGAGCTCTGCTCTTGGGTCCTTCCCATTTAGTTTTTGTTTGACATTGTGGCAGTCACAAAGCTGGGTTCTCCATCAGCATCAAAAAAAGAGTTAGAAAGTACAGTTAATACAAGTAGTACACTATGTACACACAAGTATATACTCACCTACAAGCACTTAAAATGAAAGGACAAACAACTTTATGTCATAGCAACTGCTTACTCCGTGTGTTCAATGTATTGAGGCTACAGAGATGTGGCTTTAATGCAGATTTGGAGGTGTAACATGTTGCATGCTAAATATGAGGCTTCACTATAAACTATATATTACAACAGAATAATTTCCACAAACAGGCTTATGACAGAAAGCGATGGTTTAAAGTCTTGTTCATATTGCACTAAAATGTTTGTTTTAACCCTTTGAAGCATTTTCCTCATCTTATTTATACCAGCACTGTTGTTTTTTCATTTTAAATTTAATATAGTTGCAGTCATTTAGTGAAGACTCTGGTCACTGGAGGAAACAACAGCCTCAGACTACTCCTGTTCTCACAAATATTTGCAAATACTGTATGTGAGAACTGTCTTATTATTTCAAATAGCCAAATGTCTTATGTTGAGGAGGATGTAAGAAAGGGTAGAGTATCTTGCAAAACTCATAAATGGCATTTGTGTCTCCACTTAGCCCTGCACTAAAGATGAAGAGTGTTGCTCAGATCAGATGTGTGTGTGGGGTCAGTGTACAGTCAATGCCACCAGTGGAACAGAGGGAACCATCTGTCAGGGTCAGAGTGACTGCAGGATGGATCTCTGTTGTGCCTTTCAAAGAGGTAAGTTTAACGACTGACACCACCCCTGACCCCAGAATGACACAAAATAAGAGACACAATCACACTGCTGATCTCAGTCAGTACTGCACTTCATGTATTCATAATGCTCAAAAAGGGAGTCAAGTTTATTCAGTACTGGTCAAGTTAGTTTCAGATCTCTAATGTTAGCTTTAAATTTCTTTTCCTGTTTCTACTAAAGCTAACATTGTCTCATTTTAATTTGCAGTACTTCATCCTTACTACCCTACTAATTCATGTTAAAGTGATATTCCGGTGTAAATTTAAGTTATGGTCAAACACACCATAACACCGAGTTAGACACCCCCTCAAGAGATGAATGTTGGAGACTGCTTGCTTCTCTAGTTATACCAACTTTAGTAACGACCGCACAATAGCAATACACAGCGGTCTACATCTCCACGCACAAACCTCAACCAAAAAGCCACTCTATAGCCACAAATAATGCTCAGAACAGCACCTAACTTCATCAACAGTACATATAGGATCCCAGCCATAGTACTAGCCGTCAAACATCTTTTTAGCTTTGCCTAGTTTCTTTAGCAAAGAGACCAAACACAACTCACCCACTCTCCTCCAGCTTGAATGTGGGGGAGCCCTGTCCAGTCGATCACCAAGCGCAGTGGAAAATTGTAATGTCTATCTCTAATAACGTAGCAATAGCATTTTTTTTTTTACAAAGGGTTAATTCATGGGTTGGAAATTTTCAATCCAACCTGCGAAAATTTCTGGCAATAAGTCATGTCTTTGCTTTAACTTTGTCTGCTCAACTGACTGTACAAGTGATTCTTGCCTTTCTGCTCCGTTCAGGAAATCCATTCTGCAGTTTGCAGCCATGCAGTGTTAGGCTAGCATTGAGCAGCACTCGGGCTAGTGAACTTTTCCATACAACATGTCTGCTGTTTGGAAATATTTTACAGTCGAAACACCGCAAAGCAAGACAGCAACGTGCAATGTTTGCAAAACCATTATTTCGAGAGGCGGAACCTCTGTCCAGACCCACAATACCACTTGTATCTGTGCTGTGTAGTTTCTATGAGGTATTTTTTGGTAGTGTATATTGCACTAGTAGTTTAATACTGTCTTGGAATTTTTTGAACATCAGTTTGAAAACCTTACAGTTGCATTTTAGTTTTCAGGATAGGATTTTTACTGTTTTCAGACCTCATACTTAGCTCAGGTTGCCTTTTTTTTGACATACATTCATATGTACATATACTTGCCTGTAGACAAGAGTTTATTACAGCCTCATATATAAAACATACAATCATGATAATAATGTTGGTAAAGCTAACAGAGCTCTGGTATCGGAATAGCATCAGTCTCGGCAGATATCCAAATTCAGGTATCGAGATTGGATCAGATATGAAAAAAAATTGGATTGCTGCATTCCTAGTTGCAGTACTGTTCCTGTGTGCAATATGAAAGAAACAGAAATCCTGATTACACCAGAAACATACAGAGGATTCAAAGAACTTATGAACAATTAAAATTTTCAACAGTATATATAAACATGACTTAATGACAAGTATCTTTCAGTCTTAACTTTCAAAAATATGACAAACCTCAGGATCTGTTGTTAGCTTCAGAGCTCTGGTTTGTGTGAAACATGAACCCAATGCCCCCTTACCCTATTAGGGGTGGGTGTTGCAAATCAGCAGCTTCTATAAATACCATGATATTTGCATGGAATGGCTCCTCTCAGTTTGTCTATCTGCCTCTGACAAATAAACAGTAAATAAAGAAATTAATTAATTAATTAATGTGCACACCATTCTTGATTGTTTTCTGCACTTCCCACAGAGCTGTTGTTTCCAGTGTGCAATCCCAAACCACAGAAGGGAGAGTCCTGTCTAAACAACCCCAACCTGCTGATGGACATGCTGGCCTGGGACCAAGAGGGTCCCCGTGACCATTGCCCTTGTGAAGATGGCCTACAATGCCAACCTCATGGGTGAGAGCAGACATACAGTAAAAATGAGAATACTCCAAAATAGGCAGTGTGATATTTGAAATGATTGAAGTGGATTTAATATTAGATGTTTACATTTAAAAGATAATCTACATAAATCTTTCTCTCCACAGGCGTGGATCTGTTTGTGGATAGTCAAACTGAAGCTGGAGAGAGCATGACAAAAATAAACATAACCCTTTCAAGGAACTGCACTGACATCTGTGCTGTGTATTAACCAAAGAGAAGCCCACCACGAACGTTGCCCCAGGACTGAACTTGCAGTGTTCTAATTATGCCTTATAAACAATAATTGTGATATATCATGAAGCAAATAAAAGACGTGTTTTTAGTTTTGACTGAGAACCAAGAAAAACTTATTTGAATGCGTTTGAGTTCATAACACATCTGGCCACAAGAGGGCCAACTTGGTCTCTTTTCTGAGACAAACAAACAGACAAACTTCTAGATGAGACAACCACATAGTTTTAGTACCTACAGAAAGTGGGCTCTATCTTCCCCTCTCCTTATCTCCTTCCTTCATACTTACATAAAGAATATAATGTAAAACACCTTTTACATACTTTGATGCACTACCACTTTGCTTTTATTTTTACTTTATCTGACCATAATAGTTCTTTAATTTTTAACTCTTAATTGTTTTAGAATCATGCTCAATGTTATGAACAAAGTTTCTAATGAACAACTTCTATGATTTGTGGAGACTGCTCTTATGACCATGTAGCATGTGGACATCTATCCTTTGAATGAATGGCTTAGTGGGAAATCCAGTCAGTTTCAGAAGTGTTCCTTTCCTGGTATTTATTAATTAAAAACATGAAAGTTTATATCAGCTTATGTACTCATTGTTAAATATGTTTCCAATAAATCACTTTCCCCTGCTGTTACTTGGGGTAGTATGCAGTAAAGATTTTACTTCTCCACTTTGTCTATAATGAACAGTAAACACCAGCAAAAAATTTAAAGAATGGAGTGCCATGAGGGCTGCATGAAAACTTGTGCAGCACTTATTTCAACCTATCCAGAAAGGCACAGTAACAACTAGTTTTCCTTTGTTACTTTAGATTGGAGCCAGAACGTATTTTTTTTAATATATTTACCTTATTGTTACATATCGTAATGTATCATAACAAATCGTATCGTATCACATCAACATGTGACTCGAATATCCCATTCACAGAGCCAAGGCTGTGTAAGAACTTTTATAAATCTGTTTTGTCCCTTCAGAACAACCAGATAGTGGACTGCATCAAATATATTCCTGAATGAAGATAGTTATTTTTGTTTTGTTAACTTAGAATGAGGCTTTTAACATTCACAGAGAGAGCCTGGTCCCACAGTGGGGATCACCAACTTGCATTGCCATATTTCTATCATAGAATAGACAAATTATTCAGACGTGTTGTTGTTTTCAGTAAGTGACTGATTGAGATGCACCAGTTGAAAGATGATGGAGAACAGAGTGGTTGTTGTACTCTAAATAATTTGTACTTAAAGTTTCAATATGTAATATACATTTCAATATGGGAGTGATGGCTTTTAAAGCTCCTTGAAGAGTTTATTGACGGTTGGTAATTGAGTTAAAATGATTATGATTATTACTTGCCTTTTTAAAACCCACAAAAGCAAACGAGAACAGTAGTGACAAGATGGATGTTTTCTGCACTGTTTTTCAATGCCTGAGACCAGTGCAAGAGGGTAGCTGTCAGTTAAGGTGGTGAGGAAAAAGCCTCGTTCTTACATATTAAATATACTCCAAAATGAGAAATTTGGCTGTCAAAGGGCAGCAGAATAAAACTTTTTTTTTTTTGCCAGACGACAATATGTAGAGGTTAGCAAAACTGCTTTGTCCTCAAAAAGTAAAACTGACACAAACCAAAAGGTCCTTACAGAACCTTTGAAGAAAAACTTTTTGTGGGGGCGTGCATCAAAATAGTGGTGCAGTTTACTATCAGTTTATTTAAGACTTTATAAATACACTAGAGGTGTAAATTTTGATTTTTAAACTCTACAGCCACAGATTACCCTAATTTGGGTTTGTACCGCAGGATACATGTCGACCATAATGCACTGAGAGAGTTCCGTACCCATCCAAGAGTCTTGTAATCCCTTGAAGAGCACCATAGTATCCAAGGAGAGAGAATTTTGGGTTCACATGTCTCGAGTGGTTTCAGAAATAATAAAGTATAACACAGAGTGATACATCTCGTTTTTACCCTATCTGTGCCGGAGCGCGCGGTCCGTCCCGCTGACGTCACGGTGGTGGTTCATTTCTTATCCGCCCAGTTTGCTGCTGCTGCTGCTGGCTTCCTGCTGAGTCTCCACTCTCTGTCGTTTGTAGCGGTACACGCTGCCACTCCAGCTCACCACTGATTCCACAAGTTCCAGAGCCGGGGAAACCTCGACATTTCGGGTACGTACTCCATCCACTTCACGTCCGTACGCCACGTGTGCCTCGTACCCGTTGCACAGTGGCACGAATTAGTGGTTTCAACAGCGTTTGGCGGTGTGACAGGCGACTTAACGAGTGACATCGTGTAGGAAGAGATGCGCCAAGAGGTGGGAGGGAAAGCTGAGCACAACTGTAGTCTTGGTCGAATATGCTGTGCGCAGATTTCGGGACCTAGTTAGACTTCGTTTGTATCTTTTTTACCCACTCCCCTACTGCCAAAGGTAGGGTATGTTGCAACCAGTCCCCACTGCACCCCAAGCCACCAGTTCCTGTTCCTCCAAAAAGGTTTTTCACTGCCACCCACCCGTGTTTTAACGCAATGAAATGAGAAATGCAGTGTGCCGAAGCAGCATAGGAGGCTTTTTACATTTAAGACAAGCGCTAGCGGGACAACATCACTTCCAATTTATTCCCAGGCTCTGCAGTAGTCACACCAAAAGCTGTCAATCCCACTAGTCCGTGTGGTTTTAAACGTCGCCCGCTGTGCAAATGGACGGTGAGTGGTGAGTGGTAATGGAATAAGACAGCTGTGTGTAGTGGGCCAACTATCATGGGGTCTCCTCGTTGGTTGTTGGTGTTAAAAGTGCTGTTTCACTTTTCTTTTTACCTCATGCATAGATAGAAATGCAGAGGTTTTAGCGTGTTTTTTGTTGAAGATTCTACAATGAAAACACAAAAACATGCTGCCACTTAAAACTAAGAAGGTCATTTGAGTAGGTTACAGTCAGACAGGCAGCTTTTAAGATGACCTGTAGTACTGTATGAGGTCCCATGACATTCCTCGTGTCTTGCCAAACTCTTGTGGGGATTTAACTTGTAATACAAACCCACACAAAACACGTGGGAAGTGGACTGTCTCCACATCACTGTAAGCAGGAAGTTGGTACCTTTTGCTCCAATTTTAAACAGTTTTTCTTTGTGTTTTGGATAAATGTGATTTAGACTTTTGTGCTCCCAATAAAATTGTCATGAGCTCTAGCATGTTTGTGGTTGTCAGAAACTCAGTTTAACCTCAGTGCTACGGGTTCCACATTTAAGCTTTCTAATATGTCTGCTCAATTATTCAGAGTGACGATGTGGCGTCATGGATCAACTTGCTGCCTGACCGTCTGACTTTACAGTAGCTCTTTCACAGAGCTCAGTCATAGGGCAACGCCAGTTTTTGGCTGAGCCCAGGCCTAAGATGAAAGAGCCCTCTGTTGTTGACAGACGAGTTTTAGTGATCTTACTCCTTGGTTCAGCTTTATATCTTTATAGAGAAAAGCTCTGAGTTCTGCAGAAGGAGAGCAGCTCTTACCAGTAATCTTATGTCCCAGGTCTGCTTAGTTAACTCTGACATGCAGTGACATAAACAGGACATAATTCAGGACAAGATTCCCTTTTTATATCTCTTATCATGCTGGTTTCCAGCAGGTTCAATGGCAGCTGTGGGAAACATGTCTCTGTATTGATGTCCAGATCTATAGCCTCGCCATGTAGGCATTGGAGAACTTTTTGTTGTGATGGAATTTAACACCTTTTTTTGAGAGGTACTGTCACACACTGACACAAAATATGTAAGAGACCTTTGAGATGTAAGATACTGCTCACACAAGCAGACCACATGTCAGAGAAGGATCTTCACTGGGAGGGCACTAATACAGCTGGAAAAGTATCTATCATTGAGCTCAGTGCTTATTTAACCCTACTGACTCAGTATTCTCCCAAGCCAATTGTATTTTTAGAATGATCGGTGTACATGAGCCACAATTGGGTAGCACACACAGTGAAGACTTGCTGTCACATATTTGCAAAGCGGTGCGTTAATTTCAGGGTTGTGCAGGCTCGAACACACCCTGGCTTTACAAACTGTAGTTGACAGGTATAATACTCGCATGGCTGAATGCTTGCGCAACTGGTGGCCTCCAACATAAAAACAAATAAGACGTCAATGGTTGACCGTTGTTGATATAAAAAGCTATAAAAATTAGCTTAGTGAAACTGGTGCCTTAAAAATTTTCCCTTTTGATAAACATTGTAAATAAAACCATCTCTGATGATTTCATATATGAATGGTTTTGAAAAGCAGATCAGCGTTGAATGCATAACTTGAGCCCCTTCTCCACATCCTGTTGAATCTACTGCCAGTAAATTTTGTAGTAGTAGCCATGTGCACAAACTTCAAAGCAGCTTTCTATGTTTTGTCCATAGACTATATAGAATGGACACCATCTGCCTCCTTGCTGTGTGAAGCCACCATGAGAAAAGCACGGTGACAGGCTGCAGTATAGGTCATAAAGCCCGCCTCCTCCAGCAACCCCAATGGAGCTGTGGACAAACTTTAAAAATTAATTACACAGAATATAAAATTTTCTCCCCCCTGCTTATGATGTTGACATGTAGTTATTGTAAGACTGGTTTGTGCTTAAAACCTCTTTTTTCTGTTCAGCTCAATTTTTAAAGGTTATTAGGGGGTTCATGTTTTCTATAATTGACACTTGATACAGCCTGTCAGTGTATGAAGATTGTGTAGCTCACCCGGGGGATACGATGTTTGAGCTGAGCGTCATCATGGCAACTAGTGTACAACGCTACTACTCAAGTGGTGGTTCCAGGAAGTGGAGAAAATCCTGAAAATACCAAGAGCAATTCAGCTTCAAATTCGTATAATGACAGAAGACAGGGCCAAGTTGTCCATTGTATATACAGTCTATGGTTTTGCAAGTGTCGTCTTGTCATGATTGACGCAGACCTTACCTGAATCCCTAAATGAGCAGATTCAGAGTTTAGAGGAATAGTCCCATGTTTTAAAATAAAGTTTTTTAAAGTTGGTACGTGTTTTATAAATGGAGATTTCTGGCCCCTTTGTTGTAAAACTTGGCAGATAAATATAAGTTTGGGGTCAATTTTTTAGGTGCATTCTGTGGCTTTTTTTCCCTTTACTTGATAGGACAGCGTGATGACAGACAGGAATTAGGAGCATAGAGAGTAGGGGATGGTTTGCAGCAAAGGGTTGGGGTTGAAAGTAAAACCTGAGACCACTGCATCAAGGGCTTTTGTCTCTGTAAATGGTGCACTTGCTGAAACAGCTGGAGCAACTGGTGCCCTAAATGGGGTCAAATTTACAATTTTGTTTAGCCTGTTTTAATACCTCCCAAACACTAATGTCAGATGTCAGTGTATGTATGTGTGTGAGTATGTGCTCTTGCGGACCAAAATCCACTTTTTAGGCAATGTTTCGTGGACACAACACAGGTTCCTCCACCTGCAACACACCAGTCAGCTGCAGTCCAGCTGAACTTTACCTCAGTGTCAGTTGGCAGAGTTTAGAGCTGAAACGATTCCTGGAGTACCTCAGTTACAAAAAAATGAGGGGAATTTTCTCTGCCTCAAGTACTCGTTTATAAACTCAAATCATCACTGTTTTGCAGGGATTATTTTCAGGGTGACACAACGTGCTTACGTCATCACGGTAGAGGAAGGAGTAAGTGCAGTTTTGGTTGTGCGAAGCGGAAAATTTGAATGATAAGAGGGGCTTTTCTTCTGCAGAGCTCCAGTAGATCATTAGCATTTCGCGTCTGAGTCGTGGGCGGAGACAACACTGCTCTGTACACTCCTCTTCATGCTAGTGTGAAGCCTAACATAACAAAGGAGCTATTTCATGCCCCTAATGTCTTTAGGGGCATGATGAAAGCTGATATCATGATTTGCTTTCTTACGAGCATTGCAATCCACTAACGCACACACTTGTTCCGGGATTAATAAAAGAAAAAGTTTTATCTGACTAGTCGATTAATTGATGGAATATTTGGCTGAATACTCAATTACTAAAACATTCAATAGCTGCAGGCCTAGTAGAGATGCAGTAATAGTGAAAATCAGGGAGCGATACAGATCAGTTCGGCTAATACCAAATAGCCATTACTAATGATCTTTGTATTACTTCTTTATCACTTGTTGTGTCTGGTTTTTAAAGAAGCTATATGATTTGATGTATGTAAATAGTTGGTTGCCCTGCTTGTCCTTCTCAAAACGTCTGAGGAACACGTCATAGAAACTGTACTGTGCTGATCTTTCTCAGAGATCCAGTAGTCGTAGTCCAGCAGGAGACTTCCTCTGCCCAATATAAAAATGTCTCTGAATCTGCAGTGAGTTGCAGGGAACTGAGAAATTACGTCCAAGACAAATATCCATTCTGCTTTTCAGTTTTTTTTTCTGATTAAGCTTCTTAAAATTGTACCAAGCCCAAAAAGAGTCAGTAAGTCTGTAAGTCAGGGAACTCTAGCTCGAGAGATGCAGACTGCAGTGGTGTGTAAGCTGCTGGTATCCTCTGATTCAGGAATAAAAGGTCCTGAACTAGTGCCGATACTAAGTCCTACCTGTGACATTAAGTGGGACCTGGATTTGTCTCGATGGGCTCAGTTTATACACCTGCAGCACTGGATAGCTTGGAGTCTTAGTTTTACCTTTAAGTCCCCCGTGCTGCATCAGTGGCTGGTTTCTCAACTAAGAGGCTGAGCTGACCAGCATGTGGGTGATATACCCACTATTTACATATCTCATACCTGAGCCCCTTTTCAACACCAAACTATCTCTTTAAATCAGCTATCACATGGGTGGTTTTTACTCATACAGCTTTCATATATCATGTTATATGTGCAACAGTTTTCCGTCTCTTATAATAATTTCTAGAAAATATCCTCACTATTACTCTGGCCTCATAAATAGCCAAATGAGGATCTGAGTCAGTGTGAAGTCTGATGATGAAATTCTCACTCAGCAGTGTGCAGACTCCAAGCTTACGCAGAGTTGTTAGATCCTCTCAAAGTGTGGCTGAAAAAGAAAAAAGTAGAAGGGGTGTGTGTGTGTGTGTGTGTGTGTGTGTGTGTGTGTGTGTGTGTGTGTGTGTGTGTGTGTGTGTGTGTGTGTGTGTGTGTGTGTGTGTGTGTGTGTGTGTGTGTGTGTGTGTGTGTGTGTGTGTGTACTATGCACTATGCAAGACTAGCATTAGCCAACATCCGAGCTGGTGAAACAAGTCAAAGACAGTTCAGTGGTCTGAGGAAACCAAAATGATCATTTTGATTCTTACACTTAAAGCTCTATCTGAGAACTGCGACTCACATAATTGTAGAGACCTATAAACACAGAGCTTCATTGCAGCTTGTTGATTGAAGCCGAGGAGCCACTCATATCGTTCAAATCATGGCTAATCTGCCTCATAAAATCAGCATTTTTGTCAGGATGGACATTTCTGCCAGCTGTTATATTACAAAACCCAATTCCATTGGGTTCCATCAGGAAATTGTGATAAACGTAAATAAAAACAGAATGAATGATTTGCAAATCCTTTTCAACCTATATTCAATTGAATACACTACAAAGACAAGATATTTAATGTTCAAACTGATCAACTTTTTTTTTTAATAATAATAATTAACTCAGAATTTCATGGCTGCAACACGTGACAAAGTAGTTGGGACAGTACTTGATGTACAGCTTCAGTTGTTCAACAGTCCGGGGTCTCCGTTGTTGTATTTTACGCTTCATAATGCGCCACACATTTTCAATGGGAGACAGGTCTGGACTGCAGGCAGGCCATTCGAGTACCCACACTCTTTTACTACGAAGCCACGCTGTTGTAACACGTGCAGAATGTGGCTTTGCATTGTCTCGCTGAAATAAGCAGGGGCGTCCATGAAAAAGACGTCGCTTGGATGGCAGCATATGTTGCTCCAAAACCTGTATGTACCTTTCAGCATTAATGTTGCCCTCACAGATGTGTAAGTTACCCATGCCTTGGGCACTAATACACCCCCATGCCATCACAGATGCTGGCTTTGGAACTTTGCGTCGATAACAGGCCAGATGGTTCTTTTTCTCTTTTGCCAGGAGGACACGACGTCCACTATTTCCTAAAACAATTTGAAATGTGGACTTGTCAGACCACAGAACACTTTTCCACTTTGCATCAGTCCATCTTAGATGAGCTCGGGCCCAGAGAAGCCGGCGGCATTTCTGAATGTTGTTGATAAATGGCTTTCGCTTTGCATAGTAGAGTTTTAACTTGTACTTACAGATGTAGCGACGAACTGTATTTACTGACAGTGGTTTTCTGAAGTGTTCCTGAGCCCATGTGGTGATATCCTTTACACATTGATGTCGGTTTTTGATACAGTGCTGCCTGAGGGATCGAAGGTCATGGGCATTCAATGTATATACTCTCTCTCTCTCTCTCTCTCTCTCTCTCTCTCTCTCTCTCTATAAATATATATTTATATATATATATATATATATATGTGTGTGTGTGTGTGTGTGTGTGTGTGTGTGTGTGTGTATAAATACTCTTTCTGTATGATTTGTCATCTACAAATAAGTCCTTTATGCATATCATCATTGGATAGGGGAAAATAAAAACACAGAGGCATTAAATATTCAGCAAAAGTCAGCTTTACTCTTTATTTTCAAAATGTTTTTATTTGCTGCATCAGTCTGGCATCCTTTGAGAAGGAAATTGTCGGCAGGCCGTGAGACTACAGTGAACTGAACAATGGACGATTCCTAAACAATGAATCATAAGGAAATACAAGGGTGTTTTCACAGTCAGGTATTTAATCTGCTCATTGGAAAAGCATTGATTTAATAGTCCAAAGATAATGTGTTCACACAGTTGGAAGTTTTTTCTACTACCTGTCCTTCCTGCAGGCAGCAGCTGCTTCAGATGTGGAGCTGATACATGAAGTGAAAACTTCCCGGAGATGTTGTCTTTCTGATAACATCCTCGTACCGTCATGTGCTCTGAATTTGTCAAATTTTCAGCCGTGGGATGTAGACTCCACTCCTCTTTTATAAAAACAACCATGAAAACACTGGATTCACTTTGAATTGATAATAACCATCATTATGTTGCTGCTTTGGAATTTCCGTTTGAAGGATTCAAGAACCCACTTACCCATACAAACCCCTATGAACCTTATGAACCATACATTCCTTATCATTAATATTTCTAACTTAATACATTGTCTGTGAGGAGTCCACTGCTGACACTGTCCATTTGAGCCTCCTGCTGTAGCAGCTTTCTGATGTTTGCTGTTGATAACAACAATAAAGTTGTTCAAGTCTGAGTCAGAGGTTGGGTTGCTGAAGAACTTCTCTTTTGTTCTCTCTTCTTCTGTCTGACTATTATACATATTCACAGTCACCTTTGTCAGAGTGCAGCTTTACTGCAGTCCCTGTTTTGGGGTCTGACAGGATTGCAGCTGGAGCAGGCCACTTGGCATCAGGATGTAATGCAGCAAAATGTATATCTGCAGCTGAAGACTAACCCTTAGAGGGTGTCTACATGTAGCAAAGGCTAAGTTCACAGCAGAACGTAAGACTGTATGTAGAAGAACAAAGATAAATGTGATTGATTACAAAATAATTTCATACTTTGAACCCCTTGACTAAATTAAGGTTGTTGAATTTTGGAGCTTATGGCTTTCTGTTTTTTAAAGTTTTCTCATGGCAGAGTTTCCATAATCTCGTCAAAGTTTTGCAGTCTTCGGTGTAAATCATTTTAGTTTTTCGAGCTTGATGCTCTGCTGCTCTTAATCTTTAGTAAGTCTAATTTTCTTAGATGCCTTTAGTTAGCCACACCACCCACTGCACCAGCTGAAATGTCGGCATGTTCAGAGTTACTGTGCCAAGCTGAAAAACTGGTTTAACGGTAACTGCAGGAGCACTGCAGCAGCTGAAGCTCATGCAAGTAAAACAATAGAAACACCATGAACACCAGTGAGCCTGCCAAGTGTTCAGCTAGGTTGAATGAGATTAAGTCGTGGTTTTAACCCTGTCATAACCTTTTACACAGCCTATTTACCGTGTCACTGGAATATTGAATTTCCCTTCGGGGATTAATAAAGTTCTTCTTATCTGATTTTATCCCACATGGCTGTAAGTTTAGCAGTTCAAATTTACTCTAAATATTTGAAATGTTCAGATGTCTTTTTGAAATGCTGTCAACAGTTGACATGAACTCTCAGCTTCTGTCATTTAGACAAATGAGTCAAGAGTCTCCTTCACAAAACAAAGTGATTTATGGTCGCAAAGAATGTTTTTAGTTCAGTGTTGCTGCTCTGTCATTTTGATATATCTGTACAGTGCACCTCGTAAAAGTGGAACTCAATAGATGTCTTTCAGAATTAAGTGGAACAGTGTTTTGCACAATGTTCCGTTTGAGGATGAGTTTATTTTCAACTATACTTTTGCAGGTTTTTATCTCCTCTGGTAATGACAGGTTTGTTGCAATTATTAGCAAATAGCTTTATATAACTAGGGCTGCAGCTATCGAATGTTTAAGAAATAGAGTATTCTACCGAATATTCCATCGATGAATCTAGTAATCAGATAAAACTTTTTTTTTTGTTAAAGTGCAATTATTAATATACAAGAAAAAATAAGACATTTAACTTAATAATGAACAATAAATTTTTTTTCCTTCTTAAGAAACAAGGAACGCGGTACAGGTGTGTGCGTTAGCAGATTGCAATGCTCGTAAAAAAGCTAATCATGATATTAGCTTTCATCTCGTCCCCAAAGACATTCGAGTTCGAGAGCTGAATAGCTCCTATGTTACCTCTACCTCTACAACACCGGCAATGTTAGCCTACAAGCTAGCATGGAGAGGAGTGTGCAGAGCAGCACTGTCTCGGTCCAAGACTCAGAGCCAAATGCTAATGAGCTACTGGAGCTCTGAGGAGAAAAGCTTCTCTCACCATTCATTTTTACCGCTCCGCAAAACTAAAACTGCGCTTACTCCTCCTTCTACCATGAAAGAGAATAAGCACGTTGTGCCAACTTGAAAATAATCTGTGCAAAGCGGTGACGATTTGAGTTTTAAGTACTCGAGGCAGAGAAAATTCCTCAATCGTTTTTTGTAATTGAGGTACTCGAGGAATCTTTTCAGCCCTATATATAGCATCTGTAATCTTATTATGACAGCTGGACTGAACCCTTGAATTCACTGGAACTGCAGTGATAAACCCTGTTGTTTCAGTAAATATGTTTTCAATCTATTCTGAAGAAGGCAGCTAAGGGTTTCCCCCCGACAGTCAGGTTAATTCTTGTCAGAATGAACCATCTCAGTTAATGATTAGATTTGTTATCACATGAAAGACCTGTTATCAGCGCCTCACTGTCATTCTACTCTTAAACCAACATAATCTGAGCGATACGGCCAAATTCAGTAGCCCATAAAGTCAACACACTGTACTGATATGAACTTGGTGTGTTTTTTTTAATATTTTGTGTTAGCTGCAGATTCTGGACTATATAAAGTTTTGAATTATTTATGTTGTAAAGACATTAAATGTACAAGAATACTTTTCATCCTACGTACCATTCAAACATTGATGTAGCTTTTCAAAATAAAATATTTCATTTTCTTTTAAAACACTAACTTTTGGCAGAAGGCAGTGGACAAACACAAGACTTGAAGAGTATATATCTGCAGCATTTCTCGGCACAAGTATTACAGTTTCAGTCTGTTAAGTCTGCGTGTATGCAGTTAACCTCCTATGTTATGTTAAACTGCAGAGTGTAAATTGTCAACACAGTTCACTGTCAAATCTTCACTTTCCTCCAAATTTATGTAAGCTACATAATGGTAGTTTAAAATTAGCTCTAACTTGAAAGGTTGGACATTTGTCACTTAGCCTTCTCTGTGTGTTCTGGTACGGTGAAGCTGATTGTGGCTCATCATCCGTAACAATAACTCAACACAAGACAGGTTTGACAACACAGTGAAATATGGTCAGGTCCTGACTGACTTCCTTCCTTCCTTCTCTCCCCCCTTCCTTCTTCCTTTCTCCCCTTTGAAAACACCTCATGGAGCCAGAGATGACATTTGTCGTATAGTTTGAATAGTTATAATTCCCACTTTTGTTCTTTTTTCCCTTCTGTCCCAGCAGGTGGAGCAGTGTTGAGGAGCTCATTGAGCAGGACTGCAGACATCATGGTGAACATCCCAGAATACTATGCAGGGAAAAATGTGCTGATTACTGGAGCAACAGGCTTCATGGGCAAGGTGCGGTTCTGTTTAAATAACCAAGAGATGACTGAAATCAACAGTGGGAGTGACTAAGTTAGCGCTGACTGTAAACCTGTTTTGACATCCTGCCAGTGGACTCTGAAAACTAACAACAACACATGTGACAGATACAAGGAAACAGGTGACAGTCTGTTCAGTTTGGCACTATAGAGTTCCCATGTTTATGCCAACGGAGTCAGTTTCATTTATTACACATCAGTAGGTAGCTCTTAGGTCTGTTCACTGTCAAATGAGGCTAGAAAAATGGACAGTACTTACCAGCCCCCGATAATTCAACAATTAGTTTAGTGTTTTTGAATGAATGAACTTCAGACACCAAAAAGAATACTTTTTTTCACTCTAACCTGGCATCAGGGTGCTGTAGAGAGAGAGAGGCAATTTTAATTTACAAAAAGGGGGAACTTTGAAAACCAGATGATGATATTCTGCACCTTCAGCAAAAACCACACAGTCTTTAGAGACAAAAAGCGTGTTTCTAACTCGTACTTCTTCATTGTTCAAGGTGTTGCTGGAGAAGCTGCTGAGGTCCTGTCCAGAAGTCGAAGCCGTCTATGTGATGGTCAGATCCAAAGCTGGTCAGAGCCCTCAGACACGCATCACTGAAATGATCAACTGCAAGGTGAGAACCACTCAAAACATTCTCCGCATGGCTCAACCATGTACAAAAGAAGTGAGGTGAAATATTCTTAAGTAGTGAAGGGATAAAAAAAAATTAACATGATGGGGTCCAATAAAATGCCCTTTCATGTAGAGCCTGAAATAAGTTGTAGGTCAAAAGTGAAGATGGCTAAAAGATTTTCAGAGTTCACACCTCCCTGAGCTGTTGTGGGCGAGTTTGACAAAGTTTTTAGCACTTTTTAGGCGCACATCCAATGTCGTATCACAAGTATTTAGGCCTAGGAAAAGCACAAAAGACGGAACAAGAGTACAGAGCGTGCACGTAAAAGTTGTTTTGGCCAGACAGGCGCAGCCACCATAAAAGTCATATACAGATTTATGCACTCTCTGACCCATTTTCAAAAAGTACTGTTTACAGTCACCTGAAATGCTGTTTCCGTGTGGACGAAACGCTGTTATGACAAAAAACTTAAGTGTTTACTCCTGAATTTGTTTCCATGTGGACGGGTTGATACCGCCTTCTAACAGACTTTGCAATGGGGAGTGGTTTTCTCTTCATCCAAAACTGTGAAGCCGCACCAATTCCACACAACTGACTTGCTCTTGCCTAGGGATGTGTCGATATACAATTTAATCGCGATATGCGATATTAAACTGCCACGATTATGAAATCATGAGGTGCTGAGTGGCAGCATCCCTCAGCGGTGAGCGAAGCCAAGTACTTACCAACCTAGGCTTGTAGTCTTACCCACGATGTCAAAGCCTTGGTAGCAAAATGTACAAACAAACCACCACAAAAGTAGTCCCAAATCCAAAATAAACTCTCGAATTAAGTACATTAATGCCAGCCTGACAAAAACGGGAACATTAAAAGAGAAAATGAAAAAATTTTACAACAAAATGCGTGGTGACCCACAATGCATTGCAGCCACTCAAAACACTGTTGGAGCGTGTCCACAATGCATCCCATCCACTCATTAGCTTCTTAAAGTGGAGGAAATATGATCTGATATTTTAAAAAACACAAGTATTGGATCATGACAACATGTCAAATGGAGCAGCAAACTTTTGTTCTGTTTTTATGTGTCCCAAAAATGCACATATAGAGGTGTACTTGGGTACATAAACTGTACATTAAGCTGTCGAGGTAGAGAGCATTATATTTTCGGGACAGCAAATATTCCGAATCAGAGGGCTATTGTTTTCGGCTCATCTGAATAGTCTGAATGAAATCATTAGAGGCACACGCTTTTGAATCCGTCCAACGGTAAGGAAAACTTGGATTATTCGCCTTTTTATGTACTTTCAACTGCGCTCCCGTCAGGGGTGCATTCAACGGCAGGGGTGCATTCTATGGCATAACACCGGACCAAGAACAGTCTGAGACTGAGAATGACAAAGGCTCGGCTGTATCCTCCTGTTAAAAAGGTTTCGTTGGCAGTATGGACGTTTTACGGCTTCACAAAACAGACGGAGCAGGTAAACCTGACACCAATCTGTAGGCTATGCCACAAGGAGGTTGCAGCGCCGTTGTCTTCAAACTTACGTGCCCACCTCAGTGAACACCATTCAGCATCGTTCGCCCAAATCGAGGTAAAAACAACATGACCGCAACAAGTTTGGTCTACTCTACTGCTTATTATTGACAACGTAAGTGACGTTTCTGCTAACTTTAACTCCAAAAAGCTAATGCTCCCAATGTCCCGTTAGCTGCCTCTTGCTCATATTGTTCGTGCGTGTCATGCTGTGCAAAGAGAAGTGATTTCGCAGTTTTTCCCATTTTTAATAACGTTAAAAGCAAGGCGCTAATATCGTGAATCGTGATATTTTACCAGTATCATGATATCAAATTTTTCCTATCGGCACATGCCTACTCTTGCCCTATTTAGCCACAAAATTATCGTCGTCTTTTACAAACACCATGTCTGTTTACACACTGGTGTTAGTGAGAACTTGGGAGCGCTCCTGCAGAAAGGGGGAGCCTATGGTGGCCTGGAGGCGTGAGACATGATAGAGAGGAAAATTGATTTGACAATTTTTATTTTTTTAACATTGTCATAATTAAATAATCCGATTACAATTTAAAATTGATTAATCGTGCAGCCCTAGTGCACACATTTAAATATCACAGAACTGTACCTTTACCTGGTTATTCTTTTTTCCCTTTAGTTGTTTGAAAGGGTGCAAGAAGAGCAGCCAGACTTTGCAAAGAAGATCATCGCAGTGAACAGTGACTTGATTCTTCCAGAGCTGGATCTGAGTAAAGAGGATCAGAGCATCCTGGCTGAAAAGATCAACATCGTTTTCCACTGTGCTGCCACTATCCGCTTCAATGAGCCACTCAAGTAAGTGCTCTGTTGAGAACTTTCTAAGTTCAGAATATGTTGCTTTCTTGTCTTGATGATTGTGCTTCATCAAATGGAGGATAATGGGGCAAAAGAGTTTGTAGGATAAGGACCAGTTGCGTAAAACGGCAGTGAAGGTTGGGTTGTGTAATGAGATAGTGTCTACAGTTGTTTGCTGTAAACAGATGCTGACACCAGGTTGAACTACCACAACAGACAGGAAATCCTGAACTCTTGTGTTGTGCTGAACAGACAGCTTCAAGAAAAGAACGGTAGCATCAGTGTTTTTATCACTTTCTACGCCAAATAACATAACATTGCTGTTATGACCACCCTAATTCGAAAATTGTTGGGATGCTGTGTAAAATCTTTATCAAAGCAGCATTAAACAGTGTGAAAATAATGCAAAGTAAAAACATCAGGAGACTAGCATTGTGGATTTTGAAATTAAAATGTCCTATCCCTACATGATAGGGGTTTTCCTGCTGCTCGATAGTTTGGAGTCTGTTATTTTGTTGTATTTTGTTAGTCATGGTGAGTCAAATGTTTTTAATGGTTGACAAGCCAGGACTGCAGACAGGCCAGTTTGACTCCTAAATTCTTCCATCAGAGCAGTGCTTTTGTTATACACGTTGAGTGTGGCATTGTGTTGCTAAAATATGCAAGGTCTTCTGCATTGTCTGTAAGACAGCATATGTTGCTTCAAAACCTGAAGTGCAATTGTCGAAGCTCATGTCCTGAATCCATCTGTGACTCCAGCAGCAGCAGGCCACTCCTTGTGAATCTCCCCCAAAGTCTTGAATGGGTTTTGTTTCACAATCCTCTCAAGGCTGCGGTTTTCTCTGTTGCTTGTTTACCTTTTTCTGCCACTTTTTTTCCAGGACACCTTTGCAGGTCTTCTGAGTTTATTATCTGGTTAGAGTGAAACACCATGAGTCTCTGATATTGAACTTTCTCACAATAATCTTATTTTCTGAGATACTGAATTTTGGGTTTTCATTAACTGTTAGATATGATTAGAAAAATAAAAAGAAATGAACACTTGAAATATATGAATCTATAAAATAAGAGTTTCACTTACTGAAATAAATAAACTTTTGGATGATACTTAACTGAATTAAGATGCGCCTGTATATTGTTCAGCATTAATAATGCCTATCTGGATATGTACACTACGCATGCAATTGGCCATCTATTCATCCCTGCACTATATTAAAGGTTGTTTTTTCTTTACTCTGAGCTGATCTCCCTCCTCTTAAGAGTGGAGAATGTGATATCCTTGATTTCTGGGAAGATTGTCAACTTTTGATTTGTCAGACCACAAATAGTTTTCACTTTGCCTCAGTCAATCTTAAAGGTTCCTGGAGCTAGATGCATGAGTTGTATCTCTGGGTATATTTCTATATGGCATCCTTGTTGTTTGGTACAGGTTAACTTGCATTTGTGAATGCAGAAACCAACTGTACTTACAAACAGTGGTCTCTGAAAGTTGTTTTTAACCCATGGAATGACCTTTACTCCAGAGTCTTTGGTTTTTGGCCTTGTCACTGTTGCATGGCTACTTTTCATTTCTTTGAATTTTTTTGATTATATTTTGTTCTCTGAATGATGAAAAGTCATCAGTGGTTTCACATGATGGACACAGCCCAGTAGAAAGAGGTTGTATTTTTCACACCTAGAAAATGCTGATCTTAAAAACTGGTGAAGTCATTTTGCCACCTGTTGAATTGTTTCTCTGACTTCATACTTTTTCTCTTATGTAATATTGATGGTACAACAAAACAACACACCTGTTAAATGATTGGCTCTTCATGTCGCTCATTGAATACTTCATTATCTAGTCATGTGTAAGGCCGCAACAGGTAGGAGTTGCATATTAAATCATTTCTCTTGAGGTGTTCACTAGTTGTTGTTGTTGTTGTTGTTTTTTTTGTTTTTTTTTTACAGTTTGACCACATTTTGGTTTTGGTTTGGATGAGACGGATTAAGATGTTATATGTTTGTAAAGCCCTTGGAGAGCTGGTAGACTTGGGGATATACTTGGCTTGCTACAGTACAGGTTAATCACAACTGGGTTTAACATAGAGCTGTCAGGATTAGGAATTTCTGAAAACAATTATTTGTCAGACAAATAATTGCGATTGATGAATGTATTGTATATTATGTTGAATAAAAGATTCCGCCAACAGCCAGTTGACTGGATGCATCAGCTGCTGTTGGACCGGCTGCTGATTGTGCTGGTTTTGTCTTTTTAAAGTTCGGCATATTGTTGTGGATGGTGTGTCTGGAGATGTTGTTTCAGATTTGTTGTATTAGCGTTCTTGACCAGCACTTTCTTATGGCAAAGTTTACGAATCGTTTCTTCCTCGTTCCTTCCTTCCTTTATCATTCGGCTTAAATCCGAAATGTACCCACAGCGGTGCCTTGGTATGTGGCTTTGGAACCAGAACTTCCTCATCCGCCATCCTAACCTCGAGTCGCTGCCCACCCGACCAAGGCGAACAACATGTGGCTGCGATGGTGCGTGTTGCAGCTGCTAGCCCAAGATGATGGTGTCAGACTCGGATTCAGGGTTATTTTATACAACTTTGTGGATAAAATAAATAGTCAACAGTGATCGCAAATATGAAAAATAATTGCCATTGATGAATATTGTAATAATTGCAACTGCCCTAGTTTGACAAAAATTTGGTTTGTATAACGTCCACTTCTTTTGATTTCATTCTCCAAAAACTGTGAAAAGAGATGTCTTTAATCCATCATCACTGTTTTTTTTTACAGTTTGACCACATTTTGGTTTTGGTTTGGATGAGACGGATTAAGATGTTATATGTTTGTAAAGCCCTTGGAGAGCTGGTAGACTTGGGGATATACTTGACTTGCTACAGTACAGGTTAATCACAACTGGGTTTAACATAGAGCTGTCAGGATTAGGAATTTCTGAAGACAATTATTTGTCAGACAAATAATTGCGATTGATGAATGTATTGTATATTATGTTGAATAAAAGATTCCGCCAACAGCCAGTTGACTGGATGCATCAGCTGCTGTTGGACCGGCTGCTGATTGTGCTGGTTTTGTCTTTTTAAAGTTCGGCATATTGTTGTGGATGGTGTGTCTGGAGATGTTGTTTCAGATTTGTTGTATTAGCGTTCTTGACCAGCACTTTCTTATGGCAAAGTTTACGAATCGTTTCTTCCTCATTCCTTCCTTCCTTTATCATTCGGCTTAAATCCGAAATGCACCCACAGCGGTGCCTTGGTATGTGGCTTTGGAACCAGAACTTCCTCATCCTCCATCCTAACCTCGAGTCGCTGCCCACCCGACCAAGGCGAACAACATGTGGCTGCGATGGTGCGTGTTGCAGCTGCTAGCCCAAGATGATGGTGTCAGACTCGGATTCAGGGTTATTTTATACAACTTTGTGGATAAAATAAATAGTCAACAGTGATCGCAAATATGAAAAATAATTGCCATTGATGAATATTGTAATAATTGCAACTGCCCTAGTTTGACAAAAATTTGGTTTGTATAACGTCCACTTCTTTTGATTTCATTCTCCAAAAACTGTGAAAAGAGATGTCTTTAATCCATCATCACTCATTAAATAAAAAAAAAAAAAAAAAGGACTGATCACTGAATGTTAAGAACTGAAGAGTCCTGCTCAATGCTGGATCCTTGTGGTGACCTTATTCAGTTCAGTTCATCGTGTCTGCTAAATATATGAATGCTTAACTGTTTCTTTTCTCTTTCCTAGAGATGCAATGCAGCTGAATGTCCTGGCAACCCAAAAGATGCTGGCTCTGGCCCACAGGATGAAGCACCTGGAGGTGTTTATCCATGTGTCTACAGCCTATGCTAACTGTGACCGAGAGCTCATCGAGGAGATTGTCTACCCTCCCCCGGTAGACTACCACAAGCTTATTGATTCTCTGGAGTAAGTAGATCTAGACTGCTTTGTCTGTAGTGGTTGTTGATTTGCACGGTCTTGTTGATGTTCATTGATGTCTGATAGTTGTGCTTTTGTAAACAGTTGCATGGCATGAAAGTTGAGGATTGAAAAAAACAGATTCTCTTTTTCTTCTGATTGCTCGATCCATTAAAGATCGTATTGGAAGGTATTATCATGATTAATGTCAGTAACAGCGAGAGCATGTCAGCTTAGCTGTGGCTGAAGAGGAAACTGCTGCTTAGTGGCACTAATGTTGCAGAGGCTGCCAGTCTCTTCTGCTGAGGGTCAGATTAGTAAAGCATTAGAAGCCACACAAGTGGAGATTAGCGGTATGGTTTTTAGTGTTTAAAGTGTAGTCAAGCTTCGGATAGAACTTGGATGAGTGCAGAGAGAAATCATGCCGGCTCTCACGCAATCTTTACCTTGTGAGAAGTTCCTGCTGAAGTTCAGTCAATCACTGCATGGTCATGTGTCAGACCATTAGATCATACAAGGGAATGGGATGTTTTTACACCAGCCTGCTTCAGGCACTTTGTGTGCTATCGACCCTGTAACTTTTCATTTTCACACCCATATTAAAAGGTTGTGGTCGTGTGCAGTCTGTAAGAGCAGCATAGCAGGAATCTAGAGAAACAAACTCTACTCTATTTTTTTTTTGTTTGTTTTTTTTTTCTTTTCCTGCAAGCCTCAGGTGGTTATCATCAAAAAGGTTGTACAGTTGTGTAGATGTGGTCAACTGGATGAGATGGAAGAAATAGTACCTGTTTCTTTTGAATGTGTAAGCAGAAGATATAGATTTACTTAACACTTGATGTAGTTTTTTTAGATTGCTATGAAAAGCAAATTTAAACAGATATTGAAATATTTAGATTAAAACAAAGTGTAAGATAAGATTAATAAATGATTCTGTTTCTTTCCTTTGGCATCATTGAGAGCCACAGCAGTAAAGCCAGGCAGCCATCATGCTCTGGGCAGAGATGGCATGATTTCTCCTGATTACTGCATAAAACAGTTCAAATCATCACTATTCTTGGCTGTCTTTGTGTGATCACATGAGTAGTTTTTATTGCGTTCAGATAAATACAGTCAATTTAACCATAGGCATGTCGGGGGTGTAATATGTAATGACCAGGCTAAAATTAAAAGTAAAATAAGTCCATGCAACGCATACTAACGTCATACTTCAAACTGATACCAAAACCTAACACAATCACAGGTACACGTGATCCCCTCTTAACACTGTATGTTTTTGTAAAGAAAGGCTCTTAACTGAAAATTGTCATGACTTATTTTTGACATTTGAAGTCTGGACTCTCAGAGTACAAAGGTGAACTTGAGACGGCAAAGAGATGTTGTCTGATGTTATCCAATTTTGTCTGGCTATTTATTACAAGTAGATCCAAGTATTCAAGTGGATTCATCGTGTTGAAGAAGAACTCTGCAAAAATCTCCCTTTTTTGTTTATTTCTTAAAGAAAATTGTTTAAAGAAAAAAAAACCCATAGAGACACCAGCTTTGCTCGTGCCTACGCAAATATCATGGTACTATAGAGGGCACTTTGGTTCAAATGTATGAAATATCTTCACCCTGACAGCTAAACGGGTTGTGGTAAAATTTCTTCACGATGAAGTCTACTGACTTAGAATTTTATCTGTTGGGCCCACAACAAGGTGGCAGACGGATAGGTTATTTGTTTGTTTGTATTTTTTTAATTTTTGTACTGTGCAGAATTTTGATTAATTGTCTGAAATGTCACATAATTGTAACCATGAGGGTCTTGTCCTTCAATCAGGTTAAAATTCAATCTATATTTCGTCAAAATTAGGGCTGCAGCCCTTGAATATTTTAATAATCGAGTATTGTACAGAATATTCCATCAATAAATCGAGTAATCGGATAAAACATATTTTTTTTTAGTTAAAGTACAATTATCGCGGAACAATTGCGGAACAAGCGTGTGTGTTAGCGGATTGTAATGCTCGTAAGAAAGCTAATTATGATATTAGCTTTAATCTTGCCACTAAAGACATTAGTGTTCGAGAGCTGAATAGCTCCTATGTAACTGCTACTTCGACTACAATAGCATCATTGTCAAATAATCTGTGCGAAACGTTACGATTTGAGTTTATAAACAAGTACTCGAAAATTCTTTAATCATTTTTTTGTCATTGAGGTACTTGAGGAACTGTTTCAGCCCTAGTCAAAATGATACAAACATTAACCAATTTTTTCTGTCATTTGTGTTCATGGTTAATAAACATATCTAACAGACATTTTTTTTTTGTCTAGCTGGATGGATGATGAGCTGGTGTCTGCTCTGACTCCAAAGCTGATCGGGGAGCGTCCCAACACTTACACCTTCACCAAAGCCTTGGCTGAGTATTTGGTGCAGCAGGAGGCAGGAGACCTTAACGTAGGCATCATCAGACCTTCCATAGTGGGAGCCAGCTGGAAGGAGCCCTTTCCAGTGAGTGACTCAAGCTTTTGGTGTTACACTGTGTACGATGCTGTAAAAGAACTGAGCTTAGAGAGAGAACTACTGAATAAAAGGATTTACTTTGCCCCAGGCTAGTTTAAAATTTACCCTGACACAGAGAGGTGTCGAGGTAAACTGTACCAACTAAAGCCTTTCTCTGAGGTTTTCTGGGTGTGTGCCAGTATGCTGAATCATGCAGAAGGAATTTTGAATGCATATATTTACTTCCTGCACTTTACACACTCAAGATGAAAAAAGTATATTAAGTGGATCACATATTCCATTTTGTGGTGACTATGGCCCATGGGTATCAGGAAGATTGAGAAACTCTTCCTGGGTCAGATCCAAGTTTCAACGAGTATCCTCCTGTGTGTATTTCTCTAAAAGCCCTCGGCCTCTGCTGCCAGCACAGAGGCATTAGTAGTAGTTGAGTGAACATGATGGTGGGAATAGGAATGTGAGGAATGTGTAGTGAAGAAGCTTTTGCACACCTTTACTCCTACCCTGTCAATGTTGTGAGCAGAGGAACTGTTGCTCCACTGATTTCAGTTTAAAAGATCTCACATTTTTCAGACCAAAGGATCTAATGGGATTTTGATGAAAAGGGTTATTTCTGTGTAAAAGAAAAATCCATTATGTTCATTGAGGAGAAACAACCAGTTTACTCCACCTGGAACAGAAAATATTAGACTTTTTGTGATTATTTTTCTTCTGTTTGAGTTTATGTAAACGTTTCATGTCTCTGTGAGTTCACTTCTCCCCTTTTCATACTGCTTTTCACTGTCTGTTTTTTCAGGGCTGGATTGATAACTTCAACGGACCAAGTGGAATATTCATTGCAGTGAGTAGAGAGAGAAAAGCTCAATTTCTTAATGGCTTTTAACTGTACTTGTTTGTTAAAACTGCATCAGACAAGGTATTTTCCTTTCTGAATTTCTCTTATGGCCGTGACGCTGGAGTATTTTACCCACCCAGCTTGGATTTCTTCTAATGACAGTACAACAAATTGCTTAAGATGCTACACTGACTAAATTACCCCACAATTTCGACATACTTTTAGGGACCCAGTGACGGCCAAACCAACCTGTTTCTTTGAATAGTTGCTCTGTCACTGTGCTTTCACTGTGTACAGCCTGACGATATCCCCTTTAATCTGCTGCTCACATTTTGTAGCAGTCTGCAATTTTTCAAAAATGTTTGCTAGTCCTGGATCTTGAAGTAGCAGGTAGGAAACTTTCATCATTTGCATTTTTGGACTATCTCCAGGCTGGTAAGGGGATCCTTCGTACGATGAGAGCGTCTAATGATGCTGTGGCTGACTTGGTACCCGTGGACGTGGTCATCAATGCTACACTTACAGCAGCCTGGTACTCTGGATCACAGACACTCAGCAGGTTGGAGACACATACAGATGCACATGCCTTTTTCATGTTGTTGTCTTTTGCTCTCTAGTTAACCCTTGGCTCCTGTTAATTTTAAGCTTCATCAAGCCTACTTTGTCCCCAAAATGGACATGCATATAAGTGTTCATAAAACAATGATTTTTTTAACCTTTTTTTTAATTATGATTATTTTTTTTTTTAACTTTTTTCGACTCGTATCTCTTAAACAATTTCAGCCCTGACCATTTAAAAGATAATAAATAAAAAAATCAATGTCACACCCTTTTTACGCATTTTTTGTGCACCACATCACTGTTATTTTTAATGGTAAAAAACACAAAATTGCCATATATTCCCATATAAAATGACCTAGATGATTTTTTTGTTTTTGTTTTTAATAAAAAGAGTCTGGGCCATGTCAATGATGAGTAGTAAAATCGATTTTGGTGCATTTAAATTATTTTTGTGGTGCCAATTTCCCTATTTTGGCTCCATCTAGCCTACTTTGTCTCCAAAACGGACATGCAGAAAAGTGTTCATAAAACAATCATTTTTGAACATTTCCTTACACACATATCCCACTCATCCATCCTAGACATCCATATCTAATGGCACTTAAAGTTTCATTCAATTCTGATGATGTTAAGTCGGTGAAACAGTGCTTCAAACACTCTCAGTCCATGAACGAGGACTTTCATGCGCGGCACCAAAGGGATTAAATTTATGTGCTGGCTTATTCTGTTGTATCACTGTTGTTAAGTAAAATTTAGAGCCCTGGTGATTGAGTGACTGCACAAAAAAAGGTTGCAATACGCTGTTATGGTGCCATAAACACGCGGTCAAAAAACGTGTTTTTAATGGAAGTCTATTATCCGTTTTGTGGACAAAGTAGGCTGTATGGAGCTAAAATGCGGCAACAGAGTTCTACATGTGACAGTTTTTTTTTTTTGTTTTTTTTTATATGAAGAAAAATAAGAACTCTCACCAAATTCGATGCCCCAATCTTTAAAAATATGACTGACAGCTCAAAATAGAGATGGAAAAAAATTACAAATGTCCACAAAACAGACATAATGGGAACCAAGGGTTAATTAATTGTGTTTAAAACTTAAATTTCTCTTGCTGAACTCTGACCCCCTTTTTCCCTCCGTGTTACAGGCCCAAAAACCTCCTGGTTTACAACTGCACAACCGGGGGAGTCAACCCATTTCGCTGGGGTGAAGTTGGTATGAAATCTTTATTGAAACTTCACACTGCCTGCATAAAGCCAGAGATTGAAGAAGCTTACATGTTAAAGCACAGCCTCTAATGACATATCCTGAAAGTAACCTGATCCGTTACCTGCCACACCTCAACCGAAAGCTTTTGTTGTGTTGTCCCATAAAGATCCTGGTTTTGTTCTGGAGTGAATCCCACTTGTAAATAGCAGCGACACATTGTTCAGAGGTGATTCACAGACATTAAGCTAAATGTTAACCCACTCACTTACACAGTACACTGCATGTAAGACTGATGGTCACTCTTGATCTTCAAAACCACATATCATATCTTTCTACAGTCCTTCTGGTTTACTGCTGTATATGAAAAAAAAATTATTTTCCAGTAGTTTCTTTAGTGGCTGCAGTGAAGGCTGAATTTTGAAATGTTGCTTTGTCAGTGTCTGTTTGGGCTGCAAATACGTTGAAACTTCTTGATGTTTCCATTTTTAAATTACTAATTCATTTGCTAAGAAAGATACTGCAGCATGAGCAAAGTATCCACGCTGGCAAACGGCACGTACAAAAGTGGATTTGACCCGATAGGTATTTTTTTGAGCCGGAGCTTATTTTCATTTTTTTGAATTGGATTTGCCAGCAAAATGATTTCTTTTTTTGTGTGTGTTTTGAGTTTGATAAACTTGAATATGACAGGAGAAATATTCTTTAACTAAAAGCTATGGGTAAGCCGCAGTAAAGTACAGTCAAGTGCAGTCGCTCATGTGATGAGGTAGTTTTAAGATTAAAGATTAAATCTCCCCAGTCAGGAACAAGAAAAAAGAAACCGACAAACCATGTATTCAACTGCTGATTGATGACTTTTGTTGAACAACCTTCTGTTTCTTAGAGTACCATGTAATATCTACATTCAAGAGGAACCCCCTTGAGCAGGCCTTTCGTCGGCCCAATGTAAATCTCACATCCAATCACCTTATCAATCAGTACTGGATTGCTGTGAGCCACAAAGCTCCGGCCTTCCTCTATGATCTGTACCTCAGGCTGATTGGACGAGAGCCCAGGTAACCTCATCATAACCGACTCGGATGTGCCGTTCCCTCGCTGTTTTAACGCCAATATCCTCCTCGCACACACGCATACATGCCTGCTACCTTTTGTCCTGTAACTTATTTTCTTTCAAATAGAAGCTTAACATCATTTTTGCTATGCTAATGTGTTACACGATGCTTGAACGCTGATTTGGTCGGAGTTGAAGAATGTATAACCCACTGTTCCCCTCCTGCAGGAGGCTGCTGATGGGTTCTGCAATCTTAACATCCTGCTAGTTGTAAAGATGGTATTCTCAGTTGGTTCCAAAAGCCTCAGCATTAAGGTCATCTCAGTCCAGCCCATAAATGGACTCAGATGGGCCTCAGTCTGAAGGTACCCTTTGGAATTAAATCAAGGTGTTGGCCCTGTTGACAAACTTCAGCTGTCTGCCCAAGAGAGTTAAATACTTTTAAACCACTTTGAAAACCTGTGTATTTAAATGTCTCTTTTAGTAATACACAGCGACTTGCTGGCTAGCAGTGGTGAGACTCTACTTGGGGCCTGCATCTTGCCTGTGTTATTATAAGAAGGAGAAAACACCCTCTTCTTCTTCTTCATCTCGTCCTCTTTGTGTCTTCTCTGTCCTGTTATACATGTATATGTCTTCTACAGAGAACTGTATAAATATGACCTTCAAGACCAATCCCTTAGAGCAGGCCTTCAGAAGGCCCAATGTCAATCTGCGCTCCAACCCCTTTACTAATCAGTACTGGACGACTGTCAGCCACACGCTCCCCGCCCTGCTCTATGATGGCTATCTCAGGCTGACAGGCCACAAGCCCTGGTAAGGTTGCAACAGCCCCCTCCCCATGCACTTTTCTCCATGCCAGTCAGTCCTCACTTTTTACCCAATCTCACCCAACCCCCAGCTGTGTGTGCGTGTGTGCGTGTGTGTGTGTGTGTATGTTTTTACTGACTGGTTTCCTGAAATCATGGGAACACGGAAGGACAAAACTGTTTGCTGTGTCTATGCTTGACCTCATGGCTTCAGCTGGACTCAGTAAAGACAGTGTTATCTACCAGAGCATGTTTTCGGCTCTCCTCTGCTTTAACAGGTCTTTTTATTTGAGAGAGTTTCCGTTTTGTCAATATGGCATTCATCCCTGTCATTACCCCAACTCTCACCAAATCATGGTAAAAACCTGAGGCACCACGGGCTTTCTTGGCGTCCTCCTGTATAAGGTTGTGTCCAGTTGGTAATACCTACAGTGCATCCGGAAAGTATTCATACCACTTCACTTTTTCCACATTTTGTTATGTTACAGCCTTATTCCAAAATGGATTAAATTCCCTTTTTCCCTCAAAAATTCTACACAAAATACCCCATAATGATAAAGCAAAAAACTTTTTTTAGAACATTTTGCAAATTTATTAAAAATAAGAAAACTCAAATGTTGCATATACACAAGTATTCACACCCTTTACTCAATACTTGGTCGAAGCACCTTTGGCAGTGATTACAGCCTTCAGTCTTCTTGTGTATGATGCAACAAGCTTGGCACACCTGGATATGGGGAGTTTTTCCCCATTCTTCCCTGCACATCCTCTCAAGCTCAGTGAGGTTGGATGGGCAGCGTCGGTGCACAGCTACTTTCAGGTCTTTCCAAAGATGTTCAATCGGGTTCAAGTCTGGGCTCTGGCTGGGCCACTCAAGGACATTCAGAGACTTGTCCTGAAGCCACTCCTTTGTCTTCTTGGCCGTGTGCTTAGGGTCATTGTCATGCTGGAAGATGAAGTGTTGCCCCAGTCGAAGGTCTGGAGCACTCTGGAGCAGGTTTTCATCAAGGATTTCGATGTACTTAGCTGCATTAATTTTTCCCTCGATCCTGACAAGTCTCCCAGTTCCTGCCGCTGAAAAACATCCCCACACCATGATGCTGCCACCACCATGCTTCACTGTAGGGATGGTATTGGCGAGGTGGTGAGCGGTGCCTGGTTTCCTCCAGATATGACGCTTGGCATTCAGGCCAAAGAGTTCGATCTTCGTTTCATTAGACCAGAGAATTTTGTTTCTTCTGGTCTGTGAGTCCTTCAGGTGCCTTCTAGCAAAGTCCAAGCGGGCTGTCATGTGCTTTTTACTGAGGAGTGGCTTCTGTCTGGCCACTCTACCATAAATGCCTGACTGGGGGAGTACTGCAGAGTTGGTGGTCCTTCTGTAGGGTTCTCCCATCTCCTCAGAGGAATGCTGGAGCTCTGTCAGAGTGACTATCGGGTTCTTGGTCACCTCCCTGACCAAGGCCCTTCTCCACCGCTTGCTCATTTTGGCTGGGTGGCCAGCTCTAGGAAGAGTCCTGGTGGTTCCAAACATCTTCCATTTCTTAATGATGGAGACCACTGTGCTTTTTGGGATCTTCAATGCAGCAGATATTTTTCTGAAACCTTCCCCAGATCTGTGCGTCGATACAACCCTGTTTCGGAGGTCTACAGACAATTGTTTCGACTTCATGGCTTGGTTTGTGCTCTGACGTGCTCTGTCAGCTGTGGGATCTTATATAGACAGGTGTGGCTTTCCAAATCATGTCCAATCAGCTGAATTTGCCACAGGTGGACTGGAGGAACATTTCAGGGCTGATCAGTGGAAACAGGATGCACCTGAGCTCAATTTTGAGTTTTATAGCAAAGGGTGTGAATACTTATGTATATGCAACATTTTAGTGTCTTATTTTTAATAAATTTGCAAAATGTTCTAAAAAGAGTTTTTTGCTCTGTCTTCATGGGGTATTTTGTGTAGAATTTTTTGGGGAAAAAGGGAATTTAATCCATTTTGGAATAAGGCTGTGACATAACGAAAGGTGGAAAAAGTGAAGTGGTATGAATACTTTCCGGATGCACTGTATATCCCACCAGATACAACTCTGGTGCATGTTAAATGATCAGTATTCACATCTGTGTGCTCTCTCTTTCGTCCAAGCCAGAATTATTTTGGAAATAATCAATAATGGGTGGCTAGCTTTTTTATGGCTCAATTGATCTTGATACTCTACGATCTGAAATAATTTTGGCTTGGTAGCTGACTGGTGATCAAAGGGTGTGATTTGATCTAATTGGGGGTTTCTCCTGTTGTAATGTAAGTAGCAGCATCTACTGCTACCATTTTGTGCTTGTCAATTGTTCATATCCGTTTCATCCTCTGATTCATCTGTGTTTACAAGAGGAGTCTGAGTCATCTCAAACTGCATCAGTTCACTGAAGTCTTTAGACCCACACAATTTTATCCTGAATTCAGCTGGCTTGTCACTGGACCAAATCTCTTTTAGTCATAGCAAATTGAAGGCCATTCAAATCCAGTTCCAGGTGAATTATTTTATTATTTTAAAGTCTGTTGATTTCTCCTGTCCATGAAGATTCTCATTCACCCAGGTCATGGTTTTCTTGAAGACTCCAAAATCAGGCAACTGGACTGTGTAGAGTTGATTTCTCCTGAATAACCCAAACTGTGCAGTTTGACTCACATTCAGAAATCCTCCAATTTAAAGATAACTGCTTGCGTTCTCTCTAGATTTACTACCACAACACTTGAACTGGGAACAGTTCACCTAAATTATGAGCCCCCAGAATCTGTACTCACGCAAAAATGAACCTTTTAACTGGATTTACCTGTGTGAACAGGTGGACAATGTTCTACATTGAAATCATTTTGACTGCTTTGAATCCTTTCTACTGCTCCAGTAGAATTATTAATTTATCTATTTTTACTGAGTTTGACTCGTTAGTGGGAAAATGTTGAGATAGCAGGCCTAAATTTGGGTCATGGGTTCATTATTTGACAGTGTACTGTCCATCCACCTGTCCCACATAGAGATGAAATCCAGTTAGTCCTCAACTGTTTGTCTCACTCACCAACTAGAAGAGTGAGTCTCAGATCTGATTTCTTTGGTGCTATGAGGAAGTTTGAACAACTGGCTTGACCACGATAAAAGGAGATGCATCATAAAATAATTTTGCATATTTTAGATGTTAATTCAGGCCAGATCATAATTGTAGTCAGTCACAGCTGCAGTGAAGCAGATTTGTGCTGTTTAAACAGAGCTACTCATCAGACCCAACATAGGGCTGCTCAATTTTTGCCAAAAGTAAAATCCAGATTTTTTTCTTTGAAAACTCAATTTTTGATTTTTTTTATTCAGTGACAACTTCACTAAACATCACTCTAATAAGTTTTTCTATTATCTCTCAAAATGAAAACTACTGAAAACGATAGTAGTGCATATGCCAAGTCAGTAAGTGGCGCTGTAATGCTGCCGAGGAAATGCACAAAAGACAGAAGAAGAGTACAGTGCATTTGCACAAAGGTTGTTCTGGCTGGACGCGTGCAGGCGCCATAAAAGTCGTTTACCGATTTATGCCGTCCCGTACCGGTTTTCAGAAAGTTCTGTTTACAGTCACCCAAAACGCTGTTTCCCTGTGGATGAAACACCGATACAACAAAAAACTTTTGCCTTTACTCCTGAATTTGTTTCCATGTGGACGCATTGATACCACCTTCACCACCACTTTGCAGTGTGGAGTGGTTGGCTCATCCGAAACTGCGAAGCCATACTGAATCCACATGACTGAAGGGGGGGCCCTATGGTGGCCTGGAGGCGTGAGACTTGACAGAGAGGAAAATCTATTTGACGATTTTTTTAACATCCTCATTATCAAATAATCCAATTACGATTGGAAAACGATTAATTGTTCAGCCCTAACTCAACACTAAATTTAAGATATTTCTCCAACTGATCATTAACCCTTCCGGGACCTTTAGATTTTCCTCCCTCTAAAGTCCCTCGTGGCTGTTAAAAGCCACTTTTTCTGTCGGCTGTAAAATCATATTGGATTAATATTTTTTTCAGATTTTTTTTCACAAATTTCTTATTTTACTTCTGCCCTGTTCGAAACTAGCAAATGTTTCATTGAAAACAATTTTTTTTAACCCTTTAAGTGCCAATTTAAGACAAAAAGTCACAAATTTAGCAAAAATTGAAGGAAAATGACCCATTTTTTTAATAAAACATGATCAGAAACTGGTAATCTCTTGCAGGGTATTAAAGTCTTGAATATGTCAGAGATTAGTAATATAATTTACTTATATGCATTTTCAGTTTTTCTGTAGCATCAGATTTAATGAAAACTGCCTTTGGCGCCTCCCAGTGGCCAAAACCATTATTTCTGCTGTAAAATCATATTGGATTAATATTTTTTTCTGATTTTTTTTTATACATTTCTTATTTTACTTCTGCCCTGTTCAAAACTAGCAAATGTTTCATTGAAAATAAAAATTTTAACCCTTTAAGAGCCAATTTAAGACATAAAGTCACTTAAAAAGCAAAAAAATGGAAGGAAAAAGAAGGAAAATGACCCATTTTTTAAATAAAACATGATAAAAAACTGGTAATCTCTTGCAGGGTATTAAAGTCTTGAATATGTCAGAGATTAGTAATATAATTTACTTATATGCATTTTCAGTTTTTCTGTAGCATCAGATTTAATGAAAAACTGCCTTTGGCGCCTCCGAGTGGCCAAAGCTACTTTGTCTGCTGTAAAATCATATTGGATTAATATTTTTTTCAGATTTTTTTTCATACATTTCTTATTTTAATTCTGCCCTGTTCAAAACTATCAAATGTTTCATTAAAAATAAAAATTTTAACCCTTTAACGGCCAATTTAAGACATAAAGTCTCTTATGAAGCAAAAAAATGGAAGGAAAATGGAAGGAAAATGACCTCTTTGCTTCATAAGAGACTTTATGTCTTAAATTGGCCCTTAAAGGGTTAAAATTTTTATTTTCAAAGAAACATTTGCTAGTTTTGAACAGGGTAGAAGTAAAATAAGAGCTGTATGAAAAAAAATCTGAAAAAAATATTAATCCAATATGATTTTACAGCAGAAATAGTGGTTTTGGCCACTGGGAGGCGCCAAACGCAGTTTTTCATTAAATCTGATGCTACAGAAAAACTGAAAATGCATATAAGTAAATTATATTACTAATCTCTGACATATTCAAGACTTTAATACCCTGCAAGAGATTACCAGTTTCTGATCATGTTTTATTAAAAAAATGGGTCAGTTTCCTTCATTTTCCTTCCATTTTATTTGCTTTTTAAGTGACTTTATGTCTTAAATTGGTCCTTAAAGGGTTAAAATTTTTATTTTCAATGAACTATTTGCTAGTTTTGAACAGGGCAGAATTAAAATAAGAAATGTATGAAAAAAAATCTGAAAAAAATATTAATCCAATATGATTTTACAGCAGAAAAGGCAGTTTTGGCCACTGGGAGGCGCCAAAGGCAGTCTTTCATCAAATCTGATGCTACAGAAAAACTTAAAATGCATTGAATTCAATTATATCACTAATCGCTGACATATTCAAGACTTTAATACCCTGCAAGAGATTACCAGTTTCTGATCATGTTTTATTTAAAAAATGGGTCATTTTCCTTAAATTTTTCCTTCCATTTTTTTTTGCTTTTTAAGTGACTTTATGTCTTAAATTGGCCCTTAAAGGGTTAAAATTTTTATTTTCAATGAAACATTTGCTAGTTTTGAACAGGGCAGAAGTAAAATAAGAAATGTATGAAAAAAAATCAGAAAAAAATATCAATCCAATATGATTTTACAGCAGACAAAGTAGTTTTGGCCACTGGGAGGCGCCAAACGCAGTTTTTCATTAAATCTGATGCTACAGAAAAACTGAAAATGCATATAAGTAAATTATATTACTAATCTCTGACATATTCAAGACTTTAATACCCTGCAAGAGATTACCAGTTTCTGATCATGTTTTATTAAAAAAATGGGTCATTTTCCCTCAATTTTTGCTAAATTTGTGACTTTTTGTCTTAAATTGGCACTTAAAGGGTTAAAAAAACTGTTTTTAATGAAACATTTGCTAGTTTCGAACAGGGCAGAAGTAAAATAAGAGATTTGTGAAAAAAAATCAGAAAAAAATATTAATCCAATATGATTTTACAGCCGACAAAACAAGTGGCTTTCAACAGCCACGAGGGACTTTAGAGGACGTTTTTCTGTCCTGGCTTTATTATTGACTTGGTGAAAATTTTGAATTCATGTTTTCAAATAAAATTTCAAATTAAGCTTAGAAAAAAAAATTCATCACATTTGCTGCAGTAAAAAAAAAGTTATATCCAAATTAGTCTCTAGCTCTATCATAAATTGGCTGTTAAAAGCCCGAAGGTTCCGGAAGGGCTCTGGAAACCTGCAAAGAGGTGAAGTGAAGGGGCACAAAAACATTAGGCAGTCAAATTGGTTGCGACTGTGTTGTGCCTTACTTTTCCATCACCGCTCTTTATTAGGCTGTAGACTTGTTTTATCGAGGGCTGTAAAATGGGCAAATGTAACATGATGTGGTCTCTAATGAGGTTTTCTTGGCTCTTGAAGCCTGCCTCATGTGGACACTAAAAGAACTGCAGTCTTAGATGTTACAAACACTCAGAGTAACTACAACCCCCAATTCCTATAAAGTTGGTACATCATATAAAACATGAATATAATGCAATATGATGATTTTCAAGTCCTTTCAAACCTATATCCAGTTGAACACACTACAGAGATAAGATATGTTCTCACCTGCCTCTGAAGGCTTTTGTTAATAACCCCCTCTCCTAAAACTTAAAATTAGTGGTTGGTAGTCGTAAAGTTTTGCAGGATTGTGAAGTCAAACCTTTTTCAAGGCCAAGAGGTGTTCAAACACATTCCTTCAGCGCTGTGGGCTTTGGTTAAAGATAACTTCTGAAAATCAGATTTTGCTTAATTGAATCAGTCATTCTTATATGACCTAAATCAGTCTGAATGAAACTCTTACACCACTTAGATCCTCTTCTTCTTCCTGCCCAACCCACTCTTTCTCTTTCTTTTTATGTCACCTTTCTTTATTCAACCGCCTACATACCTACTTTCTCCTCCATCCTACCTCCTCACCTTCTTCTGCATTGTTCTTCTATGTTTCCTCTCTTTGTCCATCCAACTTTTCCCCATCTCAATGAACTTTTTGCACCTTTCTCCATCAAACTTTTCTTTTCCTCCTAACTTTCACTCCCCACTCGTCGTAGGATGATGAAGACTATCACCCGCCTCCACAAAGCCATGATGGTTTTGGAGTATTTCACTAGTCACTCCTGGATGTGGAACAATGACAACATGACCATGCTGATGGCCCAGTTGAGCCCTCAGGATAAGAAGGTATGGAGGACACAGACAATGGTGATCTTGTCACATTTCCCTTATATTGTTCACTATATGTCCCTCCGCCCCCCCATGTTCTCTCCTCACCACACAACGCAGTCCTTTACACAGTATGGAGACACCATACAGATTCACCACTCAGTGCATGTCTGATAGTAGCCTGGTGACAATGGACTTAGTCATTCATTCACTGCTGACATCAGTTTGTCATGAACAGAAGCATTGTGGGGGATTACTGTCTGCAGAAATCTGCTCATATTGGTGGACTCAGTTTTTTTTTTCTCTGTATAGAAGCATATCTGAAAGCCAACTAACCTCATAATTTACATTATACTTGTGAGTCAGGAGCAGCAATTGATGTTTTTCTTTGGAGAACATTTGTAAAATCCCCTGAGTAAAAAGGTGATCATGTAAATAAACCATATATACTTCATTTTCAAACACTGATAAATGATTTGTGGACACCAGAAAGAGGAGCTGCAGTCTTACACGCTTGTCTGCACCTCCTATAAAGCAGTTGTCCAGCCACAACAATATAGAGACTGTCTGAACCAGGCCCTTTCTTATTTACACTGCAAAGAGAATGACAGTCTCAGTGATTATAGGAAAGCTCTACAGGGTACTACTCCTTAATAGAGGAAAATAAAAGCAATCCCAGGAACATTTTCAGTACTGTAGCAAATCTTACAGAGAGAGCTCTAGATATAACTGCAGTAGATGGCACCAGTTTAGCATCCAGAATCACTCTTTGACCAGGATTTATCCTTTAACTCCCACATCCAACAAATCTCCAGAACTGCATTTTTCACCTGTGTAACCAAAAATCTGAAACATCCTGTCCCGTAACAACTCAGAAAAACTAGTCCATGCATTTATCAGCTCTAGCTTGGATTACTATGATTTATTACGCTGCCTTAACAAGTCTTTAAAGACTCTTCAGCTGGTCCAAAATTCTGCAGCACAAGTACTGACTAGAACCAGGAGAAGAAAGCACATCTCCTCTGTATTAGCTTCTCCACACTGGCTTTATTAAAGTTAGGGTAGAATTTAAAATTCTTCTTCTCACCTACAAAACTCGTCATGGTCAGGCACCATCATATCTTGATGAGTTTGTAGTTCTCTATTACCTTTCCAGAAGATTGTGGTTCTAATATGCAGGCAAGTCTCTAAAAGTGGTCTAAGTGTTCCGACCCCTCTTTTATGGAATCACCTACCAGTTGAGGTGTGTGGGCAGACACTCCCTCTAACTTAAGAGAAGCCTTAAAACTTCCTTTTTGATAAAGCTCATAGTGAGGGGTGGTTCAGGCCTGGGTCAGCTCTTAGCTAAGCTGCTATAGGTTTAGACTGCAGGGGTTTCTGGCACATTAAGCCCCTTTCCTTCCTCCATCCTCTTTCTGTCTGTATCATTAACTTTGAATCATCATGTCCCATTAGAGGCACTAATACACAGTCTTTACTGGGAGTCCCTCTGTCCTTCTTTCTCTTTCTGCATCTCCCTCTATCCCCCGTCTAAACCCAGTGCAGTAGTGGCAGATGAATGATTCTTGTTCTGTTTGAGGTTAAAAGGAAGTTCTTCTTCTCCACTGTAACTCCTAGCCTTTCATTCCTGTAAATGAAGATAGGATGGGAGTGGGTCTGATCCTACAAGATGGGGCTCAGTCTTACTCCATCTTTACATTGGTTCTTTGTAAATAGAGTCTAGTCTTTTATGTCAAGCATCTTGGGATAACACTTCTTGTGAATTTGCACTATATAAATAAAGATGTGATCGACTGAGTGATTGATAATACAACAGTATTCAATACAGTCTGGCTGCAGACCTCCACTGTGAGGACCCACTCCACTGAGAGGACCTGAGGTGACCTTTTTTCTCGCACACTCCAGTTTGCTTTTGCCGTGAAGATAGTCAAGAGATATGTAAATGAGTCCAAAAGTGCAGGAGGCGACATTTTCAATGATTAATGATGTAAAAGCAGAGAACAGTCAACAGATGGAGTGCAGATACATTATGCCATCACATATATTAAGGTGTTTTGACAGAGATTAATTGTTTTAAACAAATTTGTAGTATAAACTAAAGTTACAGCTGACCGTTTTGCTGAGTAAATTAAAATACGAGTACCTAATAAAATAAAAAAAACATACCCTCGGTATATTTCCTGTCATGTCAAAGGCTTCAAATTAACTTAAAAAAAATTTAACCTTGGTATATTTGCTTTTATTTTGGAAGGCTTTGAATCAACTTCCAACCTTAAAAAATAAAAAAGGTACTCTTGTGATATTTGCTTTTATTTTGAAAGGCTTCGGAATCACCTTCTGTTCTGTTCAGTGGGACGAGTCCTGATGGTGAAGATCTGCAGCCAGACGCCTCTCACAGTATTAGCCCAGGACAGAGCTGTGCCTGAATGTAGCCTCACAGAGTCACAGTACTATCTATGGGATTTTCTTGACAAGTATTTATAAATGAAGGTTTTTGTTGTTGTCTTTGTCACAGCTTACAAGCTTAATAACTGCTTGACAAATTTCATATTTTGGCTGCTGTTTATTTCAACATAGTATGCTGATAAGACATTTGTGGCCAGAGTGAAAAGACACACATTTCAGTCATCTCTTAATCTTGAAAGATTCATTTGTAATGACCCACATCCTAGTAAGTGTCATTGTTGAGGACAGTGTTTGTCAGACATTTGAACCTACTTTAATATTTACTGCCTCTCTGACTTTTTCTTCATCCTTGTAGGTTTTCAATTTTGATGTTCGGCAGCTGCACTGGGCAGAGTACATGGAGAATTACTGTATGGGCACGAAAAAATATGTCCTGAATGAAGAGCTGTCGGGCCTGCCTGCTGCACGCAAACATCTCAACAAGTAAGAGGTCTTTTAATGAAAGAGCAACTCTTAAATGTGTATAAGACTGAGTAACAGATCCAAGAGGATCCTCTAGAGACCAAACTTATTTTCAGGAGTTTTTTCAGCCACATGGTGATTTGGATTATCATCTTACTGGATCGTACACTTGTGTGGGAACAATCCTGAGTTTTGACGACACCTGTGGAAATGCAGAAAACTGAGAGGGATTAAAATTTGTGATCATGAACCTAAAATGCTTTACTAACACGTCTGTAAAGCAGCTGTTATAATTTTAAACTTACTAGTTACAATATTTACTAGTTACTAGTTAATGAAAATTGTTATATCCTTTTACTAAATGAGTGTAGGAAACAAAAAAACCCTCAGCCTTTTTTATTTAGACTTTCCTGAATATAAGTCTGTAGACTCAAATCTAGATCTTCTCTCTTGATCAGCACGTTTTATTTTTGTAGAGGCCTTTTTTTTCATATTGTGATGTGTTTTGTCATCTCTCGGCATCTAGAGCTCTTTTACTGTGAAGGACTTAAAGGGATATTCCGGCATAAAATTAGGTTAGGGTCAAACACACCGTAACACGAGTTAGACACCCCCTCCAGAGATGAACGTTGCCGACCGCTTGCTTCTCTAGTTATACCAACTTCAGCAATGACCGCACGATAGCAATTCACAGCGATCTAAGTCTCCATGTGCAAACCTCAACCAAAAAGCCACTCGTAGCCTTTAAAGGTCGATTACCTAGTACAGCAGAGTTTCACAGCTCAAGAAAGAATATTTATGATCATTACTTCATGGAAATACAATCAGACCGAGACACTAAGGCAGAAGAACTACCGCATCTGCAGTGCAAAATTATTATTATGATGATGTTTATTACTTCAAGGAAATGATCCGCTGTACTCGGTGATCGACTCGTCAGGGCTCCCAATTATTTGTGGCTATAGAGAAGCTTTTCGGTTGAGATTTGTGCGTGGAGACATAGACCGCTGTGTATTGCTATTGTGCAGTTGTTGCTAAAGTTGGTAGAACTAGAGAAGGAAGCAGTCAGCAACATTCATCTCGGGGGGAGTTTAACTTGGTGTTAGGGTGTGTTGGACCATAACTTAATTTTACACCGGAATATTTTTAAGGAAAGGCAGAGGCCTTCGCTGTCTCTCTCCTCTGCTCTCTTTCTGAAACAGACTTGAAAAGGTCTCATGTATATGTGTATGGGAACAGTCTGTGTTGTAGCTTCAAAGACGTTGGGTGTATGCAAGTGCTGCGGGTGAGATGGAGACAGAGCAGGGAGGACTTGCATGACTGGCAGGATGAAGCTCAGCTTCATGAGTGTACAAACAAAACCCTAAACTTTCCTGTAGGGTCATTTGGAGGTCTGGGCATGTTACAGCTATCTCTTTTCATGGCCCTGTTTTAGTAACAGTGCTGAAGGTGGTTTAGATATGCATTCTGATGAAACTGTCATTTTCCTCCTGCCTTTGATGTTTTCAAATGGACTAAATCTTATACTGAAGTCTTCATTGTGTCTGTCTCCCAGGCTGAGGAATATCCGCTACACCTTCAACACCATCCTTGTGGTGTTCATCTGGCGCATCTTTATTGCACGTTCACAGATGGCCAGAAACATCTGGTACTTTGTGGTGAGCCTCTGCTTCAAATTCCTCTCCTACTTCAGAGCTTCCTCCACCATGAGATAATGAGCCAGGGACCTGGATTGTGTGGGGCGTGGCAGACGGGCAAAGAAGTGAAGAAACACAGACACAGAGAGGGTTACTGGATGAGCCAGGGGTTCACAGCAGTGTAAATGTCGAATACAATCAATCTATGTAACCTGATTAGAACACGCAGAAGACAGAGGTTAGTCTCAAGTGTGTAAAGCTTATACCAGCCACAGTTGGATGGTGTGAAGATTCTGGGCCTCATTGTGCCCCCATTCTGTTTATTTTCAGTCAAACCAGTGCACCTCTGGAACCAGCTTTAACTCTTGCAGTCTGTAAACTCATTGGCACCCAAACCTGCTCCATTTGAACAGTCTGCTTGTCTGGCTGCCTCTGTTACAAAACTATGCATTGGGGGAAAAAAGGAACAAAAAAAAAAAAGGTTTAGAGTCAGTCCATACATGCCCTTCTGTAAATGCAATCTTTGAGCAATAACTACTCCAACCGCTATGTCAGCACTCACCCAAAAAATATTAGGCTCTTTATAACCCTAGGAAGTTTGTTCATGTGCTTGTTATGACAAAGATGTACAGGGATCTCCTGGGTTTTCATCTAAGTGCAGAATCTCAGCTCCACTCAGCTCCTGGGCATTAAAGTTGGTTTGCACGTTTGGTCAGTGGCAGTGGCAGTGGAAGGATGAGTCATGACTGGATCAGTAGAGACACGTTCAGGGACAGACTGGCCTTGGAGTCATTTTCAAACTCGTTCTTGTTTAATGTTGTTTAAACTCGTTTAATGATTTGTGTCCCAAAACCAAAGCCAGTACAGCTAATGTCTCTAATATTTGCTTTGAATGTGAAGGAAGGAAATTACTATAGCAGGGTTTTGTGGATCGGGCTCATGCGGTTGTCATCCACTTTACCTGCGAGGTATAGACACTAACCCCTAATGTGCTCCAGTATGTCCTCAGTGAGCTGCGCTGACTCGTTCATCTCTTGACCAAACACAGATCAGATTGTGACAGGAAATCTTTATCCAGTGCCTACAAGGCGACAATTTTTACATCAGCAGATCCTGCTAATCTAACTGCTCCTCCACTAGGTCCCTGTTGTCTTGTGTGACAGTCGATTATAACCATCTTTCAGTTGTTGTTTTTCTATTTTTTTTTTTTTTTTTGCCAAAATACCTCCTAGCTTACAGACTTGTAGCTCAGAAGAGGATGAGACAAGTAGAGTTGAGAGGTCAGATCTTTCACTTGGGACCTTTTTCTCTGTTCTCCTCAAGACTTAAGCACTGGATGATGTATTGAGTCATACACACACATTGTAGGTGAAGACTCTAACTGATGTTTGTGCACCACATCTAAGGTAGCTCTCACTGTAGCTCACCTTCTTTGTGAAAAGTTTGGTTGCATGTATTGAATCATATTCCTGTCTAAGTGTAAACAAGTGTCACATAGTTTAAGTTCTTTTTATTTACACATGTATTTTATATTCTGTGATTGTGACACAGTCTGCAGATTATGTCTTGTACTAATAGTTAAAACTCTTGGATTAGAGTGTTGTCATCTTCATTGATTTAACACACATGGTTGTTCTCTTTTGATGACCTGCTTTGGTTTTGGGAAGGCTCATTACTGGCATAAGGTTGTACTACTGCACTCCATCATTGCATATTGTATAAATGTGCAGAGTCAGACAACTTGGCCTTATTTCATCATTTCCAGATTGAAAAGACAGCATAGTTAAATTTCATTCACATGATTCAAACAGCTAACATTATCACAAAAAAAAAACATCCAAGTTCACAAGTTTAACTTTTGCTTACTGGCTAGTTAATGGCTCTAATTTGACACCTGTAAGTTTGTGTATTGGCTTAACTGTCACTCCCCAATGGGTTATTAATAAACCATATACCATTAGCCCCCTCTAAATTATAAGCATGGCATTTACAGGAGCTGGACAAAGAGGAAACAGATCAACAAGTTTCCTGATCTCGTACATTTATATGATCAACATACACAAAACCTTGCTATATTTTATTGTAAGCTGTGTTTTTTTTTTTTTGTTTTGTTTTGTTTTTTTTGTTTTTTACAGAAAATAATCATCTTTGCCGTAGTAAGTCTCTTAGGGTTAACACACCTGAGGTTTGTCTGTGCACTTGGTCGTCATAGTCGTCTGTTTCCTGTTTCTTGAGCACAGTACAATATTTGAATAAAGCAGGGTATGACTTTATGCTGATATTTAATTGTGCTTGCATGTGCCCTTTTGGAGTGTCATATAAACGTGAACACACAACATGCATATATAGTATATATAAACGTCCAGTGAACATCCTGGATTCATTAAGGAATGTGATTAGTTGCTGTTTTTACCCAGACAGCATGAGCCATTTTTCAGAGAACCACGTGACTCAGTGAAAACACACAAGGTTTTTGAAAGATGTGGGCTAATGTGAATTGTGCCTGAACTTTTTTTCAATATTCAACAATGTGAAAAAAGAACAATCAGATCTATGTTTTCTAATTATTTTGTGTACAGCTCTATTTAGGTAAACTTCACAATATAAAGAGACAGATGTATTTTTATGCTAACGACATTGTGTGGCTCTTTTAATGATAAGCTTACTCAACCAGCTTTTGCCGCTGTAAATAATGCTCAGAGAAAAAAACGTGCAGCATCCTGAGAGCTGAATATAACTACAAGTTTCTTGGTCGTACCCTTTACAGTGCATGTACATGTACCTGTTCTCCCTGAATGTAATAGAATAACAGCATCTGACTTGTTTGCACTGTAAGTATCTTCCCCAGCCTCCTAAAACAAGAATTGACAAAACTATGATTGCCTGTACTTTTTATATGAAGCAAGTGTTTATATGTCAGTCTTTCTGTGCAGTTTGAACTCTGTTTTGTTGTTACTGTGTGTGTGTGTGTGCGTGCGTGCGTGCGTGTGTGTGTGTGTGTGTGAGAGAGAGAGAAAGAGAGATAGTCAGTCTTGTTCTAGACGGCTGTTTGGTTTGTTGGGTGTTGTTGATGGGAATGTCTCATAAATGTTTTGTTGACCGACAGGGCATGGTACACACAGCTAACATAAGCATTAACTCTACTCTGAAATAGTCCTGAATACTGTTGAATAGATTCCTGATTAAACCAGAAAGCAAGCTTCACAAAGGAAAAGTAACATAAAAAACAAGTGTGGTTAAGTATGCTATTATCACTCTTAAAGGAATAGTTTGTGCACTCCAGCCCAGAATTTGTTTTATCATAAGCTTTCCATCAAACCTTTTGCAAAAACACAAAATTTTCAGAAAGTTATTTAATCCTGAGAATAAAAAGATCCTTAATGTTTCCTCACCTTAAGAGGCTCAGCTGATCCACATCATGGAGACTGAGAGGAGATAGACCCAGTTGGATTTATACTTCTGACTAGTCTGACCAGTGATCAGGTCTTGATTGCAAAATCCAGGGTATTGAGAACAAAACAAAACAAAACACCAACAAACAAAAGCACATGAATCCCAATAAATGCAGGTTGTTCTTATGTAGTAACAAAGCGTTGGTTCAATCATGTTTTCAAGACATTTTCAGTGTTTGATCACAGACATTAGGACACAGAGCTTATTAATGTAAATAATACTTTTGTGTTTTCTCTTGTTTAAAAAAAAAAAAAAAAAAACTTTCTGTCTTTGCACATTATTTTTCCATGTAGAAATGAAACTGGTCTTTTTATTTCTCCTTGCATGTGTCAGATTCGATGGCCCATGTGTTAATGAGTTGCATCAAAGTGGATGTGGTAGTTTATTATTTTGTTTTTTATTTTATTACCTTTTTTTTGGTTCTCATTTCTCAACAGCTACATTTGCTAACTTTCATGTTGCCAACTTGGGTTGATATGCTTACGGCACACTTATTCTGTGTTTGTATTTAGGCTGGTTACAATGTCAATGTGTTTTCTTAAATGGATCTTGAGCTGCCTTTTTTATTAAACATCACTTCTACTTTCAGCAGAGCAATCTGCGCGGGTTATTGTGTTTGAAAAGAAGAAAAACAGTTGTTGTCATGGTCAGTCAACACCAAACTCCAAAAACAATGATTCAAAGGGTGCCTTTAGTTTGTAAACCAAAAAAGAAATAAACTGTTTAATCCTCTTCCTGTTTGAGATGTCTGATTTCCTGTTTCAGCTCTATGAAGACAAGAACACCGTCCATGTCGTTGAATCAAACTGGGGAATGATTGACAGGGGACAAATGAACCATTAGCCTCCATCAGTCCAGCTGACCTGTTTCCTGTGGTGCATATCAGATCAGCTCACCATCACAAGTGCTGTTATCTGGATGTGTACTAAAGTAAAAGCTATTGAACAGCTCCATTAAGATTTAATGCTGCCATTCAGGATTAAACTTGATTCCATGAATGAAAGGATTGACCTGTCCTCGATCCAGAGGGCTCACTCTGCCTTTACTAGAAACAACTGGTGGGGTGGTTTTACTGGTAATGTTCTGAGGAGGATTATCAGTATCCTACAACAGCAGCCTTGAACTTCTGCACATATTGTGCCTGGTGTTAAGACTGAAACTTGTGTGAATGAAGGATTTGTCTGTTTACAAAGGTATCATACAAAAGCCATGTCATTTTTATCTGATGTGAGACTTCACAAACCCATTCAGGAATCAGTAACATGTAGGGTGGCCATTTCCACAACACCAAAAAGGAGACCACTTTGCAGCATTTGGCGAGGAAAGAAAAAAACGTAACAAACAACTCTTGTATACTCCCCGTGAAAATACAATATTGTACATGATAACCATGGTATCATGATAGAGTGATTCTGAGATACTCCGTTTATCACAAGAAAAAGTATGATATATCGTGAAAAAAAAAGAAGAAAAAATATTCCTGAGAAGGCAAAAAGTATTTGTTTTTATTCAATACATCTCTCTTGCAAAGTGCAGTGCCACAAAGCAGAACATTTATAGCCTTAAATGAGCAAATTTAATTAACATAAAAATTAATAAATAAATAAATGCAAGAATAACCCATTCCAGTTCTTAACAAGCACATAGAACTTTTTTGGAGAAAAAAATTGTGTGCTCTTTTGACCATTTGGCATTGAATAAGGTCAATCTTTACAGCATGATAACATTCAGTTGACAAGATGAGACGTGGACTGCTGCATGTAAATGCTGCTATGTTTCATCTGTTTCATCTGTTGCCCTGACAGCTGCTAATGTTACAGAACAAACCAGCCCTGCATGGTGTCTGGATATCATTACAAACAGGAAAGGTTTTGTTTCTAACTGAAAGTCAAAAGGTTATCAAACTTTGTTTACCTTGTATTTGCCATCATCCCCAAAGTATATCAGTCTTATTTTTCTTAGAACATTTAGTTTATAAATGTGGTGGCAGGGCAGTCAGGAAACTGATCTGATCTGATCTAGTAAATAAAAACCTTTAAGTATTAGTGTTAAATAATGCACATGCTCCCTCTTACTGTTTACTTCTACCAAACTACTTTTTAGCATCTGCCTATTTCACATGAATTGACTGAAACAACAAAACACTAACCCAATTCTCTTGATGGTTGTGGCTTTACATAAAGAATTCATGGACAACTAAATATCCTAATCACTCTATGGGATTCCCCAGAAGGAAACCAGACAGAAATGTTTTGGCACAGATCTTGGTTTATGTTTGCTGGGAGAATTAAAAAAACAAAAACAAATTAAACAAACATAGCCAAAAAAAAGCAAATACTCTGGACTGAACGATCCGTCGGAAGCTCACCTTTTTTATGTTTTTGTTCAGTATGTGGGTCATCAGTTACTGTTAAAAGTCCCACTGTTCAAGGAGACCTCGGTATTTCATGTTTCTCTCAGCAACACCTGGCAACAGCTGGCATGGCAACTGTGGCCCAGTAACCATGCCAAGCAATGAGTCACTACCAGCCGAGCAACCCCAGTGGGGCCTGGTCCACAGGGCTGCATAAACAGGAACTAGGGGCTTATGGGGCTTAGAGGGAGAGCCCAGTGGCAGAAAACACACACACACTCTAAATCATGCCCTGACTGTAGGTCTGCCTTGTAAACTGTATATTCTAACAGAGAGCTTTTGAACAGTCATAGTGATATTCTTGGGTCATTTTAGCAAATATGTTTGTCCTTAACTGCTTTATTGAAAATATGGCAGTGATTTAGCTTTATTTTTGCATCCAGCTGTCCTGTGCAACCTTTTACACCCACTTGTTACCAGTGATGCAATCATGAAAAGTTGAAAAGAATAAGAGCAAGAGTTTTTCATTTTCACGAAAGACGTATTGATTTTCATATTAAATGTGTCAGAATACAACTACATATACTCAATGAAATGTGACTCGAATTGAGTATTGTGATATCAATGGCTTTTTGCAGTCCCTAACCCACAATAAATCAGTGTTTCCAAACTCATTAACCTCTTTCACAGGTAATGCAGGCAGCTGTTTTAAGTGTAAATCCCCCAAAGCATATTATCCATTACCCACACAACACAGAGAAGACAAAGTGTGCAGCTAATGAGGTCCCACGTAGCAGCTCAAGGGCCAAATGTTTCCCTTGGGAGGTGGTACAGAGTAAAACTTGGTAAATAAATAAATAATAACAATAATAATAATAATAATAATAATAATCATAATAATGACAAACAACAAACTGCCCATGAATTTCATCCTAACATTTACTGGGATACCGAAGCACACGTTGGAATGGTTCATCTGATCACCTTTCGTAAGCCAAGGAACAGTAAAAAGTAAATACAGTAGTAAGTTCTTAATATTACGATCTTTATTTTTATAATTTACATTCTTTGTCTGTGATGCTGCTGTGACAAATAAATGGCCCACATGGGGGATCAATAAAGGAATATTCTATTCTTCTATCCACCATAATTAAATAGTTTTGTTGTTGTAATGTCAGACTCCTGCAAAAGGTTGTCTTGAACAACTTCTGTATCAAAAAGACAACCTGAATTCTGTCCATTTACATTTGTTTCATCAAAAGCAACATCTGATGTCACTGGGCAATAGTACTCATGAAAAATGCTTTTTTTTTTTTTTTAGGAAGGAAGACGACTGATTAAATGAATGAATGAATGAATTACATCCAGAGGGATCTCTTCAATTAACACAACATGAGTACCCTCCACACTCTGGTTGGTTAAAGAGGTCTACCTTACTGTGAACAAAGACATAAAACAGTTTGCATAGATAATTTGCATTCTGTCTTTTTTGAAGTGCATACATCAAGGAAGACAAATGCACAGGGAAGGAGAAGGGCGATCTCGTATTATTTCTCTGCTTTTCTTTTCCTCCATCTGCATCTACGTCAGCTTGTGGCTTCACACATGCTGAAACAGCTATCCTCCCCTAGGCATGTGTCAGTATTTTATGACGTTTTTTCCCTCTTTGAGTATTTTACCGTAGTTTGGCTGCTTACGTCTTTGCAGTGTGATCACAACTTAACTCACCACACAGTTAACCTTGCGGATGCTAACACTTTCACTCTCTCGAGCACAGCAGTCAATTTTGTTGTGACATTTAAACACGCTGACTGCCCATTGTTGCACTTTCACTGGCTAGTTAATGAGTATCCCCTCACACACACACACACACACACACACACACACACACACACACACACACACACACACTTTGTCTATAAACCAGTTTGTCTTCCCAGTAGGACCCATTCCTGATGTGTGCTTTAGTGATGAAGACCACTACTGCTCTTCTCTCTCTGTGGTTTTGGGTAAATTCTGCCATCAATGCTGTTCAAACAGGTAAATGACAGAGTGGATATTACACTGGGAGAGAGGATGGAATACGAAATTATTTTGTCTTTAATGGAGGCTTTTATGTGGTTGAAACACCGAAAAGAAGGATGTGACAAACCTGTGAAGATTTCGTCCCGTCTGTTAGGTTCAAAGTGTGGGAATCCTCAACCATGGAGCCCAATGGTTCACTTCTTAAGGGTGGTTGGAGGAACTGAGGCCACATATGGATCCCATCCATGGCTGGTAATTGATCAATGTCTCATCTTATAACATTTGTAACCTTTTTTTTTTCTTTAATAGACCGCTGGAAGTATTTGTGTCACCTGTGATGCAGCAACACTGATTCTTCACATGATATTCTGTTAAAAGAAGTTTTTTCTGACTTAGAGAATTATACCTGCTTCACTCTCTAGTCGTATATGTAATGTACTACCTATTAAATAGCATGGACATGGTGCTACTCTTTTTAACCATGGCACTGATAATGACAAATTTTGAGTATTTTTTTGTAATTTATTTAGTATTTATTTTTCCTGCCATCAACTTGCACCAGACATGTTAGAACTGTACATTCATAGAAATGTATGCTTATTATTAAAATCACACTAACCAAGGTGGTTATATGACACTGCCGTATGGCTGGTCATGGCCTTTGCCAATCATCCAACCCAACGACTGTCTCCCTTGGAACCTCATTAAGGTGTCTGGGTTGTTTACTATCACATAAAAATTGGTGGGGTCTCCTAAAGCAAAAGTAGTCCATGGAAAACCCAGACTAAGAGCAAATTGTAGACTCTTGATGAATCTGCTTTGGCATAGATCTGGCTTGAAGCTGGACAGCAAGGAAAAGCTTGCAAGTGTAGCAAGCTAGCAAGTGAAAGCCAGCAGAATCCAAAAACTAAACACACAGGAGAAAACACAGCAGAGCCAGGAGGACCTCCACAGGGACACAGAGAGGTTACGATGGCAATCTGACGTAAAAGGAAGCAAGCAAGTAAGCATGAGACACAGGTCAGACAACAAAGCACAGTTGACGACAATGAAGGCCCACAATCACAAATAGAGAGTAGACTTAACTCTGCCAGTAAATGCTGCACATGACACCCTACATGACAGATCATGGTTCTGTGTGAAGAGATGCTTTTCAACCCTATAGAGATTGTTAAAACAGGAGTCTAAGCATAAGAGTCAGTGTGTGTCTATAATGCTTGCCTGGAAATGAATTTTTTTGCAACATAAGTCCCGAAAACTGTGGAAAGATTTTGCACTTTCGTTAATGGGACAAGCAAAAAAAAAGAGCAATTATTGGAGTTGAAGGAATGTTTGATGTAGATGTGCTCCGTGTATATAATATCACAGTAGTATTAATAGTATTACTTATTTGAAGTCTTTGAAGAATCTCATCTTAATGTACACACCCTGGCAGTAGCCCCAGTGACCCTTTCAAAATGTCCCAGAGGGAATTTTCTAGTTCTGATTTATGATGATAAAGGATGAATGACATGCTCATTCTGCTAAAGCTGACATCTGTATCTACATTTAGGTTTCGCTGAAATACAGACGCTCTCATTTCTGCGGAGGAGCTATCCTGACTGATCGCTGGATACTGACCGCTGCACACTGCTTTGTGTCGCTCTCTAAGTACCATTCTTACTTTTGTATCTTTATTCCCCTTTTTTCATGCTAATGTGTTTCCATAATAAGAATATTACTGCCAAGGATAGCTGCAACATCTCTAAACACTTTTCTGCTTTATCTAGAGAGTATCTAAGTGGTGTGAGAGTGGTGGTGGGAGAGTTTGACCAAAGAATAAAGGATGAAGAGGAGCAGGTCTTCTTCATTGAGTCTGTCTCAGTTCATGAAAAGTACCATCATGCTTTGCCCATGAGCTATGACATAGCTCTGATAAAGCTGGGACAACACATTCGACTGGGCAGGTTCCCCTGTTGATGATCAGTAGGCAATAGTTTCTGCATTAATGAGATAAAAATAAATAAAAAACATTTTGTTAATCTCGCTTTTGTCAACAGGAACCAGAGTCCAGCCAATATGTCTTCCTTTGCCTGATGACAGTGCCACACACACAGGTTGCATTGTGGGTGGATGGGGCAGGATACGGGAAAGTAAGTAGTTCCTTTGCTCCTTAGTATTATTAAAGTAAAGTAAAGTAAAAGAACCTTTTTGTTCTTTTTTTTCTTGTAATTGTCTGTTTACCCAGAGGGCCGCCTTCCTGCAGTACTGAGACAGGTCCAGTTAGACCTGGTGGATCCAGCCAAATGTAAACATGTCCTTCAGACTGTTAAAAGTTCAGTTCTTTTCCAAAGACTAGCATGGCCCCTTTCTGCCATGACGGTTCTGTGTGCCGGTCCAGAGAGAGGAGGGAGAGATGCCTGCCAGGTGAGAAAAATAAACACTGTAACTCACGTTGTCTCATTCTACACTCTGCAATCTGGTTTAGTCTGAGTTCACAGAAGCAGAGATGTTTCCACTAAAAGTACAATAAAATGCATTCTCAGTACCTTTAGATGGATTAAACATGCTTTTTCTGCTCTGTCATTCTTTCTTCAGGGAGACTCAGGAGGTCCTCTGGTATGTCCGACAAGTTCAGGCAGCAGTCGCTGGATAGTGCTGGGTGTAACTTCCTGGGGGAAGGGATGTGGTAGGAGCTGGGGAAACAACAAAAGCCACTCCCCTTCCAGAAGAGGATCTCCTGGTGTTTTCACTGATGTCAGGCTGCTGCTGCCCTGGATTAAACACAAACTGAGAGAGGGTGGGATAAAATCAATCGGGCTAATTATCTGTTAGGAAACGCTATAAAGAAAACCTGATGGTACAACATTCCCATTTAAGTCTCTGTGTCTCCTGGGCACATGCATTTGAATTCTGAACTAAATTTCATGTTCATTTTAGCATAAATTACTCAAACCACAGACATAACATTGACATACCGGCCCTGTAGAGTGAATGAGCTTCATGAGAGCAAGTTCCTTTCCCAAATCTCAAGAAAATACAGAACAATATTATCATAAAGTTTGTGTTTCATGCTGATTGACAAATGTAGTTTTTATTTACCTTCATTTTACCTCTGTTTTTGGAGCCTAACAAAACTCTTGCATTATGTCACATTTGCCTCTTCAATGATGGTAAAGAAATCAAGAAAGGGATTTTTCTTATCTTCTTGTGTTGTAGCTTCAGCTGATGAGCAACAGCAGGGAACAACTTCGAGTGAGTCACAGCAATTCTTTTTCATCTATGTTTCCCAAAGATTCTCTGGTGTTCTCAGGGTTCAGAATGTGTGTCTCTTCCACATCGTGTGCGTGTGCGTGCGTGTGTGTGTGTGTGTGTGTGTGTGTGTGTGTGTGTGTGTGTGTGTGTGTGTGTGTGTGTGTGTGTGTGTGTGTGTGTGTGTTGTGAGTCAGGTCTCTGCAGCATGACAGATGGGCCTGTAACTGACAGCAAGGGGGTAATCAGAAACCCTGCCCTCCATGCTAATCACTATGACAACAACCAGTGAGTGACACGCTAATAAAGCAAAAGAGGATTTATGATAATTGGTTGTAGCTGTGCTTTACCTGATGCTCAGTAATGTAGTTTGAATGAGAACAAATGTTTCACACCCATGCTCTCTTTCTGGGAGTCAGGATCAAAATAAATGACAAACAATTGTCTTAAAAGCTTTTAATCTTTTTAATCATGCTTTTTAAGGACATTCAAATTGTGTGTTTCTTCAGGTTGTGTGTGTGGAGAATCAGTGTCCCTCCTGGTCATAGCATTCTGCTGGAATTTGATCATTTTGATCTGGAGTATGAATCTCAGTGTCTATACGATCGGCTCACTGTTTCAGTCGGGACTCAGCGGCCTGTTGGTGAGTTTTAAAAAGAGGTGAGGACATGATCAGCCTCCTTTGGCACATAGAGCGGAAATAAAGGGACATGGCCAGTCCAGCTTTTGCAAATTTGATATGCACTTTACAAGTTGTTTTATTCCACAGTGAGTTTTCTGACGTACTCTCAAATTGAGTTAAACCTTTAGCTTATGAGGTTGTTGCATTTTTGATGTTAAAGCTTTTTTCTAGTGTCTAGCTGTGCAACTGTAACCAACCTTTTTAATATTCCTGACTCCAGGTCGAGACTTCCTGTTGAAACCTGGAGTTTTTGTCTCACTTATGCAGAAAAAAAACAAGAGAACCTTCTTAAAAGGATAAATAAATTGAGAAAACAATTATTTGACAGCCTTATCTGAAAAACAAGAGTTCTTATTGTTGTCAGGGATACTCTGTGGAAGTGCTCTACCTGGTCCAATTCTCCTGAATAATTCCCAAAATGCAACACTCCTCTTTTCCTCTGACATCACCCAAGCAGGAAGTGGCTTTGTCATGAGGTATCGTGCTGTCCAGGAACACTTTGATACAGGTGGGAAACACAGTAGTTATAAATGCACACACATGCGCACACACATAGATACTAGGGGTGGGAATCACTAGTGGCCTCAAGATACGATATTATCATGATATTTGGGCCATGATGCGATATTGTTGTGATTTTTAACATTTTGTTATAGAGTGAGTATTGCTACACAATATATTGCGATTTATATATATTTTTTCAACTGTTTAGCTAATTTAGCATTTGTCTTTCCTTTATGTTTGTCTTATTTACACTGTATTTTGTTTTCATGTCGGACATCTTGCAAACCTTATATATATTTGTTGCACTAACTTTCTCCTGCTCTGTGATGTCATTTGGTAAATCAGACAATACGATATATCACCAGAGAAAATATTGCAATACTATGCTATATCGTTTTTTTCTCCCACCCCTAATAGACACTGACTTCCTGGATTTCTGCATGGAAAACAAGATATTGCAGTATTTGCAATATAGAAAAGACAGGCTGATATTCATTCTAGTTTGTTTCTTTGGTACATGCTAAATCAGTCACCTGCTGCTACCTCTGTTGACTGTGGATCTTTTAGCAACCCGTAAATTGCTCAGGCATATATCCCATGACACAGTAATAAGCTGCACAAGACAACCACAAACCATCCACACACACACACACACACACACACACACACACACACACACACACACACACACACACACACACACACACACACACACACCAAGCAGCTATTCATGCTCCTGTTGTTTGTCAGTAGAGTTGAGTTGAGAGGGACTATTTGTGTCCGGCCGGCTGTGGTGTGTGGGTGATTCTCCGATATGTAAATCTGTGTGTGTATTTCCCTCTCCAACTGTCCATTTGCCTTTGTAATTAGGATGCGGGACTGTTGTTTTAGTCAAGGATCAGACTGATCTTCACAGCATAAATTACCCACAGTTCTACAGTAATGACTGTGTCCAGCGCTGGGTTGTGTATGCTCCGCAGGGTCACATTGTTAAGGTAATGCCCAAATCTGCTGAATTCAAACTACACTTTTAAACACAACTTTCCATATAGAGCTAATCACTGTGTTGTTTCTAAGCTGGACTTTGATGATTTTTACCTGGAGGAGTCAGACAGGTGCTTGTATGACTCGCTGACTGTGCTGGGAGACGTTGAGGGGTCAGATAAGATAGGTAGGATGGATCAATTAAATAACTTCACCTCCAAAGGTTTAATAAACCTCTTCCTTTCTATCCTGCTTTGATTGTGTCTGATATCTTGATTGTCTTCTATCCATGTCCATTTATTGTCTGATTTATAAACACTGCACCAGAGTCCTGAATCAGAGGTTTATATTGTTGTGTTTTGTATAGTGGTGCTATGTGGTGGCAGTGTTCCTCCTCCTGTCCTGTCCTACAACAGCGTCATGGTGCTTCACTTCAAGTCAGACAGCAGCATCACACATAGGGGCTTCAGAGCTACACTGACATTTATCAGCTATGCAGGTACTGTATGTCTCGAGGTTGTGGGTTTTTAAAGCCTTGCACACACCAAAAGATTTTTAGTATCTTTACTAATTTTAAAACTGTCATGACCACAATGATGATTTCACAGTTTTGTTCTTATTGCTTTTCGTTCACAACGATGTGGTGAACACTGTACACAACTATACACTTGAAGACTCTTTTTCACCAGCAGCCGGGGTCCTGACTCTCATAATGGGAAATCTCGTGAAATCTCTCATGGTCAAATGGGATTGTGGAGTAGAAAACATGACAGACTTGAAAAGCTAACCAGTGTCAGCTGCAAAACCTTCTGCTCCTCACAGTTAATTAGTGAATGAGTTAAGTTGTGTTTTATCGAACAAGTTGTGTCAACACTCATACATTAACAAATGGGTTCTGAATTTTGGACGTCAGTCTCAGTTTATGCTTAGAGAGTTTACTATGGTTGCCATGGTAGCTTTTGTTGTGCTTCCTTCTTCAGTTGGCCATCAAGTTGTTCCACGTGACAATGGGCAGAGTTCATGATTGGTTGACCTTGGGGAACCCCCACAAATAGTTCTGAAAATCAATATTAAACATTTTTACTACTAACAATCCCATTCGTCTTCTGCACAGAAATAATCACTCTTGACCCACCTCACACCACAGGATCATCCGTCAAGATAATCTTTTAAATAATCTGAGAATTTAGCCTTTGCTGACTTTTGTCAGGAGAGAAATTGACAAGCTTCTCCTATAGTGTGTGTTTCTCTAAGCAACTGTAAATAAACAGAGGAAGTCTTCAGAAAAATGCATTGGGTGACACTTTTGTAGTTTCTTTGTGAACTGGTCCATAAATGGGTCTGTTTCTCTGTATGAGACAAACCATTTTGTGAAATATACATTTTCGGGGAGCCAAAGAGCATGAACACATTTGTTCAATCTTTTCTGGCCTCAATAACACAGAGATTTTCCAAGTTGTTGGAAAATGCTTAAAAAGGCATCAGTCTTTATCACTGTGGTTGAAGAATTGATCCCTTCTCCCACTATAATTTGGTGCATGTTGTTTCCCCTCTCTCTTCCCCATATGCCCTGTCTCTCTCAGACTTAAAAAAATTAAGGCAAAAAGTCCCAAAAAGTGATCTTTCAAAAAATAATACAAAAACTGAAAACAACAACGGTGTAAGGGACCTCACCTGAACTCTTGATTATCTCTCAATGGGTAACATAAGGGATCAGGATGTGGAGATATTGTCACATTTGGAAGTAAATAAAGATAGAGAACCTAAAATGCAGACTAAAAAAGTTAAAATTTAACCAAAAGACCACAAAGTCCATCAAAAGAGTTCACCCAACACCAGAGACCCACTCAAAAATCACGAGGAAGTAGAACTAGAGTTGACACCAACATATGAAAATGTGAAAATAAAGAACAGGAAGTACTGAAAGCTAAACTCTGAGTAATGATGAATTTGAATTCAAACCCCTGTGAGGAACCTAGGGCCTATATCAGTTTTGGCACCCCCTGTGGACAAAGCAGTCTTTTCTTGCCTTGTCTTCTACACACTAAAGCAGACTTTTGACACAAAACATCAACACAAACTGAGATGTGACAAACATACAGAAGAAATCTTTTGATTTTTTTTTTTAATCTGTTATCTGCAGACCTTCATCACCCTGATGTTACAGCTGTAGAGAGTGACAGAGCTGGTCCCAGAGCTGAAGATAATTTAGGAGCTAACCAGCAACCTGTTTCATCTTCTGGTAGGTGGTTTGTCTGATATCTGCTTTCTCTTCTTCCTTTGTGCATTTTAATGTGTTGACTTAAGGTTAGTGGTTTTTGCAAGACGGCAGCAAGCACTGAGAAATCTGGAGTTCACATGAACGTTATGTAAGCGCAGAAAGAAAATAAGTAACTATCCTCACCTTGAGTTTTCCTTAAACATGGCCCTGGCAATTCAACTGCTGAGGATTATGAGCACAGCCAGCCAGTGTTGTCACAGGCCCAACAAAGCACCGAGCACCACAGGTATTTAGAGTGGCAATGGGACATTTAGCACTTGAAGTAAAGCTGAAACGTTTAGAGAAGGTTGACTCACAACTTAGAGATAAAACTTGGAACCATAACCTAAAACTGTGAGATGATTTACATTGTTTTCAATCCAACCAAAGCAGCTCTTTAAATGAGGAACACGACTGAACAGAAGTATAGTTCAGTCCATGGGGGAAGTCTCACTTCTGTAACACATTGTAGACTTATTAGGTTGTGTAATCGCCTCCTTTCTTTCTCAGCTGCTACAAAAATAAAATTAGGGCTTCAGTTATGAGAACAAGACATACAAAAAATAGAAAAGTTCAGCTTTCTGTTGGATAACTCGAGGGAATCCCATATGAATTATTAAGTATATCTTGGGCTATATACATTTTTGCTGTTTTTGTAGGGAGTTACATAAGAGGAGTGATGTAAGGAGTGAGAGAATGAGAACTAGTCGGAAAGGTTGGCCTCGCCTATTTAGAATCTAAATCAACTGGCAAATCATAGATTTTGTGGTAGCTACTCTGAGAGAATTAGTAGGTGTAGACAACCTCTCACTGACGCTCAAACTCCAGGGATTACTTCAAAAGCCAAACACAGCTGGAAACAAGAGTGGAAGCATGCATTATTTCAACACTTTTTGTGGGAATCACCTAAAAGAAACTAAGAGTATTAGCAAAGTGATGAAGACTACATTGGAGCAAAGTTTTTTTTTATTCCCCTCCCTGTATATAATCATTATTCAAGGTTACAGATCCAAGAGTGGCATGAAACTTCTTATTTAACTCTTGCAAGAGTTAAGTGTCATATCTTCAAAAAATATAAGACCAATTTCCAAACATCCACAACTGTAAGTGACCATTTTTTGCTGATTAAGGCACAAATAAAAAGGTTTATACACACTTACATGGACACTCACGCACATGCACGCGCATTGAAAACACTTGATAATGACACAGAGGAATTCACCTGTCCACTTTGACACTGTTCAGGGTGTTGCTGCTTGTCTTGCCAGTGATGACTAAAAGTCCTGAAAAACATGAGAAACAGGTTGATATTACTCTCTCTCTCTTTGTATCTCTCTCTCTCTCTCTCTCCCTCTCTCTCTTTGTATCTCTATCTCTCTCTCTCTCTGTGCAATATCTGAGCATGTGTATGCATGTTTTTGTGGTTTTGTGCTCCAGAAACAAGACAAGTGTTGTGTCCTCCAGTACTTGTGATTAACTCTGCATGAAAATTTCTCTTGAGCACTTGTTATCTGTTATTTTACACTCATTCGTCTCTCTTTCCTGTTATTTTTGAGACTGTGAACTCTATTGTCTCTTCTTCTTCTATTCAACCCTTGTCATTTGGTTTATTTTTACCCTTTATTTTCAACCTCCTGTTGTTAACCTGCCCACCTGCTGATGCCTTTTCGTGTGTGTGTGTGTGTGTGTGTGTGTGTGTGTGTGTGTGTGTGTGTGTGTGTCTCCTGGGTTCTCCCTCACCATACCAGTTCTCTTTGTGTGGTGATGCTGCAGCTAACGCACATGGGAGCAATTTGCCTAAATGGTTTTCTTCCAGGAAGCCTTTCCTTCTGAGATTGCTGTCAGTATCCTATTTAACACTTAAGTCAGTTCTGATGTATAGTTCTGTAAACTTTGACCTTCTTTTACATTACAAACTTGTGTCGATGTCTGTAGTTGGGTTGGTGAGTTTTCTAAATATTTTTTTTTCCATACAATGTTGGCATTACATATTTGAAACTGATTCAATCCACCGTTATCGGACACTCAATACCTAAGCAAGCAGACAGAACATAGTAACAATGCATTTATAATGAGCACACTGAAACAAGAGCAGGGCCAAAAAAGAACAAAAACATTGGTTTTCAGTTTTCCCAGCCTGTCAAAAGCCAGTGAACACAACACAGGGGACATCAAGCACTCAAAGATTGATATCACATGATATAGCAACATGCACTGTATTATGGCCACACAGCTAATGTGTTTTCCACAAACATGGCACGAGTTCACCCTGCAGCTCTCCTTGGCATTTCTCAAATGATAATGGATTGAATAATTATCTCATAATTAAGATTTAGATTTCCACTCAACTAGGAGTCCGGTTTCATGTTAGGATGCAACAGTCCTCTTAACTTTGACCACTAACATCAGCACCTACATCGAGAGAGATGGAGTCTGTACATTTTTTTTTTCATAATATGAAAGCAAAGCAATAATGAAACAACTTTTCATTTGATGTCAGCAGAAAACATTAGCTCAACGAAAGTTAGTGGTGTATATATTTGGGTACATGGCGCCCCCTGGTGGCACCTTATAGAAAGTAAAAATAACGTGAAAAGCTGAAGACTAACATTTAAAATGAATCTTTTATATATTTTAAAAGGTTGCATACATAATATTCATTTTGCAGATAATCAGAATATACTAGTGTTTGCATGAGGTATTCATTCTGACTGGAATGTTCTAAGTCTTAATGATGCTGATTTAAGACAACTTGGAAGTGACCACAGCTGATAAAAAACAACATTTATGATGACTGCAGTCCATTTAATTGAGGCACTTACTCTGCTTGCTGCACATGGGCAGTTATGATGGACAGGGTTGTATTCATTTCTGCCTGTCCTTACATATCAGGATGTCTCCTGAGAGGGTTTCTTTGTGACCCTGACTGACAGGAGAAATAATATTCTGTCAGTGTGTAAAGCGATCACACCTGTTTTTAAAGGCTTCGACAAAAATATCTGGTTGCTGCCTTCATGAACTGTTGTTTTTCCAATAAAGTAATATGAAATATCCTGTTCATGAGGGTCAAACATTCACATAGGAAGTAGATCTTGTATTGTTCAGCCATCTGTGGCTCACCACAAACCAACTCCAATGAAGCAGCAAGAAATTAGTGCTCTGCTCAAGGGTGCTTTAAGCTGTTAGACAGGACAGTGGTATTGATAAATGTTGATTGACTCTGGATCTCTCTCTTGCCTTAATTTCTAACAAATGTTGCAAACATGGTCATAGTGGACCAGTTTGGAGCACAAAATGAGATCAGCCTGATCAGTTGGTTTTCTTTTGGTATCTGCAATATAAGTTCAGAAAACATAAAGCACAAGACACAACCGTTACAGCATGTAACAGATGGAATCAGGGAGTGACACTTCAGACATGAAAGCTTAACTCAAACAAAGTTATACACTCATGTTTCAGAAAACCTAAGGGCACATTTCAGAAAAATTGAAAGAAAATAAATCCAACATTCAGGGTTGAAACGTGTTTGAGATGCACAACTCTAATGCATCATAATAAAAGCAAAGGTTATTTGAAAAGAAAATAACGGTCAATATCCTGCCTTACCTTTGAAATCCAGTCCAGCCCTTTGCACAGTTTTTCGTCTATAACTGAACACGGCTCTGTTTGATCCAGATGTGCAGCAACCCAGCAGCAGAGCCCTCTCCCACCATGGATATATAAACCAGGAGACATCAAATGATCCCAGACCTCTCACAGACATGGGTCTGGATGATGAAGACTACGTAGGAGAGTCCTCAGGAACTGTGTTTTAAACAATGGTGAAGATATTAGGGTTAGTGTATACATACATACATATATATATATATATATATATATATATATGTGTGTGTGTGTGTGTGTGTGTGTGTGTGTGTGTGTGTAATAACACGAGTGCAGTCAGCTGAAATATTTTTTTCTTTGAGTGAGTAGTTTTTTGTGTTTGTTTGTTTGTTGGTACTTAAAAAAGATTTTGTTACAAAATGCCCTCCATGAAAATAAATATGTCTTTATATTTACCAGACAGATTTCAATTAAATTTTGAGGATAACTATTCATGATGTTCATGGTTCATAGAGACACTTTACATTATGACAGTCAGAACCACAAATGAAGTATTGTATCTCGATGCATTGTGCCAGTATCCTTTCAGAGTTGTTCTTACTTTTACAACTGTTAACTTTTTTCTTGACCACATGTGTGTATATTTATATTTAACCTAATTAGAATGTGTTATATACCCAGAATCCTTTCTGTTTATAATTTATACCCCTTCATCTACAAAAGTAGTTGAAAAAAGTTTGTTGACAGGGATCACATATCACTACTTCACACCGTTTACAGAAAGAGGACCTCCTCATAAAAAATAAAAGAATACTTTTCTCTTGAGAAATACTGTGATGTACTGTGATTTGCAACACTCAAACACTCAACACTCAGTTGTGAATCAGGCTATGATTTATACTGACACCTCTTTGTGTCCTACAAAAGGTAACAGTCCCAACAGTGATAAGACAGGTGAATCTATAAAGCCTTTTTAATGCCTGCCACTGATGCTACAGATAAAGGAAGTGAAGTGAGTCACAACATGCTGAGGAAAAAACTTTAGGTGAGAGTTTCTTAAAGAGAGATTCACAGAGAATGATGTCTTTGACCGTTGAAAACGCAATTTCTCATCAGAAAACCAGACTATGAAATCTGTAAGTAAGATCAGGAAAGAGACACATGTTCATACTTTCCACCAGATGTGCAAAAATAGAGCAAACCTGCAGTCCCATGCAGTACATTCAAGTACCTCTGGCATGAACAGAAGGTTTAAACTGATGGTGAAAAACCTTTCTGAAACCTATGTAACTTCATAGGTTCTTATTTGTACTTTATCATGGGTTTAACAGTAACTTGTAATGATTTTTAGGTGGCAATTTATTTAAATAGTAAATCATTGTCCAAGTCAGAACTCAGAACTCTCTTTCTTTTCTTCCTCATGGTAGTCAAAGTTGTTGGTGACTTGAAAACTGACTTTTTATTTAACTGTAATTGAGATATTCTGTTTTAAAGACACAAATATTTCCACTTTTCCACTGCTATCATTTGTCTTTCATGGGAATCCCAGCACCTCCAGTCTTTGTTACGTAATCTGTGTGCTGTTGTAACTCCCCTCCCCTCAGTGGTGTGATGACAGTGCTGTGCTGCTCACTGCCCTAATACAACCTCCACACTATGTAGTGTCATGGCAGGATCTGTCTTTCTATTGGTGCCTCAGACCTTCTGTCCCCTTCCCCCTAGCTGCTGGCCACACCCCAGTTTGAGGCCCTGAATGAGTATTCTGTGTGTGTGTGTGTGTGTGTGTGTGTGTGTGTGTGTGTGTGTGTGTGTGTGTGTGTGAGTATGTAGGTAGGTGTGTAAAATAGTGAGAGAGAGAAAGACTGCGTGTGTGTGTGGACTCTGGTCTCTCAGGTTGTGGTAGAAGACGGATATCGACAAATTCTGTTACATGTTACAGATATGGATCAGAGCTTGGTAAGAATGAACTTTCCCGTTACTTTCCAATTTATTTTTTGACTTTATTTACTTTGAATGAATTAAGATTCACTTTACTTTTTTTCCTGTAGTTCAAATGTCCCATAGTGTGCTCCGTCAACAATAATTCCTGCAAGTTTTGGAGCTGTATATATGTATATGTGGTCTTTGTGTTACAGCTGATTCCTCTGCTGGTGGCTGTTTCTGTAGTGGTTGGATCAGTACTGTACTTCCTGCTTGGAGGCTCTACAGGAGAGAAGAAGAAGAAACTGCCTGTCACTCTGCAGGATCCTTCAGTCAAATATTCTCTCCCCCTCATACACAAACAGGTAGAGAGCACGAGGACACACGAACAAATACTGCGCTGTTTTGCAGGCTTATAGACATGTTTACCTTCACTGCACAGAAGCTCATTGTATTCTGTTATTCTTCAACATGGTTTTTCTTGTTTTAAAATTTGGTTCACTCAGACTTGTTTTACTACATACTTGCCCATCTATTGTTGTTGTCCTGAGCATTCCAAGCATTTCTGGAGGTGCACTGATTTTAGAATTTTTGGTTATAAAAAGTTGAAAATTCAAGCATTGTAGTCTTTAAATTCTTACTGTAATTTTTAAATGACTTTTAACATCAATTAAATTACAACATTGGTTTGTCGGTGTATTTTAACTGTTTGAATATCTTTAGTAATGATGAAGTTTAGTCTTGATGTTGGTTTTAGCTTTTTTTAATATGGTTTATTTGTCAGGGGTGAGACCTAGAATGTATTGTGCACTAAAAGATCAGGACAACAGAGCATTAAAAATGTTTTCAAATACGAAAGATCAAATATAAAACAATTACAACGGCTTATGAAGGAGAAACCATAGGGGATGTGTTTTGGCCAGTGTGCCATACTTTATGTTTGAAATAATGTGACGAATATAATAGTATTTTCCTCAACATTGTATTTCATTTTAATGTGTTTTGTAAATCCACATTACAGTATCATCATTTCTTTATAAGCCCATGTTTTTATTTTCATTTCAGTTTAAAATTAAAAGAAAAATTTAGTTTCCACCACATATTTCTTTTTAAGGATCACTGTTGCATGTTTTGAGAGAAAACCAGAAAGAGTGAAGTTTGTAACATACTTTTACCCTCATGTACACATGTGCACATCATATCTAGTTTAAAATTTTCCCCATCTTGACAATCAGTGTTAAATATACTTTATAATAAAGACTGGGTTGTAGAAATAACTTTTAATTGTTCATTTTGTAAGCTGTAACATTTTCTGTTTGACTCATTGAGTGTGTGCTTTTTTTTTCTTTGCACAGGAAATCAGCCATGACACAAAGAAATTTCGGTTTGGCCTTCCATCTTCTAATAACATCCTCGGACTTCCAGTCGGTACTGAAACACCTTCCTCTCTATATCTTATTTCTTGGATATGATTCTCTTCTATGAGTAAGACTTCCTGCCAGAGCTGTAGTTTTTTTGTGTAGAAGTAACCTGGAGAGAACTACACACTCTCCGGTGGGAGTATAGCTGTTGCTCTGCATGACTCCGTGACTCATGAATCCTCAGTAATTAGGCCCTGTGTTGACCTGACTTGCCCCTTGATTCTTGGGATCATGCAGTGACAATAAACAAGAGTTCAAGATAAGATTACTCACTCTGCTTGCCATAAAGCTATTCGCTGACTGCTATATTCACTGTTATGTAGGTAAAAAGCAGATGATAAAAAGTCCTGAATTTCAAATATTTCACATGCTGGTTTGTCAGAAATTCAAATCCATCACCTGACCCATCCTCACTGCTCATCCTCGTGTCCCTACACCAGGACAGCATGTGTACCTGTCTGCTAAGGTGAATGGCAGTCTGGTGGTCAGAGCATACACTCCAGTCTCCTGTGATGATGACCAGGGCTATGTGGACCTTGTGGTTAAGGTAATAAGGCAGTAGCAATTAACAATAAATGTGTGTTGCTTGTCGGTAAATGGATTATGTTTCTTTAGCACTTTTCTTGTCCCAGTCACCACTCAAAGCACTTTTACTTTTTTTTTGTTTTAAAGGGCGTAAGGCTCAGTTTGTATTCTGCATTCAGAAAGATTTATTTTAAGCTTTACAGACTACAAAAAAGTTATTTAAATCAAATAATATCTCCTTGATAAAAAGTTATGTGGCCCACTTTCTGATAGGATATCAGACCAGCAGTAATAAAATGAAATAAGTAATGAATAAACCAAACATGGACCAGGGTCTGGTCCATACTTTGTCCAAACTACTGAAGGACTTGCAGATTTAAAGGCAAATAGGTGCCAAAGTCGAAGAAGAAACATACCAGCCAGAGTTTAAAATCCATAACACACGTTCTGCAGTGGAACACCAGAATATGATGCTTTGATTGAGATTAAATGTTGATCCATATGTATTTAAGCTATCGTTTGCTAATATCAGCAATATTCTGTACTTCACTCTTTTAAAAAGGCGATGTCATGAGCCAATTTCATGTTTCACAAATAAGAGACAAAAGTTTCCATATAATTCCAGGTGTACTACAAAAACACCCACCCGTCCTTCCCAGAAGGAGGGAAGATGTCTCAACACCTGGATAATATGACTATTGGAGACACCATTGACTTCAGAGGACCAAATGGACTGCTAATCTACAAGGGGAAAGGTATGATCTGCTTGTGGACCCAGAACTAAAGACAGACTACTTCCAGCAGATGTCACTGTGCTACAATGTAAGACTGGCTGGACAGGGTTGGTTGTTAAAAAACCAAAGTGCAACTGACTCTCTTCTCATCAGGCCAGTTTTCAATCCGACCAGACAAGAAGTCGGAGCCTAACACTCGGAAGTTCAGGCACGTTGGGATGATCGCCGGAGGAACAGGTTCTGTAACTTACTTTTTTAATCAGATTTTTGATACATTCATGCATGTTCTCTGGTTTTAATATCCTGCAAATATAAGTTGGAAAACATGGTTTTATGTTTGTTTTAAACATGAAGTGCTCAAAGTTTTCTCTATTACAACCATATGCTGCATATAGTTACACACAGATAATACCCAGAGCTTCTGTGACTGTTGGCTGATATTTTTTTCTGCTGCCGTATTATTTATACATATTTTTTGTTGCAGCTAATTTCCTGTGATACTCTGTTAGTGCAGATTCATTCTCCTGGACCATGCTTGATGCTTTTTAAAATCATTATTACAGGTATCACTCCAATGCTGCAGTTGATCCGCAGCATAACAGCAGACCCCTCTGACAACACCAAGTGCTCACTCATATTTGCCAACCAGGTGAAGTTTTGTGCGATACATCAGGGAAATCTTTCTTTAATAGTTATTGTTGAGGTGAATCTCCCTTAGGAAATAAAATCCTTTGTGCTAATGTCCTCTTAGACTGAGAAAGACATCCTGCTAAGGGAGGAGCTGGAGGAGGTGCAGAAGAACCATCCTGACAAAGTTCAACTCTGGTTCACGCTGGACAAACCTCCTCAGGGTAAGGGACATACTTTGACAACTTAAAAATGCTTGTTGGTGTTATTTGGGTTAAAAATTAAAATACAGCTAGATTTAACAAATCACTTAAACTGTGTAAAGACATGACCAACAGCTAGAAGGTCAACTCTGTTAAGTATCTAGCAGCTCCGGCAGCTGAGGCAGAACGTTGGTCCAACACTCATCAAGCTGTAAGAAAATAAAACTGAAAAATAATTAATGTCTTTGCTGCTGCCAGTAAAAAAAGAAGATAAGGCCTACTTCAATCTAAGCTACTGTGAGGAGTTTTTGCATGGTTAAACAAACTGAAATTAACAGAGATGCCATTATATGAGCCACAAAAGCATAAACTAACACCAGCTAAAGAGATTTATTGTCCTTTGTTGCACTTTAAACCACTGCAACCTCATATGTGTCAGTACACACATGCACAGGGTGAGATGAGTGAAGGAGTAAGATATGTTACTTTGTTCTTAAGGAAGCCAAAAATAAGACAAAGATTTTGTCAGAGAAGATCAAGACACCACCATGTTCACAAACTACATGAAAACAGCATGAAGCAGAGGTATATGGGACACAGACTCTGGGAATTAAACTTATATTTGGTCAGGAAACCCTGGCTAGGGTTTTATTCCCCCTGCCTCCCAGTGCTGTTATTAAAAATGTTTGTTTGTTATTTACTGCCACTCCTTATTTTGCAAATTATTACCTCATTATATCAGAATTATGCTCACTTGTCTTTTCTTTAACATGCAGAAGAAACTTTGACCAACACCTTGTTTTACCATACAGTACAACATATTCAGTGTGTGTAGTGTTAGTGCAGAACCAGGCCATGTGGAGCTGAGTAAATCAGTCTCAATACCCAGTTCTTTGAATCCCTGCTAAATATTCAGAGTATGACACCAAACAAAGACTCCTCAGCTGAAGAAAAATCCCTGCAGGCTGAAGAAAGAGATACTTCCAACAAGGTGTTACAGTAGCTTAGCAAAACGCTCAAGTCGTCCTTTGCATAATCCTTAAAGCATGTAGAAATTAATGAGCATAATATTGTAACATAATCTCTCTTGCAAAGGCCTTGAATGCTGCTTGTATTCTGTCCTGTATGTCATTAGTGCCATAAAAAACAGAAACACATCAGCCTTTCATCCTCATTTAAAGAAGTCCTCTCACTGTTTGTTATTTCTGTCGATGCCTTAACAATATTTAACAGTGGATGAAAGGTTCAGTTAAAAAGTTTTCCAAGATTTTTTTAATATTGTAATTTGGATTTGTTGGTTTATGTAGATAGAGGGATCAAATCCTTATTAGGCTCTGCTCACCCTGTATCATTGGGCATTATCCTGCTAAAGCATTAAGGATAGAAAATTATTAAGGACATGATAGATGCCTCTCCAGTGTTCAGGCCTTACACTTCTTTTTACCCCCCTTTTCTTGCTTGGGCTGATGGGTAAAATTTGACCATTATGCAGGTCCTCCAGCATGATAGAAACTCTGTCAAACAATACTATAAATATAGAAAAAAGCTGTTGTTTGAAAGGATCAGCCTATTACGAAATCCATTTCTCTGAAACTGATGACCTCTTGTTCTCTCTTGCCTTATTTTCTAGACTGGAGCTACAGTTCTGGGTTTGTAACCCATGATATGATCAAGGACCACCTCCCAGCACCGTCCAATGACGTCCTTGTTGTCTTATGTGGTCCCCCACCCATGATCCAGTATGCCTGTCTGCCAAATCTGGACAAACTGGGACACAAAACAGACAACATTTTTGCATACTAGGGTTCTGATCGACAAGACATATTTGAATTGCTATCATTCAGTCTCAAGGCCAATAATCACTGTGTGAACACCGCCAAAGGGCAAAACAAATAAATCTCTGTGAATAGTCTTACTTATGTAACATCTACGAGTAATTTAATGTATGTCTGTGATATTATGAATGCACCAGTGCAAACCTGAATCATAAATTGGGGGGATTTTTGAAAAAAAAAAAAAAAAAAAAAAAAGCCATTAAAATAAAGAATTTTCCTTACTCGGCTATGTTGGCCTTGTTCTATTTAAGTGTTGTGGTTTTCTTTATCCAGGATGGTCATTTTATTTCTCATTTTTAAGACAAATTACAAGTTCTTGGAAATAAAAGGAGCAAAGATAATTCCGAAAAATGATGTTACATAATTTCACTGGTAAAAACAGTTTTGTGTTTATCATTGTTTGTAGTTATAACGTCACTATTAGCCTTCATATCAGTGAATTTTATAGACTGATCGAGTTAAAATCCAAACTATCTCTTTAAGACACGTTGGTGGGTCTTGTATTTTTCCTTTTTAATTATGGAGCACTTGAGCAGATATGGTCCAAGGACTTAATGACTATAAAGGATTCAAGGGATCTTACAGATGTTTCCTCTCTAGTCACTTGGTTGTTTGGTTTTGTTAAAGACACAACCATAACCTGAATATTTTCTACTTCTCGGTCCATAAAAACTTGAAACCAACGATTCCCACATGACCTGAATGCAGCACGGTATAATGGGCGTGTTTCTTTTCACCAACATGTCGGCATAGGAGTTTCTATTAAAACTTTACTGCAAATATCTGGAAATTCGGGTGTATAGTGTTCAGCAGTTGGATGACTATGGTTTCTGAACGAAGCTTAAACATAGTAAACCGTTTAGTGAGTGGTCCATTTTGTAAGTTTAATGTTTTCGTGATATTTATCAGTCTAAAGTTCTCGGTTTCTGGCTGTGAAGGAATCAGCCCGGAGAGATGTCTCATTTGGGGTCCAGGGCTGAACCCCGACACAATTTTGCCGGTCCGGTATTTCTTTATTCAGGCGGTCAGTTCAAAGGGAGAAAACCTGACACTGTCTCCAGGTAAACTGACAACAAGTATTGTCTGATTTTTGAGAGTCATTTTGTGCAACTCGGTATCAATGAAACGCCAGAGCGTATTTTTTTCCGAGTAGCGTTCGTAAGCTAACGGAGAAGGTGAGCCGACTATTGTTATCTGTGAAGATAATCCTTTACAGATAATACCAGTCTAATGGGAAACCGTTTATAAAAAGACGGGACTTGACACATTACATAATAACTTGTTCGTGTTTTTACTAACAATATGTGAAATAACATTGAAAACCTATTACTTGTGTGTCACTTAACAAACCGAACCTGAATCTGAAAAGGTGTGGGGATGACATTGTCTGGCGTTTGTGTATTAGGACTAGACATGTGACATCTGTAAACTCTGAAACAAGGTCCAGTCATTTTTCAGGAAACTATGATACACTGTGCATTGCTTTTAAGGTAAAGACACATTCAAGGTGAAGATAAGTCCACTAGACAAGAAGGAGCACATTCGGATCCATGTCCCTCCACCTATGGACAGAGGAGATGGGTCCTTCCTGGCCAGGTATAGGCTCTATGGCACTGTGCACAAAGGCCTCAAAATTGAAGTCCTCTACCAAGATGCTGCTGTTGCCAAGTCACCCTTCACCCTCCAAGGTATGTGTCAAAAACATGCACCTGTAAACTAGAATTTTGGTTTGTATGTTTTGTTTCACTGAAGCTCTTTAAAAGCACGAACTTGGCAGGGGTTTTAATGTGTAACACTCATGAGCTCCATTCTCACACTCAAAGTGGCTGTGTTGCCAAAAATATGACACAAGTGTTAACATTAACTCAAAACCACCTTGTGCCTGTGGCAGTATTCCTTATTCACATGCAATATGAATCTGCTCTGCCCTGAAATTTTAGACAAATTGAACAAGACTCTAACACCTTGCCTTGTACATCTAAAGATGTTTATAAGTAAAATGCTTTACCAAGTAGACCAAGTGCTGTGGGGTTTTTGTAGAGTTTAAAAAAGGGGCAGGAGTAAAATGTGTTCCAGGATAAATGCAACAAATGTCATCCTGTTTTAAGTTTTCTCTGCCTTCTCCTCTTTAAGGGATATTCTGGTGTAAAATTAAGTTATGGTCAAACACACCGTAACACTGAGTTAGACACCCCCTCGAGAGATAATTGTTGCCAACCACTAGCTTCTCTAGTTATACCAACTTTAGTAGCAATACACAGCGGTCTACATCTCCACACACAAACCTGAACCAAAAAGCCACTCTATAGCCACAAATAATGCTCAGAACAGCACCTAACTTCATCAACAGAACATTTAGGGTCCAAGCCATAGTACTAGCCTCCAATCATCTTTTTAGCTTTGCCTGATTTTTTTAGCAAAGAGACTAAACACAACTTACCCACTCTCCTCCAGCAGCCGCTTTGTGGCTATAGAGTGGCTTTTTGGTTCAGGTTTGTGTGACCTGGACTGCTGTGTAACTTGGTGTTATGATGTGTTTGACCATAACTTAAATTTATGCCGGAATATCCCTTTAACTTGTTGTTGAATTGTTACCTCTCAGGTCCAATCTATCATGAATACTGTGACTGCCCAGAACATGATACATCCATCTGGCAGAGCATCATGCAGTGTCCTTCAGAGGAACCGCAGGTCCTGGCAGATTTCAAATCTTTTCCAACAATCGACCTGCAGCATCTCAGACAAGAAGTGCCTCAAAGGTTCACCAACAGAGGTGGTCTCATTCACTACACCATCATCAACAACAAGCTGTACCGCCGCACTCTGGGAAAGTACACTGACTTTAAGATGTTCTCTGATGAAATGCTGCTCTCTCTAATGAGAAAAGTAAGGTTTTGAAGATATGTATTTTTGGTACATCATTGGTTTTATTGTGAAGAGACTGCATGGGAATCACAAAATTGCTAATTGCAGTACTATTCATTTACCATGTTACTGTTGAAGGTGAGGCTGCCGGATGTGGAGTTTTATATCAATGTAGGCGACTGGCCATTGGAGACGAGAAAGACGGATGCTGTTCCAGTCTTGTCATGGTGTGGCTCTACAGACACACGTGATATTGTCCTCCCCACATATGAGGTCACGCACTCAACCCTGGAGACCATGAGAGGAGTCACCATAGACCTGCTGTCCGTTCAGGGAAACACAGGTGACACACATGTACAAATATCTTAGAACCAGTTCAGGATTTATTACATCTACAGTCAACTACACATCTTTATATCTTGGTCAAACAACACAATCCAAAACTGGAACTGAAAAAATGTCTACATCTTTTCTAGTGTTGGATAGAAACTAAGATGTAGGACAGCTTTTTAGGTCACTATTCTCTTGGTCCAAATTTTATTTGTGCTCATCAGAGGTTAGCAGGAAAATTTCTGCAATTTTTAATGCTCAATACTGTGCTGCAATTGTTAGACAGAGAAGCAGTTTACCTTATTGCTTATCGGGAAAACAGGAGTCGTTGAGACAAATTTGCAAAATCATGATGGAAAAAAAAGACAGAATCATTTCAGATATCGAACTTTGTGTTACATTGTGAAATAATAAAGAGTGGTCAAACTGGAACATCAGTGTCTGTTTCAGCCAATGAGCTGATATCTGATTAAAACAGTGTAAAGACAACAAATGAAATATTAAAAATGAAGTTTTAAAGTTTGAAAAACCTACAGCACTTTTTAATTGAAGTATAGCAACAGGTTTTTAGAAATTTAGGACAGGGGCATTGTCATAAGATTCAGAACCCTGAATCTTGAACCTTGATGCAACAATTCTTATTTAAACAAATACTTGGGGAAGTGGGGAAACCAGTTGTAGGGGTTTTTAGAGTCTACTTCCTTCTACTTTGTGCAAGAGTGTGTAGGCAGATAGCTGAACAGTTTCAGAATAATGTTTCCAACTTGAGTAGGTTATCGTTTACAGTGCATAATAGCATTTAAAGATTCATCAAGTCAGGAGTAATCTCTGCACAAAGACCTTCCAGCCTTTGAGGGGCAGTGCTCAGAATTACCTCCAGAAACCACTGTCTGTGAACACAGTTTGTTGCTAAACCCACAAATACATGTTAAGAGTGTACCCTGTAAAGAGGAAACCATATATCAATGTTACCTAGAAACAAGTGTCTTCTCTGGGTCTGAGCTCATTTAAGGTGCACTGAAAAACTGTCCTGTGGTTTGACAGATGAAAATTTGACGTTCTTTTTGGAGATTATAGATGCTGTCCAAAGAGAAGAAGAACTTCATTGATCCCTGAAGGAAAATTCAACAAATAGAAAGAGACCAATCGAAAGTTATTGTTGACGATTGAATCTGGTGTCACCAGGATCTGAAAATACAGCTTCAAAATTAAATCAAAGCTTTACAACAGCTTTTTTTATGGGTAAACATTTGGGTGGTTTTATTTTTCCAGGGCCTCAGTGGAATAACAAAACCGATCAGGCTTTTTTCCGTGGCCGTGACAGTCGAGAAGAACGCCTTTACTTGGCCTCTTTGTCCAAAGAAAACCCTGAACTGCTGGATGCAGGAATCACAGGATGGTTCTTCTTCAGGGACAGGGAGAAGCATGTAGGCAAAGCACCACTCGTTGGGTTCTTTGACTTTTTTAAGGTAAATGAGCACAAAATTATGATACTCACCTTTGTCATAAAGTTCAATTAGAGAAGTATCTCGTGTAGCAGGTGCTTTTCTGTCTTTTTTTCATGTCATTTTAACTCATTTTTTTTGGTGAAAGTATATTTATGGTCACTGTAGAAAAAAACTGAACCAACTAAAAAAAATATTATGCATACTTTTAAAAGCTTAAAAGGTTTACCTCTGTATCTTGTCTCTTAGTTCAAGTATCAGGTGAACGTGGATGGAACAGTGGCGGCATATCGCTTCCCTTACCTGATGCTTGGGAACAGTCTGGTTCTGAAGCAGGACTCTCAGTATTATGAATATTTCTACACTCATCTAAAAGCAGGCACTCACTACATTCCTGTGAAGAGAAACTTGTCTGACCTTCTGGAAAAAATCAAATGGGCCAAGGAGAATGACGCTGAAGCTCAAAAGATCGCCAGAGCAGGTCAACAAGTAGCCAGAGAGCTGTTGCAGCCCAGCAGACTCTACTGTTACTACTACAGAGTGCTGCTCATGTACTCAGAGCGACAAGTGGGACAGCCAATACGGCATGAGGACATGGAGATGGTGGCTCAGCCAGATGACAATACTGCAGTGTGTACATGTGAGCGAAATAACCACAAAGACACCGACATGAAGGATGAACTATGATAGACCCTCTCTGAGCTTTAAATGCTGTGATTTTTTTCTCTGAACCATTCCTGCCATATAAAGATTGACAGTCGTTCATGTTCTTGATATTGCCTTCAAAGTCTTATGTGCTTGTTTGTATTTTATACTCTGTTTTATAATTTGTTTGTACCTTTTGTAAAGCCCTGTTTAGTAGTGCAAATACAGAGGATATGTTCTGTGCCTTTATACTGGGTACCTGGATGTTTGTGTTTGGTGTCAAAGTAAAATAAATCCATTACATCTTAAAAAATCTGATTTTTAGGTTCAGCTTTTTTGAAATTGGTAGAACTGCCCTATCCTTTATGCCAGTAAATCAAAGTACAGGCAGTGACTGTTATAGAGTTGCCAAAGAAGCTTTTTGTTATTTTGCCATCTGTTAAAAGAACTAAATACTTCCGTAAACAACTCCTCCATTGCCTTGTTTATTGGGTTAGCATGACTGGTCTTGCTAGGTCCTCTGTTTTTATGACCCCACCCAGCTTTGTTTTTTAATAGGTTGGGCTGATATGGATGAAGGTGAGCTACATCACAGTGTTTGTTGTGTTGACAGACTATTCTATTTGCATTCAAACAAATCATCTCAGTTTGAATGCTGTTGATATATATATATTTTTAGCCCCTAAGTAACCTATGTCACAAATATCAACACAACTTAAAGTTGAAGTAAAAAAAAAAACAAGCCAAGAAAATTTGCCACAATAAAAGAAGTTCCACATGTATTTTATTTAGCCAGTGTGGTTCAATGTTAAAACATCACCTCAATTCAACTCATAACTATGAGTAGTCAAACATTAGATCGTAGATCACAAAACTTTGGCTCTTTCCCTAGTCATTAATTTTCTTCTGTCTATTGTTTCCTTTTATGTTTCCAAAAACAAAAAGTAGTAAAAATCAAATCTACTTATGTTGTTGAGATTTTAACTGACCTTTTGATTTTTGTTAAGTTATTCCTTGTGCTTTTTTAATATTGTTTATGAAAGGACTAATATTTAGTCCTTTCATTATAGTTTAGTCCTTAGAGCAGAAAATAGATTGACTAATAACAATCGTGACATTGTAAGTATTAAATCAAGTCATAAAGGTTTGGAACCACTTTCAGTAATTGAACCCTAAAGACAAACTCAGATCAAACCATTGCCAGTGTTTGGAGCTACACCTGCTTTAAAAGTTGGCTTTTTCCATTTGACACATACTGATATGCTCATACATTGATTAAAGCTGGCTCACTTCCTCACAGTCATGACTCACTAAGACAAGTCAAAAAGTACATTAGCAGATCATTGAAGCTACAAAATTTGCACAAAAAGTAAGGACATTTGTGTTAAAGAATTTCTTGCTGTAAAAATGCTTATTTGTAATAAATCTTATCCTGTTTGAAAGTCTGTTTATTTCCCCGATAAATGGCGCCACATTTCTAAGGAACATTTATTTGTGGGGTGAGCAGCAGAGCCTAGAATGTGGATTGTGCCCATTCAAAAATTTCCCACATCTTTTCTGCCAATACCAAACATCTTTTCTGTGATTGAATCTTGTTTGTTTTTTAGCGGATTGGATATTTGAAGTCTGACCAAACAAGACACACTGGAAATTTAACAATCTATTCGTTGAACAAACAGGGGCCCTAGTAGCGTTGAGATGAACTATGTCAAATCAAATTTTATTCTTATAGTGCCAAATCACAACAGTCATTATCCTAAGTTGCTTTAAAAAAAAAAAAAGGTCTAGACCACACTCATTGTTTGATAAATTACCAAGACCCAACCTTAAGATGGGACAGATTTGACCCATCTCATCTGACAACCACAGCTATAGCAGCATGGCACCTTCTCCTCATGCTGGTCACCAGCCTGGTTGCCCACTGCTGTGGGATGGCATCCTGTTCTTCAATGGGAGGGCCTACGGTCCTAAGTGCTGACAGGATGAAGAAACAGTCCTCTTGAGGTGACCTGTCTCTGACATTCCCCGCTGTATAGAGCTCAGCCTTGGTTTGGAAGTGCACTGGCGCTCACTACAAATGTTGCTGTAACTTGGTTTTGTGGAGTTGCCCAATCAAGCACCTTACTTTCAGCACCAGAGGTACCAGAAGCTCATACAAGAGTCCATAGCAACAGCAAAATAAGCTTTTTGGCATTGGCAGCGAGGATGTGGCAAATTTTTCATGGGGCACATACCACATGCTGAGCTCTGCTGCTGCTCACCCCTCCCCCAAAGGTGTGTTCCTTACAAATGTGCCACCATTTGAAAGGGAAATAAACAGGCTTTCCAACAGTATAAGACTGATTGTCGAGAGGCATTGCTACAACACAGAAATAATCTATTCAACATAAATTTCCTTACTTTCTGTGCTGTGTTTAGACGGATAGAGGTTATATACAGTATAAAGGTATTTTTTGAGTTGATTAGAAGGATGAAGACACATGGTTTTGGTATTGGTTCCTGACAAAAAAACAAAAAAAATCATTGGATAGTACGAGTAACAGGATAGCCACATTTTTTAGTAAAAAACAAATGAAAATACATTAAACAAATAAACAATGTCATTTAGGCAAACAAACATCGTAGTAGAAGCTAGCCATCTTTCCAGTCAAGAGTTAAAAGTCATCATTACAACATTTTTGGAGAAATCGATCAACTGATGTAGTTTCATTGTAGCCTTTAAAGCTTTTACATATACGTATACGTTAAGTGCAGCATGTTCTGTCTTGTTTTTCAGGTTTGCTGTGTAAGCTTTAAGAAACAGGACTCTAATGTAAACATCAGAGACATGAACTAACTAGCTGAAAGTTGCAGGATGTATCATCACCAAATGGTACAGGATGTAGAAAAAATACTTGATTTTCTCTCACGGCCCTGGACAATCTTTAAAAAAGCTACATTAACAGACCCTGAAATCACTTAATAACTTTAAGAGTATTACAAAGAAGGTTGTGACAGAGGCTGGTGGTTTTTTTTCCTAAGAGGCCAGATTGTATTTGAAATGCTCTCAGAATTAACATTGTGTTGTGTTTTGTTTCTGTTGTTTTTTAATGTTCCTGTTTTGCACGGCCACACCTTCAGCCTCTTGAAACAGAGATGTTTAATTTAAATGGGACCACCGGGTGAAACAAAAGTGAAAAAACATGGTTACACTCAACATCTTGGTAGTTCTGGAGGTAGTTTCTCAAGAGAAATATTGATGGCCCAGACATTTCTACCACCATAAAGTTTATGACTGCCTCACTGAGTGTTGTTATAAGCCATTAAATCTTATGGGTCTCTTTAGTTTAGCTGAATTTAATCATAAGAGTGAGAGGGTCCCCCTCCCTCTTGGTGACAATAGCCTGCATCATTCCTGTAGGTGTGTGAAGGTACCTTGAGCCTTTGAAGAAGTTCTCAATTAAACCTTTGTCAATCTTGTTGCACTTCCCAATGGCTGCCTCAAAGTTATTGCTGAGGACACCGTAGATATTTCCCCTGTCATTTTTCTTCCCCATGAACAAGAAGAGGGCGTAGCAGTCCTTGCCAATGGAGGCGCAGAAGTCCACCATCCTCTCACACATGGTCCTGTTGCTGGACTCTTTCTGGGCCATCAGGAGCGACTCACTGCAGTTATCCACGGGGATGACATTCTCCTCACTGTCCTCTCTCTCAGGCAGGTGTAGGACCTGCACAGCAATCTGGATTCGAGGGTTCTTGGTGGGCTTTTCCAGCAGCGCCCAGACCCAGTCTGCCCCAAGGAGGATACGCTGCTCAGGCGTCATTGCAGTGCAGTTGAAAGTGTCTGTCAAGTTCAGGCAAACACTCTGGGTAATGTAGGTCATCAGGAAGACCTATTGGAGGAGCCAAGGTTGAAAAATCACTTTACAGAAATCCGAAAGGAGTGCTGTATTTATTTTTTTGATGGTACAAAGTAACCTACCTGAGAGAATACCTCCGGGCTTGGGTGGAACTTTTCCTCTGGGTCTTTGAAGAGGAGGTACTCTTGCGTTCTGGATGAGGCAGCAGAGATGCAGTCGTTGAACAGAGGAATAAAATCGTTGGGTTTGGGGACAGGGGCTCTTCTTAATGTGGAGAAGATGCTCGGTCGAGATGATAAGTTATGATCATTGGTGGGTTGGCTTTGGGGGCTGCGCTTAAAGGAAAAGCGGTTAGGAACATGTTTGCGGATGGTCTGGCCCATGGTGGATGGATGTTTAAGATGGTCGAGGTCAGAGGTTGGTCTCCCTTATACACTTGAAAAACACACAACTTTGATGTTAGATCACACATCATTACCTGAATGCATCAGCCAGTGTTTGGTTTGTTAAGCAAGAGTAACTCTGCTTCTGTCCATTCATTGATAACGTAGGTTATTCCTGCATTAAGTACATACTGGCTCTTGCTTTTTCAACTTCTGCGCTCAAACAGAAACAAAAAATGGTCTAATGTTTAAAAACACACATTAAAAATGCTTCCAGATACTCACCAGGATGGGTCTAGATGTTTCTGTAGTTCCAAGTCCACAACCTGCCCTCTGCTCCTGTCTCCTGCCCTGCTGAGATACAGAGTGTGTGTATTCCTGCAGAGTATGTAAAACCCAGTCTACTGGTCTGTACAGAACCTACAGCAGCATAAAGGTTTTCTATCCCAAGTTTGGAGGGGGAGTTTCTCCTGACACGGTCAGCATGGGTGGGGTGTTTGTAACTTGTCGAGTTTTAGGTAAGTCAACAAAAGACTCATCTTACCAGTTAACAGGTAGCAGCAGCTTGGGGACCAGGGTAAGCTTGAAGGGTTTGATGAGTAAACAAAATGTTAAACTGACTCCTTCGAGGAGGAAGAAGCACAAACGAGGACATGAAGACTGGGTCAGGAGTTTTTAGTCTGGAGCTCTTCTAAGGTTACAAAGATGATGAGAGTGGAGTTTTGGTTTGTAAAAGCTGTACTTTTTCATGTAGGCTGTGGGTTAATGATGACTGCATAATTAGGAGATACATAAGTGTCAATATTGAGAATCCAAACTGACCAGTTGCACATCAGTTTTATGTAAAGTAGTCCAGCTGCAGGATCTTTCAGTGTCACTTGGTTTACAAAAGCCTGCGTAAAACACGAACACTGTGTATGTGCTTAAATTAGACTGAGGTTACCTCCTCCATCCCTTCACTAAAGCTCAAGTTTACGTCTCAGTGTCTTTAACTCGTCAGTCAAACATTATGACAATGCTACATTAACTTTCTGTTGTTGTTGTTGTTTGTGCTGTTATATCCATATTTGGTGGATCAAAGTTTGAGATTTTATTTCCTTTCTAAGCGGACAGATGAGCTGCATCAACAACAACAGGGCTGTGGTACTGCAGGTACAGAACAAGAGGGACTCAGGGTCAAATAAACATGAATATAACGCATTTCCAGATGAATATGTCTGTGATCACTGAAATGAGAGCACAACCATACCAGTTTCATTTTCAGCTCATTCAGAGGGTAATAAATAAATAAACACACAACAAATATACACCCATGTGAAAAATGGTTTAAGCAGCCTTGACTTTTCTTGGGTTCAGTTGAACAAGTCAAGAAAACACATTGGCATGTTGTCCTGACTTAAAACTTATATTATGATATTATTGCAATCAAACATTCCTCCTCTACCTATCCAGACCCAGTCAACACAGATTAACATCCAGTGGAGTCCCATGTACCTGTAATACAATCCGCTATGTTTACTAGGTGGTCACTTACATGTATCTGCTGCCACTAGGTTCTGGGGAGGGTGGTTCAAGTAGGTCTGTCACAGCTTTTTCACCAAATAAACAAACAAACAAAAATTTTGCTGCTTGATCAGGATTGACATGAGATAAGACAGTCCCAGGAATAAAAAAATGAAAAGTTAAAAAAAAAGGAAAGCCAAAGCATAAAATGCAGCAGAACATGGTACTTCTGAGAACATGTATTTTCTTCCCTAATAGTATATATATTGTGACAAATATGCATGATTGGTGAACCATTTGACAGTTTGAAATATCTGCTATAGGGTAAACGAAACAAAGGTAAAACTGCATCTAAATAACTGTATACACTGTATTACTGGTATCTTGCTTCATTTCCGTTCACGCTTGAATGCAGTCATATCATCATCACCATCTGTGTCAGAGGAAGTCTGGTTATTCTCTTCCGTCCTCTATTTTGCAAGTCTGCACTCTTCAGAGTTGTTTTGGTGGAGTGTTTGACTGAACAGATCATCTCTACTAATTTTTCTCAAATGAAATAATCCAATTCTTCTTTTGCAAGTATCATGGGAAAGTTTTTGCCCCACCCAGCCTCAGTGTCTCCATTGAGGGCCTCTGATAGAACTGCTCTGACAAAACAAAAAGCACACACTTTGTTTTATTCATATTTATTGCCAGTAAAGTGTGTCTTAATTCAAAATGATGACACTTAAAAATTTGGCTCAACAATATTTTCATTATGTAATATGGTCTCTCGCGATCACTTTAAATTGTATAGTCATAGAAGGTCATAAAAAAGGAGATAATGCTGTCTGCTGTACATCATGTGAATACGACAGAAGAAGTGACGGCTAATGTGGTCCTATTTTTCCAACCAACATACCCACACAGAGTATACAGTACAGTACACATTGGTCAGTACTAACATTAGAGGAAGCATTGCATAGAAAACAGGAGGTAAAAAAAATAATAAAAAATCCTCAAATGGCTTTAAGGAAGTTCAGTTTATTATGAGAGAAAGTTTGGAGAATAATTTCAAGTAAGTCTTGATTGCTTTCCACATAAGTCCCTTTGTGTTTCTTTGTCCACTCTGTAGTTTTATGTAGTTGTTACATGAGGTATCAGCGGCTGGTAGAAGAGGATGTGTCAGCTTCTGGTCGCAGTGTTAGGCCGGAGTTTGAGGTACAGTACAGGGTCAGACTGCCTGACAGCATTAGTGAGTGAGAAGTGCCGGTTCATTGTTCTTCAGATTAATGTAGTTTGAGACCGTCTCATCTCCCTCCGCAGCTCATCTCGGCCGAGCAGATACTGGAAGCAAAGCATCATGGGAATAGTTATGGGTTACAGAGCTTGGGAGTTGGTGTCTGCCATTGAGCTGGGACCAGTTAGAAAAGAAAATTAGCACCATTATATTTGGCAAAACAGAACAAATAAGACTTATGGATTATGGAGGCCAGATTTGAGTTGAGGATTTTTGGTCAATATGATTCTTTAGGAGAAATAATCAGAGAAGGTGTCCAGTTTTTCAACAAATTATTATTTTATTGTTACAAACTACACCAATTATAAATTCAAATGAATTTAGAGTCATCCCAGATCAGCGCATAATCCATTTCACCCCAGACTCCAGCATTAGCAGGCCTTAAAATAGTAGGTTGTTTGAGTGATCATTGTACAAAGGCAGCATGTAGAGCCAACACAACATACAAATAAAGTACATTTACCCAATTTAAGAATGTTCAACTGTATCTCTGTATTTGCTTTATTCTCCTGCAGTTATTGTGGACGTTTCATGTGTAACAATATCTAATATCTATTCTTGCTGCAGCATCAGTGACAACATTTGATGCAGTGGTTGCCTCTACCTTTGCTTGCTACTCAAACAAGCCACAAGATCTAAAGTGGTACCTTGAAATATGACCACAGAGCATGTTACGGATGTTTAACTGACCCAGATAATCAACTCTACATACCAGTATTATTGCTGCAAATGCAGAGCCATAGAAGAGGCTGCCTGAGCACGTTGCATGATAGGGCTGCACGATTAATCGATTTATAATCGTAATCAGATTATTTAATTATGGCGATGTTAAGAAAATTAAAATCAAATTGATTTTCCTCTCTATCGTGTCTTGCGCCTCCAGGCCATCGTAGGCTCCCCCTTTCTGTGAGAGCGCTCCCCAGTTCCCATACACACCAGTGTAAACAAATATGGCGTTTGCACAAGAAGGCAATATTTTCGTGGCTAAATAGGGCAAGAGCAAGTCAGTCATGTGGAATTGTTATGGCTTTGCAGTTTTGGATGAAGAGCAAACCACTCCCTGCTGCAAAGTCTGTCTGAAGGCGGTATCAACCCGTCCACACGGAAACAAATTCAGGAGTAAATGCAAAAGCTTTTTGTCATATCAGCGTTTCATCGACACAGTAAAAGCGTTTTGAGTGGCTGTAAACAGTATTTGTTTGAAAATGGGTCAGAGGGTGCATAAATCCGTTCATCCATTTCATCTCTGTGTGGATGCCTTTCTGCATCTTTCTTGAAAAAAATTTGTGACACACAGCTTATCTCTTTTATGGCGCCTGCGCGTGTCTGGCCAAAACAACTTTTGTATGCAGGTTTTGTACTCTTCTTCTGTCTTTTGTGCATTTTCTGTGCAGTGTGACAGTGCCACTTACTGGCTTGGCATACGCACTACATTGTTTTCAGTGGTTTCGTTTTGAGAGATGATAGAAAAACTTCAATTTGTTTTAAAGTGAAATTTGGTGAAGTTGTCACTAAATAAAAAGTCGAAATTGAAATCTAAGATGGAGTTATCAGAGAAAAAAAATCAGGATTTTATTTTTGGCCAAATTCGTGCAGCCCTATTGTATGGTATATGTCTGCTTCATGATTTTATTAATTACATTTAATTTCATTCACCATTGTAGACACTGCTTACTGTAAAAGTGCCTTAATTTCTGAGTGGTAAAACTACTCAAGATGTGCTTGTTCTTTCTAACAAAAGTATAAAATATGATAAAGTAAACATTCTTTCAAATGTATATGCAACACTTAATCTATAATTTGCAGCTTATATTTCAGCACAAAGAGAAAAAAACAAGAGGAGACATGTTCAGAGCCTGACCAGATCTACTAGCCTGTCTGGCACTTGGCATATTCTCCTTATTATTCACTGTTTTGGCTGCACCAGATAGAAATGGATAAAACATGAATACGAGAACTTTAAAAGGGCTTTCCTTAGTGTGCAAACCCAGTTCTTGTCTTTATTCTGATGCTTTGCTTGATGCTGCTGGCTCCAGTTCATTATTTGACCTCATAATTGTGATAGTAGAGTTATTAATGCCCACAGCAACCCTAATTGATACCATGTCAGTTAAATTTTTGCTTCAACAAAATGACACTTTTGATAAAATGATAAACAATAGTGTGAATTTATGATGGTGAATGTTTCCCTAATACTCAAATGATACAGTTATCTCCACAATAGATAATCATTTGAGTTGTTGCTGGCAGACATCAAAAAAGTGGTTTGTAGAGTCTCTTATCCAAAGCCTTAGGGCCAGACTCTCACATGACTATCAGTCAGGAGTCAAAGAACCAAAACTGGCATCTGACTAGTTGAAGCACTTCATGACACATAGCAGAGCAGGTTTCTGTCCACCAATCACGATAAAGCTTCTTATTTTTGCAGAGATCTGTAGTGTTTCAGTGATTCTTACCCTCTCAAATACTGTCTGAAGCTTCCCAACTGACTGACTGACTGTCTCAAACTTTTGTTACAAGCCATGAGGAGCAGTTATATTTGGTAGGCCAATAGCTGCACACATCATTAGTAACAGCTTGTGCATGTTGGTGCTTACTGTGAGGTTGTTGATGCTTTCAGACAGAGCTTCTATTTGCAACATGGTACCCTCTGTGATCGCCATCTGCAACACACCAAACACACACACACACACACACACACACACACACACACACACACACACACACACACACACACACACACACACACACAGAGGGTCTAATGAACCCATTAAAAGACAGATAGCATTGAAACAATCATGAGTTTTACAGCGGTACTGTGTAACAATTACTGTAATATGCATTCTTGTAAGTATGCAGAAAGCTATTTACTGGCATCGAGTCATCCTCCATGCACTCACTCTTCGTCATGGTTACCATGGTAATGATCAGCAGCCATCTTGGCCCAAATTGGTTTGCCAAGGGGGAAGCCGGTGTCACATAGAGTCATGACAGTGACATCCATGAAGGTGAATACAGTGATAATGAAAGCTGGTTAGTGGTTGATGAGGGTTACTCAGGCATGCTCTCCACTGCCACTCCACATAAAGGAGTTTGTTGCTTTACATTTTCCACATCTGTTATCATCCCAAAATAGAAATGTCTTCACTCAATTTTTTTTTTTTTTTTTCTACAGGGTGGTCTGATATCCTTTAGATCTAAACTCAATAAAAGACATATGAGTTATAGCTTTAAATGTCTGCATCTACTACATTTCTGTCTTTGCTTTTAAAGGAAGGAGTTCATTTTTCACACATATGATTTTGTTTATTAAATGATTTGATAAATCTTTTTTTTACATTTACATGAGCACAAATAGCTTCCTTATATGAAGCAAGATTTCTTTACTATAAAAATACTATTACAGCAATACTGTAAATATGAAAATAGTACAAAATCATCACCTCAGGTTGAAACCAGACATGCTTTTTCATCATTTCTCCTGTAGTGACATAAATATTAAATAAAATCCCTCCTCAATATGATGCAAATATTGCACAAGTTCATCTCAACCATGTGGCAAAACTCCATCAAATTGTAAAATCAAAGTTGCAGGTGACTGATTCACACGTATAAAGACCTCTAATGATGATGCACAAATGTTATAAGAAAGACTTAATACTGTACAACAACAGATATCCATATTGACTGTATGGATTATGGGAAGTAATGTCACAGGAAATGGAGTCCAGGGTGATGCTGTGTTGTCCTACTATAAGTTAGATCATGGCACAGGTCGGAGGCTGAGGTTAGGTTAGTCAGGCGTCTGACTGGAAATGAAATCAAAATACTTCAAGTGTGTGGATTCATGTTCTTAGCACACCCTACTTGACAAGCAGTTGGGACTGCAGCACAGTCATCAGGGTTACCAAGGTGTTTGTGAATCTCTCCACTCAAAAGGCACAGGGTGGGCTGATGGGTGGGGTTAAGAGGAGAAGGGAGGAGATGGGCTGAGGTATTATGGGCCACAAGCAAAGGAAGCAGAGTAGTAGCAGTGCCCACAGGCTTATGGGAAGCATGTTGACACAGTATCGACATGACGTTGTTGAGGCTGTTGTCATGGAGATGGGTCAGCTCTGCTGTCATCGTGCCCCACCTGGTCTCTGGGGCGGTCAGGCTCTCGGTCCAGGATGGGGCTTAGGCCTCTAAAGCCGGTATAAGGCCTGACCTGCACCCCGTTAGCAGAGGACTGTCCTGCCTGTGGAGAAGATGGCTCTATTGGACACACATAGTCCGTAGATTCGTCTGACCTCCTCCTCCTGAGGTGAGTCAGGTTAGACAGACCCAACTTCTTTGGCTGGAGAAAGAGGAATGAGACAGATTTGACTGTTTGAATCATTGATGGCATGACTATCACAAAAACTAGACTTTTCTGGTCCGAGCCCTGCTATCTATTGGTTTATCAACTTAAAACTGCCTTGAATTGGGGTGCCCAAAGAGATGACCGGGGGTGGACACCCTAAGTTCTGCCTCTTCTAAAAACCCTAAATTCAGTTTGAAGTGTTTTTAATAGTTATTCTGACTTTGCGCTACATATTTAAGTATGAAGTAATTCCAAAAAAGTTGCATGTCCAACTGTGTCCTCTAAGTTTGCTTTCACTACGTAAAACTTTTCAGCTAAACAGAAATAAAGCTCTCTGAGGTGTTTTCTCTTTTAGATCCTTTTATTGTTTCTCAACAAATCACCCACATATATATTCAGATTCCATGGAGTAGAATAAGAAATTTAAGATCTAAGGGTCCAAGGTCACAAATGGGTCAGCAGTAAGTGTGCATTGTGTTTCAGGGTGGATTACTCCTCCATTTCTCATCCGCAGAGCAAAGAGGGACTTAAGCGAGGGCTGCTGCTGCTGCTGTTGATGAGTGGCTCTTAAAGCTGTGAGGAGGAGCGCAGCAGTCTGGGGTTTACTTCTGTTTTCACTGGCTTTAACGCACTGAAGGGTTTACAGCTTAAACTGAGCTGACACACCGGGGGTTCACCTCAGATAAATGTCCTTTCTCTCAAGTATACAGGAAGACAGGATTGGTTAGCTGTGTGTGTTCTCTGATTGCATCCTAGCCTGCGTATTTTTGTGTGTACTCATAACATCTTACCTTAACTTTTGCTGTAATGCTGAGAGGGGTGTACCCCGCTGCCTCCATGTACTCTCTCTTCTCCTGCTGCGCTTGCTCTCCCACCAGGTTGTTGAAGTTAGTGGCAAGGTGGCGTCTCAGCAGGGTTTTCTGGGGAGGTATGTTCAGCAGCATGGCCAGTGTGTCAGAGTTAAACCGAGGCTCCAGCATCTGTGAAGCGGACATAAAATACTTTAAGACTGAGGGCAACAACAACATGAGCGAGACAACTGCCAATCAGAGTCGATCTTTTTCTGCTCACTTCTGTAAGTTGCTGGAGAAGTAAACAGAATGACCGAATGTGGAGCAATACGCAGAGCTGAGGGCAGCAAAATAGATGTCAGCTGTGACTTTGAGTCATCCTCCAAAGATGGTATTGTTGAGAAGAAAAGTTATTCAACATCGGTTGTGTGGCAGTGGTTCAGGTATCTCCAAAGTGACATTGAGCATTGCGCAAGGTATGTCGGCTGTCTGTGCCCTCAGAAACCGACAACAAAACAGATCTGTTTAATCATTTGAAGAAGTACTTCCTAAGTGATTTTGTGGAAAGCATGAAAAGTCGAGCGGAGTCTGTACAGCCTGTCTCAGCCGACGGCACAAGTAGCATTAGCAGTTTAGCTACAACTAGCGGTGCAGCCACAGACCAAAGCAGCAATCAATTATCTCATCTACGTGTACATCATCTAATGTTTAGATTTTAAGGTGTCTTCATTATCCCTGAGGGGGCCATTTGTTTATTTTGGGTCTTTCATACCTGCAAAAACACTCAGGACTGTAAACTAGTTCACTGTATTATTTAGTATTATCTATATATGTTGTACTGTTGAGTTAAAATGTTTTTCATATTTTTCCAAGTTTATCTTATTCAATTTGCTTTGTTATTTACTTTGTATGTTAATAAAATGTTGAGCGAATCTCTAGTTTCTTTATTTTTTAGCACAGATGATTTAAAACTGACAGTTTAAAAAAAAATCGTGATAATAATCGAGATCAGACAATATGACAAAATATATTGTGATCATTTTTTTTATCGCCAAATCATTCGGTCCTACGATCAGCTGAGTTGGTAATCAAGTATTGGTGACTCAATTTATTTATTGAGCAATTACGTTTATGTTTGTGTCTGAGATGGTAACTGGTAAAGGGACATTGTTTATATAAAATAAGATGTGTACTCACCACCAGCCCTCCGTGTACACCGCTGCCCCTCAGGTTCGGTGCATACTCGGCCAAATCCACAGATCTCAGCCATTCCATGACTCGGTGGTTAGACCACTGTACCACCTCGCTAGGAGTGAATTGGTTCTGAAATCCACAAACACCTTCATATGCAAACCATGTCTTTAACCATACAAAATTTTCAAGCATTTTTGGAAATTTAAAAACACATTCTTTACTGTTTCCTTTGAAAATATGAGGATTTGATGTTCAGTGTTACACATGATAAACCAAGAGAGAGTTTCCAGAAAGAAATGAAAGAGAGTGACTCTGTGTGGAAAAGCATTAAAACACATTTCCACAGAGGCACACCCACTGACTGACCTCATTGCCCGGCCTGCGTTTCAGGCAGTTAGGGTGGAACTTGTTGACATGAAGAACATGAATGGCACACTTGATGCTGAGGTGATGGAGCTGGCTGGTCACTTTCAGGAATAACAAGTCGTTCTGAGATGGAGAGGAGATGTGGATGAGGAACATGATGTCAAGTAGAAAAGAAAGTGACCGTCTTATACCTTCACCTGTTTTTCCTTAAATTCAATACTGCTTCAAATTCATGTAATTAACACACTCATTATTTGCTTATTTTGCATTCAGGTGCAACAGAAAATTTATGTTTATTACTTCATGGAAATGCGATCAGACTGAGACACTAAGGCAGAGAAAGTACTGTGTCTGCAGCTCACATACAAGTTACACAAGAACTCTGATTACATTTCCATGAAGTAATAATCATGAACATTCTTCCTTTAGCTGCAAAACTCTGCTGCACTCTGTGATCGACTCATCAGGGCTCCCCCCACAAACAAGCCGCTGCTGGAGGAGAGTGGGTGAGTTGTGATTAGTCTCTTTGCTAAAGAAATCAGGCAAAGTGAAATAGATGTTTGATGGCTAGTACTATGGCTGGGACCCTATATGTACTGTTGATGGTTAGGTGCTGTTCTGAGCACATTAGTGGCTATAGAGTGGCTTTTGATTGAGGTTTGCACATGCTTGCTCTGTATTGTTATCGTTCAGTCATTGCTGAAGTTGGTATAACTGGAGAAGCAAGCAGTCTGCAACATTCATCTAACTCAGTGTTTCAGTGTGTTTGATCATAACTTAAATCTACACCAGAATATCCCTTTAAGATATAAAATAAGGTTTATTTGACCTTCATATCATGAGTCAAATACTTACCACAGTGAGATACTGCAGCATCTGTCCATCCACTCTTCCTTCATTAAACTGGTCTTTATACTGAGGGAGGCCGATGTCATCAAGCCAACCTTTAAATGAAAACATTCAAAATCACAGTTTATTCACAGCTGAGAACAATGCTCACCCAATAAATGGTTTATTTTATCATTTGATGTGAGAACGTACGAGTGACCCAGACGTAGTCCAGCTCTGCAGACTTCTCAGGCTGCTTGCTGCTAAATGTCTTGATGGCCAGCTGAAGCTTCTTTCTGTGAAGTGCATTCTTGATGGCAAGCTCCTGGAGACAAATGAATTAAAACAAAAACAATGTTATAAAGGATTATTTTATAAAATGTGATCCTGATAAAAGACAAAAATTAAGGTCTGGAGTGTCCATGTAGATTCTCATTCGTCCAGGTCATGGTTTTCTTGAGGACTTAAAAACAGGCAACTGGACTGTGTAGCATTGAGAAGACTCTAAGAGGCGAAACGTCTTCTTCTTATCCAGGATAAGAGGCAAAACATCTTCTCAACTCTACACAGTCCAGTTGCCTGTTTTTAAGTCTTTAAGGTCTGGAGGTGAGGGGATGATGTCATCCAGTCAGAGACAAAACTGACAAGCAAGTCAAGAGGCAGCGACAGGTGTTATAAATGCTAAATAGATAGACACACAGTGACAATGATCGGACAGGTAGAACTAAATACTTGGCAGGCAGGCTGATGGAGGATTGTCTTGTCAGGTGTGTGTGTGTGTGCGTGTGTGTGTGTGTGTGTGTGTACCCTCTCCAGGTCTTGCAGGCTGGCTGACTGTAGCGTCTGACCACTGGTCACCCAGTGGCGAGCGAGGATGCTGTACTGACCGAGTCCAATTTCCTCTAGCCAGTCACACACCTGCTCTGTGCTCCACTTGGAAAAAGGCATCTTCACATCTCTAGAACGGTGCAAAGAATCAAAAGTCGAAACATGTTGAGTTTATTTTATTTTGCCTTCACATTTGATGAAAGCACACTTGGTTTTTAGTGCTGATTAAAATGGATTTTATGATATTTTTTATTATTATTTTTTGCACAATGTTTAAAGAGTACAACATAAAACATGATAGGTAATAATGAAACAGTGCAGGGAGAGGCAAAAAAAGCCATGATGGGCTTATTTGAAGTCTTCACCTTATAATAGCCTAATATTAATATAACAATTTAATGTACAAAAGCACAGGGCTCACTCAGGGCTTACTCAGGGCTCTGGTCCTTTTTTCATAAATTGAGATGGTTGTGTAATTTGCATTTAAAAAAAACACAGAAGACCATAAATACATGTGAAAAGGTCAAAAAGAATTACTGAATACACAAAGTCTAAATGAGCATGAACAAAGGTCCTCCAGATGTTTTCCTCTGTTCTGATGTCATTTCCTTTAAATGATGCAGATCTTCACTCTCTGTACAACATACGGTCATTTCCACAAGGTGAAGCAACATAGGAATTTAATCTACTTTACAAAACATGATGGGTTCTCTTTAAAGATCCCTCACAAATTTGGAAATTTGAAGTCTTTCCCTGTGGGACTAATGAAGGACTATCTTATCTCTTATCTTAAGCTGCCAGAACTCAACAACTCCATTGAGACTCTTCGAAAAGCCATGTTGATTTGAATGATTTTGAGGAGGATTTAGTCCCTTCAATGAGAGCTGGACAGCAAGTGAAACAGGTCACCTGTATGGCCTTTCCCTGAAAGACATTTCACACACTTATGTGGAAATATACAGTGTGTGTGTTTAAGTCAATCTGTCTCTTTGTACCGTGTGTTCCCCGAACGGGCCAGTCTTGGTCCAGCTGTTGCTCTGAAGCCCCCCCTCTTGAACTCTCCCAGCTCAGGGTCATGAACCTGGGAGGGACTGCCTGATTGGCTGCGGCGGATCCTGTGCGAAACAACGCGTTGATGAGTGAAGGATGTTGTTAAAAACAAACCTGTGAGCAGCAATTGTACAAATATTAATCTTCACATCTTACTTTCCCCAGAGTTTCTTAATGCCTCTGTGAGTCTTCCTGTTCTCAGGTGAGACTGGGGACTGCTGTCCAGAGTCGACTCCAGAGGACAGAGGGGACTGGTCTGAAAGGACACTCTCTTCCAATTTTTCTGGGCGCCCTGACAAACAACAAAAAGAGGGCGTAAATTAATGACACAGAAGTTCCGAAAATAATGAAGTGAACATGGTAACATATAATGAGGTCAAATAGTCCTCCTGGTGCTGATTCCTCCAGTAGACACTTCACAAGACAAACAGAACTAGCATTACTGCTGTAAAAACTGGATGGATTATTGACAGTCTTTTCTTTTCTAGGTCAGATCTTTAGGTTTTGGTGAAAGACATCAGATTATTTCACTGTTTACAATCTGCTCAGCATCCAGGTGCTAACAGTAAACAAAAGTGTTGAGCAATTTAAAGCTTAATACTATATTACTTAATTAGAGCAGTGTTTCCCCTAGAGTTCTTTTTAGAAGCGGTGCTGCTGTGTCTGTGGCCATAAGGCTGCGATGTCGACCCGTATTCATGGGCGTAAAAACAGTTTCAAATTAAAAGACCTTGGAATCCTTATAGACAGGATTATACAGGCTTGTATTTTGTCTCAATTTACAGCTTTTGACATTTATCTAAAGAAAATAAAAATAATTAATATCACAACACAGAAATGTACTCACACCTGTTATTTATTTACAGACCAAAGTACTTATTTACACAGCCTACATCCAGCCTGTGAACATTTGATTTTTCTGTGCTTTATGAAAAAAGCTCCAGAGCTCTTTGATAGTTGAACTCAGCGGTGGGGGGTGTATTGATGCTCACAGGCATGCAAATGGAGAGATGCTCTTCTTGTAGCCTGTTCCTCAGGTCAGTCTTCACCTAGAAACCACTCTCTTGCCGCTCAAGGAGCTATGCTGTTATATTCTTGTTACGTTACCCATGCTACTTGCTATAAAGACTGTGTATAAGCTTGAACGTTACCCTTCACATTGATGGAAGAGGGTCTGACAGGGTTTGTCGCACTCGTTGAGGACTCAAAAAAAGTAAAAACAACATGTATTGTGCTCACACCGTGCCAGTAGAAATCATTGGTGGCGCATTGATATTATTGATCATGTGGATTTTCAGTGGTGTCGCATGAAATTCACCACTGCTGCTGAATGAATGTAGGGGAAACACTGCAGAGCTAAAAGAAAGTTATAGACAGAATTAATTTCATCAGGTTTAAAAATAATTTAAAAATCATACATAAGGATAACTCTTTCTAAAAAAGCACACACAAACCCTGGGTTTATTATTTATGTATCTCATGCAGGGTGGAAATGGAAATACACAAAGGGGTCAAGATGCAATACCCACCAACACCACAAAGGTCATGTTTTCCAGGTGATCCTGAGGTGGAGGTTAGTAAGGCGAAAAAGAAAGCAAGCAGACAGAAGGCAGAAAGCATCAGTTACAGCCTCTTTCTATCTGAACTGAATGTTTTATACATGTTAAGTGTGTTAAAAGCAGTAACAGGTAATGTCACAAAGCCATGATGAAATAAACTGTTTTTTTATATAAAAGAGCAGTTTGTTGTTTGCTTTGAATCTGAAAATAACCCACACCCCTTTTTTCTTTTCTTTCTTGCTAATGTAGCCTGAGACACCCTCCTTCAAACCCTGACCAAGCTGAACAGAGAATTCCCTCTTTCAGAAAACCAACATGTTTCTCTTGGCACCTCAGTAAATGTAAATAATTCGGTATAATCATGTCAAAATTTGACACCAGTTCACTTCTCAGCTCTTTCTGTTCATGATCTTTCTTAGCTGTTTCCACTCAGCCTCAGACTGTCAGTGTGTGTGCGTGCATGCGTGCGTGCGTGCGTGTGTGAGGAAATGAAAGCCAAAGGGTGGAGAGTGTCAGGTTGCATCCTTGTTTGTTTACTTCTAATGTCAGAGCTAGTCGAACCTCAAGCATCCTTAAGCTCGCTCTCCTCGCCCTCTCACAGTCTCTGATTAGCCTTCTGCTTTAAGCTCTGGCTCTGTGTAGGATGATACATGGGTGGCTGTGTGCTTATGTGCCTATTTGCTTTGGGAGTGTTTGAGTATCAGAGAGTGCTGATGCGAGAGAGTCAGGCATTATCTTCGACAGCTCTCTGAGTCATGAGGGAGTCCTATTAATCCCAGCTTCGGAGCTTGATCCTTGGTGAAAACAGTAACTCACACTAACTTGACTCACCTCGAAGGTTTCGGCTGTGACAGAGACAATCTTGTTTTGTTTGTCAGATAAGTTCTGTGAACATTTTGTTTGTCAGAAGAAACTTGTTTGTGTGACCCCAGAGTCAAAGCAACAACATCAGCAGAGTGACTCAGTACTCCTGAAGGGCTATTTCCATGTTGACATTTGAATTTCTGTGCAAGGATACAGTACCTAGAGCCGGAGCACTGGCGCTCCTGCAGCGAACTGCAGCCAGAAAACAAACAGAGAAAAGAGCAATCCAGTGGCAAAGCAGAAAAGAGGAGGAGGGAAGGAGAAAGGGCAAAGACAGGGAGGCAGTTGGAGCAAAGTTAGTTGATAAAGTGAGTGTTATTCAAAAGCTTACAGCATTCGATTTTATTTCATTCACACAGTTGCAATTTGAATTGACATTAAAGAGAACATACAACTGAGGCAGACTGAAACAGTGTATTTGTGTTGTTATCCTCAGCCTCCCTGTTTTTATAGTCAACATCGCTCCCTAATATTACAAGAATTAATAAATAACTTATAACAGCTCTCTGAATGCAAATTCTGGTGAAGTTTTCACCAAGTATACATACATTCTGTCTGTTGTATCCCATTTGAGGGCGTATTTTCTAAAAGCATGTTTAATTTTTGATATAATCAATTACACGCTTTCATTCGTATAGAATGTATTATAGTCAGATGGACCTAATAGCATCGCACATGCACATTCAAACCTGTAGCAGTTTCTCTGACAATGTCTTTTACATGTGATGTGTTTTATGCTAATTCAAGTAGTAGTTGTAGAATAACTTTGTATGCGGTTCAGATGGCGTTAGACTAGCTGTGAAGGCTGTGAACCATCACCTGAACAATGAGAGCACTGACAGTTCAAGCAGTTACTTTAAAAATTGTTAAAATCTGCAGTGGCCTGAGAAAAGGTTCTGAGACTAAAGAGTAAGTCTTAAATCAAAATTTTATATATATGGGGAAAAAATGCTCGAATGATGGTGTGGCCAAATAACTTTCCATATTTATAATAACATAGATTTGAGTTTCAAATATTCTCTTGATAGATTAAATCATGGTTAAAGGGATATTTCGGCTTAAATTTAAGTTATGGTCAAACACATCGTAACACAGAGTTAGACACCCCCTCTCTAGTTCAACCAACTTCAGCAACGATCCTCCAGCAGCCACATGTTTGTGGGGGAGCCCTGACAAATTGATCACCGAGTGCAGCAGATCATTTCCATGAATTAATAATCATCCCAATCATTTTGCACTGCAGACACAGTAGTTCTTCTGCCATAGCACCTCGGTCTGATTACATTTCCATGAAGTAATAATCATAAACGTTCTTCCTTTAGCTGCAAAACTCTGCTGCACTTGGTGATTGACTCGTCAGGGCTCCCCCGACAATCAAGCAGCTGCTGGAGGAGAGTGGGTGAATTGTGTTTGGTCTGATTGCTAAAGAAATCAGGCAAAGCTAAAAAGATGTTTGGTGGCTAGTGCTACGGCTGGGACCCTATATGTACTGTTGATGAAGTTAGGTGCTGTTCTGAGCATTATTTGTGGCTATAAAGTGGCTTTTTGGTTCAGGTTTGCACATGGCGACGTAGACTGCTGTGTATTGCTATCGTGCGGTCATTACTAAAGTTGGTATAACTAGAGAAGCAAGCAGTCGGCAACATTCATCTCTCAAGGGGGTGTCTAACTCAGTGTTACAGTGTGTTTGACCATAACTTAATACTAAAATATCCCTTTCAGCTTCATCAAGCTCAAAAGATTATGTATATTATTATTATTATTGGACCATTACTTAACTTCTGTTTATGATAAAATGATTAAATGCTACAGGTTTTCTTTTTGACAACACAGGGTCATATGACTCCTGCATGTGGCTCCATTCACTGTTGATCATCTACAAATCTTACCAGTCTCACAGCTTTTAGCTTTTCCAAACAGTGATTAATCTCAAGTGTAATAGACAACATCAGACTGAGCAGCAGGCTTACTAAATCTGCTGTTGCTAAGTGATGAAAATAACTCACTGAATCTGTGTTCCTCATTGTGGTTATGGACAGGAGAGAGCCGGACAGGAGTCAAATACTCCACGTGCCTCTCTCCATCGCCATTCAGCTCGGCTGGTAACTCAGCTCTTTTGCTCAGCTTTCCAGGAAGAGTCTGGTACTTGCTCAACTCCATGTGATGACTCTACAGAATACAGAAATTAAAAACAACTGGTGACTTTTTCAGTGGGTTAACCTCAGAATTTCAAGTGAAAATACAAGAAAAGAATGATCAAACAACAGGAACAGGAACATACACATTTGTGCATCAAGAGCACGATGTTGTTTTTAAAAGTGTCTTTTGGTTTTATGAAACTCTTTAAAAACTTGTGTAGAAATACAGTATATCTATATTACAGTGTATAACATATCTTTACATATCTTTGTCTAAATGTTTTTCACAAGATGATGGTTTGCTTCCTGCTTCTGTTACATAACACGTATCCTTTGGAGAGTGAATGTCTGCTCATGCCAGTATCTGAGCAGGCATCAAAGTCACCGGGGCTCTGAAGGAATACGAGGAGAAAGGCCAGCAGAAGGAAACAGCTGCAAGGAAGCAAAGATGCTGAGCACTACTGACAGCCACTTCAGGTGGGTCTTAGCCCTTTCTCTGTGTGTTTGTGTGTGTGTGTGTGTGTGTGTGTGTGTGTGTGTGTGTGTGTGTGTGTGTGTGTGTGTGTGTGTGTGTAAACTTAGTGTATGTGTACCTATGTGTGCAATACACACTGTGCAGCTGTGAATATGTGTGTAGATGAACGTGCTAAAATGAACTCTGAGGAGACTTTTTTTTGCCTTTTTCTCAGAAGGAAAAAATCAGCTGTGAACTTTGATTTCACACCAAGAACATGAGGTTAAAGGACACACAAGTACTTCATGTTTTATACAACAGGAAGACTTACATCCAGTAACAGTAAACTGTACATATTGAAGTGTTACTTCATGTCTTTTGGGCTGAAATAATAAAAAAGAAAAAATGAGGAGAACATGTATTTTTTTCTTATTAGAATATCTCAAGTGAGAAATTTACATCAAAATATACTGAACATGTGGATAAATAACTAAAAATAGACGTACGTTCTTGCCTGTTATCAAAAAGTCTACGGAATAGGGCTGCACGATTTTGGCCAAAACTAAAATCCTTTTTTTTTTCCTCTGAAAACTCAATTTTACATTTCAATTTTGACTTTTTATTCAGTAACAACTTCACTAAACTTCTCTTTAAAAATAAAAAGTTTTCCTATCATCTCTCAAAACGGAAACCACTGAAAGCAATGTAGTGCATATGCCAAGCCAGTAAGTGGCGCTATAATGCTGCCGAAGAAATGCACCAAAGACAGAAGAAGAGTACAGAGCATGTGTATATAGGTTGTTTTAGCCTGACACGTGCAGACGCCATAAGAGAGTTAAGCTGTGTGTCATATAATCGTTTCAAGAGAGATGCAGATACGCATCCACAGGGAAATGAAATGGTAGTTCTTTATAGATTAATGCATTCTCCGACCCCTTTTCAAAAAATATTGTTTACAGTCACATGAAAAGCCGTTTCCATGTGGATGAAACGCCGATATGACAAAAAACTTTTGCATTTACTCCTGAATTTATTTGCGTGTGGACGAGTGTGTACTCCCTTTAGACAGACTTTGCAGCGGGGAGTGGTTTGCTCTTCGTCTGACACTGTGAAGCCGTACCAATTCCACACGACTGACTTGCTCTTGTCCTATTTAGCCACAAAATTATTGCCTTCTTTTGCAAACACAATGTTTGTTTACACTAGTGTGTGTGGGAACTGGGGAGTGCTCTCGCAGGAATGGGGAGCCTACAGTGGCCTGGAGGTGCAAGGCATGATAGAGAGTGAAATCGATTTAATTATTTTAATTTTCTTAACATCGTCATAATCAAATAATCTCATTACGATTTAAAATCTATTAATCGTGCAGCCCTACTTTGGAGTATATTTGGGGTTGAAGATTAACATTAAAACATATTTCCAAGATTGGAGGATGTATCTATAAAAAGCCCTTCCTCTCTTCACATTTGCTGTTCTGAACATAAAGCATCTAAAATATCAAGAGAGAGACTGAACAAAATGACTGATAGAATCAATAAGTGATGAAGTAAACCAAATAATGTGCTGTGCATAACCAAAAGTGATTATTGAGCAGTGTATTAAGCCACACAGCCCTGTCTCTTCCTACATCACAAACAACCATGCATGTACAGTATGTAGGTATGAAGAGAGTGTGTGTTTGTGGGGTTAAGTGAAGGTTAGGTTGTACAAGGTCAGGCAGAAGATCAGTACCTCTGTCCCTATGTCTGATTCTGTTTCTACTGGCTGGATCTGTGCAGCCTATAGGCGAGAAAGAAACCGGAGAAAGAAATGAACACACGCACACGTTCACATGCACACACACACACACACACACACACACACACACACACACGTACACGTACACACACACACACGCACGCACACGCACACACACACACACATTCACACGCACACACACGTACACGTACACACACACATTCACACGCACACACACACACATGCACGCACGCACACACACACACACACACACACACACACACACACACACACACACACACACGGATCAAGCAGGTTAGCATTCACTCAAGCAAATAACGAAAAAAGAACAAAGAAGAAAAAAAGTTAGTGTTGAAAAGCAACAGCAGATCAAGCAGCTTGTATTAGATGTATTGATTAGATTGACTTGATGACATAATCAAATGCGACTGTCCGATTCAATATTTGTGCATCAACAAACCTTTTGCAAGGATCCGCTCTGTAACTCTTCAAGACTACTAGAGAGCAACCTGCGCCGATGCCTGAAAAAGAAAGACTTTAGGATTTACCGAACAGGAAAAGCCCAGCCCACATACTGGGCCGCTCTGACTCTATCATGATGACTGCTCACATGTTTAAGGCAGTGTTCAAGAAAAGTCGCAAAGAAGCTTCAATTTACCATGATCCATTGAGGAAGCTTGTATCCCCAGCAGACATCAGGGATGTGTCCAAAGAGTTTTGGATACTGCAACACATGGCAAACAAAAGGTTAAATTATCAGCAAGCTGTGATCTAAATTTTGTGTGTGTGCATTTTAATACCTGGATTCCAGTTCTCTCTGGTAAGGAGAGGAGGATAGCATAAGTGGAGAAGATCCCCTTGAGGATATCTGTGAAGGCACCAAACACATTTAGGATTATTATTATTTTTTTAGTTCTTCAGGAAAATAATGGCTTCATCTGGAACACTGGTTCTGGGACTGAACTTGATGGGACTGAAGTGTGATTTCAAAGAAGTATGGTTCATAATCTTACCTCTGACCTGAGGATATCAGAGTGTGCTTTGTGTGTGATTGCTCTGAGTCTCAAACTGCTGCTCAGCTCCTCTTCACTGCTCCCTGGTTGGCAGAAACACAAAGATAAAAATACAGTGCCTGCTTTACTCTCTTCTCTAAACTGGGTAAAAATAAAAGGTTCAAGTCTTACCCTGTGTGAGAGTCAGGACATCCCGCATCTTTCTGTACTGACCCAGTAGAATGGTCAGCTCCTCTATTTGTCGGTCCTGTTTGCAGGATGAAACCAGTCAAGTACTAACAGAGGATCATTTCATTACAATTGGAAGACATTTCCTACATCAACTGATGCAGCAGCGTTTTATATTCACCTTTTCATCATTGGAAGCCAACAGAGACTCCATCCCAACCTTTAACCTCTGGTACTCTTGGTCTAACAAAAGAAAATAAAAGTTAAAGTATCTTGGACACACAGTGACTTCACGTCTTGTTCATTTAAATCATCTGATGGTTGCTTCATGTAATGTTGGCGACAGACATGACATCCATGCTAATCTGAATAAACAAGCAAAACAAATACACACTGACAGCACGACTCTCCATAAACCACCACCTGGGTCAAACCCTGCAGCTCATACTCATGCGAGCAGTTCAGAATTCTCGATTTCTGAGTCAGTTTAGCATCTGTGCTTATAAACAAAACAACAATAATAATAATTAAAAACTGGGCCTGTCAAAAGGCGATTTATCAAGCGTTAACCGGACTACCATTTTGTTTAACTGCAATGAAAAAGATTCATCTTTTGTCAACCCCAATTAAAAAACTGTTGATTAATTTCATTAAAAATTGTGAAAAACACAGATCACAACCAAGTTTCCTTAAATACTTGCTTACAAACAAAACAACACAGTCACAAACCTGGGCCAGGCGACGCACAATATCCTTTCAAATGTTGACACTGTTTGTGTCTTTGAGAATAACTCCCCTAACATTTTACCTTAATGTTAGCACACCTTTGTAAGGTGGTACGTTAGACTGCTTGACATATACAGTGCTCAGCATAAATGAGTACACCCCTTCAGAGTTGTCAGAAAACCTTTAGTTTCCTTTCAAAATCAACATTTTCTATGTCAGACTATACAACAAAATACTCCCCCAAATGTAGGCCATTGATTGCAAACAAGATTTTTTAAGTTGTATACAATTTTTTTTCCCTATTTAAAATCAGGATGCAGAAATGAGTACACCCCAATAAAAATTCTGGGTGCAAAGCTAAATTTAAGTTACCAGGTCACCCTTATTACCCAGCTTTGTCAAAACTATGGAAATGGATTTTTGCTCATCTAGATATTGAGTAATACATTACTTTTAACAGGGAGTGTACTGATTTATGCTGGGCACAATACAGCTTCTAGGTATGAGTGTGAATAACCTGATCATGTCATAGGGATTTCATTCATGTCACTGGAGAAAAAATATTGTAAAAAAAGAAGGGAAACAAATACTGAGTTTGTGGTTAAGAGACACAGATTTATCAGGCAAGAAGGGTCTGAGGGATAACCGGATTGGATGCAATGTGAGGGTTGTAGGAGGCAGATCTCTGAAGCTTAAGTCCTTCTAAGGACAAAACTCAGTAAATTGTCGTTTACAGAGAATCAATTTAAGCCACTACATTTTTTTCCCTCTGCCTCTGGTGACTCTAGCAACTTCCTGTGATTTCTGGATTTACCCTTACAGATATCTATCTTATTGCAACAGCTGAAAAAATTGCAAATATGAGTTGCAGGGATGGACACAGAGGTTAGACGGGCTGATTACACAGCTACAAAGAATTCTGAATTATGACGGGCCTGAGCGTGACGATCACAAGACGGTACCTTTGATGCAGGCATTGGTTTCCGGATTGCATTAGTGTGAAGCTTGGGAAAAATAACTCCATCACTTTGGCAAAAAAGGTTAAATCTAGCACTGCTTGTGTGAATGAAAACAAAAAATAAGTACAAAAACTGAACAAGTGAAGTTAAGTATGTTTAAGCTGGTAAAGAGAAGAGGATTACACCATATTTATATGTCTATGGGTGAAGAAGGCAGCCTGTGGGAAGAATAATTTCATCCGTTTGCTGTTGGATGCAGAGGTGTTCCCTGTACTGAAACAGAGCACTAAAAGAAAAATATTCTCTTGGTCCTAAAACATCCTTGAATTTAAAGTCCTGCCTCACTCTCAGAACACTTGATATTTAGTTTCAGCATTATGTTGGTGAGTGGTTATAGTTTAAGCAGAGTAATACCCTTTAAGCATGTTTGGAGGTTTGAAAGGATATTGTGTCTTTCAGTACTTAGGTTAACTATGACCAACACAAAGTGTAATTCAAACTAGAGTCCAATCTTAAACCAAACACTCTGCCACCTGGATATTAGACACTTTTTTGAAACTTAAGAAGCAAAAGCTTTCTGTTGATGTTGTGGATTTTTTAAGGTTTGAGCCAGGATCATGACAAAACTCCAAAGCCACAAACTGTGTAAATATCTAGAGTTACAGACACAACAGCAGAATGGTTTATTTATCTGCCTGAGCTTTATCAGTCATACTTGACGACTCAAAATGGCAGAGGAGTTTGGTTGAAAATTCGACCAATAAAAGACAGCACATCACGCCTTACATTTGTTAATCAGATGCTTGATATACACCTCCTCTACAGCAGAGGGCAGCAAAGAGTCAAAAAAGGTTAAATGTTGAGCAGAGGAAAGAGGAGGGACATGTTGATTAGATAATAAAGTAATTAGAGTCGACAGACATGCACACATCCTTGATAACAGATGTGGATCTAAAGGGATTGGTCAATCTCTCAGCTGTGTGTACCTCTCTCTGCGCTGTCATTGGCTGGGCCACCTCTGGCCAGCAGCTGGGTTTGCAGGCATTCAATTTCAGCATCCTTAGATGCCAGGAGCTGCTGCAGCTCTGCTATTTCTGCCTGTGGAGAAAAACAAAGAGTGTATCTGAGGGCTGTGTCAGCCGTAGAGGTCACTAGATATCTGGAAGTGGTGCTGCTCTGGAAAAAAAACAGGACATTTAATGGGATGATCAGACTTAAAATCTAGATTCTGTATCCAGTTGTCATTTTGATGTAGCATTATGTGAGACCCAGCGGAGCTCAACAAATGAAGGTGTAATTTTGAGTCCATCCATTCTGGTAATGGTGGTAAATGGCCTTTAAGGCTTTTGATAATGGAAGGCTATCTCTTAAAAACACAGACCCAGACTTAGCGGTGATTTAGAATTCAAGTAGTCAGTTACACATATGAGGAAGGCTACATCATTGTGTATTGACACAACTTACTGAGCCAAATGTAAACATGAAGTAACAAGTATAAGGATGGATCTTGGGAAATGCAGAAATTAAGAATTTGAAGAGATGAATCATCAGATTTTTGTTGGACACTTGTGTTTATTCTTCTTTTGTTGTTTGTTTGTTTGTTTGTTTGTTTCTACTGCCTCTCCTGCCCTGCTTTTCTAAAGGTGCAGAAATCCCTAAATTACTCTACCTTTTGATTGCTCCCACATAAGTTCACATTGTCAACTGTTTGGGAGTCTGAATAAAAGGATGTACCCTTAGTTAATCAGCAGGAAAAATGCATTTTTTATGATTCCCAAAACCCATGTCCCATTTAACTTATCTAACCAATTTACAACAAATAACAAATGGCTGTGTCACACTGGAAATAATCTAGATACCCTTGAGCCAGACAAAATACCTCTGATTGGTTTCGGCCAATGCATTCCCTTTATTTTTCTCTTCACATATTAGTGTTGCAACCTAAGCCTGCATGAATTTGATGGATTAAAACTTAACCTCCAAACACTCTTTTCTCACATACATTGAAAAATGTGTGTACAGGAATTAAACTTGAATCACAGAAACATCTTCAAATGTCCCTGAGGCCAAGATCAAGCCATGACCCTTTCATTTAAGTCTGAAATGTCCGAAAAATAAAAAATAAAAATAAGACCAACCACACACAAAATGAACTGAACCTGTTGCACTTGTGGTTTTAGACGACAGCAGGTATTTGTTTCTTATACTGGGTTTTTCCCATGCCGAGTTTTGTGTCAACCAACCTTATCAGAGTCACGGATACTCTAGATTGAGACTCAGATAGTGAAGACCTACAGTTGCAGGCAGCAGGTGTCAACAGAAAACAGGTGTACACACAGACATGTTTACTATCACAGCATGTTATAAACTCAACTCTAACACCTCCTGCAGCAGCCTCACAATAAAAGCCACAAAAGCCCGAAAGAGAAGTGAAATACACACAGATTTTCTCCAAGATATTGATGAACTATAAAAGATATTTCCCTTTATAATGTTCCCCTATTATGCCAAGATATATTTTTCCCATCAGCCTGTCTTGTTATTGGCACTCTGCTTGACATGAATGAAGCCCAAAGTATCATCACAGGAATCTTACCAATCCTACTGTGAGTGCAAATACGAGAGGGCAACAACTTTATGAAGTGAGTAACAAAAATAGGCACACATAAGCCAACATTTTAGTTTAAAAATTGACTTGGCGATCAACCCCTTAAGTTATTCCAATGAGCAGTGTAGCTCATGTTAAAGGAAGGGGCTGTGACATATTTGTGTTGTTGCACTTTTTCGACTTTCTCACTTAAAGCACATATACTAATACATCAAAAGGGAGACAGGAAAGGTTAGTTAGAAGAAGAGAGCCAGATTTGTCCATATTCTGCTGCAGTAGATTTGTAGATGAGCACTTGGCTCCTGTTCAAACAGCAACGTTTTACTATCATTTTTATTTCTGATTATTTTGAATTTCAACTGCAGTTTTGATGTCATAAGACAAACAGATTCAAAAGATGGAGGACTGGGTGGAGGAGGAGGAATAAGAGCTGCAAGCACACAATCATAAATTAGAAAGAAGAGGGGAAGTGGAAAAGCACGAGTGCAAAAAGAAAAAACAATGAGGAAGAAGTGAAATTGGAGGAGGACAGGGAAGGTAGAGCAGTAGCAAATGGAATCAGTATCTAATTAGCGAAAGCGAACAAACAAGCAACAAGAAGCAGAAATAGGGGAAGAGAAGGAGAAAGAGGAGGCACCTGTGCGCCGCGCCAGCGCTCCTCACAGTGCTGCTTCTCCAGCTGTGTGTGCTCCACAGTCAGCTTGAGGCTGGACAGCTGGGTCATGAGCGACTGGTAACACACATGGAGAGAATAAGAGATAGAGAGCTAGAGAGAGCAGAGACACAGGCAGAGAGTCATGACAGGAGATGATTTGGAGAGGAGGAGAAAGAAAAGAAGAGTGGAAAAAAGGTGTAGCGAGCAAGCCGCAGAGAGAAGGGTAAGTAGAGAGGAAGGAGGGATACAGAGTGAAGGAGGGAGAGGAGGAAGGAAGCAGTGTAAGCACGGAGAAAGCAATGGCATTTTGACCTCCTTTAAATTAATGGATGATAATTAGTGTGTGAGCAGACCTTCAATCATAGACCTTTTAAAACCTGCTGCTCACGACCCCGCTAATGAGCTTTATGCTAGGTTTCACTAAACTATATGAAAACACTGAAACCTTTTTTTGTGTCTATTTATTAAGGTTTACTGCTGGTGTTAATTAATATGTGAGATGTTTTTGACTGAGTGAGATACAAAGGCTGAGTGAATTACAGTAAATCACAGTCCTTTGATTGTCGTCACAGAAACTGTCGCTATAAGCTCCATCTCTGAGGGAAATCTGGCACCAAGACTGTGATCTGTTTGTCTGTGAGCTGTATCTGTTTGTCGTCTTCAGTTATGTCTGCATCCAAATCTGTAACACTGAGTCAAAGTAATTACACAGTTCATATAGTCTACAATGGCTAATTGTAAAACTCATTACATATTCACTTTGTGTAATGAGTTCATAAATATACCTTGGTGCCTCTTAGTTTCCTTTCATACTGGCCCTTCTCTCCTTCAAGCTCCTCCACTTTGCTCTTCAGCTGTTTCACTTCTTGTAGCAAATCCTGCAGCAAAACAACAAAACACACAGCACCACTTCAGAGGTCTTTACGATCAGGCAGGTAGATTCACCTGCAGACACACTTCTTTACATAATATAATCAAATTTAAAAGTCAAAACACCCCTCTGAACTCATGCCAGCACATAAACGGGACAGTATTCAAACATGGGGTTCACATTCAGTGCAGTTATAAAGGTCTCTCTGCGGGGCCAGACAGAACGGCGGTTAATATGGAAACATGATCCTCCTGAAACAGATACTAGTGCGTGCAGTTATCAACAACCAGGAAAAGGATGAACCTGAGGACCCAGAACAAGAGTGACAGCCATACAGGCTGTGCGTCTGCCAGCTGCACATTGCCATCACCTGAGGGAAACCTTGTTCAGCATTGCATATGATTATAGGAACAGTTATAAGACCCATCCACCTGGTCAGTGTAGGAGGAAACAGATCTAAACTTTGTTAGTTGAGGAAGGAACCATTGTCATGCAAGCAAATCACATCAGATCTAATCACAACAATAAGCCTGCTCCCAACTTCAATTTGAAAGGATTTAGAGAGAGAAAATCCTGATTGGGGATGAAATGTGTTTTTACAAACACTTCAACACTCTTGAGGAGTTCAGAAAAGAGGACATCATCATTTACTGTGCTAAAAGGGATATTCTGACATAAATTTTAGTTATGGTTAAACACACTGTAACACCGAGTTAGACACCCCCTCGAGGGATGAATGTTGCTGACTGCATGCTTCTCTAGTTATACCAACTTTAGTAACGACCGCACGATAGCAATACACAGCGGTTTACGTCTCCATGCGCAATCCTCAACCTGACGAGTCCATCACCAAGTGCAGCGGATGATCTCCATGAAGTAACAATCATCACAATAATCATTTTGCACTGCTGACGCCGTAGTTCTTCTGCCTTAGCGTCTTGGTCTGATTACATTTCCATGAAGTACAATCATAAATGTTCTTCCTTGAGCTGCAAAAGCCAAAGATGTTTGGTGGCTAGTACTATGGCTGGGACCCTATATGTACTGTTGATGAAGGTAGGTGCTGTTCTGAGCATTATTTGTGGCTATAGAGTGGCTTTTTGGTCAAGGTTTGTGTGTGGGGACATAGACCGCTGTGTATTGCTATCATGCAGTCGTTACTGAAGTTTGTATAACTAGAGAAGCATGCAGTCTGCAACAGTCATCTCCTGAGGGGGGGGTCTAACTCAGTGTTACGATGTGTTTGACCCATAGACTGTATATAGAATGGACAGAGTCTGCCTCCTCGCTGGGTGAAGCCACTCCGAGAACAGCACCCTCTGTTGATGGGCTGCAGTATAGGTCATAAATCCCGCCTCCGCCAGCAAAGTTTATGGAGCTGTGGACAAACTTTAGAAATTTATTACACAGAACAAATTTTTCTCCCCCCTGCTTGTGATGTTGACATGTAGTTATTGTAAGACTGGTTTGTGCCCAAGTCCTTTTTTTTCTGTACAGCTCCGTTTTTAAAAGTTATTAGGGGGTTCATGTTTTCTATGATTGACACCTGATACAGCCTATGGGCGTTCAGGGATTGCGTAGCTCACCTGGGGGATACGCTGTTTGAGCCGAGCGTCATCACAGTGACTCTCTGCGACTGCGCGGCCGAATGCGCGCATTGCTACTGCGCAGCGCCGGTTTCAGGAAATGAAGAAAAATCCCGGAAATACAGAGAGCTTTTTGGCTTCAAATCTGTATACAGGCGGTAGGCAGAACCAAGTTGTCCATAGTATATACAGTCTATGGTTTGACCATAACTTAATGTTACGCCTGAATATCCCTGTAAGCATCCACCTTCATATAATTATACTGGGTCGTACAATTTGGAGCTACATTTGTAGGGCTCTTCATAAGTTATCCAGCTCTAACAATGTTAACCCCTCAAAGGCATTAAAGTATTTGAAACACTAATCAGAAGTCTTCATGTCTGCAAAAACCCGAGCACAGCATAACCCCAAAATCCTGATGAACACACACACACACACTGAAACACTATAAGAGAGGTTGTTAGTTTGATTCTGTGGAAAGTTCCAAATACCGGGTGGTGTGTGGACTGGTTAAAAAAGGAGAAGAGAAGAAGAGAAGAAATGATGAGGGAGGAAGGGAGGGAGGGGAAGAGTTCATCCATCAAGTCTCCCTACGTGTACAGTCTGTCCTCCATTGTGTATCCGGACATCTGAGTCAGACAGGCTCAGGTCTGAGCTGGCTAACCCAACCTGAAGGCTGTAGCCCTGGGCCTGGCTGCCTGTGGGCCCCCCCTGCTGGGATTCCTTCTCCTCTAGGGCACGTTTCTCCTGGATACGAGTGCTGATCTCTTCTTGAAACTTGCACATCTGTTCCTGGAGCTCACTGATGAAATTGACCACACACTGGAAGGGTCGGAGTGATGGAGGGCAAATGAAGGGTAGTGGAGGAGATGAATTGGTGAGATTGAGAAAAGGAAAGAGGGAGAAATACAAAAAGTTGTAAAGAGAGGAGAGGGAAAACAGAAATGAACTTAATTGTTAATCGTAGTATTTAGGAATGCCTGTGTACACTTCTAGATGAGGAAACTCTAAACATCAGAGAGAAAAATCATTAGACATCTTCAAACATTAAGGAGGATTATTTCTGAACTTGAGGATGGGGGTTTTAGGAGAATCTTCTATTAACAGGATTAAACATTTCAATCAGCAACGTGATGTTTCTTAAAAAAACAACAAAAGTAGCTTCCCTCTCTGTAAAGCCCCCAATTACAAACACACTCCTCACACTCCTTTTATCCTCTGGCTGAATTCAGGTCTTTCGTTATTGAGATAGTGACATAGTAAGTTCAAAGACACACCTGGACACACACACACGCACGCACGCACGCATGCATGCACGCACACACGCACACACGCACACACACACACACACACACTCTACAACTGAAAGGAGCAAAGAGTTTAAATTTAGATCACTTTGGGGTTACAACAGTCCAGTCTGAGTTGATCCCTACGTCATTTAAAAACGTTCCTTGTGCCAGACAGACAGACAGACAGAGAGAAAAAGCAGACAGGAAGAGGAGAGCACACATTAACTTTTTATTGTGCTCGTATATCAGAGGAACACCTTAATAATATCTCAACCTTTTGAGCTGATCAAACCTTTTCACATCATACTCCACAAACTGCATCGTCCTCATCAAACAGCTTTGTTTCTGAAAAGCTGATTGTGTGGTCATTTAGAAAGTTCAACAGACAGCAGTGAGTTTGTGTGCAGTGTTGGAGTGGCTTCCTGAGGTGAAAGTGTTTTGCCCTCAGGAATGCTCAGAATGGATGCCTGCCATTCCTCCTGCCAGCCGACTGGAGCCTCGCAGCTGTTACTCACCGCACACACACACACACACACACACACACACACACACACACACACACACACACACACACACACACACACACACACACACACACACAAACTAAAGTTTGGAAGCAAGATCAGATTTGTACAAAAAGAGATCATAGTTTCATATATATAATTTGCAACACAATAAACATGACTATTGTGTAAAGAGTAACTTATCAGAAGACATTTTGACTATAATTATTAGGTATTTGAGTTATTGTTGCTTAGACTTAAAGTAACCTCCTCTGGCTTTAACAACAGCTTGGCATATACCAGGCATTCGTTCCACAAGTTTTTTAAGGTATGTTCCAGGGATTGCATTCCAAGCTTTCTTAAGTTCATTAAAAAGAGACTGCTGATTCGTGGGACGCGTTTTTCTGACTGATCGATCCAATTCATCCCGCACAAGCTCAATTGGAGAAAGGTCTGGAGACTGAGGGGGCCAAACCATCTTTTGAAGAACACCTTCCTCTTCTTTTTTTGTCTAGGTAACCCTGACAGAGCTTGGCAGAGTGCTTAGGGTCATTGTCTTGCTGCAAAATAAACTTATGAGCCACAAGTCTGAGTCCAGATGGAACAGCATGGTGCTGGAGGATGGAGTGGTACTGTTCCTTCTTCATGATACCCTTAACTTCAAACAAATCTCCTACTCCATCACCTGCAAAACATCCCCATACCATGGAACTACCACCTCCATGCTGAATTGTGGGTGTAACACATGGTGCTTTCAGAGTGTCACCAGAGTTATGGGTTTCGACCATGTCATGTTGATTTCCTCCCTTATTTTTGGCACTATCTTTTGCCGATCTCTCTTACTGGTGACAATGATATGTTTATCCTCTGCTTTTGTAGTAACTCTCTTTCATCCAGGTCTTTTTCTATCATCACAACTTCCAGGTTCCTCTAGTCTCTTCAGAGTGTAGTGGACTCTTTTGTTAAACACCTTAAGGTGTTTTGCAATTTCTCTTTCTGTGTATCCTTCTTTCCTCAATGTACAAATCTTTACTTTTGTTTCTTTACTCAGTTGCTTCTTTCTAGCTATTTTTGCGGTAGTTTGAACACAGTTGAGATTTAATAGGATTTTTGTTTGCAGACTCTCAAAAGCCAAAAAGTTGAAGTGAATAATCCAACTGTGATTTGTTTTTTTGAAGTTGTGACTCTTGCAAATGTTTTCAACCCTAAAACTAAGCCCTTATTATCTTTTGCTGACATATATTTAGCAATGGTCTGTTAACATCAATGTTTATCTAAAGGTAAATGGAGTAAAATGGTGCATTTCCATGAAAGCAACATCTGATCATGGAGTAAATACATCCCAAAATACATAAAACTCATGCTGGATTTTAAAAAGAGCATTGTGAACAAAAACTTGAAGTTACTCCCAACTGTTCGGCCTGTAATGGCCTTGCTTCCAAACTTTTGGCCTGTAGTGTATACACACACACACACACACACACACACACACACACTTACAAAAACACACTCTCTTTGCTGACAGAAATGTAGACGGTGTCAGTTACCATTGTAACAGGACTAAAGCAAATCCTATCTCTGTACATGGAGCATTGGAAATGTTGGATTTGGGTATGTATGCAGGTGCATATCAGAGTATCAGACACAGTGTCAGATCACTGCACAATCTGTGTATTAACCTGTCAAGGTTTTAACAGCTCTGTTATAGAACCTTAAGTAAGCCAATCGTGTCTATTAGTTCAATTTATGAAGTACTGCTTGCTCCACCCTGTCTTAACTGTCCTTGATTTGACCTCTGTTTTAAAGTATTCCATAAATAATGCAGTAATAGAGTTATAAATTTTCGAGCCCAGATGATGATGAGGTGATAGTCTTAGATCCTGACAGCAGTTTTATCAATGAGAATAGACTGAGGGTATCTGTTAAACCTAATAAAAACAGTCCTTCTCAAGATAAGTGAAAAAATGTGTATTTAGTTACTTCAAACTAAAATCAGCTAAAATCAGGGCATTCGTTGACTCAGTAGTTTAATTGTACAACAGATGTGCCCATGAAGTACGTAGCCCAGGTTCAGCTCTGGCCTGGGGGCCCTCTACTGCATGTTACTGCCCACTCTCCAAATTTATCCCAATCTATCTTACAAACAGCTTGTATGTTTTTGAGCATTGTGAGCTCCCTGCTCTCTCTCTCTCTCTCTCTCTCTCTCTCTCTCTCTCTCTCTCTCTCTCTCTCTCTCTCTCTCTCTCTCTCTCTCTCTCTCTCGGCTTGTCAAACAAAAAAATCTATGCAATTCTCAATCATATATTTAAAAATAATAATGAGAAGCTTAATAACTTCAGATGTAGTTGTTATGTCAGTGTCAGGGCCAGAAAACATTCCTACTGGTTGCTCTTGATCACTCTTGAGATCAGTTCAGGCCTGTGGGTTAGGTTCCTCCTAACCTACATTTTACATTTTAATGTGAGTGTGTCATCCAGTGTGTGACTAACAGCACTCAGGTCTTCTTGGGCTGACTTGGCCTCATTGTGTTTTGGTATTTTTCTAACCCTCTTGGTTTGGTCTTGGTCCCTGTACTCTCTGGATCTGGGAATGCCTTTTCCTTGGTTTATTTGATTTTAACTGAAACAATATATTTAGGTGGGAAACTGGTACAAAGATCAAGAAAAAGAAGGCAAAAATAAGTTAGAGCAGAAACATTCAAAGTCTGTGAAGGCTGAAGGAGCAGTTGTATGTGATTCTGTCAATTTACACTGGGTTTGTAACAGAGCAGCCTCAACAGCTACAATAAGCACAGTTGTTGTAAGTTACCTCATGTGCTGTATTTGTCCCCCTGATATTAATTTCCTCCCCCTTTTTCAAACGTGGCTTCCTGGGCCAAAAATACTTGAAAGGCTAAGAAGGGGCAGCTGTGACTTAGTGGAAGTGTTCGTTGTCTCTCAATCAGGAGGTCAGGGGTTTGAGTCTTGGTTCCGCAGTCTATTTGCAAAAGTGTCCTTGGGCAAGACATTTGACCCCAAACCATCCCTGCTGGCTGCCTCCAGTGGTGTGTGAATGGGATTAGCTAAAACCAATGGGCTCTAGATGTAGCAGCCTCTGTCATCGGTGTGTGAATGGATGGACACATAAATCACAACAATCTAAGATAAGCCTCCCCTTATTTGTAAAGCCCAGAGTCTTAGCACATGTCTGATCTGTGGTAGCAGAAAATGTTACAAAAAGTGACACATCACAGTTTGATTTTCAGAGGCAGTTGTCGCTGACAGTTACGTCCTGCAGGATTTCTAGTGTGAATGTCCTGCATGTTCACTTTGTGTGGTGTGCCTTGCAGGATAGAAAACAATATTTCTTCAGAACATCCTGCCAGTCCTTATCTTTCCATCTGTCCATCACTGTCCCTCATCATGCCCCACCGTTCCCTCTCTTCCATTTCTCTGCCTCGCTTCCTCTCTCGTAGAGCCTCCTCCTCGCCACCTCTCCCTCTCTGTCTACTTCCTTTGATGCTTATCATGGTCGAACTTTGTGCGTGTGTGCGTGCGTGTGTCTGTGTCTGTGTGTGTGGAATATTGGCCTTAATGTAACACTGCATCCTGTTTATTTAATCAAAGTATGAACCTGGGTGCTTTCTGTGCTCTGAAAACACAAACTCACACAAAAACATTCAAAAACAGATCTAAAAACACAAACCCACATACAAAAACACTCACAAACAGATCTAGAAAAGTGTCAAGAATTGGCATCTTGTGGAGCCAGTGTACGGCAGCTGGGTGCAACAATAAACAAAGTCCACACAAAGAAACAAGTGAAGGCAAGCAAAGAGAGATCGTCTGGGCCTCTGCAGCATCACAGTCTCTCTGTGCTTGTGCACATTTGTATACATGTGTGTGTAAAATCAGAAACACTCATATTTCTTCCCTCCCTGAAGTTACTGCCAGAACTTTCTCTACACTTCTTGTAACTATAAAATAATTTATTATTCTGTTATTCCCTTTAAAATGAGTAGTAGGCACAGGCTGTATATAAAATGTGGATGTGGTTTCAGGGGTCTGTAAAGTGAAGCCAAACCAGCAAAATCAGCTTTCCTCTCCTGCCAAATGCCACTCAATACTACACACCACACCTTTGAGAGCAAGGGTATTATGATGTATGTTAAGACCAAAGAATTACAGGATCTGAAAAAGATCTGAAAATCTATTTAGCTAGATTGGCTGAATCTGGACTGTTTCTTTATTCTTATCTATGGGTGAGGTGAAAGACATTAAATTTTTCCTCATGTACTAGAGTTTAAGCTGTGTCTGGATACCAACTAATCCGTCCTCTGAAACTGACAGAGAAAAAGTCTTTCAAGGACCTTAGAATTTGGAGTCAGTATTTCATTAAAAGGTTCATGCAGATGTGTTTGAAATAATTCTTCCTAAACTCCTAAACATGACCTCTTGATTTTTTGCAGTCCTGACTTTGTTGTTTGATGTCAGCCTTCTATCTGGCAGCCCGCTGCAGGATGTTGTTGTAATTGTCTGGAGAGACCATTTGATGTGTTCTGGCTTGTTTCAGATACTTAGTGTTTGAGCGTGAATCTCATCCAGACACATTTCATTGTAAACTCTGCCAGTGAAGCTGAATGGAGGGCATGGTCTTTCTATTAACAAGTCTATCATTTATTTAGGTGGCAGATCTGGTGGCAACAACAACAACAACTCTTCATCAACTGATTGGCCTCTAGATACCAATGTCTCAATAGGATTGTAAACAGACTGTTGATAAAAAATATACTTATCATTGATCACATATGACCAGCTTTAAGAAACCCAGCTTAAAGAGAGAAAATCTAACGTTAGCAAATAAAAGTCAAAGCAGGACAGAAGTTTTCTTGATGTAGAAATAGTTGTTCACGCCTCAGACAGGATATTCTCGAAAATATGGTCCAGTCATGGTTAAGTGATGTTATGGTTAAGATACACTGTGTGGATATGGAAATATTTAATGACATTTATCAGTCTATGATTGATACCCCACCTCCTCCTGCTAGCAACACTAAGCTCCTCACGCATGATAAGTATACTTAATTGAGTTTTTAATATCACATCTATCAGTACGGTTTTTTTTTGTTTTTTTCACGTGACAACAAATATTTTCCTCTTCTCTCTGACATCCAACCAGTACTTCTTCTTTGACTTTACACAGCTCAGTACAAAAAAAAAATATGAAAATATCATCTGCTGCATACACTTTTACACTCTAACTTCTTATTTTCATGTCATCCACCTAAAAACCAGGTCCTTGTCTCTTTAACTATATTATTTTGTTTGAATTATTCTGACCAAGACAGCTGGTGGTCAATGTTGTTACTATTTTCTTTGGCTGAGGGTCAGGGAAAACTAGAAAAAAAAAGAAAAACAGATAACAACCAGCATGTCTAACAACAACACAAGAGTAACTCAACATTTTCCTAAATAGTCCCTGATGGAATGAAAATGTTCTCTCTCAACTCAAAGAAAAATATGCCAGATGTGCTTTTTTTGGTAACTATGTTGGGAATGAATTTATGTCTTTGTAATTTTTTGATTCAACAATAATGGAGAAAAACTTTCATAGACAAACGCTGCCTTTTTAGAGTATTTTGGAGTAAACATTCTGACATATTTATGAAATGTTAACTGTTATGTACAGTATCAATCAATAACATCAGCTTGTTTTTAATTACTAATTAGTGCTCAAGTTCAGTTGACTATGACTGCAGACTTTTAACAGTGTTTCCACATATGGGCAGTGTAATTAAAACACAAGACAAATCTATCTATACTGGGTTATCAATGTCCACACAAATATCACAACTACCTGTTTACAGCTTTTAGAAACAACATGTTTTTCCTGTTTATTTCATGAAATCTTTATTTTGGCAGGTAATGTCAGCAAGACTTAAATTATTATTTTAAACAGAGACCTGGTATTGAACTAAGTAAAGGTTTAAGTGAGTGTCTGGTAATGCAAGACTTAGATTTATACTTTGAAGCTAAAAGCTAACTAACTGTTAAAGTGAATTCATCAAGAATGGCCTGGCAAAGGAATGTGACCTATAAAGAATAATCTTTTTAGTGAGTATTGTAATACTCTGGACATCTAATTTACTTTTATCTCTTTTATACACATGTAAAAAATCTGAATTTAATGATTTGTAGAGGGGACATCGTGAGTCATTTATCAAAACAGACAATGCACAGATATGCCTGTCACAGTTATTAAAAATATACAGTGGTAGTATAATGTACACCTACATACAGTAATGTTATCTAAGTCCTTCAGAGAAACCTAACAAAACAGATGTCGAAGCAACAAGTGAAAACAGTGCAATCCCTCTCATGCTTCCTGTCTGGCAAGAGGTGTCTGTTACTTATACACAATTAAAAACAGCATTTCAGGTTGTAATCTCTGTCATCCCCAAGAAGTGCAGTTCTGCTCTTGTTGAATGAGTTGTCCAGCGTATGCTCTGTGAAATGTAGACACACAAACATACACACACGAGCACACACACTTTCCATACCTCTGCTTTGTTCTGCTCTGTGCCTGTGGGGTCCTGTGTCTGTGCGTTGGTGTTGGTGTCCTCCATGCTGACCAGCTTCAGTTTGAGGTACGACACTTCATCCATGAGATCCAGCTTCTGAGTCTCCAGAGAGGTTCTGCTCATCAGCTCCTTAAATCAAACACACACACACACACACACAGTGACAGTAGGTTAAATTAATTGAAAACAACACGAAAAGGTTTTTCAAACTAGGTCTACTCAGGCTTTCAACTAAAATACATACATTCGAGGTTAAGGTAGCGAGAAATCAGCTTGCAAATCCACTCAGTTCAATGTTCCTCCCACACTGACAAAGCAGGCCAGGCTGGGGGCCCAGACCCCTCAAAGCTAAATATACACACTCTCACACACACAGTTGAACTGGGGACTCTATTAATATATCACTGTGCTTCTTTGGTATGGGAGAGAGGAAAAAGACAGTGTGTCTAAAAAAGAGACAGACCAAAGAGCAGCATGAAAAAGTTTTCATCTGACTCAGAGAACACTCTACTCCTAGATAACTGTCAATGTGTCCTCTGCTTTCACTTCCTCATCTCAGCTCCTAATCCCACTTCCTCTTCTTTAAGTTGACTCGGCTTGTTGTTAAAACCTCTAACATCCATTTTGTTGCACAATTCTCGTTGATATAAAACTACTGAGAAAATAGGAGAAGTAGCCTCTGAACAGTCCTCCTCGAGTTTTGGGAAACAGATTCAAGTGGGAGGGAAAGCAGGGACATCCTTCACGTTGGTCATTTTAAATAAGACACAGTAAAAACAGTAAAATAAAGACACTTCATATGTTTTGATGTCTCTAGTGTGGATAAAGCAGCTTGATGATGACAGAGATCAACTTGCTCTATTAACAGCACTGCCACTCTGCTTTGTTTGATTTGTTTTTTAAATTGTTGTTGTTACTAACATTGGAATGATTCGAGATTGTATAGGTCTGACTTGTTTGACTTAAATAGTGGTACAGTGCCATTTTAAGATTATTTAAAGAATAATCCACAACTTTCTTCTCATAGACTGCCCTCCTTTCCACCTACCTACACAAATTTTGCACACAAACCCAAAGAGGAACATGTGGAAATAAAGAGGACTATTTTTGTCACAGCAGTTTCTTGACTACACAAAGCCTTTGCGAGTTGATTTCATTTGGGTAAAAATCCAATTCAGTATGTGATAAAATAAAACGTCTATTTCATTTAAGTCTAATCAGTGAAAAATAATGAAGCACTCAGATGTGCGATACTGTGAACATGATTCTGAGAGCCAATTTTCAAGATAAAGAATAATGTTACCCCAGTGAAGAGGGAAGAAAAGCTCTTAGAGATTGTTTTGGGTTAAAGTCATAAAGCTTGGACCAAGAAGTATTACAGGTTTTGCTCATAAACTGAAGTTATGGACACACTCAATTTTGGCCTGTTAAAAAAAACAAAAAACGTCTCACCTTCATTTTGTACCTCTTTGTACTAATAAGTATTTTTAGCACACACATTTACTGGACTGTTGCATTTTTTTGTCATAAGCGCATGTGGATGTCAAAATTAACAGATTACTAACAACTCTATTCAACCACAGAGGGACAGCATACCATCCATAAAGACAGTTCACATGTGTCAACACCACAGCAACACACAGACAGACAGACAGCTAAAAACCCATAATTACTCCAGCTCTGCAGCTACACACACGCATGCACGCACGCACGCACTCACGCACTCACACAATCTGCTTAGTTATGGAAGCTGACTGTCACTTTGCAATCTAACACCAGTGTCACTTACAGCAGGATAAGCTTGAGTCTTTAGAGGTAATTCATCAGAACTCTGCGGTGGAGGCCCACAACTCAGCTGCCTGACATTTGGCTTTCCTTTAATTATGAGAAGCCACATGTGACAAATTGTCATCATGTCTCAAGCATTTATAGATCGCCCTTAAAAGACTGCATTTGTAAAAGAAAACAGAAAACCCAAGACTGACGCTAGATTGTATGTATCTGCGGCCCACCTGTTCCCAAAATAAAATGTATGTGTAAGTAAGTATTATACACTTACAATTTCACTTTTGCAACTGGTACTAATAACCAGCTTATGTTTCTATATCTTGTCTGGTAAAAACGAAAATCTAGCCAGCAATTTTAAAAACTACCTAACTAGCAACCTAACTGTTCAGGAAACTTTCTCACCACAACAATGTCAAACTAAGAGCACAAAGTGGCTCCTCACAGTCATTTCTGTCTCCAAATAAGGCCACAGTCACACAAGCATTCCGATTATGTCTAATGCGTGGAGGTCTGTGTTTGCTGACTCAGGACTATTTCTAATTAGATTAGTTGTGGTTCCCACAGCAAGTAGCAGCCCTGCAGCACAAGCACACAACTCTACAGCTACATCTCTTTCCCCTTTCTTTGTCACTTGAACATAGGCTAAAGAAAATGACTCCAACACAGTAGGGCTACATGATTTTGGCAAAAAAAATTAAATCCAGATTCTTTCTCTGAAAACTCGATTTTCAATTTCGATAAGTCGATTAGTGAGCACTTCACCAAACTTCACTTTAATAACAAGTATTTCTACCATCTCTAAAAAGGAAACTACTGAAAATGATGTAGTGCATATGCCAAGCCAGTAAGCGGCGCTGTAATGCTGCACAGGAAATGCATCACAGACAGAAGAAGAGTACAGAGCATGTGTATAAAGGTTGTTGCTGGATACACGCAGGCGCCATAAAAGAGTTACACTGTGTGTCCAGAGGACTGTTTGCAAATATCTCATATCACATGCTCTATTTGACCAGCATTCCTTAGCTGTGAAAGAAAGAAGACAGACACATGAAAACAATCAAGCATAAACCAACAAAAACCAAGACAGACGCTGAAGTTAAGTCCAATAAAACCCACAGAGTGAGAACTCAAATCCCTGGTTTAAAAGCACCCACAGGATCATCAGATTCAATGCTAGATTTACAGTCATTTTGAAAAGCTGCAAACATATGTGCCTGCAAAACTTCTTCATAAAAGAATCTCAACCCATTTTAACACACCTGAAGCACAGTGTAAATCCTGTTTATTTTAGTAACAACTTCTTATACATTTCAGAGGAATACTCTGTTGAAAAAAAAAAAAAAATTTATAGATGAACGCCTTTCTTTTTGTCAGCTGCAGTTATTGAATGAAATATAATAATATAATGAATATATCAGCCTCTAATCATGATAGCACTTAAATCAGAAATACTTTTTTTTTTAAAGTAAAACTCTGCTTGATCTCAAAGGGATATTTCAGTGTAAACGTAAGTTATAGTCAAACACCCCCTCGAGAGATGAATGTTGCTGACTGCTTGCTTCTCTAGTTATACCAACATCAGCAATGACCACAACATAGCAATACACAGCGGTCTACGTCTCCATGCGTAAATCTCAACCAAAAAGCCACGCTATAGCCACAAATAATGCTCAGAACAGCACCTAACTTCAGCAACAGTACATATAGGGTCCTAGCCATAGTACTAGCCACCAAACATCTTTTTAGCTTTGCCTGTTTTTTTTTAAGCAAAGAGACCAACCACAACTCACCCACTCTCCTCCAGCAGCCGCTTGTTTGTGGGGGGAGCCCTGACGAGTCGATCACCAAGTGCAGCGGAGTTTCACAGCTCAAGGAAGAACATTTATGATTATTTATTCATGGAAATGCAATCAGACCAAGTGCACATACAAGATACACAAGAACCAATTGCATTTTCATGAAGTAATGACCATAAGTGTTCTTCCTTGAGCTACGAAACTCTGCTGTACTCGGTTTAATTTCTTTTGCAGTACCACATTTTAAGCCATACAAATCTGTGATAAGAAGTTAATATTGGTGCTTCAGTACGATCCCAATAAAGAAGAAATTCTTATTTTAAAGAGTTACCTTTGTTTTAATCTGGTAAGGATTAAAGAAACAATGTGGCTTCTTTGACCTGTGAAATAAACTTTTCCTCATTAAAGTAAATCCTATGACTGAACCAAGATGGTTATGATATGAAGAAAGTAAACAGTAGAGAGTCAAGCTGGTGTGCCCTGAATTCAACTCATTGCCACGCCTTTATTTACTCATTTTTAGTACCACCTTGCTCTTCTACCATTTAACGGCCAGTTCATGTTTGTATCCTGTTTGACTGCTGACAATAAATAAACATGCTTTGTTCGTTACTAAATGTATGAGATCATTGTAGAGCATGTAAATTTCTGATGAGATGGGAGAAAAAGTTCTGGCAGGAAATTCTGCCACAAGTTTACTTAGTTCTAGTGTTCTTAGGTTGGATAACGTAAAACATGTTTATTGAATGTGCTCAAACAACAAAATCGACCATACTATGTTTGCCTCGAGAAAACCTGCAGCTTCACGATGTTTTTTCTTCTTCTTTGATTCCTACTTACAGCAGATTTTTACAATAAGATGGGGAATTTGAGCAGTTCGCTGGGGGAAAAAAAAGGTTATATAAACAACCCGTTGGTGGTCAGGAAAGTTCTTTGATAGTTCACATCACAGTTATTCTGAGAGGACTTATTTCTTGGTGGTTAAAATGGAACTTTCAGTTCTTATTTATCAACTAGTCTTAAGGTAAGAAAACACTCAGAAAACAGTTGGATCTGAAACAACTCAAATATGACAACGCGTGGGATCACAGACTGAGCAGGTAAAATCTAAGCAGGTTTACAGAGTGAGGCTAATGTTAGCAGAGCTAGTCCCACCAGACTTCAGTAAACCTCACTTTCATCGTCAAATTAACCTGACAAACAGCCGACATGGATTCAGATGTTCTAGGCTCACGTGCTCTGTGCTGTGCAGTGGTCATTAACCAGACCCACAGCCCCCAGCTGGTTGCAGGCTGCTGTGCAACAGCTATAGTCACAACTTCTGACCTACATTTTACAGGGACATCATTTACATTTAATCAATTAGTATATGAAATACACGTTATTGTTTCTGGACAAATCTACAGAACAAGAAGACACGACTTCTTCTTTTGCCTCCTTAGAGCATTTGTATTGTGATCTATGTTAAATAGTGATATATCATCTGTATGTGCAGAGGTTTTCTGGTGACCATGTTGCTGATGTACAGTGATGCCCGCATGAGTTAACTCTTGCTCTAATATAAAGCACAAGATGCATATCCCTGTAACCACAAAGTATCAAGAGTTTTAAAGGAACTGAGGTAGTAAAAGGAACATTTGTTCCAGCAACCAGCAGCAGGTCCATAAATGATGTCAAAGACATTTGACAAAACAGGACCTTTCTGTTTCTGTGTAACAGAGTTAGCACAAACAACTTTACCCCACTGTGCAGCACTTTGCTTATCTTGATTTTGTAAAAATGTGCAATATAAATAAAGTGGATTGGAATGAATGCACATGTTCACATGTTAATGTGTGTTTATACAATACCTGTTGCAGCATCGCCTCTGTGGAGGCCAGTTTTTGTCGGTGTTCCTCCAGAGAACTTTCCAGGTCTCTAATCTTCTCACCCTGTGCCTCCACTTGGTCAGTCAGAACGCTCACCTGAAGAGAGACACATTTATTGTTCAAGAGCTTCCACTGAGCAAATGTAGAAAATGCTGTTGCACATATAGAAAACCATCAAAATAAAAATGCAGGAGCATAAAACTGCACATACGCACACAGAATGACTAATACATGAACTAACACAAAACTCTGAAGAAATTAAATCAGATCTGGATTTTTCTGTGGTTTACACAAAAACCTTCATACCTTGTAACATCATCAAACCTCCTCCTTTTGCTTCACTTTTACCACAAACACATTGACTCCAAACAATACAGGTTCATTCAGTAGCCCGTCACTCAGGAATGTGTTGCACATTTACTAAAATCCCCTTGACAACGCACTCAAGTCAAGTGAAACATCTTCCTTTCAGAGGCACACACACACACACACACACACACACACACACACACACACACTGCAGTTCTCCTGTTCCCCTAAACTATGTCAAATATCTCTGACAGCAGCTGATTCTCTGTCACTTTAACTCTCCTGATTTTCATCCCTGCAGCACCATCCTGTCTTACAGCGCTCTGCAAATACAGAAACTCCTGCAAACTTTATAGCTCAACGTGTTTCAACATTCAAATTACAAAGAAAACAAAGACATGTGATGTCTCAGAGAGGAGATGAGTGACTGATCTGGAAGACTGCATTTCCTTGTATTTGGAGACAATCCATGAACTACATGGATGAATGAACAACATCTGAGCTTCGAAGAAAACAACTCTAGTTGACTGATTGAGCATTAAAAAAAAGCATTGTGTTTGTGACACATACATAAAAAGACAATCTAAGAATTAACAACTAGAAGTTTCCAACGCTGAAGAGAAACTATCTTACCTCTCTGTGCTCTGCTACAATCAAAGTGAAAGCTCCTTGTGAGGCAGCAGGGGTTTAGCTGCTAACCACATTGCACAACACAAAAGCACTAAGACAACTTGGAGCTCTGAAAGAGAGCAGGTGAAAGCAAAAGCAAAGAAACCTGAAGATGGCAGACTTCCTACAACCTGTTGAATCTTCCTTCAAGAAAAATAAGCCCCTGTCACCTTGCATGTTAGCCAATCACAGCAGGCCTTAGACGTGGATTGTGTAACATGTGGGTGTGTGAGTGTCAGAGGTGGTGGGACATGATGAGACTCAACTTTATTGACTTTATGACAACTTTACAAAGCAGAGCCATCCAGTTAGTACACTTTTGAGAAAGGCCATTAACACAGAAAACAAAAATACATGTTTGCAAACAGAGATGAGTCTAAAACAGGGATTTAAAGTGTGAAGGCTGACTGTGAAAATCACAGCTGTATGAACCAACTATTAAAATGATCTAAGAGTGGAAAACCTGTTGACGTCATGCCACGCAGGAATATACAGTATAATCTTGTACTTAAGCTGATGTTTATAGTTGCTCTGAATGTCCTCAGTAAACACATGCTAAGGCATTTCCAGGTGTCTGAGCATGTTTTGTTATAAAATAACATGAAAAAGTACAGAGACTCCCGATTGAAAACTTAGATACTTCTTAATTCCCTGACTCACTGATTGCAGAGATGGGATTTTCAGAAACTTTGTGATAAACACAGCTGAACTGCAACAAAAACTGAGATGTATTTTGACTCCTCTGTTGATCATGGTGATTACGATAATTTTTGGGAATTGCTTTGGAAAAAGTTGAACTGTTAAAAAAAATACTCTGATTCAATGATTAAGGGGTGCTGTTGCCTTTTTCCGCCTTTATTTTAGGAGATTTAAAGAAACACAAGGAGAGAAATGAGAACAAGACCAATAACCAACTTCAGTAAATATGGATATTTGAGATCACACTTGGCTAGGGATGGGAATCGAGAACCGGTTTTTGTTTAGGACCAGTTCCAAATTTTTCTATCCATCGACATCGTTTACATTTTATCTTAACAATTCCTTTGTTCCCAGTGCCTTGAAAATCAGTCTCACGAGAGCCGGTCTACGTGAACAAGAACGAAGACTTTGAGAACAAAAACATAGAGGGAAGTCCGCAAGTAGGTAGAAACGATCTGAAGTGTGACTTCATTTTACTAAAAAAGACGACAACAGCATGACGCGCAACATTTGTGGAGCAGTGATAACATGCAATGGTGGAAATACCAGCAACATGATTAAACATTTGTCAATTGGGCACGGCATCAAGTATAAGGAGTCACATGTATTCAATGCTCTATGCCGGTCGTCAGCTGCTGCTGCTCCATCTCAGCACGATATGGAAGTTACATTTGTCCTGTGTTAACATTAGCATAATGCATGCCAGACTTAACAATGTCTTCTTTTACCCGGACATGTGCTCTTTTTAGGGGCTATCCAGCCTGTCTGGGGGGAGTTTGCAAAATCCTTAAAATGTCCAGGGTTTTGTATGGAAGTTTTCAGTTTGTGTAGCATGGACTAACTGAGTTAGAAGCGACCCTAACCCATAAAAAACACTCAACCTGAACCAAAAAAACCATTAAAATTTTGCGTGTGACTCTGCCCCGCATAGTGATGTCCTCTTTTAGGGGATCCAGAATATGGTCAAACTAATTTGACTTCATACCGACGAAAGTTAATGCTGTACAAATAAATTGTGGTTTGATTTTTTTTAGACTCTCACTGAAGGTGGCATACATCTTTTTCTGTTATCAGAGACTCAATAAAATTTTGAGTCAATAATAATGCATCAGATTTCATATAGCGCTTTATCAGAGACCCTCAAAGCACTTTACATTGGATACATCATTCATTCGCTCACACAGTCACACCTTGGTGGTGGTAAACTACCTTAGTAGCCACAGCTGCCCTGGGGCAGACTGACAGAAACGGGGCTGCCAGTTTGCACCTACAGCCTCTCCGACCGCCACCACTCAACACTCACAATCATACACCACAGACACAATGAACAGACTCGGATAAGGGGGAATCGAACCGCCAACCTTCCAGTTATTGGACGCTCTACCTCGTGAGCTACTGCTGCCCAATGGTGAAAACCTATAGTCTCCTTTTTCTTAAATCAAAGAAAGGCATTGAAAAGGGAATCGTTTAAGAATTGAATCTATAAGCAGACTCGATAATGGCATCGATATCTATAAAATCTTATTAATTTTCATCCCTCCACAACTTCAGGGAGCGGCCCTAATAGCAGTTGTTTTTTACTTTTAATGAAAGAAACTGTGAGATGAGGAGCATTAGCAATTTCAGGGAACACAAACACAGAGTTCTTCTCACCTGTAGCACCAGAGACTCTTTGTCTCCCTCTAGGCGGAGCAGTCGTTCTTGGTAGCTCTCATTGTTGGGTGGAGTGCACAGGTTCACCTGGATACATGACACAGAAGTGGACAGGAGTTCAAATAACAGCACTCATCTTTTCTTATTGGCATGATATCAATGAGTTAGCTTGATTGGAAACAACAGTTGAAGTTTGGATTGAAGTTTAGCCAGGTTCTAAGCAGATTTCTTATTAAATGCAAGGTTATGTATCTTTACATTTAACATGAGCTCCAGTAGCACTTAATTTCCTTTATGGTTTCCATAGCATAGTTGTGTGACTAAAGAGTAACGAGAGGAAAGGCAGAAACTTGAAATCCTGACATAGCCCGTAGGTCCTCCTGTCCTCTGACTTCGTCAACTGATGGTGAATATGCGGTTTCAGATTTAGAGTATAATACAGTCATACAGTGTGAAGGGATGTTGATGCACTAATGTACAAACGGCTGACCTACTCTTGCACGTGGAGGTGACAGAGTCTCTGCTATTCACATATAGTTTATTTTCACCCAAAAGCACATGATCAGGAATTATAAGAGATCATCTGACTTTTCTGACTGTAGCTTATCTGCTGTCAGGCCTCATTTTCAACAGCTTGTGATATGATTATCATGGAACCAACAACTCTGACCACTGTATGAGAAAACGCGGACATGGCTATCTTCTGAACGGTACACAGCCTTGTGTGTGAAAAAGTTGTGTCAGGATGAAAATGCTTTGTAACATGGAATTACACAAGCAACACAGAGCACCATGTCCTTCAGTCTGCAGCTGGTTCACAGGTTTTATTCGGATTATGACATAAATGTGTTCACGGCAACTCAGAAAAAAATGTCAACCAGGCAAAACTATTTGAAAGGATTTAAGGTTTCGATGACATATTCAGTGCAATTTCCAATTCTCCCTTCAGGGTCAGTTTATCCCATCTTTGAGTGTGTGTCCAGTGCTGCTGACTGCCCATACTGCTGCTGCTGTTAACAGGGAAACTAAGAAAGAGGATGTATTATATAACTATGAAGCACAGACACAATCAAATGATGTTTGCTGCTTTGCAAACTCTCAGTTTAACATTTACTTTGAGAATTATCAGCTGAGGTTAAAGACTTCAAGCAGCTTTGAGTTTGATGAGTTAGCACAACCACACTACACACTAATGTTCAAGGTGGTACATTATTGTGGCAACCATAGACTGTATATACTGTGGACAACTTGGTTCCGCCTTCCGTCGTTATACGCATTTGAAGCCGAATTGCTCTCAGTATTTAAAGGATTTTCTCCACTTCCTGGAACCTCCACTGACGCACAACTGTTGTACCCATTCGGTGGTAGAGTTGCCAAGAGTTGTTGCGATGACGCTCGGCTCAAAGAGGGTATCCCCTGGATGAGTTACGCAATCTTCGTACACCTATAGGCTGTATCAAGTGTCAATCATAGAAAACATGAACCCTTCATAACTTTTAAAAATGGAGCTGCACAGAAAAAAAAGAGGACTTGAGCACAAACCAGTCTTACAATAACTACATGTCAACATTGCAACCAAAGGGGGGGGGGGGGGATTTACATTAATTACATTAATTACATTTTGTGTAATTAATCTCTAGTTTGTCCACAGCTCCATAGGGATTTAGGGATTGCTGGAGGAGGTGAGATTTATGACCTATACTGCAGCCCATCACCAGAGGGTGCTGTTCTCACGGTGGCTTCACCCAGCGAGGAGGCAGACCGCGTCCATTCTATACAGTCTATGGTGGCAACCAAATCATTAAGAAAGTTTTTTGTTTCAGCTATAATTTAGTGTAATTTTTTATCATTCTAACAGAGTACTACAATATGGTGAAAAACAAATAAAAGAGTTACCATAGTTATCAAAATCATGTTTCATAATAATCATGTGAAGATCTGCTCATGTGACCTGTAACATCCACTGCGCTGAATAGACCTGCTTCACAAGCTGATCCCTGACACCACTAGCCCATATATCTTGTGGAGCAAAATGAAAACAAAATAAGTGGTATGGCTGTGTAAAATAAAAGATCAGACCTGACAAAACACACGAAGTACATTTGTCGAATACCTGAGCAATTTTTGTTGTATCTAAAAGTATACTCCAAAGGCCAAGACTGGAGTGCAATCCTGCATTACTATTTTCACATATTTCAACACCAAGCCAAATGAAAACATTTCTCTTACAGTCTTTGTCCAGCTCTGCGGTTCCCTTTGGCTCATAGAGTGTTAAAGCTCATTGATTTGAGAGCCTGGGACTTCTCTGTTTCTGCTGACCTCTTCTCTGTCGCCCACCTTGTTTTCAACAGCAGGACTAGCTGTCTCTTAGTGGAAAGCTCTGATAACCTATTGTGCACTATCTGCTCTGCTTCAAGCTGAGTAAATGATTAGCTGGTGAACACAGTGGAGCATTTAGCAGCTCAAAATGCAAAGGAGTCATTGAAGATGAAACAGCTGATAGGGGAGCCAGAATTGGGGGATTAAATCTGTAAAATGGCCATCAACCCAAGTGAACTCAAACTGAATATTGTTGTTTCTCCATATGTGCTCTATGAGTAATCTAACTACAATTTGTTTTTACTGACTCCTGCCAATTATTGTGTGATTATACTGGACCCACATTGACTACACAGCAGCCTAAAAAGACACAAAGATTCAAAGGAAAGTCTGCTTGTAGTGTAGACCTGACTTCACTAAAGGAGGTCCTTCCTGCTGTCGTGATGATGACCCAGTTTCAAACGTAAACATCAGTGTTTTAAGCTCTTAACTCAAAGTCCGATCTGATGCTCCCCACTGAAAAAAAAAAAAAAAACCTAGAAGTTGTGGACTGAGATTTGAGTTTCAGACCACCAATGGCGCTTTCTGAGAGAACATCTTCATGACTACATCACTTACAGTAAACAAGTAAACTGGAAATGTCGACACAACACCCATTTAAAACACTTACATTTAAACACAGATGAAGTGCAATATACTACATGACCATACATGTTCACAAAGTCCCAATCTGAGGGGTGGGAGGAATTCAAGACTCAGTAGCAAGATACACAAAGTTACTTGAGCATGCGGGCTGGAAAAGCTGGGGATTGAACAGCTGATCAAATGATTAGAGGACTTAAGGGACTTACGATTTAAAAAAAAACCTTTGCTTTCCTGTGACTGAATGACTTTTGTTTGTCACTCCAGTGGGAGAAGTAAAAAAGTATTTGAAGTATGTTGTAATCAGAGATATTCCCATCAGACTGCAGAGAAGCTGGACCATTTCAGGGAGGTGACAGAGTGCTTAAAAGGGTTGATAAAGGTCTGGTTCTATCTATCTGTCTGTCATCGCCTGGTAGGCTGAGTTGGTCAGGAAGGAAGGAAGTAGACAGAGGGGCAAAAACATGGGGCAGATCATCACCCCCCCCCCACCCCCCCCCCCCCCAAAAAAAAAAAAAAAACAAAAAAAAAAAAACTAATGAGCAAATGATCAGAGCTGAACAGCAAGGCTCATTTGATGTTCAACAAAGACACCTCCCTTCACAGCAGAAAATACTAAAGGTTCAATGTATGAGAAGCTGCTGCAGAGAGTATACAGCCCCACAGCAAATATTTTTCCAAAGTGAAAACATCTGCACAACAGGGGGATTTTCAGGGTTTGATACAGTGTAGTTTTCTGAGTTTTCATCGTAAGAGCTCAGTCCATTAGAGGGTGGGATCCTATTGACGCACAACCCTGTGTATGATCCAACTCTCTACAAATGTGAAGACAAGCAGGAAAGTGCCAACTTTGATGAGTCACCAAATAAACTCTACACAGTACTCTACTGTGTGAATGTGTGCCTTTTTAAAAAAATCATGTATAGAGACATATGCAGTAACGGCTGCAGCAACCTGTTTCACTACCTTAAAGGGATATTCTGGCGTAAACTTAAGTTATGGTCAAACACACTGCCCTTGCACTGTCATTGCATTTCCATGGAGTAATAATCATGAATGTTCTTCCTTGAGCTGCGAAACTCCACTGTACTCGGTGATCAACTAGTCAGGGCTCCCCCACAAACAAGTGGCTGCTGGAGAAGAGTGGGTGAGTTGTGTTTGGCCTCTTTGCTAAAAGAATCAGGCAAAGGTAAAAAGATATTTGATGGCTAGTACTATGGCTGGGACCCTATATATACTGATGATGAAGTTAGGTGCTGTTCTGAGCATTATTTGTGGCTATAAAGTGGCTTTTTGGTTGAGGTTTGCGTGTAGAGATGTAGATCGCTGTGTATTGCTATCTTGTGGTCGTTGCTGAAGTTGGTATAACTAAAGAAGCAAGCAGTGTGCAACATTTATCTCTCGTCTCGGTGTTAACTCAGTGTTACGGTGTGTTTGACCATAAGTTAAATTTACGCCGGAATACCCCTTCAACTCTTTTTGAAGCACCACTACTCTATAACGACAGCACAGCCATGCAATTTCCTTAAATCCTACTTTTATCGTAATGAAAAGAGCACTAGTCAGAAAGATTGTTCAGAAAACACAAGGGACCCTTACACCTCTTAATTCATTGCTGTGTGTTAATTTGATTTGGTCCTGGTTGTAAAGCACATATTGTGAGGGACAGTCCCTCCAGTCTATTTTAATTGGAAAGATGGCTCTATATATTTTATGTCTGCACAGCTTGGCAATCAACAACCCCAGGGAGTAGAAAGAGTGAATGTTAAGGTAAGCTGGTGGCACGAGTTTCTAGAGGGGTGTTAAAATAGTGATCACACCTGAGGACTCTGATACTTTTATGGTTTCATACAGACCTGTCAGGAGGACCTGCTTTGAGTCAAATTTCCTGTTTTAGCATACTATTAAGACATTTCCCAACACACAGCCATGAACAGATAGGCTGCTGTTTGTTTGCGAAGGTACCACCCTAAGGTTATGTAATGTAGTGATGCGCTCAAGTCACCGTACAATACAACTCATGATTAAGCTTATGAAACAAGTTGTCTAAGGTTTTTTTTAATGACACCGTGTGTAGTACATAACATTTAGCAGAACTGAACTGGTAAAAATGATGCATTAATAAACATGTTTGTGGTCATGTAATGACCAGGAATAAAATAGGGCTGAAACGATTCCTTGAGTACCTGGATTACAAAAAATGGTCGAGGAATAATCTCTGCCTCGAGTACTCATTTATAAACTCAAATTGTCACTGTTTTCGCACGGATTATTTTCAAGGTGACACAACGTGCCTATGTCACCATGGCAGAAGGAGAAGTTTGGTGCGGAGTGGAAATAATACTTGATGAGAGGAGCTTTTCTTCTGCAGCGCTCCAGTAGCTCATTAGCACTTTGCCTCTGAGTCGTGGGTGGAGACGGCGCTGCTCTGCACACTCCTCTTCACGCTAGCTTGCAACCTAACATTGCTGATGTCATATTGGAAGCAGGTAACAGGAGCTATTCAGCTCTCAGACACTAATGTCTTTAGCAGCATGATGAAAGCTAACATCATAATTAGCTTTCTTACGAGCATTACAATCCTCTACCGCACATGCTTGTTCCGCAATTGTTCTGCGACAATTGCACTCAAATTGAATTTGCCCTCAGGGATAAAACAGAGTTTCTACTTTAAGAATAAGAATAAGTTATTCTTATATAAGAATAAGTTATTCTTATTCTTAAAGTAGAAAAAATATGTTTTATCTGATTACTTAGTTAATCCATGAAATATTTGGTAGAATACTCGATTACTAAAATATTTGATAGCTGCAGCCCTAGAATAAAATGATTCTGTCTGCTTAAAATTAGCTTTTATCTACAGAGAGCAAATCCTCTTTCACAGAGGTCACCTTCTTGGACTACCACCATGTAGCACAAACAGCTGGTGTATGTTTTTTTCTATTTAATGAATGATTGTATGAAATGTACTGTTTGAAAGAAAGAGGATGGTTGTTGTTGTTGTGGAATAAGAATTTGCACCGATAGAAGTAATCTTGGAGAACACCGGCAGCACTGTGAGGGTCATGTTTTTTGACTTCTCCAGTGCTGCCAGCACCATCCAGCCTTCACTGCTCAAGGGGAAGCTCGAGAGGGCGGGAGTGTCACCTAGCTGCATGGGCCGTGGACTACCTCACTGACAGACCACAGTTTGTGAGGCTTCAGAACTCTGTGTCAGACATGGTGGTCTGCAGCACGGGGGCTCCACAGGGGACACTGCTCTCCCCCTTCCTCTTCACCCTGTACACCTCGGACTTCAGCTACAACTCTGGGAGCTGTCACCTCCAGAAGTTCTCTGATGACACAGCCATCGTCGGATGTGTATCGTCAGGGGATGAGCGGGAATTCAGGACTGTCATCACTGACTTTGTCAACTGGTGTGGCACAAACCACCTCCAGCTCAACGCCAGTAAGACAAAGGAGGAGGACACCCCAGACTGTTCCAGTGAACATCCAGGGTCTGGACATTGAGATGGTGGAGTCCTACAGATTCCTGGGCGTCCACCTCAACAATAAACTGGACTGGTCAACCAACACAGACGTCGATACAGCATCGTATTGCAATATTTTTTTTGGTGATATATTGTATCGTCTTATCTACCAAGTATTGATTTTTTAAATGAATTGTTAATATGAAGTCAAATCTAGCATAATGGAAAAATAAAATCAGCTGTTTGTCCAGTGAGGTTGGCAGAGGTGACATTATGGAGTGGGAGAAAGTCAGTACAACAAACATAAGGTTTGCAAGATGTGCTACATGAAAATAAAATACTGTGTAAATAAGAAAAACATAAAGGAAAGACAAATGCTAAATTAGCTAAGCAGTTGAAAAATTTGTATAAATTACAATGTGTCGCAATACTCACTGTATTGCAAAATGTTAAAATCGCAATAATATTGTATCGTGGCCCAAGTAATAATACCGTATCATGGGGCCACTAGTGATTCCTACCCCGAGTATACATGTAAAGGTCATATTCACAAGGTCAGCATATCAAGGTGATACAAGAAAACTACCACTTTTCAGAGACGATCAAAAGCTCTATATAAAGGCAGCTGTTTGAATCTCGTAGGGTTTGTCTGATAATTACATCACGTAACCTAAATTTGCATAGTTAGTAGGGTCTTATAATATTTCGGGGAAAAGATGCAGTTATTTACTGTATATCTACGATAATCTGCTTCAATGACTTCAAGACAACACAAAAACACAACAAAAGCTCGACAGTTTTCTTTTCAAAGCCTCAAGTCTTAACTGCAGCACAAATCTCCTGTAGCAAAGTGTGTCCCTGATTGAATCCGGTGGTATCAAGCGCTGCTTTGTCAACAGCAATCAGCTGATAGATAATACTCCTAATCTGATAACACAGTCCTTGTGATGCATGCCTGTGCATGGACTCATGCACACACACACAATCACACAACATGCCCAAACAGAACTGCAAAAAGTTGAGGATGCAGCGCTGCTCGAGAGTGAGAGGAAACTGCATCATAAAACTGTGTTGATAGGAAATAACACGAAAGGAACAGGACAATAAAATGCTTTGTCCCTGTGAGATAAGTGATAGTCAGGGGACTTTCCCACAAAATTTTCAAAACAAGACCTGCTTTTCCTCCAAGACACCAATCGAACCAAGCAGATTATATGCAAGCTGAGTCTGTTTATAAAACTATGAAAAAAGGACTGAAAATGTCCGATGTGCTCACCTTTTTAAGCCAGGAGAAGTGCCGGTAGAAGTCAATGGGAGTCTCCATGCTCCCAGCCCATCGCTGCCTTGCCTTTGTCTGTGTTTATGTACGACTCACTCAGACTGTGAGCATGTGAGGATGTGTGAGCCGTGCCAAGAGACTGGGCAAAGTGAGTCTTTAGTTAGCAGACTGCTGTAGCATGTGAGTCCTGTCATGTAACTGTGTCTGTGTGATTGTGTGTGCGTGTCTGTGTGTGTGTGACTGCGATGGTAACAGCTGTGGAGGAGGGCGTTTTACGATCTCTGCCTTCTAAGTTGGACAACTCCCCCCTGTTTTGTCCCTCTCCTCCTTCAACACTCTCCTTTTTTTCTACCAGTTCTTTTTACTTATCCTTCCCCTACTTTTGCCCCTCTTTATGTTTCCTCGCTTTCACACTCCTCTCTCTTTTTTTGGTCACTCACTGCTCCCTCTGCACCCTCCTCCTCCTTCTCTCTCTCTCTTCTGGTTTGAGTTCTTGCATTTCTACTTCTTTCTCTTCAGTCTTGCTCCGTCTCTTTTCTTCTGTTTTTAACTTCTCAGTCACTACCCTTCTTTTCTCTCTCTTCCTGCTCTGGCCAGTCTGACAGCCAAATGGCCGAGCCCAGAAAAGAGGTGGGTGGTTTTTCTTCTTTCTCTGTCGTCTGTTTATGTCTGAGTCTTAGCCTCTGTTCTCGCTCTCTCTTACTCTCTCTCTCTCTTCACACACACACACACACACACACACACACACACACACACACACACACACACACACACACATACACACACACACACACACACACACACACAATCTCCAAACCTGCGGCATCTGAGCAACCAGACCAGACTTTTCTCTGCCTCCTCTGCTCTATCTAATAAAGTCATGTACTGTCATGCTGCTGACACTTCATAACATTGTCATTTTTCATATTCTGTCTCATCGTTTTTATCTGAGACTTAAGGTATTTGCTCACTTACATTTTACAAACTGGTTTACCAGAACCACGTTAGTCATCCATCTGAATGACAGATTCATTCACAGTACAAACTCAGTTCAAAATACTGAGCTGTTTAGTGACAGACTCTTCAAAACTAAACAACTCCAGATTTTCTGGGCTGCATGTGTCTCTGTGAGTGTGACAATTTTTACGTCTGTGTTGAGTTAGTTTTTGGGATGTGTAACTGTGCCCTAATTAGGGATCGGCGATATCTGTTGAAAAATTTATCACAATAAGATTTGCCATTCGGGCGACAACGATAAAAGTCCTGATAAAAATATTATAATTCCAATCTATATTTTTGACTCATTTTGTCTTGAGAACACCAGTTGGAGTAGTCAAATAAAATGCTTAACCACAAGTTTAAGTGGTAGGTTGTGGAGAAAACTAATGACATCAAACAAGTCTCAAATGTAAAAACATTTTCAACATTTGTTGAAAACTCTTATTTCACAGAGTGAACAGCAGCAGCAGATCCACTGTCCCATGCATACCTGATTACACTCATCTAAGCCCCAGTCTTGAGGGAAATCCCTCATGTGGAGCCTTGTTCAGTAACGAGCTGCTCAGGAACGTCTTCTTCATTAGCTCCAGTCAAGTTTGTTTGTTATTGTGCTCTGTGTGGGCTATGGCTGCGAGTCTATCGCTCGCATTTACATCATCAACTTGCGTTTATCACATTTATTGTAAGATGGTAAATATTCATTGTGGGGGATTTTTCCGACAATAAATCGTGAATGGTAATTTATCGCCCATCCCTAGCCCTAATGACACTTTTCTTATGAATTGGTTGTAAAGACGAGAACGATATAAGGCCGCACATGGAGGTCTGTGTGAACTTGATTGTATGTACATGTCTACAAGAACAAAGATCTCATGCAGTCTAAAAAACAGGCAGAGACAACAGCGGTGTGAGTTAGCAAAATCATAGTAACAGTAAAAGATTTAAAAATCAGAAATCATTTGTAAGTTTTCTAACTGTGCCACAGACTCTTCAGTGCTGTTATGTAAAAGTTTGTTTATGTGTATGTATGCATTTTTATCCTCTAGTCCTATCCTAGTCCGTAAGTGCAGAGAAACAAATCTCTAAAGATGGTTAAGTTAGTCAAACACAAAGATCATCATCTGAAAACATGCTGGCATCTAAGTCAGTAGTAATGAGAAGAACTTCCTGCCAGTAAAACCCCAATGAAGCTTCCTGTGTTTATCTGTGAGTGTTTTTCATAATGGTTTATCTCTGGAGAGGATCCCACAGAGGGCAGACTAATTGCAGGGCACGTGGGTCTTTGATCCTGTTCCTAGGTCAGAAGGGAGGAGCAGGAAGAAGAGGAAGGTGGACAAGATGAGGACAACCTTCATATTCACTTCCTTCATAATCTGCCAGACTTTTGTTCCTCCACCACTGAAATCGGGGGTCACTTGAACTGATTCATTAGGGCTGTTTTCTGCTAAAAAAAAAAAAAAAAAAAAAAAAAAAAGGGGGGGGGGGGGGGTCCTTTTGGGAAAAAAGAAAAAAAAAGAAAAAAAAACAAAACAAAACAAACAGTAGATTAAGCAATAACAGGGCTGTGTGTATCAGGAGAGAAATGTTGCTGTAGTTTTCCAAACTCCTTGTTCAGTGTTTTTACACAGATCTGAAGACTTTGGACAAATGTAATTCTCACTAACCAGAACACTAAGGTTTGACTTTTGAAAACTGTCTGACCAAGGGCCCAGTTTTAACAAATCTAAAGCACACAGTCTAAAGTGCGAGGCACAAGGACAATAAGGGTTTGTTGTCACTATATTTTCCTCTTCAAGGAGTGCACAATCTGGGTGCAAAGTGAAGGCCAGAGAGTGAAGAGGTTAGATTAATTCCTTTGATTTAATGATGGTGTGTTTGGGGCGTATCGTGGATCAAACCTATTAGTTAGTCTGCTCTCATTCTCTTTCAGAGTCAGGTGCACCTGAAAGCATGTGTCTATTTGTCAGCAGATTTCAGCCTTTTGTTGTTGCCATATCATGAAGTGAGATGATGGAAAACACACTTGTATCTCAAAGCCCTTTAAGTTCACTGTCCCAGCAAAAATTTTTTATATTTTATCAAAAGTGGGAGCCACGCTGCATGTCTGTTTGACTACAAAAAGCATCTTATTGTGTCACCAATTTGCCCTCCAAATATCAGGACACTACAGCATAACAGATTCTAGGTATTAGACCAGGTTTTTGTTGGTCTAGAGTGTAGTCACCTTCTATGTCTTCAGAGTAGCAACACGCCACTTTTGCACCTGGCCAAACCAAAGTCATTTTAAGACCAACATGGGTGCGAGCATGGGTACAAACTCACTTGTTGTTTACACAACATAGGTGCTACGCAAAGTAATGACAACTGTGTTGGGTGGAAAATAAAAATTATACTTGCGCTGCAAAAACCCTAACACTATGCAGTGGGTGTCCAATGAGGACCTCAAAGTTGCTATTTTGGACAGCCTGGTTTGTCTTCCTGTCACCCTTACCTATAAATATATAACAAAATTAAACTTGTAATGAAAACACACAAAAAAAATTCTTTATACCAAGAGGCTAAGAGGATTGCTAAGGATTGCTCCTAGGCAAACTTCTTGTTTACAGTAAATTGGAGAACCAGAGTTTAGAGGTGAAGCACAGAGAACACAACGATGTTTGTTGTTGCAAGACATTTCAATATCGTCACATTAAATAATGGCCTAAGTCACAATTTGACAAAAATGACTTTTTTTCCCCTGAGTCAGTCCTTCATGATGCTACCCATCTCTAGTAGAATTACCTAAATCCTCAGTTGAACAGATCATGTGATACTATATTTGTAGTATAATCGCCTACGTAGAGTGTGAGTTACGCCATTTTCTGAGAGTGTTCGGAAAAATTTCTGAAAAACTTGATCATTGACATAGGCCATCATTTTAAGAGGGTGAAGATATGTTAATGGTTAAAATGGATGAGCTCAGTTCAGAAGTTTGAGCTTGAGTCCACAACAACAGTGTCAAGCATTTTTATCATACTCTTGATTTAGGAATCAAATGAATGCAATGTAACATACTCAATAATCTTGACTTTTTGATGTTTTACTTGTTAGAAGTCTGAGGCAGCTTTAAAACAACCATGCAGAGTAAATCACTGCTACACATTAAAAACCATGTAGGAGCCAAAGTGCGCACAACAGACTAAAACACACTGGGGATTCACACACTCATGCAAAATAGTGTTTAGCAAGTTTTTGTGATTATGGTTGCCTGCAGGCTTGATTAGATTTACCTGTGTGGGGAGTATGGGTACCTCGTAGGTGGTAACTCAACTCTTAGTACTTGTAGGGGCGATAAAGCAGACCATTTAAAAAATATGTTCATTTTGGACCAGAAGGGAAGTGCTGTTTGTGTTAACACTAAATGCCCTGATTTACAGTGAATAAAAACATTAGCAGCACATTTCCTAATCTGTTCCTAATCAACCCCAACTCAAACTGTATTCTATCTGCTCATGAAACATAATGTTCATGAACAAAAAACACAACACTAGCACATTTGACCGCGTCTACAGAACAAAAGAGAGTTACTACAGGAGAAAAACTTTGACAGAAGGATGTGGTAAGGAAGGAGTGAATAAGAGAGGGTAGAATTGGGGGGACAGAGGGGAGGAGAAACAAAGAAATAGGGGTTGGTGTGTGTGTGTGTGTGTGTGTGTGTGTGTGTGGGGGGGGGGGGGGGGGGGGGGGGGGTTGGCAAGTAATTGTGTGCAGCGTGTGAGACATCTGCTGTTGAAACAATGTAAGAGCTCAGACAGCTGCTGAACCCGGTCCAACATCTCCCCCTTTACAGATTTAACAGTCTGAGTTAGTGTGTAAACTTGACACCACTGTCTAAGCAGAAAACAGCAGCCTCTGCAGGATAACACACAGCAAGACCAACAAACATCCTCATACAACAGAGTCTATTGACAACTTCATGTCAGTGGACTAAGGAGTAAAACACCCATCTTTACATTAAGTTTGCAATTCCCTAAATAATAAAAAGGCTAAATTTTTTGAGTAAAAAAAAAACACAAACATAACTCTTTTTAAATGCTGTGACTTTTAGGTCTTACCTTAACATTCCTGAGCACTGAGTGTCAACTTCTACACCAAGTAGCCAACTTACAAACAGACCCACACCAGGAAGTAGAGGGTGTCCATCTATACAGAGTAGCAATGTGAAGGGAAAGTAGCAGCACAGAACGAAAGAGAGTAAAGTGTCCAACCGGTGAGGGGAGGATTTTGGAAAGAGGAAAGAAAGAAATTAAAGAAAGTCCGAGAGGACATGCAGGCTGAGGCAGAGGTTGTGAGGGTGTTAGGGAGGGGGCTCAGTACAGGAAGTTGATTATAGTGGAGTTGTAATCGTGTCTCTGAGGAAAACTTTTTGGAACCCTTCCCAAACCCTCTGTGTTGTTTCCTTCTCTCCTTCCCTCACTTTAAGAACACGGTGACTTTTGGTGCAACAAGCTCTATGTTGGAGGATAATGAGCATAGCGATGAAAATATCAGGTTTTCAAATGTCAGAACTCTTTGTGTTGTATGTTCAGAGACTAATCTTAGCGACATGTACGAAAAATAAAGTTCAGTTTTGATAAATCAATCATAGATAGTATAAAACATGAACACGGTCCCTGATACATCAGCCATGGGGTTTTAAAGAAGTTTAATGAAACCTAAACACAGAAGTTGACTTATGCTGACTCAAAATAACCTCAAATGCACAAGACACCCACATGAAAGTGGGGTTGAGCCTGACAGGTGGGTTACAACACACCCACTTGTCAGTCAATTCAGACAAACTCTTAAAGATGCCCTAAGGTTAAATATGATCAAATTAGATTTAATAATCACAAGTCCCAGAAAGTTTGATGAATTAGGAAACACCCTTTATAGAAAAGAAGAAGGCTGGTGACATGTTTATTTCTGCTGTATAATGGACATTTTACCTTGGCTATTAAATTTCCCTTCGGGGATCAATAAAGTTCTTCTTATTTTTATTCTAATTAGATGTCCATGGCATTAGAACCAGCCTCAAGTGGACACTTAAGGGACTGCAGCTTTTTGCACTTCGCCACTGACTTTACTATCCTAACAACAAAGGCTGCCACCTACAATGATTCATAATAACAATTAAAGACAATTTTATTGCTCTAAATACTGGAAGTAGTCATATTAAGTGCTTCACTTGCTGCCTTGTAGTAACACTCAAGCTAGATTACCAACAGGCCTAACAGAGCTGTGGCTCCTGCAGATCAGCTGCTCCCTATGATCGTCACTGTCTGAATACAAGCACGGAAGACTTTTAATGACTGCACACAGGGTCTCCTTATAGGAAGAAATCAGGCTTTCAGGCCAGAGCCCCATGTCATCCAAGAGTAAAATATATATATGAAAAACTAGAGAAAGAATTAAAGTTAAATTTAATTAAGAAGTAATCAAATTATGTAAAGAACAAAGAAAGAAAGAAAGAAAGAAAGAAAGAAAGAAAGAAAGAAAGAAAGAAAGAAAGGTAAAGGGAAGAAGAGCTAATAAAAGTGGAGAGGCTAATGTGAGACTGAATGAAACCCAAGTTCATCCTAACATTGACATGTCAGGCCAGGAGAGCACAGAATAATAGCTCTGTAGCACAGCAGCTAAATTCCTTTCCTTTTGACCCTCTTGCTGGCCCCTCTGACCCGCTCTCACTCTCTCTTTGGGGAAAACACAGATGATAGATTACGATCATCAAAGGTTAAGTTTACAGAGCAGATTTTCTACCTCCAAAATCAAGTACTGTCTAGTCCTCTTTTAGAAAACTTTGCAATAATCTTGATGACCACACTGCTCTATCTGGGTTTTTGACTGAGTATAGTACCCAGTTTGACCAAATAAGAAGAATTAATAACTAACCGTCAATTTCTATTGGCCCTTTCTCTTTGTTCAATAGACAGGCTTGGGGCATCGTGTGCAGTACATGTTCACATACATCATGATGTTCACAGGACTGTGCATTATCAAGTTTCTTTTGTTGTATCAACTGTGTGCAGTATGATAAAAAGGAATCTAAAGTAACTAATACATGTCTGTGCAATATTTTTTGAATAACGTGACTCACAAAAAGTTATATGGACTGAAACAGAAGAGAAGTAAAGCAGTAAGAGCAGATGTTTGTATGCAATCTTGAACGAGCTCTCCTCTTAAACCAGCCTTGTCTAATCACTTCTGAATGAACAGATGAATCCAGTTCAGCTTGTCTAATTTGTTAGGATAACCCTGACCCTAAAATATGAAAAAAAAAAAAATAAAGCACACTATAAACAGAGATGTTCCTTGCTGGAAGAGGCTTCTCAGCAAAAAACAGCTGGTTCTTCTGGTTAGCATGTTGCATATTTTCCTCATTTTTTCCGTTAACTTCCAAAACATCATCATTAATATACTTATATAACTTGTGTAACATCGGGCAATACATCTTTTTTGTGTGCAATGAACACACAGTTATTCACAGAGACATGTTCACTGAGAACACAGTGCAATTTCGAACCCAGCTGTGTGATTTCTAAAGATAGTGAGAGTTATATTGCAAATTAAAGTTGAAGTGGTCTAAAAAAAACTCTCTGGCAAAAGACTGGGAAAATAACTGGATGATTTTTGTCTTATTTTTGGTGTGTCTCAATAAATAAACAGGTCATACCACCACCTCCGCAGGTGTGCAGTTGCCCTTAGCTTTTTTTTTTTTTTTTGTATTATTTGATTTCGTTTTTTCTGTTGCCGGTACAGGAACATTAAACACATTGTGACATATCATAGGGTTGAAATGATTTCTCGAGTACCTCGATTACAAAAACTGACACAATGTCACAACATCATCCATCTCAGTTCTCTGACACTTTCATTCCCAATTTTTTATTTATTTATTTATTTTATTTATTTATTTTACTACATATTACTACAACTATTATGATAGTTGTGCTGACTGAATGCTAGAGTCGTGGGCGGAGACAGCACTGCTCTGCACACTCCTCTTCACGTTAGCTTGTAGCCTAACATTACTGGTGTAGTAGAAGAGGCAGGTAGCATAGGAGCTATTCAGCTCTCAGACACTAATGTCTTTAGGGGCATGATGAAAGCTAATATCATAATTAGCTTTCTTACAAGCATTGCAACCTGCTAACGCACACGCTTGTTCCACGTTCCTTGTTTCTAAAAAAAGGATAACAATTGATTGTTTGTTATTAAGTTAAAAGTCTTAGTTTCTCCTGTATATTAATTACTGCACTTTGACTAAAAATAAAATGCTTTATACAATTACTCGATTAATCAGTGGACTATTCGGTAGAATACTTGATCACTAAAATATTTGATAGCTGCAGCCCTATTATGTAATATTGGGTTTCTGCTTATTGGATGGCAGGTATTACTTTAGTTTTTTCAAGCTATGGTTGCATCGAGCCTTGACTTCACCTAGCTAGGACTGCATATTTAATGAGTTTGGCAACTTGAAATCAACATATAAATGAATGAATAACAGGATAAGATAAGAAGTCTAGGGTAAGATTTATAATTGTAATCAAACTTGGGTGACACTGTACTGAACAAATCAGAGAGCCTGGTAATAGAGAGGTGGTTCATCATACTTGAAAAGTGAAGCGTAAAAAAACATGAACCAAGAAGAGTTTACAATCTGGGCTGATGCTCATTTTTCCACATAAATCAATAATAAAGTAACTGAATACTGGCAGAAAAGCACTGATGTGTCACTATCTTAAAGTATTATCACATAAACTGGAATTCAACTATATTGAATGCTCATTAAAATAAAACCATTATGATAAAGTTCATAAAAAACAAATCAAATAAGACTTCTCCAGCGGGTCTGGGCTCAGCTGCAAATTAAACATGGCAAGACAGAAACAAAGATGTCCTTAACTCCACTATTGGATAATATGCCATGATGAGCCAATGTGTAGATCAGAACATATTGTACTCACAGTTCCAGTGTGAAGCCAGTCTATAAGAGCCCGTGCTGTCTCAGTGGGTAGTTGTGCTCTGAGGCTGTCTCTCTCCTCTTGGTTGGGATGGAGCTCTAGGGCGAGTTTGAGGTCTTCAGCCAACTGGACGACCTGCAGCGGTCCAGCACTAACTGGAGAACCCAGGTCATACATGCTGTTCGAGAACTCTGCCACCGCTGCTTTTGACCCTGCAGAGTGTGTGTAAAAAGACACAAGGGCACATATTTACTTGTAATAATCAGAGGAGTGGTGCCATCGTACAAAACAGACAGGTAACCGCATGAGAAATCAAATCCATCAAGTGTTGCTAATTTGCAAGGAGTCCAGGTTTCTTTTGAGAAGTTTGGATACTGGGCAACAAACCACAGAGTTAAGTCCCCTGTTTCCAAATTGTCTAGGCGTCCTCTGGACCATGCCCCTGGCTATACTATACCAAATGGGGCACACACACACGCACGCACACAGACACACAGGCGCACACACACACACACACACACACTGAAATATTCTCATACACATACACATAAACTCATAAAAGGATTTCTCATAAATAATAGTAACCCATCCACACATTGAGCCCTAATTATTAAAGAGCACATGATAAAAACAAATATAATGAAATATCTCTGTTTATGGGTATCTGAAGGGCTGGAAGCTAAATTCATTTCGAATCCATGGACTTACCTGTGAAATGAAATTCCTGTAATATAACTGTTTACCCTGGCATAGTTTATCTGAAGGCCATAGGTTACAAACATAGTTTGTATGTAATAATCATAGACTGTATATAGAATGGACAGAGTCTGCCTCCTCGCTGGGTGAAGCCACTCCGAGAACAGCACCCTGTGTTGATGGGCTGCAGTACAGGTCATAAATCTCGCCTCCGCCAGCAAATGGACAAACTTTAGAAATTCATTACACAGAACATACATTTTTCTCCCCCCTGCTTGTGATGTTGACATGTAGTTATTGTAAGACTGGTTTGTGCCCAAGTCCTTTTTTTTCTGTACAGCTCTGTTTTTAAAAGTTATTAGGGGGTTCATGTTTTCTATGATTGACACCTGGTACAGCCTATGGGCGTTCAGGGATTGCGTAGCTCACCCGGGGGGGATACGCTGTTTGAGCCGAGCGTCATCACAGCAACTCTCGGCGACTGCGCGGCCAAATGCGTGCATCGCTACTGCGCAGCTCCGGTTTCAAGGAAGTGGAGAAAAACCCGGAATTACAGAGAGCTTTTTGGCTTCAAATCTGTATACAGGCGGAAGGCGGAACCAGGTTGTCCATAGTATATACAGTCTATGGTAATAATGGATAGAACATTGAGAGCGACAGTGCACAAACTCATGGCTGCATCTTATATTCAATGTGAGCATGTAACAATACCAGCTGTGCGAACAATAACAAAAGCAGAACAAAAGGCCATTCTTGTGCTCTCCATCCATCTATCCATGCATACTTCACTGTGTTTGATACAGAGTACAGTGAAGAAAACATTAGTTCAATCCAATGTTAACTCCTACAGAAAAACGAAAGCACAGCATTCAGGACAACTCATTGTTTTTTTTTCATTTGAGAAATTTTCAGCATTAGCTTTGAACTATATGTCATAACGAAATGATGTTGGAATTAAAGGACAAAACCCTGACTGATTGTTGTTTGAATGAGGAGTTACATGAATTAAACTGGGTTAAACCAACTGCAAAAAATGTGTTTTCAAACAACAGATAATGTGAATGCCACTGCATTTTTAAAAAGTGTGTTTTCTAAAATTGCTAATTTTTATTTTCATTTTTTTTAATTCTTACAGAAAGTTTTGAAATCAACATCACATCCGCCACTCTGTTTTTGACCTAAGTACCGGGGTATCTCTATGATTGGTTATCCTGGCGTGAACGTTCACTTAAGGCAAGATATCTTAAACTTTAATGAATAGGCGTTTAAAGCAAGAAGCACATTGGATGCGACGCAACAGCTCACATGTAATCCACTTGTGCAAATGATTTTACTCATGCTTGGTTCAAACGCAACATAACAAGGCAAAAATAAGTTTCAGTGAGAGCTATACTGTAGAGATTGAGGGTACTGTCAGTGCCAAAGATTTGGTTAGTGGACACAGGCCCTTATGCGGCCCCAACACGGTGTCAACGAGTGTCTCACACATTATTCTGGAGTTAGTTTTATTCTGCTTAGTTGTTTTCAGATACAGTACTTTCCCTAGCTTATAATGTGTGGTATCCTTTTCCACTTATTTTTTTTCAATGTTGATCTATTGTTTGTGTGTGTGTGTGTGTGTGTGTGTGTGTGTGTGTGTGTGTGTGTGTGTGTGTGTGTGTGTGTGTGTGTGTTGTTGTTGTTGTTGTTGTTGTTGTTGTTGTTGTCATGTCTTTCTCATGTTTTGTTTTAGCCACTTAGTGTGTGCGTGGTGCAGTGCGTAACATTAAACTACCTTTAAGGACAGCAAGAATCACCAATCTCTTGTCCTGTTTTTTTGAGGTGATGAGCTAAAAAGTTTGGGAACTCTTGGAGAAGAGCACTATTTCGGTCACAGCAACATCATTATGAAAGTCATTAAGCAGCTGAGTGCTCACATGTTACCCCACAAGAAGTTAAACCATGCGGGAAAACAAGGTTGATCATGGAATGCAATATGACCAACATGTCTAAATTCTGCTGATAAGTGTCTCTAATTTCCTTGTTAATGATTGGCTGATGTTATCGCTAATGGGATTTTTAATGTATTTCTATTTGTGGTCACTGAGAGCAAGCAACTCAGGGCGCTGAATGAGATCAGCATGGTTTAGCCAAACGGCAGGGAACTGATGAGCTTCACATGCTTTTTTGAGTTACATTGTGCAGGTCCTATTCAAGAAAACAAAATAAGACAGCTCGTGCATTTGCACGGGGGATGTAACCAGGAAACTATTTTTTTCTTGTGTATATCTGGTAACCATCTGGACACTATCTCTGTTCTTTATTGTTTGTGTGCTCGACTCCAAAACAAAGTATTTATCAAACAGCCAGTCCAGTAATGTGGGCCAAGGATGCACTGGCTGAGTAAAGAAGACTTCTTTTACTCACAAAACATGCAATAACATGCAGTACACCGATACAAAGTTTACACTCTCACTTACTATATACACACCAATAAAACAAATCAAAAAATAACAGTGTCACAAGTGCAACGCAGTTTTTTAAACCACCATCTTTAAGTCTCTAAACCTCATAGGGCTCTATTTTCGTGGCCGCCAGCGGCGCGGCAGAGGGTGGCGCACCCCGCGCAGTGGTAGTTATGTCTGGCGGAGCCCGGTGCACTGCCAGTTTGGTATTTTCATAGACTGAGGTGATCCGAGGTCTGCCAAACTGGGTGTGGTGGCGCGGTAGGGGGAGGTGTAGACAGAATCAGCTGGCGCAGTGACATTTTCGTGCCCGCCAGTGGCATGGAAAGTGTGCTGAAAGCTCGCCGATTCAAACTTGGTCAGCTTTCAGCACAGGCGGAGCGCAGCTGGTCTAGTGGCATTTTGGTAGACCGGCGTCGTACTGCACTTACTTCCCCGATGCCTCACCGGCAGGTTTCCACAGTGTCAGGCATATTTCAGTGCAATAAATAATCAACAACAACCAATATTCAGTGCAACTATCTGAGTCAGCACATATAATTTGATCTATATCGTCATATTCTGATCTATATCTTATTGGATGAGAGCGTCTGGCACAGGTTTGGACACTCCACCTGACCGAATTTACACAGCTGAAACCGCATTTAATTAAATATCCAGTAAATAGTCACACATGATGAAGTTAACAAGATATTTAATTTGTCTCCCCCCATTTTTCTCTCTCCCTCTTCCTCTTCTTTCTCGCTTAGCTCGTCTCGGACACATCTCCGTGTCATCTGCACATCTTGCTGCTGCCGCGGTGGCAAGGCTAAACAGATGATTTATTTTAGTGATCAGATGAATTATTTACTTTGAAAATTTGAACAAAAAAATGAAAGAAACTTTCATTCAGAATTACCCGATTATCTGATGTTCTCACATCCTTAAAATTCTGTGAATATTCATACCGGAGTTAGGCCCACATACGAATATTATAATATTTAGTTGTGTGAGCAAAGTTCATTTTATATGCCAACATCTATGAAAGAAAGAGCCAGGCTACAGAGTGCGATGTGTCCTTTGCGCACAGTTGGTTCTGATTTTGATGCCATTTTTGGCATATTTTTATGTTGTGATCTGTCAAACACCTTTGTCATGTGGGGTTTAAATATATGCAACTTGATGTGAGTGTCTTTATTCGTGGGAAAGGGTGTTTGTCTTACCAGTGGGTACAACGTTATACACACCAAATCCCTCTGTGTTTATTTGAGAGAGTGTCCTCTCTCGACACACGACACTTGTTGAGGGGCTGCCTTCAGTCGCCATCCTGTAATCAACTGTAATACGCCTCGCCAGTGGCGGATTTAAAGGTGAGGAGAGGAGCCGATGTTATTGGTGAAAACAGGACTCGGCTGTGTCAAACTTACTCCACGCCTTATCCCCTCCCTCTTTGCTACTTACACCGCTGGGAGGAGCTGAGTTATGGAGGGGGGATACTTATGCTGTACTGCGCCGCTCACCAAAATACAGTGTGCTTTGGCATGCCTCGTCAGCACAGCGGACCTGACTTACGCCGCGCTTCCGCGCTCTTCCCTTTCATTCCAGAGCTATGGGGTTAAGTACACAAAAACGACTGTGGTCAAAGTAACAAAAACATTGCAGTAAAGAACAGCATAAAATCAGCATTCTTTCCACTTTTTATGTTTCCAGTAAGAAAATGTTCTCACTGATGGATGAACCTTTTCCTAGGCATGTTCAAATCCTGGATTTTTAAATGTCATGTTGACTGACCCTATTTTAGGCCCAAACAATCTCTCACCCACCATACTATCAACACCATGCAATGTGGTGACACATCCCTACGAATGAGGCAGACTTCAACCCAGTCAGATTAAACTCAGGAGGTTTTTAAGAAAAGCTCATTTCTCAGCAACTCTGTGGAGCAGACTGGAACCAGTCAGGTTCTGATTTGATGAGAGGCCAGTTTGTAAACACATCAGTTGTTCAAAGAGCACATGATTGTGTAAAAGTTGAGCATGTGAGACCCCATGATTTCCACTCATCTTTCCAGAGCCAGCAGAGCCAGCATTGGCAATTTCCTCTTGATGAAGTCTTTAATTCTCTTGTCACTGAGACGATAACTCCACTTCATAACCCTCACCTGCAATGATGTCGTCCATCTGCTCCAGTGCTGCCTCCAGCATGTGACTGGCCTCTGTTTCCATGGTGATGGCAGGAAGCATCAGATAACAGGTGGAAGGATGTTCTTCTAAAAAGTAAAGGAGAAGACAATTAAACTTTTTCACAACAAAATGCATACAGCCTTTGAATAAATATTGTAAAAGCTCACTAATGAATCTCAGAATGGTTAAGAAAATGTTTGTGTTAACTTTATTATTTTGAAGCTGATATTGTTCTTGAGGTTTACTTCACATACCCTCTCGCTCTCTTAGGCCCGAACTACACGAATGCGGATATATTTCAAACCGCACATATTTATGTCCGATTAGGCCTCCCTACCACACCAAAACGGGAGTTTGGAAAACTCAAACCAGATAAATCTGAATCCGGAAAAACAAGTGGAGAAATAAAAAAATATCCGTATCCCGTATCCGTAGTGGATTCGTGTGGTTGGACTTTTACGGATTGATGACGTCAAACCGCAGCTCGCGCATGCGAATTAAAAAGAAAAACAACAACAATGATGGCGGACATACAGGGTATTCTTTATGTTTGTTTTGCCCTTTTGGGGCTAATTTCAGCCTTGCAAGTGAACCTTGTTTTATACAATTACATCCACCTGTCAGCCAGCTTACAGAGGCGTCTGCTTTGTTATAGCCGCCACACCGTCACATGGACCCAACGCACTAGCGTAGCTTCCGCAAACAATGCATGACACATCACGCTTATGATTCATCGGCCAATCAGGTAGCTTTGTTCCTGAATTTTTTAAGCGGCACCAGATAGGATTGAGTTTGAAGGCTACGTGTGGACGCAGGTATTTTTGAGAACTAACACGTGTGGACAGATACATTTATTTAGACGGGAGTACAAAAATATCCTGATAAATAAATATCTATATACGTGTAGTTCGGGCCTTAGTGTCTACTTGTCTTCTTCGGGTAAATGCTTGAAATTAAGGGTATTAATAAATCTGTTGATTTGATGATTATTTCCAGAAACCTGCTATATTAAGTTTTATTCTTTTATGTAACAGGTAATGTCATCTGTTCAGTTTCGAAACTTTTTCTGAAGGAAATCCATAGCAACCGTTTGAGCATCTGCTTTCTCTTCTTCATATACATTTCATCCATACATGCACTGGTGTGTTTCTGAACCACTACTGCAGGCAAGAATAAAGTTTATTTATAGCCAGGGGATACAATGCAATACACACACACAAACACACACGCACGACAGCTCACATAACACACACTTTTATACCTCCGAACAGAATTGACTTTTCTCCATCATTGCTGCCTCTGGCTCTCCCTCAATATTGCCCTGTGTGTCTCCTGCCGTTCTGGTTTCCTGTGTTTCCCTGAACCCTTCCTCCTTCCTGTCATCCCTTCTTTGCCTGGCATCCATCTCTTCTTTGTCATCTCTCCTTCAAGGCTCTCATCCTGCTGTCATGCTGTCATGCTGACTTACGGATGACTACACATCAGCATGCGAAAATCACCGGGAAGGACAGTGATGTAATCTACTGACGCCCTGGGAGAACAACCCCTCTTGCTGAGCGGCCTAATGCTCATCTACATTAGCACTAACTTTCACAGCCACAACTCATCATGACAGCTGACTCTGACAATCTGTATAAAACACAGCCAGTGAACTTAGAGTAATAAGGCCTTTAATACAACCATTTTTCAGTCAGAGCATGTGTCTGCTCCCATGATGTTTGTGTGTTAATAATTGTAGTATTATTGATGTAAAGCACTCTCCTTTACTCTCTATGAGACTGAGGGTGACAGCACCATTCAGAGGCTGACAGAGAGACTCTGTTCAACAGCACTGTGACAACAGTTGACCTCAACCAGACAACACCGCCTTTGTCTTTTTGTGTGTTTTCGAGACAGAAAGGGTGTGAGATATAAAGTAGTGGTTGCTTCATGACTGTGTGTGTTGTATTGTAAAGGTGCTGATTCCAGCACAAAGCTGACAAGACAAAACTGGAACAACCTTGTCCACTGTTTCCTTTATTGCACAATCCATAAAACTGCTGTTTGTGCAAAGGGGGTTTCAGTGTGTCTGTGGAGAGAGACAGCAAGAAAGAGCAGTGGTTGTGCTCTCTGAATTTCATTGTGATCTTAAATTGGATCTTGGTACAGAAAGATTTTACATGGAACTAAAAACTTTAACACTTTATGTTAAACTGCTGAGATTCGAGTGGTTGCCATATCCGCGACAGTACATGAACATGGAGTTGATCCATCAAATATGCACCGCAGAGTGTATGTTTTCCCCTCAGAGCATTTTTGTGGCACATGGTTGGCTGAAGTTTTTTTTTTAAACAGATTTAAAGCACAATACCAGAAAGTACAAGTTTTATACCTAGTATAAAAATTATCTGAACCATATTATCATGAATCATACATTGTTTTTGAATGATTATATCACAATGTTTTAATGTGACCTATAACTTGTACAACACAATTGAAAAACAAACAGAAATCTTTCAAGGAGGTGAAGTAAAAATAATCAACTGAGATTATGTGATGTGGTGTGCACCCCTTTTAATAACTGGAGATGTGGAAGTGTTCAGATTTAACCAATAACATTCAAACTCAGGTTAAATTGGAGTCAGCACACACCTGTCACCAATTAAAGTGCCTCTAATCAACCCCAAATAAAGTTCAGCTGTCCTAGTAGGCTTTTCCTGACATTTTTTAAGCCACATCTTCCAGCACAAGCCATGGTCTGCAGAGAGCTTCCAAAGCATCACAGGGATCTCATTCTTCAAAGATATCAGACAGGTGAGGGCTACAAAAGAATTTCCAAGGAATTAAATGTACCAATAAATGTACCATGGAAGACCATCATCATCAAGTGGAGAAAATATGGCACAACGGTGACATTACTAAGAACGGGATGTCTGTCCAAAATTGATAAGACAAGAAGAAAACTAGTCAGGGAGGCTACCAAGAGGTCGACAGCAACACTGAAGGAGCTGCAGGAATTTCTGGCAAGTACTAGCTGTGTAGTACATGTGACAACAACAATCTCCCGCTGTCTTCATATGTCTGGTCTATGGGGTAGGGTGGCAAGACGGAAGCCTTATCTTACAAGGAAAATAACATCAAAGCCCGGCTTTGATGTTTATATATATATATATATATATATATATATATATATATATATATATATATATATATTTTTATATATATATATATATATATATATATATATATATATATATATATATATATATATATTGTTATATATATATTGTTATATATATTGTTTTGGATGTTGAGGACATTTTTTCCTTTTGTCCTTTCAGAGTATGTTGAATGACATGAGCTGCTGTTACAATTTGATTTAGCCTTGGGGTTCAATAAAGTCTGTCCTTCTCTAACCTGTGAGGTATAGTCTTCCAGCCCTTTTTCTCACAACTGCAAAATTTGTTATTTTATTCACACTAGAGATAGACTGATTAATCGGCTCACAAAGCCTATATCACTATTATCTTTTCCTATTGAAAACACGCATTTTTCAGAACCCATTAAATTCATCCAACACAGCCAATGTTCAGTGTTTTGAATTGAACTCTGTTATGATGTGTAGAATAATGCCCTTTAAGATAGGAGAAAAATACAAGAAGAACCAAGTTTAGAATCAACAGCAGTATTAACCTTTTTCCAAAAACCCTTAACATAACCCAAAATCTTTCCATTCATTTATCACTATACTTGTAAATACAAGTATACACATTATCAGTGAATGAGTGGAAAAGGACATGTGGCCAACAGAGAATGAAGCATCTCCTCCTACTCACAGTGAATTGTCCTGAAAATTCCCTGCTGGGTTTGCACGTTGGCTCACCCTGACCTCTTCGAGTGGGTGGCAGAAAAAATGACCAGATAAAAAGGGGTTAAAAAAACTGTCTAATCATGTTCACACATGCAGCAGCCCTGGAAGTCTTTGGTTTATGTATGTGTGAATGTAGCAGTGTTGCCAGTGCTTCATGGTTTCCGTCTCCTGTTTGGTGGATGGCACGCCTTCTTTCAGTAAGAGGGAAACACTCCAGAAAAACAAGTTTGTCAGACATGATGATATGTGACCTGTTTCTCACGGCTACTCCCACCCCAGTGTTGACAGCTCTCTCCTAAGTGAAAAGGAAAGCAGACTTTTTGCAGGGTGTCTTCTGTCTAATGATGGCCAGCTTTACCAACTGCATGAATTACGTTGTCAGGAACTTTCAGGAAATGTTTTCTTGGTACATCAAGAAAATACGGCCAAGTCACATTCGTTTCTTAGTCAGCACCTAAATTATTCAGACACACTTACGTAAGACAAGAACTTTTTTTCATTCATAGGAGGAAATATTGACTCCTTTACACAACATTAATTTTACATGCATGCTGATACTGACAGATAAGGGTTGATTGGTCAGGCTCACCCGAGAACAACACACACACACACACACACACACACACACACACACACACACACACACACACACACACACACACACACACACACACACACACACACACACACACACACAGCAAAAACAGAACATTACTTCCCTTGTTATTAAAGATTTAAAAAATCCTGAACCCTGCTATTCAAGCTTACTGTCCGTCAGAAATCAACACCACATTTTTCTGTTGCGGCAACTTTCAGAACAATTTCCTCTTCTAAGAGAAACAAGAATGAAACTCTGATAGTTCTCCAACTTTTAGTCAACAAGGCACTGCTCGGTTACTAGGCAGCTATGCATGCGCTGTTGAACATGAATTACACTTTGTCAAGTGCCTACATGCAAACAGGAATTTGCAGGGATCTTTTCCATGTGCAACTAAACATGAGAACAAAAAATACAACATGTTTGCTGGTTTACTGCAGGTCCCATCCAGTTCAACCACAAGAAGATTTGTATGAGAGAAAGAGGAACAACACAGGACAAAAAGAGTTAAAAAGCATGGAGATGACGAGGGCGGGAAGGGTAATGCAGCTAGTGTGTCTGTCAATATGTGTTTGACCATTTCTAGCATACGGCAAGCTCATCCTTAAACCA